AATGGTCAAAGTTAATTGGGGTTCTTTCAAATCACCAACCAAAAAACTTCCCAAGGACGACTACATTTATTCTTTCTTTGTACGTCAATGGTGTTCTTGGTGGTGAAGGTAAGCTTCTCTACAAATTGGGTAACAGATTAGTTGAGTTCAACAAGAAGAAGAGCCACACCATTGAGATCATTTCAACCTACAACTTGCCTATGGCACAGGTGGAAGTATCTACCGAGTATATTGGAAAGGTCTACAACTCTGATGTGTCTATTGATAATGTGTTTCTGTACGAGAGATTCTTCAAAGCGGGTGCAAAAGGAGTCGACGAGTTATCGGCGTCCCTTGTTTCATTTACAAAGTTGGATCTTTCTCAATTATTAAAATACTTCCCTGAATTGACTACTTCACTTTTCACCATAGTGGATTATGCTACGAGACAACCAACCACTCCTGGTATCGATATCCTACTTGACAATAACTTTAAAGCTATTGTTCATTTGCTCGATACACTTTTCGGCAAACAAGACCAGTACATGTACTTGATGAACAGGTTTTTTGCCAAGTATAAACAGTATATCCCACAAATGTGGCCACTTTTCCTTTTAACACAAAGCGAGCAGAGGTATTTTTCGTAGAGCCAGAAGCTAATTGGGAATTTCGTGCTTCTCTGTTCGGATGTGTTCGTGTGGTGCTGTATGCTTTTGAAAATTGCCATAGTATCAGTTGAAGGCTTGTCGGACATTGTAACAGTATAAGCATGCATTGAATACCTTGTTCAAGTCGGTGGCATACTTTCTTCTCTTCACAATCTCCAACATTGGTCAGCGACCAAGTCCTAATTTTGGACATGGTTGATTATGGATTATCGTTGGAGGAGCACTTGGGACATAAAGCAGTTTTGGACATCGTTGTGAACCTTATTGACTGTGTTGGAACTCGTGGACTAGGCGCAGACGAAGATGCTTTGCACAACCGTAAGACGACTGCTTCCAAGGATCATAGGATCATTATCAGTAAGCTCCTATTGATCAATCGTTTGTTCCTGTCAGCTTTGGTGGAAGATCCCGCTACAAGAAAGACCTTGATATCAAAGTCTGTTGTTTGGTCAATGGAAGTTTTGTTGGGTCCTCTCGATTTTGAAGCTTCAAGACTTGCAGCTACCGTTTTAAATGCGGTTTGTACAACTATTTGGAACTCATTGAGTAAGCAGGATCAATCCGATATTGACTTGAGCTTCTCACTTTGTAAATTGTTGCCTGCCATTGCAAGAACGGTCATCAGATACAATAAATTTGCCAGAGGAAATGAGTACTTCAAGCCAAAAAGAACGTTTACCTACTTATTTCAATCAGAGTATCCATTTCAAGAACACTCTCTTGACTCGGTTGTGAACGACGAGGTCCTTGTTGAAATCTTGGTTGAGTTATCAACCATCTTTACTTTCATTGCAAAAATTGGTAAAACAACCGCAGGAAATGAAGGTTATGTTGAGGTTTTGAATACTCAAATTCCTGACGATTTCTTTGATCCATCCAAGTATCTTGCAAAAAATTTCCAAGGAGAGGACATCATAACTCTTATTTCTGGGGCCAAGTTGATAATGCGAGGTAAATTCTTCCCCGAAGACAAATGGCTTTCGTTGTACGCAATCGCTCACAGAAGGATGCTTGACGGCATTGGAGCTCGTGAGACCATTGCTTTTGAGCCACTATATACCTCCTGTCGATGAATCCGAACAATTTGACAGAGTTATCTGGGGAAACTATTTGAAGGCATTGTTGAGAATAGGCACCATGGCCCCAGTCGCAGTTGAACATCTTTCAGAAGTGCCTAAGAAAGCTTGTATTCAATTGACTGGAACTGTTAGAGATCGGGCTGCATTCTTGGTCAATGAGGCATGGGACTCCTTGGCTTGGGATGCTGTAGAGGAAGATGAATTAAGATTTAACTTGACGAAATTCGGAGGGTATCAGGTTGAGTTTATTTCCAACGATTATGCCATCTTACAGGATCTTATGCTATTTGCCTTGCAGAAGAATGCTGAATGTCAAAGGGTCAGTGTTAAGATCTTGTGGTCCATTCTCGTTTCAGAGTTCATTTTAAGTGATTCCATCATTGACGTTGAAAGAGAGTGTCTCGTTGGATTGCATGACATCTATAATCGAAACGCTTATAAGCCATCGCCTGTTGAACAAGAAGCCTTTATCGACTTGTTGAAGGCAACTATCCGGTTAGATCGTGAAGATGAAGCTTTCTCCATGTTTTACAACTTCATAGAGAGTTTGGCTGGATTCTTGGTGGTTTTGAACGACTTGAATAGTGTTCCAGTTGGTCCCGAATTTGAAGACGACAGAACATTCCACAGGTTGAATATCAATGCTTACCTCAAAAATGCAAACAAGCCAGAGCTCTTCAATTCTTTCATTAATACCATGTACGAGGGCCATTTGAGCAAGGGCGATTATATCCAAGCTGCTTTGAGTTTAGAGCTTTATGCCTCCACATTTAGTTGGGATCATAATGTCATCCTTCCACCAAGTTTTAGACCCAAATTTCCTCAACAAACATCGTTTGAGAGAAAAGAAATGCTTTATAAGATGATTGCAACCAACTACATCAAGGGAAACAGTTTGGAGAGAGCCACTGACACATACAATGAATTGTTGGATTCCTACAACGAACATACTTATGACTTGAAGAGTTTCGCTTATGTTCACAACAAATTGGCGAAGTTGTATTTGGATTTGGAATCTTCAGACAAGTTGAGTCCCGCCTTCTTTAGAGTAGCATTCATTGGCGCTGGCTTCCCAACAAACATTAGAGGAAAAGAGCAAATTTATGAGGGATTACCCTTCGAGCATATTACATCCATTCATGAACGTTTGCTAAGACTTTATCCCGGAGCAAGAATCATTTCAGACGATGCCGAAGCCTCTAAGTTGAAAGAGAAGGTTCAAACAGGACGGTACTTGCATGTTAGCACCGTTGAACCGGTTAGTGAAATTTCGGAGAAATTGTTGAATACGTCCATTGGTGTGAGACAATATGCTCGTAACAAGGATTTGAGATTCTTTACCACAATGAAAAAAATTCCTGGATCGACATCCATTTTTGATATGTGGACAGAAGAAACCACCTATGAGACACACCTTTCTTTCCCAACCTTGATGAACAGAAGTGACATTAAGAGCACAAAGGTGGTGAAGTTGTCTCCATTAGACAATGCCATCAGAACTGTTATCAACAAGAATAACGACTTGGTACAGCTCGAAAGTATCATTGGAATAGCATTCAAGGAAAAAACAGAAATCAACTCACTGCTCAATGACTTGTCAAGACAGTTGGCCGGTACCGTTGACTCTCCAGTTAATGGAGGTGTTGGTCAATACAGAACTTTCTTCGTAGACCCAAGCTTCCAAAAGGAAGAGTATAAGGACAAGATCAGGTTATTGAAGAGTACTTTCTCAGATTTGACGATGATTTTGAACCGTTGTTTAATACTTCATGGCAAACTTGCATCTCCGTCGTTGAGAAATTCACACGACGCTTTAGTTGAATTGTTCAAGAAGAACTTTAAGGAGGAGATTGAGGCGTTGAAATTGAACCCAGATTCCGATGCTGCAAGTATTACTCAAAGTACTCATCAGAGTACCTACGCTCCATCACTTTCGCTGACCTTAGCTGAAAAGCGGTCTCTGTCAAGTGTCAACGGAGCATCTTTCCAGCCTCCCAACGGTTCACGCTTGACCAAGACTGTCAGTAGAGCATCATCTTCAAACTCAAGCGCTAGTGGCATTTCGGGAATCTCTTCCGAGAGAGCTTCGACTACTAACAACTCGTCAATGAGCGGATTCAGTTTTGGTAGAGGAAAGCGTACTGCGTTGAATTGGAGAAACATGGTAAACAGGGGGCCATGAAGTGGCGGTGAAGAGCTTTGTTTGACTACATATGTGAATTAAAACAAGATTGTCCGTACTATAGGAAATTTGCACCCACTAAAAACGGCACTCTGCAGGATAGTCGTGCGCACAACGATTACAATTGGGATTCAAATCAAATTTACTGGACAATCACAATTCACGATCACCATGTTGAGAAATTTTATGCGTAGCAGCCGTGTTTTGGCTAGAACTCCAGTCGTCACCAGAGCATGGACCCCAGTTAGATTCTATGCTGCTCCTCCAATCTCAAAGGATGAGGTTACCAACCGTGCCTTTGAAGCGTTGAAGACCGTCGCTGCCTTGCAAGAGTCTAAACTTGACTTGAATGCTTCTTTCCAAAAGGACTTGGGCTTGGACTCCTTGGACACCGTAGAAGCTCTTGTTGCTTTAGAGGAGGAGTTTGATTTGGAAATCCCTGACAAGATCTCTGACGAGATTAAGACCGTTGGAGAGGCCATCGACTACATCTACGAAGAGGAGAGAAAGTTATAAACTATGTAAATAAGTAAGACGAGGATAGCATGGAACAATGGACTAAAAGTCTGTGGTGCTTCCTTGGTCTCAATGTATAAGCTTTGCTAGAAAATGTAGTTAGTATTGATGAAAGGCAATGACCAAAATAAAGCCAGAAGCCCAAAATTAAAAATCAAGTTGCAACAACTCATAGCCATTGAATTTTCACTGAAAGCAGTTATAACTTGTTATTCATATTTTGTCTACGCTTGACTAATACTTATTCGGCACCATTGACTGCACTGACCATACCTCATTGCCGCACGTGACGACTCTTTAAATAATCGACCCTTGTATAATCCTCATTGATGATTGCCGCCGAAAACAGTGACGAACAACGCCGTGGTGCTGCCGATACTGAAGCAGTAGACAGTACCGCTGAAAGACTCGAACATGCTGCATTGTCCTCGGGTACTGATGAAGAACTTGAGGAAGATGAAGAAGACGAAAACGAAAGAAGCGAACCAGTAGAGTATCCTGGTACTGTTGTTCCAGATCCGGATGTCCAGGAGATCGAAGCCGACAGCGATTTGGCTCGAGAATACAATTCTGACTCTGAATACATTGATTTAATTCATCTAAAGATCCAGTCTTTGGATGACTTGGATCTTGCTCGCTTTACTAAGCTTCAGTCACTCTGCTTACGACAAAACCTCGTAACGTCAATGACCGGCGTTAAAGATTTACCGGACACCATGGAGGATTTGGACTTCTACGACAACCGCATCAATCACATTTCCAGCAATATAAGTAAACTTGTCAATTTGAAGAGCCTAGATCTCTCGTTCAATAAAATCAAGAACATCAAAAATATCGAGGCACTTACGCAATTGGAGAACTTGTACTTTGTTCAAAACAAAATTCGAGAAATCAAAAACTTGGACACTCTCAAAAGTTTGAAGAACCTTGAATTGGGTGGAAATAAGATAGAAGAGATTAATGAGGGCTTGCATCAACTTCAATCTCTTACCCAGCTCTGGCTAGGAAAGAACCGCATACATAAGCTTCAAAATCTTTCGAGCCTCACTAATTTGAGAGTACTATCTATTCAATCAAACCGGATCACAAAGATCGAGGGGTTGGAAATGTTGGTGAATTTGGAAGAACTCTACTTGTCGCACAATGGTATCGCAAAAATTGAGAACTTGGACAACAATAAGAATCTTCAAGTTCTTGACATGACATCAAACAAACTCACCAGTCTCGACAATTTGAGTCATCTCACAAAGTTGACAGACTTCTGGTGTTCATACAACCAAATCTCAGATTTCGAACAAATCCGCAGAGAACTAGGAAAGCTTCCAGAGTTGGACACCGTCTATTTTGAAGGAAACCCTATCCAACGTGAAAATCCAACTGCTTATAGAAGAAAGATACGCCTCAATCTTGGCTCATCATTGACAAAGATTGACGCTACTTATGTCACAAGTTAAATTTCAGACTATAATGCGTGGAGTTGAAATCGGTTCAGATATAATTCGAGATTTCCTCGATTAGATTAAATACGATTAATGAAGTGATCTAACGAACTACACCCAAAGCACAGAGATGTATCTATTCTAGATTATTATCTTCGGTCTTGTAATTGTCAAGGACAATTCTGTAGATGAAGGAGGGAGCAAAGCCTCCTATGTTTGTGATGTAGATGTCGATATTCTCAGGAGGAATATAATCGTCCAATTGATTTGAGACCAATTCAACATTGTCAACAAGTTTGAAATCATCGTAGTTGAGCACCTGCCCCGAGTTCCCCACCTCTATCAAATCATTACGACTGAAGGGATATAATGGCGATAACTTGTATAATCCAGCCACAGCGAATACCGGGGTCTTGTGTTCCTTGGCACATTCCACGACATTGGGCCACACCTGAATTTGACATGCAACCACCGTTGGCAAATACCGACTTGGAACCCACAATCACCTTACCTACTCTAGACATGACTGCAAACGTAGTCGAGTCAGGAACAAGAATTGTGTCTATTTTGTTGTCAACCAATGCCTTGACGAACTTGTGAGCTTTCTTAATGTCATTGGGATAGTTTTCAGTTACGAGCACCGTGAACGTTCTCTTAGCTCTCGCCTTGATGAGAAATTCCAAGACTGTATCAGATGACGGCGTAGGGGTCAATAAAATTTCATTATCGTGAATCAAATCCCATGCCATGGTTTCGAGATTCTCGTTCACTGCCGAAATTTCATCTACTAAATCTCGAATACCATGTATAATGATAGACCTGAGATCACTGTTCTGTTTTTTGGATACTTGGGACACTGCCAGCTTTTTATTCAGATTCGTTGACAATAAACTGAACATGGAGCTCATCATTGGGGTGCTCTCAGAATTGTCAGTTTCAATTTCATCCCTGATCAATGCAAGCACACGTCTGATAATGTTACCAGTAATTATTTCCTTTGAACGTGCACCAATAATCACCTTACCAGTCTTTCGAATCAAATCTATCAAGTCATGGGGGTCGGACCAACGAGCAGCTGAGATCACTCGCATAAGTAGCTGTGCTACCGCCAAGGCTATTTCTCTGTCACCTTCTATTTGGTGTCTTTTAAGCTTGAGAACGAAAGGGTCCACTAACTTTTGTATTTCCGGCCCTATAGCAACATCGGGTGTTGACATTTTGGATAACGTATGGAGAAAATCAAGCTGTCAGACAAGAAGGCTCATCAGAAAATAGAGATGTGCTTATGTGCAGTACAACAGATTTCCATCACTTCGGAAGGTTTAAGTTGTAGTTCGTAGATGTTGGGTAAAGCTTAAATTATGATTGTAGGTGACTGTATCGTTCTCAAATTGAGCGGGATTCAATTGACCTCGGGGTTTTTTTTTGGGTGCAAAACATGTTGACTATTTCGCACTCGCGAGCGTTTTCAAATCTCTTCACAGGTAATGAATGTGTTCAATGAAGGGCTAGAGAAATGCTTATGGATGCTATACAAAGAAGCTGACTCTTTTGGTGCTTCAGCATCGTTAATACTGAGGTTGGCTGAAATGCTCAACTTTGACACTTTTCTTGATGAAGATGCATACACTCATATTGTGGGGGAGCCACTTGTTGATAATAACAAGGAACGCATGAAATTCAAGAGGCTTTCAATTGCGGGATCGTTGATACTTCTCGATATAGATATCCTTACGGACACGAAAATTCTTCGTATTTCGCTTTCTCTGGCAAACCACCAAGGCGATGCTAAGGTTGGAAATTATTATAAAATCATAAATTCTGGCGACACAAGCCGAATTGAAGTTAATTTTTCTCAAAACAACGAATCCTTCCTTGGCAAGAGTGCGAATCCCGAAAAGATACTTTTGTCGAGTTTTGCCGATGACAAGCTTGGGAAGTTTCCCAGAAACTTAGCCTATATGGCTGACTTGGACAAATCATCAGGAGCTGGACCCGACCTTTTCTTGTACATAGACAAGTTGGCATTGGTTTTGAAAGCCATTCATGAGTATGAAAAAGAAAGAGATGCAACATGGGAGCTGCAAAATGGTTATGTGGGAAGCGTGGGAAGAGTCGCATTGAATAATGAAACTGATCTTCTATTGGGAGTCTTCTTACATTTTTGGCAAGATTGGCGATACATAAACCATCATAAAGCACCAGAAAGTGCGACCCCTGCATTTGGAAAGAACTACTATGCTTTGTTGCGTGTCAAACCTTCTACAAGCCTGAACGAATATTTGAATGATTCTTTAAAATGGCCGTTGCCAGATGGAAGCAAGTTGGACCTTGAGTTTGCCAACAATGATACTAAGGTGGACGAAGATTCCTCTCCGTGGATCCTATGCCTTGAGTTTAATGAGTCGATCCATCTTCCGCTCCAAATAGTTGAACTTTTGGAGGCAGTTGTCGCAGATGAGGGTTCAACATCGAGCGCAGCTTTCACAGCATTGAATAATCATGACAGTTTCCACGGTAACATCAGCCTTGAAAATGGCACTTTCGTGGATACTCGTGTTGTTTCAGACCTTCCGTACCGTTTTATTCCTGCCAAAGTGGTAGAAATCAAGTCATTGAAGGTGATACCGAAATTGTTGTCACTCGCAAGAACATTTTTATTCGTTCAAAACCTTCTAGTGCTGTTCAACGAGGAATCATACTCTTGCATATCATCAGCAGCAACTGGGTTGCAAAATGGAGGATTAAATGACGATGCAAAACAAAAGCTTATCGATACATTACAGCTTCCTAATGATATCACGGATCAAGAACTCTTGGGACTAAATGCTGTGACCGACAATAGTAATTTTTCCCACCATATGCAACCTTCCGAAAACCTTGATTTGGAATCTGTCATGGCTGAAGATGCTGGAGAGAGTGCTTCAATCAAAAAAGGCTTGAGTGTGACTTTTGAGGAAATTGATCTTACAAGTCTTAGCCTCCAAATCACTATCACAGGTTCGATCGATGATGAAGGAAATACTTTGGAGAAACAATTCAGTGTACTGAATGGGAATGCCTTCTTGTCACAAAAGGGAGGTGATATGGAAATCGACGATGCCCCAATGGAAAAGTTCGTGAGAGCATTGAATGTTTCTGAGGATATCAAACGAAGTTTCAAATACTTATTAGAATGAATGATGGAGCCGTAAGTTTGTATATTATTTACAGTATTAGAGCTTGACACCGATGTGAATAGCGGCCACACCAAATGTCAAGTTTTCGTAACCCAGTTCAGGAACATAGAAACCAGCAGACTCGATCATGCCCTTGAACTCTTCTTGCTTTGGAAATCTCCTAATGCTCTCCACCAAATACTGGTATGAGTCTCTATCGTCGGCGATAAGTTGACCCATCATCGGAATCATGGAGAAGGAGTAGGCTTGGTACACTTGAGACAAGAGTGGGTTGTCAACATGAGAAAACTCCAAGCAAGCAAATATTCCACCAGGTCTCAATACACGGTAAGCGGTGTTAAGCCCTGCTTGAATGTTGGTGAAGTTTCTGATTCCAAATGCTATCGTGTATACGTCTTTGGAATTATCAGGGATTTCTTCCATAGTCTCACCATTTTGAACGAGGAATTTCACTCTGTCACTTCCATCGTTCCATTTTGACTTTTGGTACCGTAATTGTCCCTCAGCAAGCATATCTGGATTGATATCTGCAATAGTCATCGTAGACTGAGTATCATGATGAGCGTTTTTGGCATGATCCAATAAACCGAAAGCGATATCACCGGTTCCACCAGCCACATCGAGAAAATCAAGTGGTCTGCTAGCTCCGGGACGCATACCCGCATCAATTCTGTTGATAAAGTGGTTCTTCCATAATCTATGTATGCCAAACGACATGGCATCATTCATCACATCATACTTGGAGGCCACGGATGAGAACACACCCTTCACCATTTTTTCCTTTTCCTCTTTGTTCACAGTCTTGAAACCAAAATGAGTTGTATCGTCACTGTATCTTCTACGGAGAAGCCCTACCATCGACAAGACGGGACGGCGGACGGCCCGTGGCCCCATTGAGGTCTGTAGCAAAGACATTGAAGAGAAACTTGCGAGCACCAAAATCTCATGAGAATAGGGTCCGACGATTACATAAGATTTCATATTGAAAGTCCTAAATTAAAAGATCTAAGCTTGAACGACTCTGACGGTGTTGGAGTGACCAGAGCCTCTAGTCCATCCTTGAATAGTAACAATTGAGTCGCCCTTCTTGATAATACCCAAATCGATGGCTTCCGAAACAGCCCATCTCAATCTGTTCTCTACATCCTCTTGCCAGTTTTCAACCTTACCCTTAGTGTACACGAAGGGGTAGACACCTCTGTACAAGTGACAATACCTAGCAGCTCTCTCGTTTCTGGTAACCATCATAATTGGAACATTAGGCTTGTATTTGGACACGAGTCTTGAAGTCAAACCAGAAGTAGATAAGACGACAATGGCCTTGGCATCTTGCTCGTAGGCAGCGGAAACAGCAGCAATTGCACAAGTTTCGGTGGTAGGAGTAGGTTTCTTGGCCAAAGCTCTGATTTCATTGTGCAATGGCTGGTAAGCAATAGCCTTTTCAGCAATGATAGCAGTGTTGTGCATCATCGAGACGGCCTCAAATGGGTAGTTACCCTTGGCAGTTTCACCAGACAACATGACACAGTCAGCACCATCCAAGATAGCGTTACCGACGTCACTGACTTCGGCTCTGGTTGGTCTTGGGTTGTAGGTCATGGACTCCAACATTTGGGTAGCACAAATTACAGGCTTAGCAGCCAAGTTACATTTGGCAATCAACTGCTTTTGAACGACGAACACTTGAGGAGCTGGAATCTCAATACCCAAGTCACCTCTGGCCACCATGACACCGTCGGTCTCGGCAAGGATATCATCAAAGTTGTTCACACCTTGTTGGTTCTCGATCTTGGCAATGATCTGAATATCCTTTCCATCTTCACCAAGGACTTCACGAATGGCCTTGATATCGTCTCCGGAACGAATAAACGAAGCGAAGATCATGTGGACGCCGTTCTTGACACCGAATCTGATATCGTTCTTGTCCTTTTCAGAAAGAGCAGGAAGATCAACGTCGGTGCCAGGGAGGTTGACACCCTTGTGAGACGAGATGGAACCGGCATTGACAGATCTGACCTTCAAGGTCTTGGAGTCAACAACTTCAGCAACTTCAAACGAAAGCACACCATCATCTACATATATGATCTTTCCAGTCTCGATGACCTTAGTAATGTTCTTGTAGTCGACGTACATGATTTTGTCGTCACATTTCTTCGCGTACTCATCGTCAGTAGTGATAATCATTTCGTGGTTTGGAAGAATTGGGTAATCCTTCTCTCCCACGGTGGTACCAGTACGGATCTCAGGACCCTTGGTATCCAAGGCAATGGCCAATGGTCTACCAGGATACAACTCCTCCGACTTTCTGGCGTTGTCAATGACCGACTGGTGATACTCGTGCGATCCATGAGAGAAGTTCATTCTCACAATGTTAAGACCGGCTTTTCTCAACTTGACCATCACTTCGGCAGAGTTGGTCTTAGGACCAATGGTACCGATAATTGAGGAACGACGGAGCACTTTGTCTGGAGTCTCAGTGGTGTTGAGGCAGGTAAGCCAAGTTAAAGCAGCGTGGGACATATTACAACAGCAGAATGAAGGAAAATAAAATCAGTTGACAACTTTTAACCTCGCAGCCGGTCGTGTGTGTTCCGACGGAGTGCCCCGAGCCGGTGGAACGGGGCAGCGGGAACAAACAGGTGGTGTCATAGATAAACTTGACGACAGAAATCTCTATGTCGTGAACCATATACTACGCTTTTTTACTACTAAATAGTGCATAGGTGATGAGGATGTATATGATTCATTGAACCACGGCTACCGTCGGCTCTTCTCATAGCGCGCTCGGTGTCGGACTTTGATAAGGCGGTTATCGCATATCGAAAAATTTTTCAATTCCTTGATATGGCCCAATAATTGAATGCTTCATTACTTGACACCGTGTTTTGCCCCAATTGTTCTTTCAGCCACCAAATCAGCACAATTAGCCACGTTCCTTGTACGCACCCACCACACCGCAACTGGTGATTTTCAACACCCAGTCACCCATATGTTAAATCAGATTTCACCAATCGCTACTCACATTCATGGTGGTTCCCATTCTTGTCGGGATTGGGGTCACTGTGGCAGCCTTATTCACGAAATCTACCGTTTCTGCATACAGAAAGTACATCCTACTCACTCCCCAGATAATAGCATCGCTAAATAACATCAAGCTCACATCTCTGTCACTGCCTTCCACCTACAATGGCAAACCTCACCAGCATGAAGATATACATAAATTATTGCGCCAGCGGTACCCAAGGGCAGGATTCGATGACAAAATGACCGAGCGAGAAGCACTTTTGATTATGGGTATAGAGGGAGACGATATAATCAAATTTGATAGAGCAATGTTAAAAGAGCGATATCGTAAATTGATGGTAATGAACCACCCAGACAAGCATGGGAGCAAGTACTTGGCCCAGAAGATAAATCAAGCAAAGCAGGTTTTAGAGGATGGTTACATGTTTCGAAGATGATCGTTGATACATTTATTTTAATGGCCATTTGAGATGCCGTTTAGTTGACTAGACTCTTTGGCCTTTTCCTTACCTCCTTCAAAATTCTCCCGTACCCGAAGATAATGCTGCAATTCTTCAGCACTCACAGATGGTGATAAGTCCAGCTGCGACTTTATAAAATCTTCCATGGTAACAATGACATTTGTATCGTCTTTGGTTGCAACATTATCAAACCACCATCTGGTCGATACTTCTTCCTGACCAAGAGATTTCCGTTCACGATTAAGTACCTTGATCTTTTTGTCAGCTTCTCCTGCAATTCTTGTCATAGCATTCAACATAGCATCCGAGCAAAGCGCATAGAAATCTGCTCCGGTATAAGTAAAAGAATATTTAGCAGCAATGTCATACAAGTTGACATTATCAGCCAAATTGAACTTCCTGGTAAGTGCTTCCATGATCTTTGCCTGCTTGTCATCTGTATCGGAAATCCCCAAATATAACATTTTATCAAACCTCCCGGGCCGTAATAATGCTTCATCCAACAAATCAGGTCGATTTGTCGCTCCAACAACGAAAACTCCATCTCCTCCATTCTCTCCTCCACCGCTCATACCGTCTAACTCAGCCAATAATTGCGACACAATTCTGTCCATAACTCCTCCAGAATCTCCCTGGTTACCTCTTTTAGGTGCAACAGAATCCAATTCGTCGAAAAATATGACACATGGTTTAGCGTCTCTAGCTCTTTGAAATACTCGGCGAACATTAGCTTCTGACTCTCCAATATACATGTTTAAAAGCTCAGGACCTTTTACACTGAAAAAATTCAAAGAAAAGTTGGTGGCTATTGCTTTGGCCAACAATGTCTTACCGGTACCAGGAGGACCATAAAACAAAATACCACTTCTTTTCTTGACCCCATTGCTGAACAATTCTGGGTGCTTTAAAGGCATATCAATGGTATCTAAGATTTCATCTTTGACCAAGTCCAAGCCACCGATGTCTTCCCACTTGACATTGGGTATACGAGGGGCTCCTATAGAGTCACTGAACTCGTTCCTAGCCTCGTTGATGGCCTTATTGAAATCTTCAGGGATCCATTCAATGAACCCACCCGATGAAATAAGTACCAATTGGTCGACAGAAGTTTTCGTCGACTTAGCCAACTTGTTAATCCTCTTGATAGCAATTTGCTTAGCCTTCTTTACGATTGATATCAAGTCTCGTGGGGTCAAACCGGCAGATTGCAAAGCAAGAGTTTGAAACTTGACGTCTTTCCGCTTCCTAAAGTTTACCAGAGCGAAATCAAATGTGGTGGCAGAATTCTCAACTAGTTCGTACAGCTCATAAATTGTATGGTCTGCCTTCTCTAGTTCGTTTTGAATCAAAAACCTGAATATTTCCTGACGTTCGGCTTCTGTTGGCACTCCAAGGTCAATTTGGAATTTCACCATCAGTCGTACGCTGTCACTTAACTTTTCGACATCATTGCAGCTCATGACAATCACTAAATTGCGATGAGCATCAAAAAGTCTATCGAGAACTTGTATAACTTTTAGTGAAAGAGAGGTGTTCATACTTGCGCCCTGCTCGTTCTCATTGGTTTGAACACAAAGCATCTCGATATGTTTCAAGAAAAGGACGTGGAATGGTTCATCACGTTGATCATTGGCCAAGGTCTTTTCTATTTTGGCGGTTAACGTTCCAATAGTTTTCAACTCAGCCCCCGGGTTAATGAGGTCTAAGCAGTCTAGCTCGATCAAATTGAGCCCCAAGTCGATGGCCAAGCTGCGAACTAAAGTCGCTTTACCGAGTCCTCTCGTCATGGAATTGAGTAAGACTGTAGTCCTCAAATTGACCTTAGAATTAGATTCAATGCATGTCAGAAGTATCTTTTTGAGCTCAACTGCATATTTGAACACTGTATTATCATTGGATATGACAGAGTTGTAGCTGAATATGCGAGGCAAGTTCAAGTAGTTGTACCAGTAACTCGTTTCGTTTCCAGGAGGAGAAATGTACTCGATGCCAGACGATATTAATCGGGTTTTTGTTGGATCAATGATAAGCTGCTTATCAGCGCTTTGATCACCGTCCACTTCCACAATCTTAAACCAAGCAACAGCATCGGTGTCTCCCGTCGGTACGATTCCAGAATCTTCAGCACCATTATTTTCGTCTTCTTGCTTTGAGGTTTTCAATGTGTCGAACATAGTTTTAGCAAGAACTGTATCAATGAGCACAGGAACCAAGTCTCCCATTCTAACGCATTTTTGGTGTTCATTAAAGACAGATTTAAGTCCCCCGAAGAAATGAGTTTGGTATGTTTTATCCATAGTGATTGGAGATAGCACTCTAGAAATGGTAACCGATTGCGCAACAGGTATAACGTCTGACAATCTCTGATCCGCCGTGGCTGCCTGCAAAGGCTCAAAGTAGATTTTTTCGTCAATTTTAAGGCCGAGGTTTATAAAAAGAATTGGCGACAAGTAAATGAACGAGGTACTGAAGTTATTTGGCTCGATAAAGGAATGCACTTTGACAATCGTGGTGTGAGATGCATGGTGTAAATTAACGAGATCACCGTCAAAGACAGGAAACCCAAGTTTAGTCATGGCTTTAGCGGTAACATAAACATTCAATTCCGGATCGTCTTTCTTCCAGGTGGGAGTTTCCACCGGTGCAGGCAAAGGACGTGCTTGAAAGTGGTGGTTTGTAGACGGCTTGGACTCCAAATGCATTGAGTTTGTGAGATAACTTGAAAGGTCGATGATATCGGAATCCAGAGCAGTTTCATTCTCAGGTTCCTCAGTATCTACCTCAATTCTTTCAGCTGGTTCGGCCACCTCGTTAGAATGGTCCAGGCTCACAAGTACCACTTTCGTCTCAGCATCTATACGGCCATGAGAGACAGGTTCAGAAAGAATGATCTGGCCATTTATATCCCTTATTACATCCCCAGAATTCACCACGCCTGAGCTTCCTCGCAAAAACTCTGTGATAAGTTTGGAACGGAGGGTTATGGTTGAAATATTAGACAAGATTTTGTACACCGAAGAAGGAACTGAAACGAATACCGATGATAATGGTATAATCGATGAAGGCGGTACAGACATTACCACACACAGTGAGACTGTGATTTGCTGATCAAAACGTGACAATGTTGAATTATTGACAAAAATCACCGAATTGGATGTTGGAGCATCATGTTCAACAGCACTGACTCGATATAATTTGTACGTATCAAAGTAGTCAGGTGCACCCAAGAGTTTCACAGCCACGAATCGGTCTTCAATGTCGCCTTTGTAGCCTATTTGTTGACCATTTTCATGACTTCCGGTTGTCTGTTCACGCTCCGAATCTGGAAAAAGTCGAACAAATAGTTCCATGGAAACATGCAAAGCATCATATCGATTGAAGGTGGGGTCATTGATGAAGTGAACATTTGCAGTTGTTGAATACAGCTTCTGGTTGTGGTCTTCCATTGCAATCTGTGGAAGCGCAGAAGGCATCAACGAAATGTATCCAGAGTGAAGTGGAGGACCTCGGCTTTTGTGGGGAAGTGCTTTGTGCAGGATACAAAACACTAAGGCGATGGACAAGCATAAGATAGGAGAGAAAGGCGAGACAGATGTATGAAGAGTAAGAAAAGGTTGTGAAAGCAATTTTGGCCGTTTTTGCGAGACTCTGAAGGGATATGGATATCTTTCTTGAACACGGTTGCAACTTTGCAACCTTCATCAACGCTTACTAAAAAGGGATATGTAACTCCCCCGTACAAATGCTACCGATATTAGTTTCGCTTGTGACTTGGAAAAGTCCAGAATATAGGTCTTAAAGCATTACAGACCGACTTGAGGTGTTCTGAATTCATCTTCTCAAGTTTCGCAAAAGGTTACCCGGCCTCGATGAAAAATTTAAAACCTAGAATACAGAGCCTTTCTTCAGTATACATGTTTCATGTATTCTTAAATGATGAAAAACTATTTGTTTATACCATATAGAGGCCATTTAAGTGCGGTATCGTCTTGATACCGTGTTGGTCGATGATTGGTATTTTGTCATAGTTACACTGATTAGAATACTTGCATGTAAATGATTCTGTGTAGGCCGCTATGTGCTAGTCTTCAGCCCTTCTCTCGTCTATTACGTGTATCATACACCATCTGAGTTGCCTCTCCATTTGCTTTGTTTCTTTTTAACTCTTTTGTTTCTCGCGTACCTCAATTACAGTTTCCAGCTATTATATATGTATTGCTAGTTACTCGTACACCTCACCACTTATTCGTCATCCTCAACAACAGTGGTGTGCAAACCCTTGACGGAAGCAACATGGACTGGCTCAACGAGAGCGAACAACTTCTCCTTGGCATCCTCCTCGTCGTTTCTCTTTCTAGAGATTCTCAATCTCATTCTGTATGGAACACCTTGCACACCTCTCTTCCACAAAGCAACGTTCAATTTAGGGTCCAATCTGACATCAGTAGTTCTCATGTGCAAAGTAGCGAACTTCTTGATCTCCTTGACAGCCTTTGGGGCTCTCTTTTTGAAGTGAACTCCATGTAACTAAAGTTAGTATAAATTCATAATCTTCGTATTCCTCATCAGTACATATTATCCAATGGTACTATGCCATCTACTGTATCACTCTGGTCATATAATCAACTCTTTATAAGTCTTCAACGTGTCTGAATCTTGAATATAGTCGGTTTCAATGGAACAAAGTTCATTGGATATCCACCATAATGTTGATTAAGGAACTACAGTCTCAGTTTCAGATTATACATACTCTCTTGTGCAAGTTAATGGTGTATTCACGAGTAACGGTGTCCTGCAAAGCCATCTTGTCTAATGTATTTGTCGCTTGGTAAGGCCAATTTTTCAATTTTTTCTCACAGTTCGCGGACGTGTATATACCAGGACTTCCGCTGGTGTAAAATTGTTTGGTGCGACACGTGATAGAGAAGGGTTGAGCCCTCGCACCGTGCAGTTCATTCGAGTCCATACACTCGTGAATAATTCGAACTCCACATCTTCTCCACCTTTCTCTCTGCTAAGTTGATGCTGTTGTTCATCCCACCTTTAATTTCGTCCGCAACAAGTTTTGCATCTTTTAATTGAAATCTGTAACAATATTGTAGGTCCCATATGCCTAAAAGTGAGCATATAGTACGGCTAGTGATGGAACCATCTTGTATAAATCGTCCCAATTGTTCGAGTGAGACGTCATATTGATGGTCTTCAAGTGGTGGTTTACTGTTTTGAATTAGAGGTGCAACTTCAGACAATACCATCAGTAATGCTTCCTTAGTTGAGTCTAAAAGACCATCGTAATAAGTGCCATACACCTTCGTTATCTCATCAAGATAGGTAGAGCCTTTGGTAGTTGAAAGCTTTAGAAGACAGCCGGCTATTATCCATAATAGTGTGACATTGGAAGCATGCTTAGTATAATGATCGCCCTTCTTAGTAAGCTTCAATTCATGTAGTATTGAACCCAAAAGGTTTACAAGCGTCGAATATGCCTTGTTGACCACAAGAACAACAACCACGTCGAAACTTATTCTGGACAATCGCCACAAAAGCGTTTCTCGATCTGCCAGAGACGAGCGCAACCGCAACTGATAACTGAGCTTGTAGAATTCATTGACCAAATTCATGTTGGGGGTGGACTTGAGACGCAATATTAACACTAGGAGCTCATGGTCTATCAATCCATTATTATTCTTGGGAAGAGGATTCACTTTAGGTGTATTTGTTTCCGTAATGCTTTGATTTTCCAGGTCATAGAGAGCATTATTCAAGTTCACTGCTTCTCTCTTTGCCACAGGTAACATATTTCCAAACAAAAGAAGCGTCAAGCGAATTTTCCACAACTTGAGTTTATTCTCCAGCCCCACCAGTGGATCTTGGAGAAGATGGTATGTAAGATCAATCAACGAAGATAACGGTTTCTGGGCATCTATATCAGCATTTAGCTGGTCCAAAGTGAAGTTTACAATACTGGAAGGTGGTGCCCTGGCAAACAATGAAGAATTCAATAACGGCAACTCCATTGTGCCTTTAATAAACGTCCATTCATATACTGATTCTTTGGTTCCTCGCTATATCTGGTGTATATGCAGGCCATATTATATGGCTTAGAAGGTAAGGCTTAGACGATAAGTAGCAAGCACGAGGGTCTAGGCCGAGGCTTGGGTGGCTATTTGTTGAAAATCAGGTGGCACAGTTTAGTGTTTGGCCACTTTTTACTCAGTGATTTTGCAGATAGTGGTGAAAGATTGTAGATCCATACACCGGGTATTTTGTGGGGAATCAAGTGTTAAACATTTTGTGGGAATCAACCGTTACAACACCTTCGCTCGTTTCTTGGTCCAATGACCGAGAATCTGGTACCTCATCTGGAATTGGTTCAGCTAGCTAAAAGAAAACAACAGAAGCATGCTCATGAATCCAAGATACTTGTGGATCAGCTAAGGAAGACGCTTCAAGCTATAGTGCAAGCCAACTCCAACGAGATGGGAGTAAGTGCTCCGCCATTACTAGACAAAATAGCCACTATTCACGAGCTTGATAAAGAGATAGACAGACAGCTAAACAATGATATAGCCATGAGTTTTGAAGAGCTTATGAATGTAAAGTCACGGCTTCAACGGCTTATCGAACGAAGTAATAAAAAGTTACAGTATGACGATGACAAAACGATTGTGGATGAGATGCAGCGACGGGCGGAGTTGATAGATCAAGAGCTTAGAATATTCGAGCTTACTATGGAGCTAGTACGTAAATAAGGGAAATCGATGCAAATTAAAATGCTATGTATGACAAATTCTATGGTAGACCTTTAGCTGCTCGTTCCCATTTCTCTTCTGCTATCCATCCAGCATTAATGATCTTGGTAAGATCTTCCAAATTAACATATCTATCCTGTCTCAATACACGGCCCCGATCAACAAGGTTGGTGTATACTTTTGGAAGAGCTTCTCGTGGTAGATGCGATAACGATTGTTCCACAATATGATCTTCAATATCTTCTTCGCTCTTTGTTGGCGTCAACCAAATATTGCGCCTGTATTTCCAGAGCTTTTCACCCAAACAGTCACCAGACGACAAGGGTTCTTGCTTGTCTTGTTCCATCTGCTCTCGAAGCTTACAAACATCAAGCTCGTCATAATTGGTGCTTTCAACCGCAGTACTTCCAGCTTCTTGGTTATCGCTGCCGACCCGCTTCAGTATCAGCAATCCCACATCTTGACCAACTGGAGACTCAGACCCCATGGTCGTGGATGACCGTATCTCATCGTTGCCCTGTTGGTGATGCTCGTACATTTTTTCTAGACTCTTGTGCTTTCGATATTCCTGCAAAAATGCTTCTTCGGCCGAGGTGTACGCCTTACTCACCTTTGTCAAACGCTCAAACGCCCCTTCAGAGTCACTGGTTTCGAAAAGTTCGTCGAAACTTCCGTCGGGAGCAAACACAACTTCTGATAACGAACGTATTCGGGCCCAAAAATTACCCCACTCGCTAGTCGCTCGCTTAAGCAACGTGTTTACTTTGCTTCTTCTATTCTTTTTGGTTCTGGACTGATCTTTACTTCGTTGGGGTGAATGGGATATGTCTTGTTCTGGCATAGGAATCTATTGCTTAAACGAAAACACAAAACTAGTACAAAAATTCACCAGGTTTCAAGTCTTCGCAACTTGAATCGAAGAGGTTACACAAGCTGGGACATATATTGGCTGATCCCGCTCAACCCGAGTTTCTCAGAGTGAATATATTTAGTGTGAATAATGGCGTTGCGATGCGGTCCTGCCTCATACCCCACTAAGAAATATGCGAAGAAAATTATGTAAGGTGATTTCTGTGGCTCTGTTGCCCTTCGTTTAATACATTTACATAGACTAGGGTTCGGTGACTTCGGTTTCAGCAGTCTTTCTCTTGACCTTATTGTAATAGTCGTGATCAAAGGACCATTCCCGTTTCTTTAGTTCCCTTTTTTGTTCTCTATCGTAACTCATCTCGTTCCGCAATCGTTTCACAATATTTTGGTCCATGTAGCACGTCCCTGGTGCTCCCCATTCAACATTAAACAAGGCAATGGAGAGCCCGTTGTGGATATTGGGACCTGACCAGGTTCGTGAGTTGATATCGTTGGCGTAGAATCCGTGGTAGGCAGGTAAAGGGGGAAGAAGAAGTACGGTAACCGAAATATCACCTTTGAAATCTTCTGGTACTGGCTGTTGCATCGTCCAGCTGTCGTTCCACTCACTGAGATCGATGGTGTTATCGAAGAACCCTTGATGTGCCAATACATGTAGTATGTCGGAGTCATCAGTATATATACCTCCCACTCCACCCCACAATAACCTATCTTCAGCTACATTGCCCTCATCCAAGTTTTGCAAGAATGCTATAACATGAGTGTAGGGAATCTTGATCTCTAGGAGGCTGTTGATGTATTCTTGTGGAAGCTGAGGGATCATGGGAATGTATCTTACTCGGTCCGTGAAATACGACTGTTCTTGTTGTTGAGTAATGAAACGAGACCTGATTATTTCAAACTCCTCATAATGTTCCGGTCTCAAACCGGTCAATTGCGCAATCTGAAGCGTTTCCCACGTTGTAGTGGGGTTGTAAACAATTTTACCGAGGACTTTGCGTTGAGGGAACAATTCTTCAACAAGTTGCACAATTGAGCTTTTGTCAAGCGTGGGTTTGTGTGCCTTGAATGGGCTGTACAGGCTCTTTTTCTTGTTGACAGAAGTTTCAGAAGCGTGTACTTCTTCTCGTTTTGAAGGAGATGGCGCTTCATCTTTGCGTTCTGCCGTGGCCAAGGAAGACACTGTGTTGCCCAGATTTTGCTCTGGAGCAGTAGCCACTGAATGTTGTGAATGGTTCGGGCGATGATGGGTGTGGTGGTAATGATGATGGTGATGGTGATGGTGGTGTGTAGCGACACTTTCTGAGCGGTCGGTGTCGTTTCCCTTCTTTGTGTGATCATTAGCTCGTTCATTTTTGACGCTTACATCGTTTAAATTAGTGCCTAATGGTGGCATTGCGGGAAAAACTGCTTGAAACTTGGGCAGTTTGCTGTGCTTCTCTTCTGAGTTGCTCACGCGTGGAACCAGTTGAGATGTTGGTAGCTCATCGCTAAGCACAGTATCGGTACTTTTCATCGTATTTTCGCTTCCTGGAGCATTGCTTGATAAATTCGGTAAGGGTGGATGACTTTGGGCCGAACCAATGCCATGGTTGTCGTTGGCAGTCTCAGACATGTTGAAAGTGTAGCGTAAACGTTCAACACCCGTTTACATGTGGGACATTATGCAGGAATATATAAATGTATGGAAACGATAAAATGGCCATCCGGGTGCTACTTATAGCAACTGTAATGTACTATATGTTCGTTTGAGTCTATCGTGAAGACACCATATCCTAACTTTTTTCGGCAGATGGCACATGGCTGTTTTCCAGAATTTATCTTGTATGCTTTTCCCTCAGTGGTTGCAAGTTCATGCTGAATTTTAATCATTCCCACCTTGTTCAATTGAGACTGTAAGCTTGAATCTTGTGAAGTTTGTTTTAATCTTAGCAAGTGTGTCCTCAAAAAAGTTGAAAGACGGGCGAGTGGGAACAGAGATGGAAGTGACGCAAGAATGTGCAATGCTGACATCTTCGAACCATGAAGTTCAAGTAGACATTCGATCTTGTCCATATTCTCGCGATAGTCCATAAGGAGATCTTCGAGTAACTTGAAAAGAAGCCTTTTTCCTAGTTCTTCATTGTTGCCAGATTGAGGCTCCTCGGTTGAATGCATCTGATGAATATCTGCAGCATAATGCATAGCACTCTCAAAATCATTGAGCTGACCAAATAGAACGTCAACAGCCTTGTCATGCTCCCCAAGTAGTTTGTATATGAAGACTGTGAGTCTCAAGTACCGGTCATCCGTCGTTTTTATACGTTTGAGAATCGTCCATGGCTCATACAGGGAAGATTTCTGTAAGAACTTGTAAAGCTTGTCGTAAACCTCTTGATCAAAATCATTGTATAGCACATCCAAGTAAAGTAGGCATAATTTGGTTTGAAACTTCGCTATCATATGATTTTTGTTTTCTTTGCTGTCAAGTATATCGGTCTCGCTGAGGAGCCATTCGAGGTAGCGAATAGCAAGAAGGTCATTGTGAAACATGCCATTCCCTCCGGTAAGAAACTCAAGGACCTTAAAATTGTCATAACTCTCACATTCAAAGGTATCGTTCATGAAGATCAACCTTCCATTCTCCATCATGTCATCAGAGTTCTCCTTTAAAACCCAACAAGCAAATACAAAGATGAGATCTAGCTCCAGATTAGTGAGTTTCTGAAGGTACTGTATTGTCAATGAAGGACCATTCAAAAACTCGTCAAATTGATCTTCATGGTCGGTGATATCCTTGTGTGCCAAGTCGTGGAGCATCTCCAATGCCTCTCTATGTAAGTTTCTCGTAAAATAAAAGTCAAGAAGCTCCTTAATGAAAACAGGGTTTGCGTTATGTTCGTGTAACCCACTAATCAAACATTCATTGACGACCTTTGAGTTGCAAAAATTGTTCGGAAGACGTAGAAGTGGGCCCAAAAGCATCGGCTTCAAGTGGAAATAGCAAAGAAACAACGACGTATCAATGGCAACGGCTGCTTTTTGAAGTTCACTAGCGCTTTCTTCTCCAAATAAATCTTCGGGAACTAAGCTGACTCCTTTCCAGTCAATCTTAGCACTCGAATCGTTCAAAAATGTAAGCACTATACGTCTTTGATCTGTGAGGTAGATGATTAAATTGTTCACTGCCTTCGTGAACTTTTTCAACATGAGGGATTCCCTACTTCGAGTATCTCCTTGTGGTCCTTCCTGCTCAGTGCCTGACTCTCCTGTTTGAGAGCCAAACTCCTTGCTCTTTGAGAGCTCTTGCAAGGTTATCAGTTTCAAAGTGTTATCATCATCTTTCTCTGAGTCTCCACTATGGTCACCACCGTTGAGAAAGTTGGGGAACAAGCTAAGTATGTCCTTGTAGTTTAATACCCATTCCGACCCAATATCAACAAGTGACTCGTGGTATCGGTGGTACAGCTTAAAGACGATTTTCGCTCGCAAGCTGTATAATTGTCGTATGCGTAATAGAACCTCTTTTGAATACAGAGGTTGAGAAGTAGGACTTTGGAACTCGTAACCTGACTTTAAAAGCTGAATTGCTCTCATTATGCTTAGCAATCTCACATCACTCTTGGGGTCTGATTTGTGAACCAGTGAGGGAGAGTGCGCTATTATCTGGTACTGCTTCAATTGGCTATCTTGGTCAGTTATCGAAAAGCTTAAAATGTCGTTACCAGTGGCGAAGATCAAGGTGTCGTTAAAGCGAGTCGTTAGTATCGAATTTGAATTCGCTTGATGGTTATAGGTCTGAATCACTTCACCAGTATATATTTCCACTACCTCCATCTTTTTTGGATATACAAGTAGCGCATATGAGGGGGAAATGAAGGTTATTGATACGGGGATTGGCGCTGACTTCATTAATGAGGGACTGAAACTTTTGCCTTTGATGTCTAAAAGTGCCGTTTGTTGTTCCTTCATAAGCAAAAACTTCGAGTTCTTTATGGGAAGCACGAATGACTGAGGTCCTGAATTTGAGAGGCTAAAGTAGCTGAATGAAGAAGCCAGGGCAAAATTTTGAAGGTCTGCTTCGTTCACAGGAAGGGATGAAATCTGAAAGTTGGCATTGAGAATCTTATAGTCGTTCACAAGCTCCATGAGTATTTCATCTTGAGTAGCAACAATTCGCTTTATTCTCTCCTTGACAGTTATCTCTTTGTGAAGCTGTACCTGTATCTTGTTGTGGCCTTTTGAAGTTATGGTGAAAACGATTATTTTCTTCTTCACGGCTGCAAGCAAGTATAGCTGACCTTTAGGGGCCCGAAAAAGACAGGAATCGTAGCATGGCTTCACTTCACTTAGTTCCTGAATCAAGTTCAAATGTGAGTCAACTCTTTCAAATAATCGTATACTGTCCGTCTTTGATATGAGAACATAAAGTGGACCTGACGATTCGAGCTGAAAACACTCAATTTTTTCAATTGGACGATTATCTCCGGTAGTATTACGGAACGTGGTGTCGAGTATTAATGAATGTGTATCGGACTTTCTGGAAAATTGTTGCTTTACTTCATTGAAAGATTTAGAACCTCGGATAGTCTTAAAAACAGGGTTCGGTTCGGCTTCTCTTTCGTTGACTTTTAGCACCGATAGACTTCCATTTGCCAATCCTATGTATAAATTAGAGGCAAATTGTGCTCCTGATGTCACAACCAGGCCCTGTGGTAGATGGAGTTTATCATCTGGTATGAGAACATCTATATTCATAATACAGTTTCAAGATCCTTTTGACGCATTTACTATCGCAGGTTTGTATACACGCCAATGGCTGCGAACCGAATAAGGCCTAAAGGGAACCAGAAGAGAGATTTATGTACTCAATTCTTGCATTATAGAGAGGCTAAGTGGGTCGTACCTGACCTTTAAACTGTAGACAAAAAGCTGATAACCCCAGCGCAATACTTGACTTGTGAATCCAAGGTTACAGCCATTTGTTGGTTCTTCTCATTCCAGCGCTGAACGGTATCCTGAAGTGTCTTTTCCATTGGATGATTGACAATAACATCACCATGAATCCTCAAGAATATAGATACGATGGATTCAATCATATCAAAGTTGGTTTTGGATTCAAGACCTTGGATCATGGCCTCCATGAAACTTGTCATTTCTTCAAGCGGTGCGAAAGAATTCAACGAACGAACTTCAAGGTCGATGGTAGCAGGAGAACATTCCACCAAGTATTCAAGAAACTCACGGTAATCTTTCTGTTTACTGCCGGCTCGTAAAAGTTGGGTGAAGCGGGACTCGAAATTGTGCTTGCCATTTTCTTTAAGCTTGAGTAACCTACTATCTGCTTCGTCCTCGTCTCCTTCCTTGGGAGCTTGTTCTTCGCTGCCGAGCTCATTTTCACGAGCCTGATCTCCAACCTGACCAGCTGAAAGCGACAAGAAAAATGGAGCCTGTTTGGGCTTTTGTGCTGTTTCCTTTGGCTTGTTACGCTGCTTAATATTGTCCAAATGAAGTACCGTGCTATACTTGCCTCTGGAACCGAGATACAAAGTCGTCATGTTTTCAATCTGGTCTTTCGATTTATAAGAATCCATTGCAATTTCGGTTTCCTCGTCATCTTCAAATGCACCATCGAGAAGTGTGGACCCACCATGGCCAGATGCATTGGGTAGCAATGTGGTTGCAAATTCGTCCTCGGTTAGATGTCGTGCCGACACAGTCTTAAACTGTGCCTTATTTGTCCAGAGAGAAACCCCGTTACCGGAAACATGTGCGGTTGCAATGTAGTCTCCAATTGGAGAAAATTTGACGGCAGTTACCACACTTGGTAATCTTATACCATCGATACAACCACCGGTAGGAAGATCCCACGTTCGCATGGTTGCATCCAAGGCAGCCAGTACTATCCATCTGCCGTTGGGTGAAAAGTCAAGACTTGTAATTCTATTGGTGTGGCCATACAAGACTCTTATCACTTTTTGAGTTACGGTATCGATGATGACAATTGAAAGATCATCTAGGGCACAAGCAACCAAGTCTGACGACTTGTGATATGCCATGAATGTTATAGGTGCATCAAGCTGTAATTTTCCAAGGTACTTCAGGTTGGTGAAATCGTAGAAACCAACGATACCATCCAAACCACAACTGACCATATTTCTGTTCATGCCGTCGATTGCAAGTCCAGTAACTGCAGCATTACGATGCAAAACGTATCTCTTACGAAGAAGTCCCGACTGCAAGTTGTAGACGCCAATTCCACCTTGCGAAGACCCAACAAGTCCAAAGTTTCCACACTGTGAAATACACACCGACTTGACGATACCATTGTCAATGGTCTCCAAACTGTGTCTACCTACACGTTTGCTCCGAGAGTTCCAGGTTCGAGCAAAAGTCTCATCTTTATGACCTGTGATGACGTTCTCCCACTCACCTTCGCGAGCTTGGGACGAAGAGATGCAAACAATTTCCGGGAACTTTTCCTTCATTGAGGAGACCGGACCTGCAATTCGCTTGCCGTTTTCTCCTTTGGGGAGTCTTTGAGACAATTCTTGCGCCTGAGCATCTTTTCTTAATGAAAAGCTCCAGAAAGACCTGTCGCGAGATGCACTCAAGAGAAAATGTGATTTGTTCTCCTGAGGAAACTCAATGGCAATTGGGGGCGCCGAATGGCCACCTCGAGACCTTAAATGACGAGGAGGTGACACAATGGACGAAGAAGATGTGGAAAGTGAAGGATCAAACACATATTCCTTCAACTGGTTGTCAGCACCATTTGTGACAACTATGGGCTGTCCATTCAAGAATTTGACATTCGAAACTCCACCATACACTTGCTTGTGGGCACCGTGGAGAGTGTGTACACGGCTTTGTTTTTCCAAGTCATAGAAGTATAAATCACCATTGGTCAACCCAGCCACGAGATGGTGCGACCGATCGGTTCTGAATGAAATAGCAGCCACTTTGGAGTCACCAGCTTTGATCAACGGGCCAATGGTTTTAGCTTTCTTCAAGTGGAACAAATGAACGTTTCCTGTAGAAGTTCCTACGGCCATTATATCAAGCGCTGGAGCAGTTTCTATGCTGGATATGGGACCTTGAATTTGTTCACTCGATGTCTTGTACAATAGCTTGCCGGTACGAATGTTGAAAAGAAACAAGTGGTTGGTGGTAGCTACAACGATTTTGTTCAAATATGTTGGTGGATGAACCAATCCAACAATATCACCTTCAAAATCTGAGTTGATGGCCGTGAGCGTTGTGTGCAATTCAGTGGCATATTTCTCCAGTTGTCTCTTGTATACGAATACTTTGCCACAGGTGGAAGTAGCAACAAGGTACTCTCCAAAGCACAAGAGATGGCTGATGGAGACGTCGGAAGGACATTCAATTGTATGTTCGAGTCTCCCTCGTTTAAAAATGCCAATTCTCGAACCATATGCAGCGAAAACGTAGTGGAAATGCGTGGCAAGACAAGTTATCTTGGAGCTCGTCTGTGTCTGGGATACAAAGAGCAAATGAAGGGTGGCAGCGTCGTAAATTTGGAAAGAACGACCAACAGATGTGACAATATAGAAGGTTGATCCAAGCGTACCCAAAGAAAAAGGGGTGTCATTGGAAACGCAGCCCACAACTCTGAATGGGCTGAATATCCTCGAGGCTCGCTGGCGGCTTTCAGAGGGCACGTCTACCTTTCTCTTCTTATCTATGGTAGGCATGAAAATTGTAGTATTCGCATCGCATCTCATCACTGAAAAAATTGGGTTATCTGCAGGATGATACCAACCGCCAGAGAAGATGGGGTATTAAGATTGGTACTAGATACACAATTGTGTTCTATGTTCGTCCTATCAATCACTGTTTTTTCACTGATTGGCTTACCGTGTTTTTGCTTTTCGGGACTATTTGCTACTCTTATACTTGCCGATGAGCATCGCACCGGTTGCAGGAACCAAAATTCGATCTCACTTGGTAAAACTCGCCGATGACCACAGAAACTGAAAAACGTGCTTTGGAGGACGATACAGTTGAGTCGAAGAGAATCAAGTATGACAAGGGTATAGCGCCTATTAAACCGGAGTTTATAGTCGAAAACCCTTCAGTTCCAGCCGATGATCGTTACGTCAACGATGACGATGCCGAAGCAGGAGATCGTAACGGTGAGGAAAAAGGAAAGAAAAAGAAGCGGGGACAGAACAAAAAGAGAGATATGAGACAGCAACATGAGGAAGTGAGGCTTTGTTCTAGTTTATTGGATCCAAGCAACCCGGGAACTTGTCGTTTTGGACCAGAACATTGTAGAAGTACCCATGATGTGACCACCTACTTGGCAGCAAAAGCACCAGATATCGACGGTGTATGTCCAGTATTCAAGTCAATTGGATATTGTCCAGCTGGCTTGAAATGTAGATGGCTCAACTCTCATTATGAAGATGGGAAACTCAAGAGAGACCAAAGTCAAATAGATGCTTACGCTTCCAGTGGTCAAGGAGAAGTGAACAAGATTTCCACCGAAGCCAAACTTGCGCTACAGAAGAAAAAGTATTTGTTTGAGGTGTCAGACAACGTTATCAAGTACTTGGACCTGCAAGTTCAAAGCGATGAGAATATTGCTAAAAGGGAAGAAGCCAAGGAAAATAATGCTAGTTACGTTGAGGCGCCGTTCAAGATTGCCGAAAAGAAGAAGCTCGATTTGAGAGGGGCAAAGATTGTTTCTCCCTTGACTACAGTTGGAAACTTGCCATATCGTAGGCTCATGAAGACGCTAGGTGCGGATGTGACCTATTCAGAAATGGCTCTTTCGCTTCCATTGCTTCAAGCTACCAACTCCGAATGGGCACTTCCAAAAGCACACAGCAGTGAATACCCTGGTTTTGGCGTCCAAATTGCTACATCCAAGCATTGGGCTGCTGCCAAAGCTGCTGAAGTTATCTACAAGGAGACGACCCATGTGTCGGAACTCAATTTGAACTGTGGATGTCCAATTGACTTGCTTTACCGTCAAGGACAAGGCTCAGCATTGATGGAACAACCTGCTAGATTATTGCGTATTTTGAAGGGTATGAATGCTAGTTCTGGTGACATTCCTGTTACAGTGAAGATCAGAACCGGTACAAAAGACAATAAGAATACTGCTAAATCTTTGGTTGAAAGAGTGTTGGCGGAAAATGATGTCGCTGCCATTACATTGCATGGCAGGTCGAGGCAACAGCGGTATACCAAGGATGCCGACTGGGAATATATTAAAGAAGTTGGAGCGGTCGTTACTGAGTGGAACAATAAGAAGGAAGAAGATAAAGAATCGAGTGAAACGAACAGAACCAACTTTGTTGGAAATGGAGATGTTTTCACCCATGAAGACTGGTATAATGCTGTGAATACGGAAGGGGTAGATTCGGTTATGGTTGCAAGAGGAGCATTGATCAAACCGTGGATATTTGAAGAGGTAGAAGCTCAGCAATATCTTGATAAGTCTGCAACTGAAAGACTTGATATTCTCCGGAAGTTTGCCGATTTCTCTCTTGAGCATTGGGGATCAGACGAATATGGCGTTGGATTATCTAGACGTTTCATGTGTGAGTTTTTGAGTTTCACCCATCGGTATATTCCTGTGGGCATCTTGGAGAGATTACCACCAAAGATCAACCAAAGGCCACCACAATGGCGCGGACGTAACGAGCTCGAGACATTATTGGGATCTACAGACTACAAGGACTGGATCAAGATTACCGAGATGTTCTACGGTAAGACTGGAGACAATTTCACATTTATTCCCAAACATAAGAGTAATGCCTACGAAAGTGGATAAATACAGCATTCATATAAAGTAAATATTCATGCTTTTCTTTGCGCAACAGAACCAGTATCGTAGTCCTTGGACAATGAAGTAGCCTGGTCCTTCAAAATCTCCAAGTCTTCGTCCTTCTGTTTCAATTCTTTCTTGAGTTTTTCAAGTTCTGGCGAACTAGCTCCATTGGTTTTGGCACCGTCTAATTTGTCCTTGGTGTCAATTAACTCGGTCACCAAAGAGTAGGTTCTTGTCAAAATAAGAGTCAAGAACAACGTGAAGCCACAAAGATACATGTTTCTTTGGGCGTAAAACCGTCTAGCTTGGACGTCGGAACGATCATTAATTACTCCAGTAACAGAACCGGTGTGGCCACCAGGCGAGGTTGCGTGCAATTCAGTGGTAACCGTCCACACCTTGTTTACTGAATCGATAAACAACACCAAAACGAACCCAAGAATACATTTTATAGCAACTTGAAATTGTTCATTTCGGAACGGAGCTGACACCGTTGACAACACGCTCTTTCTTACCTTTCTAGGGTATGGTAAGGAGAGCACCGTGAAGAAGCTCATCTCAATTACGAGCAAGCCGAACACCAAGTTATAATATAAAGCCATTGTTGAACTATAAAATGCTTTCAATTATTTATGTGATCGTGTGTTCCTTAGCAATCATCTGACACGGCTGTGTGCAGGTATGATGCGTGGTTCCTACAGCAGCGGACTAACGATTGCTAAAAACCACGAGCGGAGAATGTTGCAGTTTCACATGTTCAATGACACTTTGATGGTGAAAACCACTAAAAACGGCAATGTGATGAATAAAATCAGGTACTGTGCTATGAGGCATACCGCCAAACAATCCATTTGTAGGTGGTCGTCCAGGTGAGGATCTGTGTAGAATGCAGTGAAATATACTAAAGCTGTAGCGCTGGGCAAGCCATATTCGAGTACACTGACGAATCTAATAAGTTTATCGTCGCCGTACCAGCCGCCTTTGTAGAACCCGGTGGTCAAACCCACTCCAATTATGGGAAGAATTATTAATCTTGCTGCAGTGACACTTACCGCTGTTTTCCAAAACCCTGGTGGCATTTTTTTCACCTCAAGACGATAAATAGTAGCACCAAGTAAAAGAAGTCCTAGAGGAACCGATGCAGCACCAATATAGCTGGCGATGTCGATGAAAAATGAAAGGGGTGGTTGATGGTCTGGGGCATCTTTCATGGAAAATGCAGATTTGACAAATAATGCTTTTAATGGAGGTGACATGGCAATCGCAATCGATACGATCAATGACACCGAGTTTGGGGCCAAGAAGTTGCGTAAGAACTGAATAACTTGTTTTCGTATAGTTTTCTTCTTCCCCTCGTCGTCTTCGACGGGTTCCGCAGCCACATCGGTAGTCACCGACACAGTTCGACGGAGCTCATTGCTTCGCAATCCCTCGTACTCTGAGTACTCGTTGATCACATCCGTCATGCCCTGAGACGGTAAGTGCCGCAACTCGGTGGCCCGTGACATCGACGAGATCAGGTCGAGCTTTGTCATGGCGGCACCTGAACTGCCTCTAGATCTGCGGCGTGGGGCTCTTGATCTACTGGAGCTAGACGACGCTTTGGAGTAGATATAAACTGGAGCCAGATTCTGGCTAGTTGTAGGTGGTTGAAGATCGTCATCGCCATCTTCTTCGGATTGAATTGAACTGAGGGAAGAAGAATTCAGAGACAGTTGATCTTCTTTGCTTTGGGTGGAAGCATGATCGGACGGTTCGTTCTCAAGAGCATTTTCACTGCGGTTACCTATAGGAGGAGAGGGAGTAGTTGGTACCTTCACCTCGTCATCTTCGTCCTTGGGACGTAATTCTTCCCTGAAATCCCAGCTTATGAGACGATAAAGACCAAAGCAAAATTGATACAACACTTGAGATGCTAAGAAAATGATAACGTAGGCGACTCCCTTGTCCACCTCGCTAGGGGTAAAGATAGTTCCTGTCTTTCCCATGGTTTGTAGATATGCAATAGGTAAATCAGAAATGTTGGGGAAGAGTCCCACAGATAGCAACCCTCCAAGCCATCTCTTTGGCAGCTTAGTTAAGAATCCAATTGATGCTGCTAATGATACACCTATTGCAAAGAGCAAGGTTCCTGAGAAGAAGATTATGCCCAAGTTTTTGATATCCGATGACTTTAGGTTGGTCACCACGTTATTGAAGATCAAACATGGCATAATAGCGGTGACGATTGCGTCACTGATATCACGACATGTACTGACAGAAAGAATATTTCTGCGGGCAAGGAAACATCCCAACCCTATGATAGCGTATATTTTGAATATGGGCTTCACTGCCGCATATAGGACCGTTCCAAAAGGAATAGACATGGCGAAAATTAATGTTGGCGAACCATTAACGTAAAAGGCTGAATTTTCGGGATCGCGGAGATGATTTTTGACGCATCGATATATGCAGGTGCCGGCATTCTATTAAGCGCCGGTGCTTATGGACTAGTACGGTATCAAATGGCGATGGGTGTAATTACGAAGCTTTGCACAGGTACGGAGTACGGCGGGTTATCTGAGAATTCATAATTTTTGAAAAATTTGACAATTTTGCAAATCACACTTCGCAGCCACTGGAACCTGCACTTTGAAGAGCAACGAACAGGGGAATTGATAAGACTGATCATACTTTGATAAACTATAGATGGTCTCTATGGACCCACAGTCGATTGCTTGCGATTGCTTACAAGTTGGAAATAATTAGTTTATTTAATATGGGTATCAATTGTTCGCCTGGCGGTACCTATTAGCCTCCGGCGTTAAGAAAGAATAGAACGGAATGAAAGTCATGAACGTAAAAAAATGCACCTAGGTTTCAATGGGGTCAATCCCACTGGACATGGCCACTATATGGACCCTCTCGTCAACATTGTGGATGATTTTCAGATTTGTGGATGGAGTTGCTATTTCGATCTCATCAAGGAGTGCAACTATATCGTCAATTTCACTGAGATCTAACCCGAACTCATCCAATTCTACCGGATCTTTTGTGGGCACATCGGAGAAAATCGAGTCATTGAAGGACCCAGGACTGTTGTTCCACGAATGGCTCGAAGACATGGCGTCCTCAAACGAGCCGTTTGTAGAAGGACTGCTATAAATGGGAGAAGCAGCGGCGGCCTTTTTGAGTCTAGCAGGCGACCTTTCAGGTATAACCGGGCTCGATAAAGCAGATGTTTCGGATTCAGTGGCATCCGAGTAGACTATATAGTCTTGGAGAACCGATTCCAACTCCATAATATTTCGTATCAATTTCAAAACTTTTGTCAAACAGCAATTTTTCGCAGCAATCCTATAATTAGAAGCCTTTATACACACTGCCTCTGTAAATCAAAATGAATATTGTTCCTAAGGAATGAACTTGTAGGAGTATAAATAGTACCAAAGGACTTAAAAAGGGCAGAATAGACCTTTAATATAGTAGACGCGTGGACACCAGCCATCACGTATACTTCCCCTGATACGCATCTTCCTGCACGTCATAATGCATATCGCTGGTTCTTTACTTAAATAGGAAATGTAAGTGGGCTCATGCAGCCCAACGGCATGGAACGTTTAAGCGTGGGAAGCCTGAAGAAATTAAGGGGTACAATTCAAAGAGGAGTGTCGTTCCTCTCTACCAGGCTCAGCAGAGCTTTTACTCGATGAGGAGATTATAGTAAATGAGTATTCGTACTTTATCTTGGCTGAGATCTACTGTCCCACGCACGCCTATTGTTTCAATTATGTAAGTCGCTTGCCCAAAATCTATTCTACACAATGTATCGTATTGTTGGATACTAGTTCATTCTTCTTTGACTTTCTTCTTTGGTGGTTCATCATCGTCGTCAGCTCCAGAATCGGACGCCGACGCTTCAGAATCGAATTCTTCGGCCACATCACTCTCACTTTGAGCATCGAAGTCTCCATCTTCACTCTCGGAATCTGCACTGCCCATGTCTACATCTTCATCGGCTTCATTGATGGCCTTGGCTATCATGGCCTTGGCAATTTTCTCCTCATTTTGAACCTTTAATCCCTTCAGCGTACAATAGTTTTCAATTGTCTCTTGTTCCTCCTTTTCTATATTAGCAAACACATGCGATCCACTTCCCTTGAGGGTAACTTCAAGATCGAAGGTACGTGATGTAACACCCCCAGTTCCAGTTCTTGACATTGAAACGGACAGAACCTCTGAAAATGGAATGTAGATCGTTGGTTTTGTGACAAAGAGGAAACACCGCTCAAGAGGGTACAAGTAACCCTCTGATGCTTTGAGCGAACATGATACACCTGGTTGAGCAAAGCGAGACTGGAACGAGCCGGGAACTATAACACGACGCTCACTCAATCCTTTGAAACAGTGTGACATCACCAAATAAGTCTGGGCATCGTATGATCTTTTGAGCCTTTCTTTATACTTTTCATAGTCTTCATCCGAGACGTTCAATTCGACTTCAATTTCCTCCTCCTTGGCAAACTGCATCACAAGGAATGGATATCTGGTTTGACCTTGCCTCAATGGAGGATCTATTTGTAACACCATCAACTGGTGAGTATCATCAGGTTTAGGAAGCGAGAAGATCCGCTCGATCTGTTTGTACTGGATCTTGTAGTCATATGTCTTTCCTCTCAAACGCAACGAGCCAGGGTACATGTCGATATCATAACGACCACGAGGTGTCAAGAAGAGCACGTCAGAGAAAGATACAATCGCTTCACCTGCCACTTGGCCAATATTGGCCCTGTCTTTAAGTTGTTCGTAGAACACTGATGCCTGGGTTTCTGTAGACACAGCTGTTTCGGCTTCGTCTTTTTCGTCCTTCTTTTCCTCGTTCTCGACCATGCCAGGAATGTAAAACCGCATTTCCACCAACTCGTCACCAGCCTTACCAGAATCCAAATTCATCTCAACCGCCACTTCATTTTTTCCGGTAAGATTCGCATTGCTGATATCGGCGTATGGAAGCTCAAACGCTGGCTTGTTGTTGACTTGGAACACCAATTCGTTTCTTGCAAAGTCGGATTTTCCCCAATTCCACCCACGTAAAGAGTGTTCACGGTGCTCTAAATTAAGCAGAAAATTGCGCTGCATCTCCTGTTTCAATTGAGCATAGTCTTCCACGGCAAATCCATCCAACAGGATGACTCCCTTGTTCTTAGTTTGCACTCTGAGCTCATAGCCTCGACATCCTCTCGACCAAATCGTCGAAAGCATCTCTTCAGTAGGCAAGAGAAATGGCTCTTTTGCTTCTCCAGACGCCTTCCATCCAAGACCCAGATCGGCGACACGCATCCGGCCACTCTGCTTGGACTGGTTAAGATAGATCTTTTCAAAGTCAATGTTAACCATGGTGGTGTACAACGCGTTCGCTTCTTGCGCTGCAAAAATGCGAAATGAGAGTGGGACTCGCTGACATAAGCAAACGGGCCGTTGGTCGCACATTCAGTGAGTCAGATGGAAAATACGAAGAACATTCATCATGAAAAAAGCCGGAGTTTTAGGAGCGACAGGTTCGGTGGGCCAAAGATTCATTTTACTTTTGGCTGACCATCCTGATTTCGAAATTGCAGCTTTGGGAGCTTCTTCAAGGTCTGCGGGCAAAAAATACCTGGAAGCGGTGTCATGGAAACAGACCGATTTGATGCCAGAAAATGCCAAATCGATAGTTGTGACCGAGTGTAAGGCAGAGAACTTTGCCCACTGTGACGTTGTTTTTTCTGGACTCGATTCGGACTACGCTGGTGCCATCGAGAAGGAGTTTGTTGAAGCTGGTTTGGCAGTGATCTCCAATGCCAAGAACTACAGACGGGAACCAGATGTTCCACTTATAGTGCCTATCGTCAACCCTGAGCATTTATCTGTGGTGGAGAACAAGGTCAAGAAGGCCAGAGAAGCAGGAGAGAAGAAAGCCGGTCTTCTTGTGTGTATCTCCAACTGTTCTACCGCTGGATTGGTAGCTCCATTAAAGCCCTTGGTGGAGAAATATGGTCCAATTGACTTGTTGACTGCTACCACATTGCAAGCAATTTCTGGTGCTGGATTCTCGCCCGGTGTATCTGGAATTGATGTGTTGGACAATATCGTGCCATACATCTCTGGAGAGGAGGACAAGATGGAGTGGGAAACCAAGAAGATTTTGGGAAACATTAATGACAAGGGAGACACATTTGTGCCTTTGTCTGCAGACAAAATGAAGGTCAGCGCCCAATGTAACAGAGTGGCTGTTTCTGATGGACACACCGAATGCATTTCTCTTCGTTTCGCACAGAGACCACCTCCAAGTGTCGAAGAAGTCAAGAAGACATTATCAGAATATGTGTGTGACGCCAGGAAATTGGGATGCTACTCAGCTCCCAAACAGACTATCCATGTCCTCGAGGAGCCAGATCGCCCACAACCAAGATTGGACAGGAACAGAGATGCTGGTTATGGTGTCACCGTAGGCCGTGTGAGAGAAGACCCTGTGCTCGACTTTAAAATGGTGGTGTTGTCACATAACACTGTCATTGGAGCTGCTGGAGCAGGTATCTTGATTGCTGAGATCTTGAAGGCCAAAAATGTTATCTAAATTATAGACATAATAAATCTTGTATTCAGTCTCAAATCTCATCTCATCGCTTTCATGCTCCAAGATGTTCTCGAGAAAGTCACTTCAGAGAACATCGACGACCATTTGTTTGACCTCTATACCACAAGAGCACCTTCTGAAGAACACCATCTAGGCTATGTGGATCGAAGTAGTGACAATATTACCGTTACTCTAGAGAAGACTGGCATCGACTTGATTATCAAACAGTCACTTTCAGCATTTAACTCGCTGAAACAACCATCCTCGACCGGCTACGTATGTTGGCAGACCTCAATTTACTTGGCAGATTGGCTTTTAGGCGACCCCAAGTGTCCATTGAAGTTTTTGCTAGACAAAAAACCTACTATTTTGGAGCTTGGAGCTGGGTCTTCAGGCATCTTGGCGTCGGTTCTAGGGCCATTATCTTCTACATATATTGCTACTGACCACCAAAAACACCTCTGTCGGCTTCTGAGGCTCAATACTGAGGAGAATGTTCAGGGTAAGGTTACATTTCTAGACGTAGACACACCAGCACTAGTACCAAATTTTGGAGGTTCAACACCAAGTATCCGGTTTATGGAGTACGACTGGGAAGGTAGAAACGCCTTGCTGGTGCTCAATCCAGTCTTAAATACATTTCCACACCTAATCTTGGCAAGCGATACCATCTATAACGAGTACCTAATCCCTTATTTTGTTCATTCAGTTGCTGAAATATTGGGACCATATACTGTTGCCGTAGTGGGTGTGCAATTGCGAGACGAGTCTATCATCGAGATGTTATTGGAGTGTTTTCTTGACTCTAATTTGTGTGTATATTCGGTGCCCACCTCGCTCTTGAGTGAAAAGCTCCAACGTGGATTTGCAATATACTGTATCACTCAATGAATTCATGATATTACGACTTAATAGATGCCATTATCCCAAAGAAATAACAAAGAAACAACCACCCCCAATTGACTTCTACGCAATGCAGAAATGTTCGGCTCTATCCTCTCTCACTTCTCACTTTATCGGTGCGCGCTGAAAATTTAGTGATTGCAACTACGACTATCATTTCAAGCACTGGTGGTGTATATGAAGGTGACATATTGAGCCCATATTCCAGTCGATGTCGGTTCCTGGACCTAATAGTGGCCCAGATAAGAGACTGAATGGCTCCGATCGGCGCCAGAAACGCAAACCTGGTGCCAGAGCTGGAACGACCAACAACAACCTACCCGCCAACAACACCACATTTAGCCAACACAAGCCTCAAACAAACACTAGTAGTGCCAATGGCGATACGAACCGAAGACCAGATCGAAGGCGAAATCGTGACGATAAACGAAATACGAATGGTGGTCAACATAAGCCAGTGAGAGGCACCGATGGGTTTTCCCCGTCAGAAATAGCAGAAACCGGGCCCATTGTCGCAGACCCGACCTCCCTTGGGTATAAGAAACAGACAAGGACCCCTCGACCGAAACCCAAATATCTACTTCCCCAGCAAAAAGTGCTTAGTGCACCACCATTTGTTCAAGACAAATGGGACGAAGACAACCAGCAAAAGATGCTCGAGATGGAGCTGAAGAGCAATGGACAAGATTACCAAGGACTATACGAAGAACTTCAGGCAATGCGTGAAGTAGAAAGAAAGCATATGGAACTTGCTGGACTCGTCGATGCAGAAAACACAAGAAAAGACTTGAACGATGCCATTTCTTTCCGAGGCACATGTCAAGATATGTGCCCAGTTTTCGAGAGAGTGAGACGTGCTCTCGAAAACAATGTTCAATCATTGGAACGTGATCCTGTCACCAATAAAATATCGCGGTCTCGAGCCGTGAAGGCATTTTCAAGACCTGCCGCTGGACAACCACCTCCACTTCCGTCCGAAGTCAGACCTCCTCAGGTTCTTAAGAGCACATTAGACTATTTGGTCGATGAAATTCTTCCCCAATTGCCTGCTGCCCATCCATTTATATGGGATAGAACCCGGTCGATCAGACAGGACTTCACATACCAGAACTATTTTGGCCCCGAAGCGATTGATTGTAACGAAAAAATTGTTCGTATACACCTTGTTTCGCTTCATATCATGGCTGGAAGCGACATGGAATATTCTCAACAACAGGAATTGGAACAATTCAACAAGGCTCTTCAGACCCTCATGGAAATATATCAAGATGTGAGGAACCAAGGAGGTAAAGCCCCCAACGAAGCCGAATTTCGTGCTTATTATCTATTGAGTCATATTCGTGACCCGGAACTCGACCGTGAGCTTCAAAGATTGCCCCAAGAATTGATGAAGGACTCTCAGATACAGTTGGCTTTGATGTTTCGAAATATAATTTCTCAGTCCAACATCGTTGAGAGAGGCTATAAAAATTCTGTGGGAGCCTTGAATCTATATAGAGAGTTTTTCCGGTTGGTTTACAACCCTCAGGTCCCATATTTGATGTCTTGCTTGCTTGAAACCCATTTCAACACCATACGGTTCTATGCCTTAAAGGCGATTTCAAGAGCTTTTCATTCGAAAGGTAAACCATGTTCGGTTAATCTGTTGTCCGAAATGCTCGGGTTTCACTCATTCGAAACCCTTGAAAAGTTTGTCCAGCACTTTGACATCGATGTCAAGGAAGTAGATGGAGAAAGGGTGTTGGATTTGTTTAATCGTGAAAAGTTGGAACTGACATACAAATTGAATTCTATTCATGATAAAGCAAAACAGCCACAAGCTTATTCACCACAGCTCAATAGCAAGTTATCAGGAGAGCTCAAAGACGTGATAAATCTGGGTAAGCCAAATGTCTCTTTGAACTTGAAGAACAGTGCCCAGCAGATAATCGTTAAGTCGACCATACCTCCACCGTCAGCTCAACCTATTCCTTCTTTAGCTGAGCCAGAGCCAAAGGCAGGTTCATTGGCAGACTTTTTGAGTAAGGGTGGGACCAATGTCGACCTTAACAAATCTGCATTTTCATTCGGCAGTAACACCAACACTGATACTAAGAGTGAAGTGAAAAAGTCATTTCAGTTTGGTACAAGTACAACTACAGAGAAGAAGGTGGTAGAGACTCCATTGTCCAACTCCAACAAAGCAGCCGAAAACAAGCCAGAAGTTGTTCCTCCAAAACCTACAGAGACCGTCTTTAAACCACTCCAGGAACTGAAACTCAACTTTGGTTTTGGTCTGGGCTCTTCTCAAACAAACTTGACCCCAACACTCCCGACACCATCAGAGAAAAAGCCCGAATCAACATCTGGAAATATAACCCAACGGGTGTCACCATCTAAACTCATTGAACACAAACTGTTTGCTGAAGCTTCCAGACAGATTACCGATGTGCTCATTCAAAAATGCATCGAAAGTGAATTACTTTCATCTTTGCCAGCATTCGTCAACCGCGAGCGTCACAATCGAGCACGAGAGCAAATAGTGTCTTCTTTATCCAAAGAACTTTTCGATGCTTTTCTATCGGAGGTCATATACCAAAGGATTCTTGCCAGTAAAGCGGACGAGTACTATCACAAAATATTGAAGAAAAAGATGCTGCGCAAGATTGTTAACAGGGTGCATCAGATATCTCAAGAGTTTCAGAGAAAGCGGAGTCGGTTACATGAACTCAACCAGTCAAACTTCCACAAACCCATCAGAAAAAGGACTTCTGCGAACTCTAGTTTGCAATCAATTTCCTCATCATTTGTCAAAAGACGTACTATGGAATCAGATCGTACCGTGGAAAACATTGGCGAGAGACGTGAGGTGATAAAAGAACTTTGGCAACCCATAAACTGGTCAGAATTTGCTAGACAGTGCTCCTCTAAATTGCGGCTGCATACGGGCCCGGTTTCGTTGAAATTTCTCATAGTAGTCAAAGACTGGATGTCACCATACTCTAAATGGCTCAATACCAAGTTGGAATTGAGCCTCAATAGAGAAAAGTTGGTCTACGAGAAGGAGGTGAAAGCGAAAAGGTTCAACTTGGAGGTGACAAGTCTACCTGGAAATGACTACTTGACAAAGACGTTTTTCCTGAATGCATCATTTATCTTGTTTGAATGTGGTTTGGTTACGTCGAACCAACTTGACCTGTACGGAATGGATATACTTCAAAAACTTGAGGCTGATGCAAGGACACTCACCAAGATTATTCAATTGGTCGACAAGCATGCTTACTACAAAACACAACTATTGATCTTGTTTTGGGATGCTGGAGAAAATGGAATTACTATCGATAAAGTTGAAACAATATTGCAACTTTCAAAATGGAAGCAGCTTACCAACATATCCAACATTGTCCTTTGTGACATGACAGCTACCGACGTTGATGTCAATGCTGCGTTGATACGTGGGTTTGACACTATGGCTCAATCTTTTGATGGCAGTCTCACTAGTAGAGGTATACGCAAGACAGCACAAGCAAACAATAATCGAAGTGTTAATTTAAGTGCCATCAATGATACATTTAAGGAGCAAGAACAGAGCCTTATACAAACGGCTCATGAAGCGAGAAAGTACGATTATTTGTCCAATCACCTTAAAAAAACCAATACCGAGCCGGTGTCCGCATCGGTCCACTCGAGCATTGCACAAGATCAAACCACATTTATGAATATGTCTCGCTTGACAGGGTTTGGTCAAGGCGTGATGGAGGAGAGTACACCTATAGCTACTCCAGGCAAAACATTCACCAAGCCCAATGGAAGGAGCTTGCAACAATTACGAGATTTAACAGCGTCAGTTCGCAACAAGTACAAACATTAAATTAGCATCTACGTTTCAATATCATGCATCATTATATTAATTTATCTATAAATATCCTAAACCGTTAACCCATATCATCATTGAACATTAATTTCTTACCGTGGATAACCACTTTTGGTAATTTGCAAGTAAGAGATGTTCATTCGGTGAACTTTGCCCTATGGGTTCATATGACTTGGGAACAAAACTGAGGTTTTCCAGTATCAGCAAGGGTTCGGGTTCATTGGTATAGGAATAGGCCGCGTTGCATGGGCTAGAAGGTCCGTGAGGATGCAGACAAAATAAGCATTCGTAAAGAAATGGTTCTTCTTGATAAGTTTCCATAGGCAGCTGTGGCATGGAATTCACTTCATCTTGCATTCGACATTCTTCACAACAGTAAAGCGAGTTTTCCACCACTGGGCGTCCATGAGCTTCACAATAATCTTGAAACATAGTGATCGGTTTGTTCGGAGATGTAAATTGAAATTTGCAGCAATAACCACCTCAAAGATTTATGATGGTATTCGCGATGTAAACAAGTATTTGCGACTATCTGGTGTTCAAATACTGATATAAACAACTGAAACGTTAAAGTTGTTTCTATGAGATAATTCTTCGATGTGAAAAACACGGCTGCAAGATCTGCTTATATACTTTTCCACCTGACTCATCGTGCGCACCTGTGTGCACGTGTAACCACCACAGTAACAGTGTGGAGTGTGGTGGCTCGATGCCCTGCAGAGACTTTTATTTTGGTTTTTCAGGGCAATTGTGGATCCTCACTCCACAGAACCCTCCACAAACATCGGAAAAACCTATTATTCGGCAAATTGTGGTGGAATTCAGGGTCTTGGAACTGTGGGGTTGTATTGCCGATACGGCAGTTCCGACACGGGGTTACACGTGATCCATGAGTCGTGACTCACGGCTGGCGCGCTGAGTCAATGTTTGTCAGCGCTGACACAGTAGGTGGTGAGTATTCACGCCGCGTGGAAATTGTTGGCCATGATTCACTCATTCTACATTTATGACCGCCATTGTGAATGCATTTATAGCCGTGATTATGTCGAAGGCACAATAAACAAGAATAATGATTCTGATACGTCCAAGTTGCTTTTCGGGATCTTGTATTCTTTGAAAAACATCGCATCGAAACTCGGTGATTCGGAGTCATTTTCCAACAGCATGAAATCGTTTGCCACCGGCGGAATGCGAGTACATATGATGGAGCTGGCTACCGGCTTGCGATTTATACTTGTTTCTGGCTTGGAAGTGGACAATCTTCAAGGGGTTTTACATGAACTTTACACAAGTCACTATCTAAAATGGGTAGTATATAATGGGTTGAGTCCAGTAGAGATGAAAAGTCAGAAGATTGGAGGCATGTTTATTAGTGAGACGGACAAGTATTTGCAAGCTGTTAGCTCTTCGATGTAGCTGGCTACTGAAAGCGACAGCAAGCTCTGATTAATTGAAGTTAGACTTTTCAACTCGTCCAATGAAGACACCGGCTCCCTGAGTCGGAAGCACGTCTCTGGATTCGGAAATGAAGGTTTTTGTCCAGCTGAACTTTTAGTCAATTCTAATCTTTGTCTCTGATTCACCTGCACTGAAATTATTTATAGCATATCGGCATTTATTCACAAACAAATTAATCAGGTATTCGATAGCATCTTCAACGACTCCAAACATCTCTTTAAGTTATAGGACCACACCTTTTTCGTCATTTAGTCTCTGCTTCTTCGTCTGTTTGTTAGACTGAAAATTTGTCCTGCACAAACACGAAACCTCCTCAATTTCAACATCGTCTGTTGATTGTTGCCAACACCATGGATCTCCTTAAAGACGCAGCCAAGAACCTCAACTTGTACGAGGTGAAGGCGTATGTTCGGAAAGCACAGAATGGTACGTGGTCAGACTTTTAGTCTACTTTAAGCAACTTTTGATAACTAACTCAGTCGCCTTGAACTTGACGGAAATGGAGGCAAAGGTCCGGGAAGCCACCAATAACGAACCATGGGGTGCACCATCGACTCTAATGGCCCAGATCGCCAGCGGCACCTATAACTATCGTGAAAGAGAAGAAATCATCTCGTTCATTTTTCGAAGATTTACCGAAAAAGCCGCCAATGAATGGCGTCAAATTTACAAGTCGCTCCAGTTGCTCGACTATTTGATCAAAAACGGGTCGGAGAGACTCATTGACGATGTGCGCTCGAACGTTTCGATCATACAAATGCTCAAACTGTTCCATTATATTGATTCCAAGGGCCGCGATCAAGGTATCAACGTTCGCAACAGGGCCAAGAATTTGGTGAACTTTATCAATGACGATGCCCAAGTCCGTGCCGAGCGTAAGAAGGCTCGTGCTAACGCCAAGAAGTTCGGCGGTGTTTCATCGGCGGCATTTGGTGGAGCTTCGTCTATTACCACCGGCCCCAGCTACGGTGCCGATGATGACTTTACCAACCGTGTGTACGGCGACGGTGGAGTGTACGGCGAACGGTACGAGGATTCCGCCGCCGGATTCACAAACGGAGATAACGACAACTTTGAAGAATACGAAGTTGGTACGTCGGCCGCTTCAAATGCCGCTAGCAAGCCCACCACCAGTCCTTCAAAGGTCAACGCTACGGCAAAACACCAACCCAAGGAGCCATCTCCCGACTTGTTGGGAGACCTTTTGGGCGGATCTACATCTACATCAGCAAATGCTGCACCCTCTGGTACGGCTGGAGGTAACGATGATGATGACGATGAGTTTGATGATTTCCAAGCTGCACCTTCGCAGCCAAAACTGAACATTTCAAACTTGGCCGATCTTTACAATACACACCCCCAACAGCCCATGGGTTTTGGAGGGTCACAAGCCAATTTCAACATGGGTGGTTCTGCAGCACAGCAACAGCCAAATTACAACGGCACGTCGTCGTCGTCGTCTGCGGCGCCCATTTCCGTCCCTAAAACGAACAATGATGCATTTTCCTCGTTGTTTTCCACTGCAAAATCTGCAAAGCCAAAGACATCGACAAACTCCGCCAAACCCACCCCACCTCCAAAACCATCGCAAGAAGATAGTTTTGGAGATTTTTCATCGAGCACCAGCAAGCCAAATCCAAACCAGACACTGTCCAACAATGGCGAGATAGACTTACTTAGCTTTTAAATTATGTATCTAAAGTATGTTTCTGTAGCAGTACTTTTTAGCCAGTAATGGCTCGCACCCGCACTACATATAGTCTCAATTTTCGTCGCAAACTCCAACTTTTCATCATGTTTAAAACCATTGGATCTACCGCTAGACATTTCTCTACCACCTCCAGAGTGTTGAGAACCAAAGTGTTCATCACCCCTTCCATTGGTGGCCAGCTTCAGTCTCCAATCAAATTCGAATTATATGACGATGTTGTTCCCAAAACTGCCGAGAACTTTAGAGCCTTGTGTACTGGCGAAAAGGGTTTCGGATACAATGGTTCTATTTTCCACAGAGTTATCCCAAGCTTCATGTTGCAAGGTGGAGATTTTGAGACCGGAAAAGGTTACGGAGGAAAATCAATTTACGGTAAAAAATTTGAAGATGAAAACTTCAACATCAGACACACCAAGCCTGGCTTGTTGAGTATGGCCAATGCCGGACCCAACACCAATGGATCGCAATTTTTCATCACCACTGTTCCATGTCCATGGTTGGATGGAAAGCATGTAGTTTTTGGTGAGGTTATTGAAGGTATGGACACCGTCAAGAAGATCGAAGGTGTTGGATCAAACGGTGGTCAAACCAGAGCTCCTGTCGTTATCGAGGACTGCGGTGAAGCCAAGGACTAAGGTTCTTGTGGACCACACTATACATAGTTACATTGGTCACTTTTACATAGTTTATGCATTGAGTGATGCTAGATCTAAATCTTCAAGTTGGGGTTCACCTCCGGTTTTGGAATCACATCTTTGGGCAATTTCTTCTTCAACTCGGCCAACTTGTCGTAATCTCCACCCAAGATTCTGGCCACCACCAAATCATCTCTGTCTCTGATTTCTCTTTGTGACTTACCCTCATCACTCAAGAATTGCTTAGCCTTTTCGGTGTCTCCATGGAAGTAGTCTTCCATTGCTCTCAAACGCAACTCCTTTTCGGCCCAGTCGGGTCCATCGAGCTCTCTTCTGCGCATCAGAGCCGTGTATTTAGAGTATGCCACATAGGCAAAGATGGGCAACACCAAGTAGAAGTAAGGGAATTCCCAACCCTCAGCCTTCTCTGTTTCTCTCACTATTTTCCACTTTAATTCTCCAGTGGTGTCGTCTTTGTATGGTATCTTGTCGATGATCTTTCCAGCATCTTTGGTGACAAATTGAAAGTTCTTTAAGTCCTGACTATTATCTTTGTACAAGTTCAATTGCTCTCTTGGGATTCCTGGGAGAATAAAGTTCCACTCAGAATGATTTCTCTGGTAGTATAAGTTCTGAAGTTCGGCAATAGTCTTGAATTCTTGGTCGCTGGGTACACGAGGAGTGCCGTCAGGGTTAGTGTAGATTTTGGTGACCGAAGACAAAGAGTCCAACTTTTGGCGTATATCTTGCTCCAACTGGTAATTGAACTTCGCAGGCTTAAACTTGAACAAAGCTCCCAAGGGGGACTTGAAGGTAAACCTCATGTTTGATGGTTGTAGGTAATCGTTCTTTTGAAATTATTTTTATTGGCGGACGTGTAAACCCAAACACCCTCACATAGGGCAAGTGGGTCGGAGATATGTTGTCTATGTATGCTAATTATGGCTGATAAGTAAGAAATGACTCCGAATCTACTCAGAGTAGTATTGGGGTGGGCCGTGAGTTGTGTTGGCCTGTATTGTGTTGGCTTGAAATTTTGATTTTCCTACTAATCTCTTTCTCACCCAAACTTTCCAAACCCCATAGTTGCCAGTATTTCGTCGTCTTCGGAAACGGATTTCTTTCTCTTCCTTTCACGACGCTTATCTCGCCTCTTTTTCACTTGTTTTTCTTCAAACTGTCGTCTTTTTTCTATTCTGTCTTCAAGAGTTTGTTGCGGCTCATCGGCTGCAAGTTGCTGTTGAACCAACTTTTCAATTGTAGCTCTTACTTCCTCCACAGTAGCACGCTTTACTCCGTCGATCTCGGGACGCTCCTCGTCACCTTCGAACTTTGTTTCAGCCTTTACTTTGTTCAAATGTTGAGGTGAATTGAGATGGTTAATCAACCCCAAATTATCACGATAACTCAAATCACAGATTGGACATAAGAAACCAAACTTTTTCTGTTTGCCGTAGTTAGCCAAGGGATTGACAATAGTAAACTTGTTAACTGCCCTGGTCAGTTGAAGGTATACATCTTGTCTATGATTTAAATATGATTCTGATTTATCTGTTTCTATTCGTGGTCCAGCTACCTCTTTTTTGTCGTTATTTTTCTTCCTACGCTTCGATTCTGCAGCATACGCTTCTATATCCCACTTTTTTCTTCCATACTGATCCACAGACACTTTTTCATTATCGTCTGCCATCCCAAGTAAATAATGAGCATCGCACCAACTTGCTGAAATTATATATACACGACACAAATGTCCAAAGATGTGCTTTCTATGTTAGGGAAAAGGGCTCAGCCAAAGCCCAAGGTATCAAAGCCAGCAAATGACCAACACCTATCAAAAAAAAGTCAAAACGTACTGTCAACAAGTTTTACTAGTAATAGTTTTCCCTTCCAATGGAAGGTGACAGGAACTCATCTCATAACAAATATACCGAAAACCAATTTTCTCGAAGAAAAACCATTGAAAATAGCTGCATTTGACTTAGATGGGACCATGATCACCACCAAATCTGGCATGAGTTTTGCTCGTGGCGCAGATGATTGGCAATGGTTTGTCTCTACCGTACCCCACAAATTGAAACTGCTCCACCAAGAAGACTACAATATTGCCATTTTCACCAACCAGGGTGCTGTGGTTGCAGGGAATGGTCCCAAAAGTAAATCTTACCACAACTTTTGCACAAAAGTCAACCTGATCCAGCAGCAATTGATAGCACTCGAAAGTCAAATGAAGATAATGGTATTTGCATCTCCTAAAAAACCAGCAAATGCAAAGCTGATATCCAGCTCAAACCTTCACGAAACCATGCGTAAACCTCAAATCGGAATGTGGGAGGCATTCGAAAAGTATGTCACATCGCAAGGTGCTACAATTGATAAAGACCACAGCTTTTTCGTCGGCGATGCTGCTGGCCGCAAAGCTGATTTCCTGGACAGCGACAAGCAATTCGCCAGTAATATTGGCATAAAGTTCTATGTACCGGAGGACTTTTGGACGTCCGTCTAATCTATATATCTTGGAGGACGATCTCCTTCAACTTATCGTCCATTTCATCGGAGCGAGCAACGATAGTTTTCACCTTGTCTACCGTTTCGAAGTATCCTACGACGTTTTCCATCTTGTGAGTTGCTTCTGGACCCTTTGCATTTTTGAGCTCGTTGAGCATATCATAATGCAACACAAGACACTTTTCCACATCAGCAATGTCATTTTCAAACTTGATCGCCTCATCAGTGGTCTGCGGATAGTTTTTGACTAAAAAGTTGGTGTCAAACGTTCCGCTTCTCGTGTTCAAAAACAATTGCACTTCTTCCTTAATCAACGCAGTTATGAGACCTTTTGGATATGGCTTGTTTGTGGCCTGCAAATCCTGAAGCAAGAACGAGTATCTCCTACTTTCGTCTTCGATCTCTTGCTTGACAAGTTCTTGAGGATCAATCACTTTTACTTGTCTTCCAGAAGCCTCCAAGCGCAGTTTGATCTTTTCAACCGATTCGTCTAGATGGACATAAGGAATGACATAGAAGCTATAATGCGAGCTTTTATCACCTTCTATCAACCTACTACGAATTTTCAAGCCAGTGCGTTCCTCATATGCCTTTAACTCCGCTTCACTGGCAAATGTCTTGTCCTGCCTTTTGACTTGAGTGGTAGCTGCCCACAAGACTCCAGTAGACAAGATTGAAACATAAAAAAGGTACCTGACTTTAGGTGCAGACTCTCCTGCCTGCTGGGCATACAGACGAGCGCTCTGGCGAAATTGCCTGGGAATGGCTCTGGCTAATCTGGTAGCTCGAAACATGAAGCGAATGGTCCGATCAATGCCGGAAGTAAGACGGGTGCACGGGTGTAAAGATTCAAGATGGAGGAACAGGAAAGATCACACAAAAAAGAGGATTTGGAAGCAAATAACAAAAACCTACTAATTCAGCGCAGAACAATAAACGCCAATAGAAACCATTGGAGTCAATTGGTCAATTTTCGAAATTTATAGTTACTGTCTTCTCAACCTCCACTTTTTCCTTTCTGCAGTACCTATATCGCGACAAAAATCTTTCACTTCGATTGCACAATCATGTCGTACGTCCATTTGGCACACTTGTGTAGCCATATAAAGAACTGTACAAACGTACGGGCGGCCACCACATCAATCCCCTTTAGTCGATTACACCTCCAAATAGCACTCGGCTTGTATAGAGAGGGGTTTATATCGTCGGTGCAAAAAGGTTCAACATCGGGCCCCGACCAATATCCCGTCGATGTCACTCCAGACAACATAGCAACAAGAAGATTGTGGCTTGGACTCAAATACCGCAACAACCAGTCGGTAATCCGCAACTTTTCGTTGATTCTGAAACCTAGTAGAAAGGTCAACTTGACAGCGACCGAAGTGAAGGCATTGGCATCTGGTCTCGCCGTACGGTTCATCAAGCCATTACAACCGGCCGAAAGCATATTCATCAAGACGGGGGACAAGCAGATTTTGGAGATCCAGGAGGCTGCCAAGAAGAATTTAAAAGGAACGGCTTTGTGTCGTATCAAATGATGTAAATAGTAATGCATACCTACAGTAACTAGGAACTACAATTGTCTAGGCTACAATGATATCTTTTGGCCATTGGTCCATGGCGTCATGTCCACCTGCCATCCTTTCCATGCTAATAATCGTTCTCTGAAATCATCTGTGGTGACTGCATTTATATCCTCTTTTGATGCCGAAGCAAACTTATTGGTGGTAATTACCGGTTTCGCAGGATAATACTTGGGGGTTTCGGGAAGTTTAGCAGTGCCTCCAGCGGCAAGTTTCTTTTCAAGCTCATTAATCTTATCTTTGAGATCCATTCGATCGAGTTTCAAGTCGGTGATCTCATCACGAAGTTTATTGATTGTTGCTTTTTGCTGCTCAATTGTAGCCTTTAATGATGGCACCTCAGAGCTGGGATCAGCAGATTCAGTATTCGTCTTATCATCACTCATGCTTATTGCTGCTTGTTTGTTATCGGCGTTTTGTACAGTGTCAGATACAGAGGGTAAATCAACTTTAGGCTCCAGACCTTGGGATTCTGTCTCTTTAGGAGCATCCAATGAAGCTGATTCCGAGTTTGCTTCCTTAACTGCCACGTCTTTGTCTTCTGTTTCTACAGCATCTGGTGTGGGAGAGTCAGCTTTGTCGTCATCCTTCTTCTTCTTTTTTCCTTTCTTTTTTTTTTTCTTCATCTCTTCAAACTTCTTACGCGCAGCCTCAAGTCTATCCTCCTTCGACAATTCGTCATCTTGCGTTTCGGTTTCACGTTCCTCTTCTTTATCAGACATAGTTGTGATGTCGGCGATTCTGAGATTGGCTTATGTACAAGACCAAAATCACCTGACTTGTAGCACGAGAACTTGGTGTGCATAATTAAGCGGATAAATCAATTACGAAGAAACAAAGACAGAAAATTTTTTGGTCTAAAATAATAATGCTGGTATGCATGGTGCTGCAGCTCATGCAAAATCTTTAGTCCAATTACAATGAACTGCAATATTTTCGAGAAATAATTAACAATAATGAAGATTTACCAGCGTATTCCAGCAAAGCATCGAGTCTAAAATTAAAGAAATCTTGATTGTAGCTTCAGTTTCGTCTCTCATGGTTCATTTCTCGTACTTGACGTAGATCCTGATGTAGATCCTGACGTATGTGTCAATTGTGCATCCGCACGGCGCAGGGCTACTATAGTCGTGATTTTTAAGTGACATGCACAAAATTATCCGTCTTAGTTGAGCGCATTTTCGGCTGCGAAATACTATTAAGCCTCAAAAAAGCCTCAACGTGTTCACCTACACCCCACCACTCAACGATATACCAAAGCCTCGCCGTTGGCAGATACCTGTCATTGAAAATATTTGATCACTTGCATGGAGTTTAGGCACTAACCACAGCGGTCAATGCACCTTACCCCCGGAAGTCATGGAGTTAACCGTGTCCAAGTCACGTGCGATATCGCTTATAGTGGGTTGTGCAGCACCGGAACTGGCTCATCTGTCATCCGCACCTTGGTGGTTAATGCGATAATAAAAAAAAAGCCTTTCTATTATTCGATATTTAAGAGGGGCTTATTTCTTGCATTTTACATAAATTGGCATAAACTGGAGCACTGTGAATAATTTCAAGATGAGCTTAGCCGATAAATCGATCGTAGAACAATTCTTGAGCAAAAGAGACACCTGTTCAACCGATAATGAATATGATGGTGAACATGATGGTGCCCGTATCTCAGCAATTTTTGTGATCATGGCAAGTTCTGCCTTTGGAGCATTTCTCCCTCTCTTGTCATCGAGATATTCTTTCATCAGACTTCCCCCATGGGTATTTTTCATTGCCAAATTTTTTGGATCTGGAGTCATTATCGCAACTGCATTCATTCATTTATTGGAACCAGCAGCGGACGCCTTGGGTAACGAATGTCTTGGTGGTACATTTGCCGAGTATCCATGGGCATTCGGCATCTGTTTAATGACATTGTTCGCGTTATTCTTTGCTGAACTTATGGTGTTCAGAATGGTCGATAAGAAAATCGAGGGACAAAATGAATCCAACGCCCACTCCCATTTCGGAGATGAGGCTCTTTATACCAAGAAAGATTCCGATGAAGAGGAGGAACACGAGCAAGACAATACATCCACCTCCAAGAAAGATAGCCAACAATACCCTAGTCACTTTCTGCATGCTAATGAGCATCAAGATCCTGAAAATATTGGCACTCTTGTAAATCGGGAAGACAAGGAACAGTATTATGGGCAATTGGTGGCAGTTTTCGTGTTGGAATTTGGTATTCTCTTCCACTCCATTTTCATTGGATTGGCATTGGCAGTTGCTGGCGATGAATTTGTCTCGTTGTACATTGTGTTGGTATTCCATCAAATGTTTGAAGGATTAGGTTTGGGAACAAGAATAGCCACTGCCACCTGGCCAAAGGACAAAAGATATACCCCATGGTTGATGTCTCTCGGCTACACACTCTGTACCCCAATTGCCATTGCTATTGGATTGGGTGTACGTCATTCATACCCTCCTGAGTCCAGAAGAGCATTGATCACCAATGGAGTTTTTGATTCTATTTCTGCTGGCATCTTGATCTATACTGGAGTCGTCGAGTTGATGGCACACGAGTTCTTGTACTCCAACGAATTCAAGGGAGATGCCGGATTCAAAAAGATGTTGCAAGCATACTTTGTGATGTGTTGGGGTGCGGGTTTGATGGCTTTATTGGGTAAGTGGGCTTAATAGACAATTAATAATAATAATAAGGTGTACCGTGCTACCACATTAAAGTAAAAACAAGTGCAGAAACAAGAAAGTGTAAAGAACTAGTAACACATTTATGGTACGTTCTTTTCCAGCGTCCATATACAGGTCTCGCGCTCGTCAATTTCTTACTGTTTCTTGACTCCTCGCTCCGCAATGACCGACGTAGCGCAGGCATCTACGCCCAACGATTTTATTGAAAGCTTGTCGATAGAGCAGATAGACCATGACCAGAAAATAGGGGTGCGCGCCATACGATTATTTCTTCAAAGTCGAACTTCTTATGACGTATTGCCTGTGAGTTACCGGTTAATCGTGTTGGATACGTCGTTGTTGGTGAAAAAATCATTGAATATTTTGCTTCAGAACAACGTGGTATCGGCTCCATTATGGAACAACAAGACTTCGAGGTTTGCAGGTCTTCTTACCTCGTCAGATTTTATCAATGTCATCCAATACTACTTTCAATATCCCGATAAATTCGATTTGGTTGACCAACTTACACTTGATGGGCTCCGTGACATCGAAAAGGCTATTGGCGTAGATCCCATTGAGAAGGCGTCTATCCATCCATTCAAATCGCTTTATGAAGCATGTGTCAAGATGCTCGAGTCAAAGGCAAGAAGAATCCCGCTTATCGACGAAGACGAAAAAACCCATCGAGAAATAGTGGTGTCCGTGTTGACCCAATACCGTATTTTGAAGTTTGTGGCTCTCAATTGTAAAGAAACAAAAATGCTACTTAAACCCATCAAGAACTTGCCTACATTGAATAAAGACATTGAGATATCTACATGCACCATGGCTACCCCGGTGATCGAGGTGATCCACCTTCTTGCCCACAAATCGGTGTCGTCCATCCCAATAGTCGATGAAACTGGAAAACTCATCAACGTGTACGAAGCCATCGATGTGCTTGCCTTGGTGAAAAATGGAGGTATGTACACAGATTTGGACCTCACGGTTGGTGATGCTCTCTTGAAACGTCCAGAAGACTTCGAAGGTGTTCACACCTGTACCGTCAATGATAGACTCAGCACCATAATGGATACCATCCGAAAATCAAGATTACACAGACTCTTTGTCGTTGACGATGAAGGTAAGTTAGTTTCGGTGGTTTCCCTCAGTGACATTCTCAGATATCTTCTTTTTGAGGAAGAGTAGATGAAGACTTCATACTTTTTTGCTTCGTAGTGTTCTTTGTAATGACGCAATGCGCCGTGTCTATGATTTCGCTTAGCCGCACTCTTTTCAGTAATGTAATCCGCATACAATTAGTCAGCTCTCCACTCTCAACTTTGAATATTATATAACCTTCACCTAGCAACTTGACATATATAAGGTGTCTCCCGTTTATTGACAGTCGGAACAAAAGCCCGTGTAAAGGGCCAACCGTAAATAATGGCTACTGAAAATGGTTTCTCCGCAGTAGATCATCGAGATTCCATACAATCGGCATCACTGAATACCATTGGAGATGAGAATTGGATATCGAAGCTTGAGACACCCCAAATTACGTTGAGAGCCACAGTGGTTGGACTTTTCATTGGTAGCATTGTCCTCATATCGAATTTTCAGTTTGGACTTCAAACTGGTTGGGTATCGATGATGTCGTTACCTTCGGCCTTGCTAGGTTATGTCTTATTTGCTGTGTCTCCATGGAAGCAAAGTTTCAGCGATGTTGAGAATGTGTACATACAAAGCATTGCTGTGGCCACCGGCACGGGGCCCTTGGCATATGGATTAATTGGTATCGTTCCAGCCATTGAAAAATTTCTTAGTGCCGCCGAGACTGGAATAGGCAAAACCATCAAGTTGTCAGTTTCCCAACTCATGGTATGGTCGTTGGGAATTGCTCTTTTTGGAGTGTTTTTCGCCATTCCTTTGAGGAAGCAGGTGGTAGTTAAGGAAAAACTACCATTTCCTTCTGGTAGCGCAACCGCAACACTCATTTCAGTTCTTCATAAAACCACATTGAGAAGCGACGAAGATCTGATTACAGAAGAAACAACCTCAAAAAGCGACCCTACATATGACAACAGCTCCCGATCTTTATTCTGGACTTTCGTTGCATCTTCAGCATTCACCATTGCTTCGTATTTTATTCCAATTTTGAACAATATTCCAATCTTTGGCCCCATTGCATCTCGTACTTATATGTGGAATTTCAAGCCTTCTCCAGCGTATATTGGCCAGGGAATTATCATGGGTCTTCCTACCGTCTCATACATGCTCTTTGGTGCCATTTTAGGATGGGCTATCTTGTCTCCTTTTGCTAAACATAAAGGCTGGGCTCCGGGTGACGTCGACGACTGGATTGAAGGTGGACAAGGCTGGATTTTGTGGATTAGTTTATCGGTGATGATTAGTGATTCTATCGTATCTTTTGCGGTTGTTACTGTCAAGTCTTTGAAAAGTGGGATCTCGTACATGAATACCATTGCCAGGCAGGACCTAGAAGAGCAGCAGTCTCTTCTTAGTAACGGAGGTTCCGTTAGATCTGAGCAAGACGTTGATAGCAAATTTCTCGTTAGCTCACGAACTGCTATTATTGGGGTGGTTTTTTCCTCCCTCTTGTGCATCTTATCTGTTCACCATGTCTTTGGCACAACGGTTCCCGTCTACTCTACAGTGGTCGCAATTATTCTAGCATTGTTCTTTTCCATTTTAGGTGTTAGGGCTCTTGGGGAAACTGATTTGAACCCCGTTAGTGGGATTGGTAAACTCTCTCAGTTGATCTTTGCATTTGTGGTTCCAAAGGGCCACCCAGCACGGATACTTATCAACCTTATAGCCGGTGGAATAGCAGAAGCTGGTGCTCAGCAAGCTGGAGATTTGATGCAAGATTTAAAAACGGGTCACCTTGTTGGAGCATCTCCAAGAGCCCAGTTTATTGCTCAAATTATTGGAACTTTGTATTCCGTGGTTTTGAGCAGTGTCATGTATGGCATTTACAACAAGGTTTATGAAATACCAAGTGACACTTATAGAATACCCACTGCTGTTGTATGGGTTGATTGTGCGAGATTAGTTACCGGTGAGGGATTACCTCCTATGGCATTTGAGTTTTCCATCTTTTTCGGAGTCGTTTTCGGATTTATCTCGTTGGTGAAAAATTTATATCCCAGAAAGCACAAGTGCCAAAAAGTTTTGGTTTACTTACCAAATGGTGTGGCAGTTGGTATTGGGATCTACAACTCACCTAACTTTACTTTGGCGAGATTTTTGGGAGGTGTTTTAGCTTACTGGTGGATCCAGAAGCATGGCAAACAAAACAAAATTGCAATGATTATATTTAGTAGTGGTTTGATCCTCGGGGAAGGACTATTCAGTGGTTTCACCATGCTATTCACTAGCTTGGGAGTCCCTCATTTTTAGCATTATGTACATATTTTACATATTTCTTTCCTTATCAGCGACGATTCTTTGGTTTATCAAGTAGATGGCAGTTTGTATCAGATTGATGGACCCCGTCAACGTCAACTTCCGAATACTAGTTAGCCCTCTACCTCTACCTAGCATGATAGTTTGGTGTTGGTCAGGCTCTATTTTGACATAGCTGCACCCACTTGACTCTCTTATCTGTTTTATATTGTTTCCTCCCTTTCCAATAACTGAACCAATGTTGGTATTAGCCACGAAAACATCTTCGCTAAACTTGTCGGTTCCAGTACCAGCAGGAACAGGTACACTGGTAATCACGTCTCCAATCATAGTATTCCCATGTTCATCTGTGTACAGTTGGGTAGGAACCGGTGTAGTGATTTGGTTGTGGGATGGAGCAGATGGCTGGAACTGTCTCTGGTAATTATGCTGAAAAGGTGCACCGCCTTGAATTGGATCGTTTCCAATAATCCCTGTGTTACCATAAGTATTATTAGGAATTAGGCCCATGGTATTGTTCATGAGTTGGTTATTACCTGGGGTGTAGTATACAATCTTGTGCTTTTTGAGGATATCCTTGTGTTCGATAATCACCTGAGAAATATAGTAGATTGCAATATGAATGGCATCTCCAACACCCAATACGGATAGAACACGATCAGTGGAATTAGGCAATGGCTGTTCAGCAGCTTTAAGTTTCGCAGCCGAATTCTCTTCGATCTCACGAAACTTACTACCACCTTTCCCAATTATATAGCCAACCATTGGGTGCGGTATGAGTACCTTGAGATTATACTGGCGGCTCATTATCGATGCTGGCTCGTCTTCTGGCTCCTCTAAGATAGCTCTTGTGATTAAACCAAAAGCCTTTGCAACGTTCTCTGCAGGTCCCTTGACCAGAATGATACGTTCTTGAACGTCCTTGATATTCTCACTCACCTGGATTCGGGCATTGGCCTTTTCACGAAGATGGTTTATCATATCTCCGCGTTTCCCAATCACAAAACTTGCCTCTTTGACTGGGCAATACATGCGAAATGAAACATAAGTAGGGTCCAGTTCACGTTCAGCTTGGTGATTAGCCATAGGTCTCGAAGTATAATCAAGGTGATTAGCGAAAGGTACTGGATCATAAGCTTGAGAGGTTCCATAGCTGGTGGTGGTGCCAATTGCTTGACTTACACCAGAATTAGTAATTGGATTGATAGCAGGAGTGGAGGTACCGTAAGCATTTATCAAAGAACCAAGTTGTCCTAGAGCCAGAGATCTACTGTATGGACTTTGGCGAGGTGGTGAAGCAGGGGGAGGTGAAGGCTGAGGATAGCTTATAGTCGACGGTGGAGCAGAGTGAGATGGCACTGATACACTGGGGCTAACATCTGTCAGCTTATCAGTGAGTTTTGAAGAATCTTCCTTAGGTGGCTCTACCTGGTAGTCATCATCACTTTCAGATGGGTTGAGAGGTTCTGGTTTATTCAGAGAAGGTTTGTTAGTTTCGTCTTCGGTTGAATCGGCACCCAAAACAGGACTAGGAGGCCCTTCAAGTTCCGGCAGCTTCAGTGAGGTATCATCGAGAGCTGCACGCTTGATGGGAGGCTCCTCTTCTTCTTGTTCGTCGATTTTACGTTTCAACGTGTTGTCAGACATAGTTTACAAATTGTTGACGACTCATCGAAAATTATTAGCCTTCTGGTGTTCGGGTGCGTATATACAGATGCAACTTGAAGGTTGCAAAAAAAGATGCTAAGTGTTATTAAGTTTCCATTGGCGCTGGCGTTCGGCTTCTCGTGCCTCCACGTAGTGCTTGTCTCTTTTGCTCTCGACACGACCAAGAAAGTCTTGCTTGTCCAAGTAACCGGCCTTGTTATGAAGTTTAAGGTCGTCTTTGATCTTCCGTTTATCGACAAAACTGGCCCAGTCAAGCCTGGATTTCTCCAACGTGGACAATTTCAGCTTTTTTCCCTGTGAGCTCAAGAACTTGTCGATCAACGATGGTCTCTTCAATTTAATACGCAACTCCGTGGGTTCGTTGGTTCCAGGGATTTGCCGTAAAATAGGAACAAATGCCCGAGGAATCTTATTACCAGAATCGTCGATTTGCGACAGGAAACTGGTGGAGTTCATATAGGCTTTTGCCTCTGCAGAGTTGGCGTCCACTAACTTTGATTCCGTCACAACCTTGCCAGCAAATGTATATGACGTTTGTATTTTGATTTTCTCAGTGTCGTCTCCATGCGATTCCTCTACCGATGGTTCATGCTTCGCTTTATCTTCCGCAGCAAGTTTTTCAGGATCCTCAACTGTACTTCGCCATTCCAAATTAACTTCGGCCTTGGCCCTTCCCAGCCTTAACTCTTCAAAGAGATTATCTACATCGAAGCTCACGCCTTCTTTGTGACGTTTAAGAGAAGTCTCCTGGTGTTTGTCCGCGCTATAGCCTTGATCACGCTGGCGTCGCGTTCTCACAGAAGATACAGTAGCCTGAATATTCGAGTAATCGGGGACTTTCTCAACATCCTCGTCGCCACTTTCGTCATCTTCGGCATCGTCTGCCTTTTTTGAAGGATCGTAATCATCGTCTTCTTCCTCGTCATATTCTTCCTCCACGTCCTCTTTTGGTTCCTCTTTAGAACCTTTAAGTTCTTGAGGCTCCTTTTTGTCCTTTTCAGGCTTTCTTGTGGCGTGCTTTTTACCCTGCTTCTTCTTAGTCGGAGCCATGAAGAGATACTCGCGAGCACCAATTTAGCCACATAATAACACACCCAGACACCAAGGAACTAAGACAGCACTTGAGTACCATTGCGTTCTCCTTTACCATACTTTTTGTTTGAAAACAATCTTGTGGTCACTTCACTTTTCCTCTTTCCAGAGTCATCTTTAAGGGCGTCAAGGAGTCCGAAAGACAATTGGCGGCTATAAACGGCAATTCTTTATGCAGTACAGCCGCTAGGTGCACGGCCCTTTTACACAGTGGGGTTTAAATTCGAGACTAATCACAATTCCCGCCACCAAATGTCTGACGTTTTCTTAGCCGATTCCGGTGCTCCAGTGGTTCTTTTATCCGCAAAGAAACACTTTGATGCTCTTCCAACTGATAAAGAAAAGAAATATGCCCATTTTCTTTCGAGGGCTGCACACCATGGAACTAGAGCCATTTTGAGGTCTGTCTCTCCCGAAAGTGAGGATATATACGACTTGATCTTGGCCATTCACAAAGCCCTCGACTCTCCATCTTCCAATGATAAGTACATTGAGCGCTGGGGAGCCAAGCTTAAAGACCAGCTGTTGGATACGACTGATGCTGTTACCAAGTACCTTGAATACGCATCCCAATTCTTGTCCAATGTAGGTAACTACAAGTCATTTGGAGACAAGAAGTTTGTTCCCAGAATCCCCGAGTCTCAATTGGATACTCTTATTGCTCAATTGAACGATGCAAAGGTCGGCTCGTTGTACGAGAAGATCAAACAGCCATTGTATGACAGTAACGAGAAGAAGGGCTTGTTAGGATGGCCAGCTCAGGGTCATATGTCGGGATACTATCCAGGATCTAACGAGGGTAAGGGCACCGAAAAAACCATTACAAAGGACGAAGTGGAGTTGGTGAATGCTGCCTTGGCAACGCATGGAATTATGCCTGAGAACACCAGAGTGGAAAAAGTTGACGATAAGAAATTCTTGGTTCACGTTGCCAGCGCTCTCGACGAAAATACTACGTCGTATTATCCCAAGGAACCTATCACTTATGAATCTGCAACAATCACCTTTTCTTTTGGTGACCATAAGAACGAGTTCAAGAAAATCGTCGAGGCTTTGGAAGAAGCATCAAAGTACGTGGCTAATGACACTCAAGCCAAGATGCTCTACTACTACATTGAATCGTTCAAGACTGGATCCATGAACGCCCACAAGGAATCTCAAGTTCAATGGGTGAAGGATTTAAAGCCATTGGTGGAAAGCAATATAGGATTCATCGAAACTTATCGTGACCCTTCGGGGGTCAGAGGTGAGTGGGAAGGTTTGATTGCAATGGTGAACCAGGACAGAACTGCCAAATTTTCTACTTTGGTTGAAAATGCCACTACTCTCATCAAACACCTTCCTTGGGACCCATTTTTCGAGAAAGATAAATTTACACCACCAGATTTTACTTCTTTGGAAGTTTTGACCTTTGCCGGATCAGGTGTACCAGCTGGTATCAATATTCCAAACTACGACGATGTGCGGTTGAACGTTGGTTTTAAGAATGTGTCGCTCGGTAATGTTTTGTCTGCCAATCCAAAGAAACCAAAGAAGGAAGAAGTCATTACATTCTTGAGTCCTGAACTTCAGCAAAAGTTCCGTAAGTGGAGGGATGAAGCGTTTGAAGTACAAGTCGGATTGCATGAACTCTTAGGACATGGTACTGGTAAGTTATTGCAGGAAACGGCACCCGGAAAGTTCAATTTTGACCGAAGCAACAAATTGGCCTCGTCATATTACGGCCCAAATGATACATGGGGCTCTTTGTTCGGCACTGTGGCAGGATCGTTTGAAGAGTGTCGTGCTGAACTTGTGGCTCTCTATCTTATTTTGAAAGAGCCATTCGAAGTTTTCGACATTTTTGGAATCAAGGACTCCAAAGATCAAGAAGATGTGATTCTTATCGCAACCGTACTTATGTGTCGTGCCGGTTTACTTGGTCTCGAATTCTGGGACCCTGCTACCAAGAAATGGGGACAGCCACACATGCAAGCCAGATTTGGTATCTTTAAGAGTTTGCACAAAGCGGGGATCTGCGATCTCAAGTACAAGGAGGAGAACTTTGATGATTTAGAAATCGTTTTTGACACTTCCAAATTATCCACGACGGCTGTTGACACCTTGGGTGAGTACTTGCGCAACTTGCATGTTTTCAAGTCTACTGGAAATGTTAAGGAAGGACAACGGTACTACAACGAACAGACAGAGGTGACGCCAGAGTACAGTAAGTTTAGAGATGTTGTCCTTGCCAAGAAGCTTCCAAGGAAACAATTGATTCAAGCCAACACCGTTCTCACTGAGTCAGGAAGCGTGGAGGTGAAAGAATACGAAGAATCCGAAGTGGGACTTATTCTTAGTTTCGTTGAAAGAGGCGTTTAGTTTGTATGATCAATAGATATGTCTCCTACACTTTGAAAGCTACTTTCTTCTTTCCCTATGACTCGCAATGAGCAACACCATTACACCCGATCTTTATCTGCGCTCGAGATTTACGTCAACCTTCCACACTCTACTTGTCGAGTGCATTAGTTTCATATGAGCCTTTTACTTTGTAGGGCAGGGTCCTACGGGACCGCAATACGATCCAGTCTGTCGTTCATATCTTTCCCTGGTGGAATCTCCAGGCGATGTTTCAGCCGTACTTCCACACCAATGGCGACTTCCATTTTTCCATCGGGAATGTCTGCTCCAATGGGCGTCATCCACAAGGAACTAACAGGAATGGCTCTTGGCTCCCTCAGGCACACAAGATTATTTTCGACGTCATTTATTGCGTTTGAGGCACATAATGAAAAACATAGTGAGTTGATAGAATCTCTCAAAAATTCAAATTCACTACTGAAGCACTTGGAACTAAATTCCATTCGGAAACGAGATATAAAAGAGGAAGAGAGGCAGAAACAAAGAAAACAAAAACAGAGTTTCAAACAAAACTTTCGTACCATAGGAAGAATATTGAAACTAGGTCGGCCTGACTTGAAGCTTTTCTTGCTCGCATTACTGTTCATTCTTTTCGCGGTACTCTACCCTACATCGCTAGTAAAGCTTGTAGGAGAAGCCATCGATGCCTTCAATAACAAAACGTTCGATGAAGATGGCGATCTTCTCATTTGGGGCTATAAATACTCTACAATCTTCACTGCCATGGTTCCCTTCATGGTAGTACTGGCTATATGTTTCTGGGCACGTATATGGGTCTTGAAAGTGTTGGGAGAGAGATTGGTAGCAAGGTTGAGACTTCGAGTAATGAAGCACTTATTGCGTCACGATGCTGCATTTTACGACCAAGAAAAGCACAAAGTGGGAGATTTGATTTCCAGACTTTCCAGCGATGCCTATGTGGTGTCGAGATCCATAACCAGCAATCTACCTGACGGTATGAAGAATATCTTGTTCGGTATCATCAGCTCTTACATGATGTATCAGATCAACCCCATTTTGTTTGGAGTAATGCTTTTGATATCTCCTCCTATTACCATAGGGTCTGTTTGGTATGGTGAAAAGATCCGTCAACTTTCAACTCGATTGCAAAATGCCACCGCGGGCTTGACGAAAGTTAGCGAAGAGACACTCAACGCAGTGAAACTTGTGCAAGCTTTCAGTAGCGAACCAAAGGAGCTTTCAAAGTACTCTGACCAAGTGCGTAATGTGATCAAGATTGCACGAAAAGAAGCTTTAGCACAATCCAATTACCTGGTATCCATCTACAGTTTATATCATACTGGATACTTGTCATGCATTGCTTTGGGTATGTACTTGATTTTGCAGGGCAAGATGTCAACTGGTGATGTCGTTGCCTTCACGATGTACCTGGAGTTTTTCAATATGGCCCTTTACAGTCTAACGACCACTTATATGGAGTTGATGAAAGGTGCTGGTGCTGGAGTCAAGCTTTTCAATTTAATTGATTACCATGACGATGTGAATCCAGTCAAGGGTACACGGGTACCTTCAAACCTTGCGAAAGATATCGAGTTTCGTGATGTTGTATTCAGTTATCCTACTAGACAACACAACAAAATCTTCCGGGGTTGTTCTTTTAATGTTCCAGCAGCATCGAGTACTTGCTTTGTAGCACCGTCTGGATGCGGGAAATCGACAATTGCACTCTTGCTTTTGCGTTCTTATAACATTGAAAGGGGACAGATATTGATTGGAGGTAAAGACATAAAAGATTTTCAAATTCGTGACTTGAGAAGGTCGGTTATTGCAATTGTTCAACAAGAACCGGTACTTTTATCGGGAAGTATTCTCGAAAATATCGTCTACGGGTTGACTCCTGCCCAGATAAATCAGCTCACCATGGACGATGTGATAGAAGTTGCAAAACAAGCCAATTGCCATGACTTTATCACTGCACTTCCAGATGGATACGATACGTTAATTGGCTCCAGAGGTGCTTCTCTCTCCGGAGGACAAAAGCAGCGAGTGGCCATCGCCAGAGCGTTGATCAAAAAGCCTGCTATTCTCATATTAGATGAGGCTACTTCTGCACTCGATTCAAAGCTGGAAAGTCTTATTAACAACACTCTCAAGAATTTGACTTCAGAAGGAAAAATGACAATTATTTCTATTGCTCATAGACTTTCTACCATTTCCAAATCCGAGAATGTCATAGTTCTCGGTAAGAAAGGTAAGGTGGTTGAACAAGGAAGGTTTGTGGAACTTTTCAGTGATCCCAACTCGGAGCTTTCGAAGCTTTTAGATGAGTCAAGTACACAAAAGAAGGAAGACGACGAAAGAAATGACGAGCAAGAGCGTCTAGACAAGGAAGCCAAAGAAATCGAAATGCGCCAACGTATACAACGGGGAGAGATCGAGTTGGTGAGATCTTTGATAGCTGACTTACCATATACTTCCAAGACAGAACTCGTGAAGCAGATGGGAACAAGAATTAGCGGAAGAAGAGGAATCTTACGAAAAAGAGGAGCTGACGTCTCAAGCGCCATAACTTGTATATATCAAAACATAGAGACAGCAAATATATTCAGACAGCAATACTGAACTGGGTCAATTGGCAGGTATTTTTCATAATCACTCTCAATTTCTGACGAACTCAAAATATTTCTTTTTACACCATCCTTCTCTAACTTTTTATTGAATACTATCTATTTTATCGATCTCCAATTCATAGAATCCCGTTTACTCGCCCAAAGGCTTTGGCTCAGTGGCAGCACCGTTCTCGAACTTCATAACTTTGACCTCAGTCTGTCCTCTTCTCTCAGCAGCAACCTTGAACTCTGGTTTCAAAGAGTTTCTGACAGCTCTGGCGGCAATAGCCATGGCCTTGTTCAATGAGATACCAGCTTGTTTGTAGGCGGACATAATTGGTAACACCTAGTTTTGTATGAAGTAAGTCGATCGGGTTTGCTCGCTCACATTGTAATTGGTGCTGAAATTTACGCACGGCCACTATGCGCGTACTGAAAAGTGCTCGCACGGTTGCAAATTGTGCACGGTAAGCGATGATAGCTACACTCTAGGCTTTATTTGTACTTCACTTTAATTCCGAGTTAAATAATATACGTTGTAGTATCGATAGTGGAGCCACAAACCATTTGGGATTCAAAGGTTGATTGAGTTCTCTCTACTTTCTTTTGGAATTGATCCAGTTTATAAAATCAAAGAACATGGAAGCTTGAATTTTGTTCTTTGGTTGAACTGCCCAATTCTTCATGGTTGTGCAATAGAAATCAATAACCATCTGAATGTTGGCTTCATCAAGGGTAGTTAGTGCCTTGGCAATCAAAAGTCCTGCTTGGTTACAAGCAAGAGTTTGTGTCTGGGTTTTGCTCTTTGTTGCAATGCCATGAACCTTACTCAAGGTTTCAATCAAGTAGGTCTCAACCTGTTTTGGGTCTGTGCTGATGGCATCGAAATTGGTGATCTTGCACTTGTTAAACTTACTCTTCATCAATTTGTGAGCCTTAGCGCTTATTGCTTTGTCCATGGTCAATCCTATCAATATCACGAGTGGTTCTATCATGGTGAGAACCAATGCTGAGTCAGGCTGCTTACGAACAAATAATTCGAGCAAATCTAACGCCCGGTTTTTGAAAAACGTCATTTGCTCTTTCGCTTCGACGACTTCAGCTTTCCGCTTATTCCCAGTCACCACGTTGTCAAGGGCATCCTTACGCTCCTTGAAAATTTTGGATAATTGGTCGTCCATCTCCATCATTTGCTCGTCATCCATCGAATCAGATTCTCCATCAGAGCCATCAGAATCGTCAGAAAGATCAGAAAATTTAACCTCTCCGCTCGTCTCCGTCAGAATACCGAGGGCAGCAGCAAGTTTCTTGTTGGTGGTCTTGTCACACCTCGGTTATCTCTGTGTTATCTTCTTGTTCATCGACTATGCAGAGTCTGACTCTGCATCGTTCTCTTCCTCACTGTCTTCCTCATCATCACCAGCTGTCCCTTCTTCTTCATTCTCGTACTCTTCTTCTCCTTCAAACAATTGTTGTTGCCCTTCCTTGTTTTACTTAGCTGTAAGGATATCATACAAGAGCTTCATACTTGAGGAGTCTGCTAGTATTTTACCATTTTCATCAGGAGTACAGAGGAACGTATCCCAGATCATCATTGAGAGCTTTTTAAGTAAGGAAGACCTTCTGGAAACGAATGAAAGTACAATTTCAGTCAATATTATGGCTGAAGACGAGTCTCCGCTGGAGCTTTGCATCTTTTCATAGCACACAATCAAATCCTCGAATGTGGAAACTGCCTCTGTATCGCCCATGTACAATTGAATGTAAACCATGGAGAACATGAGCTCGAGACATGAGTTTTGTGCACTCTTTTCAAGTTGATTAACTTCCTTGATCTTCTCATAGCACGAATCAGCGACCGTTGCAAGTTCACCTTCAAGTTCGGATAAGATTTGGTAGTTGTTGGATCCTTGAAGTTTGCGTATGTATTCCACACATAAGAGAGGCCAACTACCTTTTTTGCGAGGAACACTGATCAACTCAGCAAGGATGGAGTTTACTCTTTCTTGGCATGTTTTATGAACGGCATCGCTAGTGGTTGTCTTTCCTTCTTTTTCGAAAAAAGCATTCTTCACAAGTTGTTTGAGAATGTCTTCTGCAAATTGTTGGTGAGAAGCAATTGTTTGTTTTGTACTTCTTATGAGAAGCAAGTATTTATCCAAGACCCACTTTTGCTTGCTTTCGGAACGCTTAAGCAACTCGGGTTCTTGAGTTTGCACGGCGTCTTCAAATTGGGCATTCAATATAATTCTTACCTCCGATGCAAAATGACTTACTGCCTGAGCATCGCTGTTTGTTGAAATTGAGGTGATTATCGAGTCAACGGTTTTAGTTTTGGTAACCAAGTCAAAGTTCCAACAACCTCCCATTGACTCGTTTAAAAGCGAAGATAAAATCGAAGGAGCTTTGAACAAATCTTTTGACACATCAGTAATATGGTCAAGCAGACGGCTCGCCATTTTATGCAATAATCTGTTGGAGTGAGCCGACTGATTTATCAAGCATCGCATGAAGTTGGGTGAGAATAAGGTGGGTAACTGCTCGGCATTGACACCAGCCACAAATTTACAGAAGATTTCGAAGCCCCAGTACTTTCTTTCAGGCGAAGACTTATCAGAGAAAAAGGCTTCATCAACGACAACTGTCCAAAATTCATTCAAGGTAATGCGGTTCGTCAGAGTGCTCGTGTGTTCATCGACTTTGCGCTTCTTAGAAGACTTGGAAGAGGTTCTCGATCGCTTTTTATCATTGCCAAGAGTTTCGGTTTCCAAAGTCAGCTCTATGAGGTTGTGTAAAACCAAATCCCACACGAAAGGTAACCGCTGGGTCCAACTGCTCTTCTGCTGGACTTTTTGCTGGCCCTTATTCTCGTCACTATTGTCAGTAGAGGGGTCTCCCACTTCTTTTAAGGTCCTTGCTAACACAGGTAAGTTTCCCTTGGTCAATGGATCGCCGTTTTTCCAAGTCGAAGAATTGGTAATTTCTTGAGAAACTGAGCGAAGGTCTGTGGGAATGGATAAGTAGACTGCAATACCCTCAGAAGTAAGAGTAAGCCCCAAATCCGTCAATTGGCGGAAGATATAGCGTACTACTTGGGCTCCTAGCTGGTGAGACACCAGCAACTGTTTGATAAATGAACAGAGGGTAAATATAGCAGTCTCACGTAACCATGGTTTTTTAGTCGCCAATTCCATTAAAAGAGTAACAAATGTTTGCTGTTCTTCAACGACAGCATTCTCATCGGTAATAGAGCCCGAGTTGAGAAGGGCCTGAAGACCAAAAAGTCTTCCGAAAAGAATTGCACGTTCTTCTTTACCCTTCATCGAAGACTTTACTTGAGTTGCATCGACGATTCTGTCGTAGAAACTTGAAGTAGTTATAATTGTCGATTTTGATTGAATAAGCTCCCTCAAGAGCTCAGCTAGCGCCATTGAAAAGCCAAAACGTGCGTTTTGTCTGGTTGTGGATAAACCTTTTATAAGACGGTCCAATGCATACTTCCATTCACCTTCATCATTGGCTTTTGTGAGTTCCGATATCAAGCCAGAGGCAGCACTTATACGTTCTTGCGGTACCTCTGAGGCTAAGCGATAGTAGTGATCCCTCAGGACGGTCGACTCCGCGGGCATTAATTTAGTTTAATTTGGGTTTGGTCAAAGTTCAAATTTCCAGCCGCGATGATCTTCGGCGTCGCCGCACGATGTACCATAAGTTGAATTAGAGTCTATATAAGTAATAAATTGGAACAACCACAGCGTACTAGGTAGATACAGAAGTATACTTATACCAGCAGCTCATAGTTCCATAGTGTAAGTGAGTAAAAAAAAGGTCATTAGTCATGTTGAATGACAATCAGTCTGTTGAACAACTGATTGCTTAAGCGTAGGTTTGCTTGGGAAATGGGAACGAAGGACCAATCTCCTGGATGGACAAAGCAGCAGCCCATTGTCCCACGTCGATAGACTTGTCCAAGTCTTTTCCTTGAACCAATCCAGCCATGAAACCAGCGGCAAAAGCGTCTCCAGCACCGTTGGTATCCTTGACTTTCTCAGCAGCCAATTCTCTGACAGGGTAGCTCTTGACGGAGTTTTCACCGGTGGTGTGATCGTGGGTAACAACAATAGTTGGCTCCAAACCGTGAGTGAAAATGACGGTTCTAGGTCTCTTGGTGTTAGCCTTGGGCAATTGAGCAACATGCTTAGCAACGGCCTCCAAGTCGTTTGCCTTGTCAGCCAAATCGTGAGACTCAGCGTAAGCAGCAGCTTCGGATTCGTTGGCAATAACGTAGTCCACGTACTGGAGCGAGTTGTCCAATGGCTCCTTGAAGAATTGAGGAATAAAAGGAGCAGAAAAGTTAATGGCGAAAACCTTGTTGGTCTCAGCGGCATGCTTTCCCAATAACTCGATAGCAGGAGGACTCACCGTCAAGTGGAAACCACCCACATAGAAGAATTTAGCGTTCTCGACGAGCTTCCAGTTTTCTGGTTTTTGCAAATGAGTCTCCTTGAAGTGGTTAGCGGCAGCCAAATCAGTTGCCAAAGATCTGTGCGAGCCGGTAATAAGAGCAGCGCACTTTCCGGTAGCAATATCGTCTTGAACCTGATATTCAGTTCTCAAACCATACTTGGCATTGGCCTCGTTGAGCTTGTCGGCGTAGACATCGCGTCCAACAGATCCAAAGTACACCACTGAGTTGGGCTCCAAGATGTACTGGGCACCACGAGCAGTGTTCTGAGCGGCACCTCCAGCGACAACATTCAAATTGTCCATTTTGAGAACTTCTTCGAAAATAGGCATATGCTTTTCTTCGACTAAAATAGCATCGTCAGCTTTCAAGTCGTACTTCTGCAAGTACTCGGGAGTGACATCTGACTGCAAGTCCAACAAGGGGTTACCTAAACACACGAGAGGAAACGACATGGTATATGATGAACGAACAAATGTACTTGAGATTTTCCACAGGCACGTGGTGTAATGGGTGAGATCGACTGCACGAGGCGTTCAATTTTGAAAGCCATAGTATAGCAATTAAGGGCTATTATCGAGCCACGAGCACCAAAACCACCGTTTTCACAAAATACACTTGTCCCTTTTGATTCCTTCTTAAATTAAACTTGCCTATTCTCGTTCCGAATCAAGGCTTCCTCGGCTTCTGCCTCCAGACACCCACCCAACATCTTGTGTGGAACCCACCCTGGGGTAAAGAGGAACTGAAATTTATCCATCTAAGGAATGACAAGTTTTCTTCCTGTTTTCACCAACGATTGGCTCCTCGACTACAGACCGTTTCCAGACAAGCCTAGCAATGTGTTCGAGGAACATTGGCATGAGGTTGTTTTATCGCTATTGTTCTACGGCACGATCCATTTGTTATCACCATTTGTGATGTCACGTTGGATGGGGTCGCATTATACGACGCTTCCCAAACGAACCAGAGTCAACTTTGATGTTCACGTTGTTTCCATGGTTCAATGTTTTATATCTATTGCCAGTCTTGCACCCATGTGGAATCATTCTCATTGGCAGAACCGACTTAACGACCCCAAAAGTTCTATTGAGGGATCAACTCCGTATGGAAGCTTTGTCGCCGCCATCACCGTCGGTTACTTTGTGTGGGATGTGATTGTTTGTACGGTTTACTTTCAGCTTTTTGGTCTTGGGTTCTTGGTACATGGACTTGCTGCCCTCTATGTCTTTTCATTTTGCATGAGACCATATGCCCAACCATGGATCCCCGCATTCTTGTTGTTCGAACTCAGTACGCCGTTTGTGAATATCAATTGGTTCGCCTCAAAACTCCCCGCTGGAGTCATTGGCTCCAAGACATTCATTATCAATGGTCTTTGCTTGTTGTTCACTTTCTTCACAGTGAGAATTTTGTGGGGATTCTACGCCGTGACCATCGTTGCTCGTGATATGTTTGCAGTCTGGAATGATAATCCAAAGTTTTTACCGGTTACAATCTTAGGGTTGAATATCACCTTGGATGTGCTCAATGTATTTTGGTTCCAAAAGATGATCAAAATAGCCACCAAAAAGGCAAGAGGAAATACAAGCACCCGTGCCGCGGCCAAGGAAACAGCCCAAAAGATTGAATAGACGTTTAATGACCAAATCTAGAGAGCCGTTGTGCCGTGGAAAACAGATGGTTTTGTTGCTGTTCGCCCAATTTTGCTGAAACTTGTTGGCTGGCTTTTATGAATTTCAAGTAACAAACCGCATATATGACTTCTACATAAGATCTACAAGCACATGAACTTATGGGTCCACGGCTCGAGTTCCACCTTTCGCAGCCGCAGCAGCATCGGTCCCTCTCCGGTGTCGTGCCGTGCACAAACGCTCTTTTCTGGAACGGTGTTGATAGCGATCATCATTGTTTTTGGTGGTAGTACTCGCTTCGTGAATACATCTGATCAGCACCTTTAAAACCTATCAAGCTGTGCTCTCGTACTTAGACAACGGCGTGATACATTTGGAGTGACTGAGAAGTTCTCATAACTAATATATTTACTTGATCGCAATTTCAAGTTCCTTAAACCACAACCAAGTGGCGAATTCTTTTGATATTTGAGTAATATTCCTTGAACGATGAATAACGAATACGACTTTCTTTTCAAGTTGTTGTTGATTGGAGATTCTGGAGTCGGAAAATCTTGTTTGCTCTTGAGGTTTGCTGATGATACCTACACCCCTGACTACATTTCTACCATTGGAGTCGACTTTAAGATCAGAACCATCGAGTTGGATGGTAAAACAATCAAGTTGCAAATCTGGGATACCGCTGGACAAGAAAGATTCAGAACCATTACTTCGTCTTATTACCGTGGAGCCCATGGTATCATCATCGTCTACGATGTCACCGATCAAGAATCTTTCAATAACGTCAAGCAATGGCTCCAGGAAATCGACCGTTATGCTACAGGAGGCGTGATGAAGTTGTTGGTTGGTAATAAAGCAGATTTATCCGACAAGAAGATTGTGGAGTACACCGCCGCCAAGGAGTTTGCCGATGCGTTGGACATCCCATTCTTGGAGACTTCGGCATTGTCTTCAACCAATGTCGAGCAGGCATTCTACACCATGGCAAGACAAATCAAAGCTCAAATGACCAACAATGCATCGAGTGGTGCAGGAGGAGCCAATGCAAGCAAGTCTAACGTCAACTTGAGAGGCCAATCATTGACTTCCAACCAATCAAACAGCTGTTGTTAGTAGCTACATTTCTTAATAAATGTTATATTAGAGTTGGGTATAGGTACTAGGCGGTATGACCTTGACTGAAGAACATCGACTGTACTTGGTATGAGAATAAATCTACTACTTATGAGCGTCCATTCTACATATTGTCTAGCGTATAACATGGGCAATGTACTGAGCATAAGTAGCACCATCTTCCTTGCCAACAAGCAAACGTCCCTTGCCAACTAATGTCTCACCAGTGACCCACTTTTCGTCCGGTTTAGCACCTTCAGATAACTCAAAAATGAAGCTGGCTCCAACATAAACGTCTTCAAAAGGAGGATGTTCCTTGGTCTGAGTCTCCAAAACAGCAACGATTTTCTCTGACAATTTCATAATTCCATCATATCTCATGGTGAATCCAGTACCTTCACTAGTCTCACCATAGAGTCTACAATCGAGCTTTCCAGCGCCAACAGACTTGTCAAATGTGATGTAGTCGTGGCCAATGATGTTCTTGGCCTCGAATTTCAACCCCAATGGGTTATCAATGGGACGAATGGTTCCGTTTACGAGAGGTAAAATAACACTGTTCTTTTCGAGTGATTGCTGCTTGAGAACATTCTGAGGACTCGACGACTTAACCGTGAACTCAAACACAGGAATCAACTTGGGTGCTTCTGGATAAGAGCTGGGGTAGATAGAAGGATCAATTGCGGACATAACGATCTAAATTGGGAATTGCAAATTGCAAATGCAGTTTGGGGATCTACTCCTTATATAGCGGACCACAGGAAAAAGTTGGGCCACTTATCCGCGAGATGCATATGTTGGAACTTCGAAACGCATTAGTCCGATTGCAAAACACAAAGAGGTCTGTGCCTCGGCAAATATCCTCTAACCTTCACGTCTACCAAACGATTCTGACAGATTCCAAGTAAATTGATTTGATTCGCTTACATAAGCAGCCTTGTCAAACTCGCACCGTCCAAACTACAGTGGCGACGTAGTATGGTAGAGGTCGAAATGAATGGTACTACGCCGAGCGTACGTGATGAATTGATCACGGAAATAGAACTGTCCTTTGGATTGCTTCACAAAGCTGCGGCAAATTTCGACAATCGTTATATATCTCGAGTGTTTCGTGACTTGGGACCTTTAAGAAGAAAGTTGGCCAAAAATGGCGACGCTTTGGCCACTGTTATTGATCGTTTGTACCCCCATAACAGTGCCAGTAGAGCTTACTTGCTCGAAGTTACAGGAAAGACAGATGAGTCCATGGATGAGGAAACCAAGTCGGCGGTGAAACCAGAAGTCGATTTGTACATCCACTTGTTGGTACAAGTATATCTTCTTGACAACAATCGGCTCGAAGAACTCAACAAGTTCAACGATAAGGTGATCTACCTCCTTGAGAGCTACAACCGTAGGTCGCTTGACTTCATTCAAGCCAAAATTTGGTTCTACATTTCCCGTACCAAAGAGTTGATCGACGATCTTCATTCGATCCGTCCCGCTTTGTTGTCGGCATTGCGTTCTGCAACGTTGCGTCACGATACCGAGACTGCTGCTTCGACGATAACACTTCTTCTTCGAAACTACCTGTTGTGTCATGAGGTAAATCAAGCCATGAATTTGGTGGAGAAGACAGAATTCCCCGAGAACGCCGGTAGCTCTCTCGTGGCAAGATATTACTATTACCTTGCGCGTATTAATGCTATTCAATTGGACTACTCCTCGGCAAACGAATACGTCATCGCTGCTACTAGAAAAGCTCCTCAAACGCAGCTGGCTGTTGGCTTCTTACAAGCAGCTACTAAGCTCAGCATCATCATAGAATTATTAATGGGAGACATACCTGAACTCCAGCTTTTCAGAAAGCAGTCAGATAGCCTTGAGCCATACTTTATGTTGACCAAGGCTGTGAGGTTGGGAGACTTGAAGTTGTTCGAAGAAGTGCTTAAAAAGTACGAGCAAGCGTTTAAAAAAGATGATAATTTCACCTTAGTTTCACGTTTACGCCAAAATGTCATCAAAACTGGTATTAGAATCATTTCTTTGTCCTACTCCAAGATTTCCTTGAAGGATATATGCATCAAATTGCTCTTGGATTCTGAAGAGCTGGCCGAATATATCGTGGCTAAGGCCATTCGTGATGGAGTTATCGAGGCCAGTATAAATCACGAGCACGGATATATGAAGAGCAAGGAGTTGTTGGACGTGTACTCGACGAAGTTGCCTCAAGATGATTTCGATCAAAGAATCAAGTTTTGCTTGAGTTTACACAATGATAGTGTCAAGTCTATGCGCTACCCATCAGCAGACAACCGCTCTGATATCAACAAGCACAATTTGGCCGCCAAGGAAGATGAGATGGATCTCCTCAAGGCCATTGAGGAAGGAGACCTCGATGATTTCATGGACTAGCGAATAAAATCATCCTTTTTGCAATTTGTAGATTAGCCGTGCGCAGTAGATTTCCGTCCCCACAGATTTTGTCGCGAAAATATCAAATATCATCATGGTGCAACTCGAGCTAGATCCCAAAATCTTGGGCGAAAACCATGGCGACCAGTTTCTACAGGATGAGTAAGTATACCTCACGATATCAATCATTCCATTCTCAACTAACATCAAGAGATAAACTTTCAGTTGCGGAGTTGATTCCTCGTATTTTGCAAGAACGCAACTCCTTTCTTTACATCAGCGAAGAGTCATTGGAAAATGAAATTGAGCACAACAATTCGAGCGAAGCCGAGTCACAGGAACCAGATAATGTGTTTGCCCAGCCCGACGAAATAGATAGCTACGAGTTGTTCCAAAAGAATAAGGTTGAATTGGCCCAACAGCTCAACTCGGCCCTCAATGAAACGTCACTTTCGCTTGATTTTGTGTCCCTTTTGTTGTCCTCAGTCAAGGTGAACCTTGGAAAGTCTACCATGTCTCCTCATCTTACTCAGAATGTGCCTCCTGGCTCTTTGAATGCTGATAGATTGTCCAAATATGACGATCCAAATGACATGCAAAGTAAAGTAGCAAATTTAGGCAATGGTTGGAAAGGAGAGTCGATCGAGAAGATAACTGGATTGTTTAGGAATGCCAGCATGAAACTCAACGAGCAGGTAATCAAAGAGAAAACGTATTGGGAGCTGCTAATTAACGTATTGGATCATGATGAAGTGCTTTACAAGACCAGGGATCCTCTTGACAACTCTCGAGCAATTGGTGTCAAGTATGGCTATTCTGCCTCCGGTTCCAGCTACCGTGACGAAGGTAACGCTATCTTACGAAAAGATCCTAGCTCGGGTGCTATTTCCTTCGTACCAATTTCTCGAGGAAGAGCAGGCACCAAAATTTGCAAATATATCAAGGTTCGAATCCTCACCAAGGTAGATGACGACTACTTGTTGACGGGGCAATCATTGTTTGACAAAAAGTTTGCCGGAAAGAACACAAGCGCTATCATAAACGACATCGAAAAGGCGAGGTATTTTGTGTTTCAAGAGGATCTCTTTTATCATTTGACCCGTGAGGCAAAGGGATTGATCAACTATAATATCCTGATCATCTCCAACAAAATTATCATTGAGGTGGATAATGAACTTATTGAAATCGAATCTGTGGTTTTTGATGAGGACGATGAAGAGGAATTGAATAACCTCTATCAAAACACAAACCAATTATCGTCGTCTAACAATCGAAGGGCGGAAGCTATCTTGATATTTATGAACCTCATGCTTTGTTGTTTCTATAAATACAACCTTTCGCTCAAACAAAAAGTTCCTACAGCAGTCACCAAATGGAAGCAACAAAATTCTCATCCACTCATTTTGCGTCCCTTATTAGGACACATCCGTCATGAGCTCAACGTCAGTTCCTTGCGTAGTGTTTTGAAAAACCACATTGGCGCATTCAAACAAGACTTAGAACTGGAACTTGAAGTGATACAATACTCAAATTTGCAAGCGCAAGAACTGGACAAAAGTTTCGAAAACCCATTTCAAAAGGCAATCGAGGCACCATGTACCACATTCAAACTACGGTGTAAGCGAAGAGATGGACGTGTCTTAGAGACCGTCATTGATGTAACTTCCACCGAGATATTCGTGAACTTGGTATTGAATCTCAACGTTACAAAATATGACAGCGGCTCGGACTGCAAACAGCACGATAATGGAGCCAATGTTTTACAGAACACCTTCTACGATCTTAATGAAGTGGACGAATGCTTAAATTGGACGATCATGAACTTCATAAATCAAGATTCAACAATCACATCGGCTGATGGTTGAATTTGGTCGCCATGCTTTTCCACAAAATGCTTTAATCTATAAAATTTTTCATCACGCAAATTGTTGAAAATCAAAAAGTTGAACCAAACTTCGAAGAACGAGTATACAAACACCGCATTGTTGCCAAATGTCAAACTCTTGGAAATATAGGCATAGGCAGCAAGGAAAAAGAAAATTGTCAATCTGGTGGGAACGATGGTTTCAAAGTAATCAACATTTTCTGCCAACAAAGGAATCAAATCCCCAACCGCTTGCAACCCGAACAAGAGACTAATGATGCCATAAAATACCGAATCACCGTCGGTCTCGATTACCGGAAGTATCATAGGAAGTTCCATGGCCTGGCCAAGCAACAATAGGAAATGACTTCCCAAAAGATATCCAGGATTCACGGCCGCAAAATAGCATATGGTAAACAAAAATACAACTCTAGCATATAAAATCGTTTTGGAAGTAAAGAATTGCATGGCTTATACTTCCTCTCATGAGACTACAGTTTCCTCATCAAATATAGTCGCGTGGTTGTCTGCAGGATGCCGAAATTTGAAAAATGCTGCGGTTGCAAATGTTACGCCGGTAGCTATGGCGTGATGAATATTGTTTAAAAAGGTGCAAAAACCTGATATTTTCATCAATGCGCTTTCTTTGGGTGTTGACCATTTTTGCGGTGTTTACATGCATTTGTATGGGATTAGAATACCCTCCAGGTGCAGTAGTTCGACAATACTCCATGACACTTACCCATGCATACCATAACCCCGATGGTAGATTCAAAGGTGGCTATTTGATCAACGGGGAGTCACCTGGACCCACGCTCGAGGGGGATGAAGGAGACTGGATAGAGCTTACGGTAGAAAATCTTTTGCCAGTTGGCATATCTATCCACTTTCATGGAGTGTTGCAAAAAGGTACTCCGTGGTCTGATGGAGTACCAGGTATAACTCAGTATGCTATTCTCAGTGGAGACACTTATAAGTATGTCTTTCAGTTGCGGGACCAGTACGGAGCATCTTGGTACCATGCTCATTACCGTGGGTATGCCTCGGATGGGATATACGGAGCCATCAATATCCGAGCATCCAAGGTACGACAACGTCCATATAGGATGATAACTAATGATACTGAAACCCTCCAGCTATGGGAGAAATTGGAAAAATCGCCTCAAAATATTATTGGGGATGATTCATTCAGGTTGACTATGGATGATATTATGGCTCGAATGCAGCACTTTGGCATCGACCCCGTCTGTATACAAAGTATCACTATCAATGGGAAAGGTCGGATATATTGTCATGAATATTCCAAGTTTGCATCCATGGCAATGAAGAAGAATGTTTCGAGTATTCCTGCTTTTGATTCAATGGGCTGCGTTCCAGATTTGGAGGCTAATGGATATCACGACTTGACGGTGGATAATTTCGACCTTGAAGCACCAGGCTTCTCTCTTCCTTGTCAGCCAACCAACAGTGACAGATACGTCCTTTTCACGAATAAGTCTCCTTGGCAAATGCTTAACGTTTTGAATGCGGGTGGTCAGTACACAAAATCGTTTTCCATTGATGGTCATCACATGTATGTCATAGCAGTTGACGGAGTCTATATCAACCCAATACTTGTCGAGCAGCTAGTTCTCCCAGTGGGTTCACGGTTCACCGTCTTGGTGGAAACACAGGAAGGTGAACCTGGGGCAGTCTATGGAATTAGGTTCACTGCCTATGGAACTCCACAGATCATCGAAGGTATCGGTTTATTGATATATGGCTCTCCCAAACTGACCTCCTCGAAGGAAATGGCCAGATATCAAGCTCAAACGGAATTTGATGGGCATCAGTTTCAAGACTTGGACGGAAAACTTCTTGAGGAAAATGCACGAAGTATAGCGCCGCGGTTGACAGTTCCATTTGCTGCCGACGACAGGCTTCAGAAAAAAGGTGCCGCAGATCATACGTTTAGGTTTTATCTCCATCGTACTGGAGTTGTGGAATTTACCATGTTCAAAGATGGGGCTAGAATTCCTGGCCATTTAGATATGCAAGAACCCATTTTGCACCGACATGCGAAAGGTACTTTGGGGAATAAAACGGAGCCGTATTGGGTCACTGGTGTGGATTACAACAGCACGGTGGATTTCATTATTGAAAATCATCGCTTCATGCCTCATCCTTTTCACCTCCATGGACATCATTTGCATCAAATAAGCTTCAGCAATACTGAGCCCTTTCCTTACGAATCTGTTGAGGAGGCTCTTGAAAACAACTATAAGAATCTCGATATGGAGACTGCTCCTCGGTTTGATGTTGCTTGGGTACCTCCTGGTGGCCATGTTGTAGTGAGAATGACTGCCGATAATCCAGGAATGTGGTTGATGCATTGTCATAACCTTGGTCACCTCATGGCAGGTATGGGTGCGATCTTGTTTGAAGCCACAAATAAGATACCAGAGCTACCTGATTACGTTTTGAACCAATTGCACACAACAAGGAAGGATACACCGAAAGTTGGAATAAGTGAAATAATAGACAACCCGCACGATGGTTATTTGAGCGAGTAACACAAATGAGATTATCTCGTCACAAAAACATTGTTTCGACAAGAGCAAGTAATAATCCTCTACATGATCGGGATTCTGGCGATATACGTCCACATGATGGTTTTCCTTGCGCTCACATTGTTCACAATATTCAGTAAGTAGAATTTGAATCTCAATTAATAATTTGCAGCCATTAACGAGGGTTTGATTCTTTTACCTTTTATGATATTAGTGATTCTTTTGGTTGCACTATGCTACTTGTGCAATCTTATACGCCATGAGGGTATAAGACTAAACTTTGCTCCCAAGTTGTTGTGGGAAAATGCATTCAGACCAATTTCAAGTTTCCTACAAGAGGGCTACAATGTTATCTCACCCAAATTTCGACATTTTTCAGCAAGTTTCAACTTGAGTGAATTTGCAACTGTTCCCTTGTATGGAACCTTTAACGATGAAGATGAGCACTAAAAGCCGACAGAATCTCTATACTGAAGCGGATGGTGGTACAAAAACAGAACTAAAAAAAAAACTGGCTTTCGGCCCGGCAGCTGCAGCATGCAGCCTAAGCCCCTTCGAAGACGAATAGAGCAGTTTACATGCAAATTGTGCAACTTTAGCCACCAGTCTTTTAGTCTCTGGCATTTATGACAGAGATGACTCAAACAAGAAGTTGACGTATTTTTCGGACTTTTTTCTTGGCAGGGTTCTCGAGCGGTGTCGGTTGATTTTCGCCGATATGAACCGTGTGGCTTAACTTTCGCAGAAAAAGGCTAATGGCCCACGCATAACTGAGTTATAACACGACTTTTGGTACCTTTGGCCGCTCATAAGAAGGAGACCACGAATCTTTCTTCCATTCAAAACTGGGCCCTTTGAACTTCTTGTTTCGTAAGCCCGTCATGTACATTAGCTTAGTTGTCTCAAAATTCACGAAAACAATTGTTGCAAAAAATAATAACTGCATTGAAAATAGCTTTCGATGAAAACATTTTATGCGCCACTAAGGTAAGAGAAAGCCCACCAGGGTGCTTTCGAGGAGGATTCAGTAGCTTATAAATATCTCATGACTCTTTGTTGTAAAACATAATCGAGATGGTGGACGCAGCCGATGTCACTCTTGGAGATGATACATTTTCTGATGCCTTTAAGGTGTGTTACATCACCGGAGTTGAGGGAGGAGGTAATGAGTACTCAAAGTACTTGGGAGCACGTATCTCATCTATCTTTGTGATTCTTTTTGTTTCCACATTCTTCACCATTTTCCCATTGCTTGCAACCAGATTTAAAAAGTTGAGAATTCCACTTTACGGTTACTTATTTGCACGGTACTTTGGTACTGGAGTTATCATCGCTACAGCGTATGTCCATTTGATGGACCCAGCCTATGGCGAGATAGGACCTAATACTTGTGTGGGGATGACTGGTAATTGGGCATCGTATTCATGGCCTCCAGCCATTATGCTTGCTTCAATCTTTTTCATTTTCATCGTCGATATCTTTTCCGCCGTCTGGGTAGAAAGAAAATACGGCATTAGCGATCTGCACGATGTGAATGTGGAAGATATTATTGTTGCAGGAAATGATACTCCAACAACGGCGGCCGTCCATCGGACACGCGAGTCAACGAGACAGGACGTGGAAAAGCAAAAAGACGATGTCGATACTGGATGCGAGTCTATTGCCAATACTGAGGCTGAAATCAGTTTCAAGATGCAGTTCACGGCCTTCCTTATTTTGGAGTTTGGAGTGATTTTCCACTCAGTAATGATTGGTCTCAATCTTGGAGCCGTGGGTCCTGATGAGTTCAAAACATTATACATTGTTTTGGTGTTCCACCAGTCGTTTGAAGGACTTGGAATTGGTGCCAGACTCTCTGCTATTCCTTTCCCTGCTGACAAACCAAAATGGATTCCTTGGTTGTGTTGCATCATTTACGGTTTGGTTACCCCAGTATGTATCGCCATTGGTTTGGGAGTCAGAAAAACCTACTTTTCCAACTCATACAACGCCAATATTATTCTGGGTGTCTTGGACTCGATTTCAGCCGGAATTTTGATGTACACTGGTTTGGTCGAATTGTTAGCTCGGGACTTTATCTTTGACCCTCATAGAACAAAGGATCTCAGAAGATTGACGTTCATGGTTGTGGTGACATTGGTTGGTGCCGGAATCATGGCATTGCTTGGTAAGTGGGCCTAGTTGCGGAAGCTAATGGGATAATTAACTCAAATACTTAATAGACACGAAGGCTCCATTGTCGTTTTGCAGCCACAGAATTATTCCAAAAGACTAAAAGTTTGTATATCGCCGATAACTTGTGGTTATTTATTAGGATGTTAGTGCTATAGTAGCACAGTGTAGACTTTGCAAACACTCTCGATTACACACTGAAAGTTAGCAACGCACAGTAATTTATTTCTTCGCACTGGAAGTTCACTCTCACATTCAACCTTTTGTCTGGTGCATTGATGCAACTTCCAGCCACGTCAATTCGCTGCAACCACGAAATACACCAATGAAGTTGGCATTTTTACTTGGTGTCGTGGCCCAATTGGCCATGGGTGTGATGTCCTATTCGATTCAGTCGGGGCTTGCGAGAGTGAACGAGGATATTGTTCAGTATGGAGAGGCAGAAATTCAGCTGATCAGACTGCTCACGTTGGAGAATATGAAAGATAAACTTGACGTAGAACTCAAATTAGATTACAAAGATGTGACGAAAAAGCCCCATCAGTTTGTCATTACTCTTGGTGATGATAATGGTCACGACTTGCTGTTTGTTCCCAACTATTTGTCAGCCTACGATGTGTACAAATTGAGTATTCCGGTGAATAAGATCCCTCTCAGTTTAAGAGTCAAAGACAAGCTTTTCTTGAAAGCTATTGTTGCGAGCAGTGGACCTAAGAAGCACGGCGAAAATTTGCGTCGTAATTTGGCAGAAGTGAGATTTGGAGATGATATAAAGCTTACTGCGCAGCTGGCGTACGTACCTGCTGAGCGATTTGGTTTAAAGCCAGAAATTCACCACCAATTTGCATCTGAAGCTTCTACTGTGAATGCAATCATCCCTATAGTATTCAGTGCTGGAGCAATAGTTCTTCTTCTTGCGTTGCTAGTATCGTGGGCGTCTCTTCTTGGAGATGATTTACTTCGTAACTTCACCAGATTGAGCGGAGCTCAAGTCTTGAACCACGGAGTATTCTTGACGGCTTTGGTTGGATACGTGGCTGTGTTCTATCGGTACTACTTGGGCACATCCATCTTCACCACCTTGTTCAATGCATTTGTATTGACAGCTCCAACCATCTTCTTCGGGTCGCGGTCGTTGAGAGACTTGGCCGTGTTCCGCAAACTCGAAGTGTCGTAGACATACATGCATGAGTCACATTATACTCTATACTATTATACACTTACTCTTCAATAAAGCTATTGGTGATTTTGCGAAAGTTCCAAAACCACCACTTGCCTTCTGGGCTAGTAAACCCTCGATCCATCGAATTGGCAGCGACTATTTTCCCTCGAATTAGTCCCATGGGTAACACCGAATACGACCGAGAGTCCAAAGAATGGCACAAGTTGTCGCCGGTAACCCATACATGGCCATCAGGAACTCTTATATACTTGTTGAACCCATTATGAGCAGCGCTCTCCCCAGCCGAATTTGTCAATTCCGATGACGACGAAGGGTCGACCAAAATGACATCTCCAGGCATTCCTGTTATTCGCTTGCATACTCGGTGATCAGGGTCGCTGGGTTTGGTGGCCACAACACAATCACCAATGTCTATATTACGGCCCAATTTATATTTCTTCAAAACGTGAACATAATCTGCATGAGATTGAAGCGTAGGAAGCATTGACTCTCCTCTCGTTTCTGTAAACTCATATACATATTCATGGATAAGGTGGGCCACACAGCCCGCACGTAGTGTCCACGTTAAAGTGGAGCCAAGAAACTTGACCGACTCGAGGACCATAGTGCGTAGGTGAGAAATGCGTAAGAGAAACGTGAGAATGAGAGAAAGGAAGGAAGATGAAAATTGAAAAAGGTGGATACCCAAAATACAGCTAGACGCCCAGCTGCATTGCCAACAGCTTATATCGTTCACAATAGTTTGTAGCCTACATGCCAACTTTTTAACTTTCAATACATTCTCATTATCTAGTATACAAATCCCAAGATCTTTCCGGAAACGTGCTTTCTTCTAGCTTCTTCGTGGTCCATGATACCAGCAGATGTGGTCAAGATAACCAAACCGAATTGTCTAGCAGGCAACAAGTTGTCGGTCCATCTTTCAATGTCCCCGATTTTCACGTTGAATCTTGGCGAAATTACACCACACTTGTTCAATCTACCGGTGAGTTGAACAACGATCTTTCCAGATCTGTGGTCGTCAATGTATTCGAATTCACCAATGTAACCTGAAGTTAGTCAAAGACTCAAATAATTAAATTACGGTGATGTTTGGTACCCACCTGTGAGTAAAGCATGAAAGCCTGCCTCGAATAGATGGGTTCCAGTTTGATTTTCCGAACACTTAAAAGACAGAAAGGGACTGAACACCGATCAATCCATCCAGTTATCAGTTTCGGTCACCTCTAAAAATTACTTACTCGTGCTTTTGCATAACACTCAAAAACTTGATAATCACCTTGGACGAAGGACGAATCAACACCTGGCGCTTACCAGTCTTTTCGGCGTTATTGATGGCATTCAAAGCGTCTGCTAAAACGGATGTTCTGGTCATTTTCTATAATTCTGTCTGTTAGTATCGGCACATGAGTGTCCAAGCATAAAGCTGGGATTCATGAGCCTCATCTGCCACAAGGTATTAGCCACTCCGAGATGCTCCCATTCCGACCATTTCTTTACAAAATCATCCGAATAACAACACCGAAGGAAACCAATTCTTATGGCATGCACTTTCAACTAGCGGGTCTACTTACTAGTTATTAGAGTGGATAATAGGAACAAGTGAGAAAAAATTTTCAATCAAAATTTCGGTGAGCCTTGCGCGTATGCAGGGAACTACACTCACTTATGTACCGGAAGACTAGCTACACTCTTCATGCAATGGTTACACCAGATCCGCCCCATATTTCGGGGGATCGATGGTCTGGGCAGGAATTGTCGGTACTGCTCTTTCAGGAAGTGAAACCAATTTGCGTGGAATTGTCTCTGAAGGCTGTGCTTCCACGTGGAGAACTCAAATTGAACTCGCCACAGATCTCCAGGTTATTAAAGCAACTTGTGGCGACACTTAAAGACCATTATTACCTTCATAATGAAAAAACCTTGTATATACTTACTCCCAAGATTGCCGACTACGTCTTTTTTCCCATTTCATGCTTATTGAAGAGCCCAGATGTTCTCGATGAGTCGATCACCACCTCCATTTTACAAGCTATTCGGTTCCTAATTGACCACTGCTGGGCCACTGGTGATATGGATATAATGGCTGATCAAATGCTTCCTTTGGTTTTGTTTCTCGTACAAGGTAACAAGCTTGACACCGGCTCATTTGAATCACAAAAAACTGTAATAGATTGCATTTCCTCGTTAATGAGACATTCCCTGATGGAATACTTCAGCGAGAATCCTAGACGCCTACTGTGGCTCGGTGCGTGTATTACGCTCAACCTCGATATCATGGAATCCGTTGGAAAGGTAAAAGGACATGATGAAACCGCACTAGTTAATGAGATCCTTGTTAGCCTTCGATACCTCTTATCGAGAAATATGAGTGGTGCTCAAACATCTGAGGTGTTCCCAGGAGTATCATCTCGCGTGATAAAATTCGCAACCTCTACTTCTGGTCTACATGTTGATGTCTATATTAACATCCTCAAGCTACTTCAGGCAATAATTATTTCTGTGCTAAATGACGAAGCGCTAGGGGCTACGCTTGTCAACGAAAACGACACCAACATAGAGTCGATCAAGTTGACATTAGATGCCCTGGAAACCAACAATGTTCCTATCACCTTCACAAATGAGTCAAAATTACCCAAAGGATGGCACAAAGCAACGTCTGAGCAATTGCTTCTTTTGCTCACTGTCTTCTTCAAAGATTTACTCAAAAATCCCAACAAAAGCAAGATGATATACACTCATATTGCCTTTTCCGATACCTTGCATACATTCTTTGTTTCAATTATGGAGAACTGTTTTCTTTCTTTGTTTGAAGGATGTGTTCCACTCTTCTTGGACTCGATTGTCTTATTAATATCGCATGGCCCGACAAATGGGCGAACCTTAAAGATTAAGCTGGTGGTGAACGAGATAGTTCATGGTGTAACTATGTCTGACCATAACAAAATCCAGCTTTTCCATGACTTGGTGCAAAAAAAGTTGGAAGATTTGGTGCTAAACAAGATGCCTACTGTGCTTTTGTCTACTGATGAATCACGTATCTTGGATTATTTGTGCTCTGTCGAAGTACATTTTCAGCTTCTTGTTTCACTTCTGCATGATATACATTCCAATAATCACAGCGAGTTTGGAGCCAAAATCTTGCTCAACTTGAGAGATAATCTCTGCAAATCATACTCCTTCAGCCGAATCCAAAACCAGTCGTCAACTTCTTACAAGTCTTCATCCTTGAGTAGTGTTTCTGAACACACTCTAGACGGCATTGACCTTGGTCCTAACATCAATACGAAAAGCATCGTCACCAACAACAAAGCATCGAAAACTGAAGAGTTTAAACCCTCACAGAAAATGCTTTCCTTGTCACACAATTGGCTGCATTACCAGAATACCATCGTGACTAACGAGGCTGCAAGTACTCAACTATTTCTGGGGGTTTTTACGATTGATGTTGAGAGCCAAATAGCACTTCTTGTTCAATCAGTTGTGAGCAGTAATGCTTGGACACTGACTGAGCTCATTCAACTTACAGAAACATTACTATCACAATCTCATCATGGCTCAAATCGAACGACCACCTACCAGAGGCTAGCTGATGGCATTTCATTATGGATTGCAAAGCTAATACTACAGGTGCAGCAAACAAAAACTGATGTTCAGCTTGACGATTTTCTTGACTTAGAAGATGCTGATTTAGATACAAGTAGCAATGAGCTCTTGTATTTGATCATGTCCAATTCTCAAGACGTTATTGAATCTGCCTCGCGTGAAATTGAAAGTCCAGAAGAATTATCACCAGAAAGCCGGCAATTGGTCAATGTCACTGAAAAAAGTGTTGCTGTAGCTATGGATACAGTTGCGGAGTTGAGTGCTCACTTCACTGTTGCGGAGTTTCAAGAAATGTTCCTCATGGACAATCTTTACACACTTTTTGAGGGTGTAGCATCACAATCAGAGATTGTTCGCTCCAGTTCACTTTATGCCTTGAGTGAGATCGTCAGGAATTATTACCATGGCTCGATTGAGAATCTTGTTAAGGATAACCTGGATTATATTGTGGACTCGTTGAGCTTGAGGCTATCTCTGGCAAACACTTTCACATTGACCATGCCATCGATTCTATTGATAATCATCAAAGTGACTGGAAAACAACTTTTGCTTCAAAATCAGCTCTCTGATATCTTGACGCAAATGTTCATTATTATTGACTCGTACCATGGCTATTCTGCCTTGGTTGAATGTTTCTTCATCATCTTTGATGAGTTGATCTCTCAGGTGGCTGTTGATTATATCAACGCTAATGTTCTCGAAGACACCTCGGAATCTCAATTTGCACCTTGGGGAATGCTGCTGGTAGACGAACTATTGAATTTATTGGCCGATTCTGGACGTGTGGTGGACCCTTTTGCCAAGTATGATTCAGAACGAGAATACTTTAAACGAAAAGAAGGTGTCCCGTTCGCTGAACAGCTAGAGGATTCAGACGACGAAGAAGAATCTGAACCAGAAACCAACAATGAAGAAGAAACCTACTCGTCTCCAATTCCGAAGACTATCTACTTCACCTTACAAAAGATCTATGTTTACGGCTTTAGATTATTGACCAGCCCATCCGTGGCTTTGAAACGTCAGATCTTGGCAACTTTGCGTACGACTTATCCACTCCTTGCTACAGAATATTCATTGGTGATGCCTCTTGTTGCCGAACAATGGCCTACATTAATATCTGTTGCCAGTGGACAGTTTGAAGAAAGCAGTGTTCACAATAGCACACTAACAACATCAGCGTTAGAGTTGGCCATCACCATGGTATGTGAAGATAAGAAGCATAGTGAACGTTTTTTGGGATCGCGGTTCATTGAACTGTGGACTTACTTGAAGAAGGTGGTCTTGTTTAACGCAAGTGACCGGCATTTATTCACTCCTGCGATACGTAAATTGGTTGTGAAGTATCTATTAGAAGGTTTGATTACCTATGGGAAAACCGTTCCTGATTCTGTCTCATATACCATGCTTGAAGCGTGCGTCAGATTAGGCTTGCCTGAGGACCAAGTTCTCACCAGGGATATGAAGAATATTTTGTGGGCTATCAATTATCAATAAACAGCATTTTATTCATTGTCGTCTGCCATGAGATTTTGTATAACTGCCTTCTTGACAGGCGCTGGGTTTGGGGCACCAAACGACAAAGTCTGTTGGCCCTTCGGCAACGTTGGCACTGGAGTATTGTTGTCTTGTTCTTTCGTAGAGTCATCGGCAAAAATATCTGGTTGATCTGTATTTACATTGATTTTCTGTTGCTGTATGAGTTCTCCAATAGGTTGGGATTTAGGTACTGTGTCGCTTAAGAAATGAAGTGCCTCTTGCATTGACACTGCTGAACTGAAGTCCTTGTATTGCAACTTTTTCCTCTTCTCCATTCGTGCGCTTACAGAAGCCTGCTCCACCAAATATTGCACAAAGAGTTCTGTGGCCAAGCCAGTGGCATAGAGAGCACCAGATGAGGCAGATACGTAGTCTGGATCCATCTTAAATATCTTCTTGATCTTGGAAATAGGAAGTGAAAGTGTTGATTCGGAGTCTTCTGGTTCATCTTCCTCCATTGCTTCGCTTTGGTCTTGTCCGTTTATACTTTTGTCTTTGTTTTCTTGGCCATTGATAGCTTCAGATTCATTGGGGTCTACTTCCATAGGTTCAGGTTCTTCATTTGAAACTTCGTTTTCTGGTCTATTTTCGGCGCTTAAAAAGTCATCAGGATTGGGTGTGGCAGTAGCTGACATCACAGGTGGCGTCGTATTCGGAGTCTCGTGCAACTCTGGCTGTGAACTGGGAGCACTCATGAAGATGATAGTTGAAATACGCGTAGAAGTGAGGTGTGCGGATGCAGCGACGAAGAAGAGAACAGTCCAGGTGAATGAGCAGTCTAGATTCATAACTATAAGAAAAAGCTTAAGTCTTTTGTGCGTTAACTATGTACAGAGAGCATTCTCTAAAGCTTTTCCGAGGTTGGTTCTTCGTCATTAGCGGTTTTCTTGATATCTGGGTTTTCGAAAACTTCACGATAATCGTTCTTTTCTACATCTTGGAAGTCGTAGTTTTCTCCATGCTCCACAAAATTGACAATATTTTGCCATGCCAACTCTCCACTCTTGGGTCCGTCACTGTAACCTACCCATTGCTGCAAGAGCTGTGGAGTATTAGGCGACACCAATGGACGTAATTCCGAGGTTTGCAAATCTGGGGGCACAACGTATGTTCGTACCTTTGACCAGTTCATGATATAGGTTCCATTTTTGTTGAGTTTACCATATCCACTGGATCTGGTACCTTTGTAATAATGCTTGTTACCTTGTTTTGTGGTTAATGGATGACGTTTTGATCCACTTTTGGTGAATCCGTACCAGATTTGTCCATCCTTGAACGTCTGCCAAGGTCTTCTCAAGTTGGTCGACGCTGTGGAATGGAAAGACCGCACGAATGTTGGGTTCATTGTGTTCTAGTTCTTCCTGGTCAACCTTGAGAATATGAAAAATTTGATGATGTAATTCTCGCTTATGTAACCAAACCACGCCAAGGAAGACCTAATCTCATTGCCGCTTATGTAACCAGCTCTACTTATCCAGCAGCAATTACCCGTGGGTTGGAAACGGACAATGGGCATTCCCGAGACCCCAGCTGACACAGGCTACTTCGAACCTCAAACGGGGTATGTGAACGTTCATTTTAAGACACACACTTACTCTGACAAACCAACTCCATTATCAGCGAAACAAGGCAGAGCTCTGGAGTTTATCAGTTCCCATACAGATAGAGAACATCAGAAAAAATACGGAAAGCACATATTTACGTTTTTGACAAACTTTATATGCAAGTAGGTGTCAGATAGATAGTGGTAGATGCTAATTGATAGAAGTCTATCCTCTCAACTTAAATTGATAGAAAGTGTAGTCTGTATGGATAAACTATAATTTGGAATTGTTTATCCGGGTTGCAAGTAATTGCACCACCTTGTGGCTGAATCCGTAGCTACCTTGGTAACCGCCAGCTCCAGCTCCATAGCTATGAATTAACCATTCGTGCTCTGAGTCCTGCTCGATTCGAATTCCGTCCTCACGAAATGGCCGTAATCCAACAGCCACTCGCACTATATCTATGTGTCCTGGATTGTTTTTGTAGCTTGTGTCAGTAAGTTGCGGTACTAACCTTGTGGCTCGCTGAATTAAACGCTTCGTTAATTCTTTATCCTCTACCACAGGACCAGGCCCAATATTTTTCCGAAAGCAGCCTCCTATTATTGAGCCACCTTCTTTCCGAGGAAAAAGGTATGGAATTTCATCAGGGTAATCGGGATCAGAAAGCTCGAATATTTCTATGTTTTCCAAGCTATTACGTGTGAGTAATACTTGGCCCAATACTGGGTACAGTTTGCTGGGATCTTTAAAACCTCCCAAGCGTGAAACTAATATCCCAGCACAGTTGATGACGGTGTGTGCATCCTGACCACTGCTGTGTAACTTTCTGGCCTCCTGAACCGATTTCAATTCTTTGGTTCTCCTTATAACTATGCCTTCCCTCAAGCACTGTCCAACGAGATATTGCAAATAAATTGGAACAGAAATGACTAATCCGCCATACGAGTAGCCCCAGACGGCACCTTCTGGTAGCTCAGAGGCATCCAATTCTCGGTAATTATTCACCACTGATTTGAACCAAGGACGTAGTTTCAGTATGTCTGAGTCATTTTCTTTGAGTTTGGTTTCGTCAAAGTAGATGAAATTTTCTTTGCGCCAGATTCCCGCAGCTGGTTCATCACAGAGCTCAATCAACCTATGATACCCAACTGCGTCCATTTCTTGGAGGGCTTTGTCTTCATTACTTGCAAAGGATTCCCAATTTGCACCAGCAAAAGGAGAGGTATATTCCGTAGTCAAATCACCAGGAAGATTCTTAGCTACTATTGTAACCGATACACCGGGGAACGCTCTCTTGATTTCCAAAGCATTGGTTAACCCAACAACCCCAGCTCCTATCACTACTATATTGTGCATTTATGAGATCAATTAGACGCTGCGGAAATTCCTATTTTGGACGAGGTTGCGTCGTGCGAAATCCGCCCTTTGACACATAATGCACATAGCCGAATCATGGCAATGCAAAATGAGTTATCGATAGCCGAGATCATAGATCAGATCCTCGGGTATTCGAATTGAGACTTGATTGCAAATTGAATCAAATTTGCATCAACTTTTATTTCTACAATCTCGCCTTTCTTGACCTATAGGATTGTCCAACGATCTCAACATCAACTAGTTCCATCTAAAACGCTTCGAACCACGTGAAACAACCTAGATCGTGCATGCGTCTGCGATGAAAGCCCATCTGGTTGACTGCCCCATTGGGAGAATCATGTATGGGTGTACGGGTGCAAAACCGATGAAGGCTGGCTGCTGCACCGTTTGGCTGCAAAATGATGAAACAATACAGGTCTTGACGAGATGACCATATAACGGCCAGCTATTGTGGTTCAATGGTGCCTTGCTGGTATGCATTATTGTGCCGATTGTTGAGCCAAGATACTGCTTCCATGTGCTGGATATTCCGGTATGGTCGTATTTTTTATGCTTTCTTATATATAGTCAGTAGAGTGCTTCAAATCAGCATTCCAACTTTTAACTTTCTTTAAACCTTATTAGTGTTTCATTCTTGTATCACTCTTTTAGACAAGTATGAAAGGTTTGGGGTTCACGGCATTGGCCGCTTCCATATTTTTAACCGGTGCTACAGCCGAAGAAACGTTCACTGTTACCCATACAAAATATATCACCCCAGCTTGTTTCGAGCAGCAATTTAGAACTGCACTCGATGGTAATCCTGAGTCACTAACCACTGGAATTCCTGTTGTTTTCCGTTATGCAAATGAAGGAGAAGATGATCAACCTGAGAAATTCGTCTCTACCGAGTACCTTACCCACACCAAATGTTCTCAAAAGATATGCTTTACAAGCATGGAAACCAAGCAGTATACAAAGACAGTGTCTCCCACTGCAAAGGCGCAATCTGAGCAGGTCGATACCGCAAAGACCACTGGAAATACTATTACTGAAAAGTCCATTATTCAAGCAGCTTCTACGGCTACTGCCAATTCAAAAGCCAAATCCAAAGGAAGATCCATACTCTATGTGTACGACACTGCAACCAACAACAATGATGTTGACGAGACCGTGACTGGAGCCGTCAGAACCACTACCAAGACGATTTTCAAGGCCACAGAAACTCCGGAAGTGATTTATAAACCCTCCACTTCGATAGAGACAATTACCCAAACTATGAGAGATCCACTTGTGACTGCGTCCTCAAAGTCCAAGGAGTTGACCCGCACAATTGAAGAGAGCCTGATCACCGCTGGTGCTACTATTTCTGCTGTTGCCAAAGTGCCGGCTGCTAACTTACTGTCGAACAGTACCAATGCTGTATTCAACAGCAGCCTTGCCAGCACGACCAGCACCATTGACTTGAGAATCTCGAGTACCTTATTGACGGTAGCGCCAACTAACAGGGCTGCGGCCGTCTCTTATGGTAACAGTTCGACGGCTTCTTCAAGTATTATACTGGCTTATTCAAATCTATTGAGCAGCGCAGTGTCGTCTGCTTCACTTGTTGCTAGCGCATCATCTTCTGGGTTGTCTTCTTCAGCGTTGTCTTCTTCAGGGTCACCTTCGTCTGCTTCATCTGCTTCGTCGGCTTCGTCTAGTTCTGCAAGAAAAGTCAAGGCAGCTGCCAACGGTGCATACTCTGGTGATTTATTCAAGGCAATTGCATCAGATGAGCCACCCTCGATCTTCCCAAGAAAGGAATTACCGTTATCGATTCCACAGGGTGTTTCGAATGATAATGTTCCATATGAAACAAATAAGTTCTTTGTCAATTTGTTCTTGGGTGAACAAACCGATATGATTTGGTCATATCCGTATGGTATGTACTGGAAGAAAACCGACTATTACGGCTTTGCAGTTCAACACACGAATAAAACCAATAGGGTTTTCGGTTCTTCGGATACCAACAACAAGGGAGTGGACTCTTACTACTTCAATCCGATCCTTGATGGTGAGTTGATCTTTTCGGCTACATCTTTGACCAAAGACGCAAATAAGTTGACTGTGTCGAACATGAAGAGTATGTCTGCCTTGGTGCAATTGTCTGAAGACGGAGATGTGTCGTCTAATTACATTGACATACCTGTTGTCCAAGGCATGGGATTTGTTTCTGCGATCTACCATGGAGATTTTGTGGCTGAATTGAACTCTATGGTTGGATTCGACCAAGTGACTCAAGAGACCTCCAGCAAGTTGAGCTCCAATGTGCTCAAGTATAGAGTGAAATTGTTCAATGGCATCGAATGGTTGGCATACGTTACTCTTCCAAACGGCAGCACAAGTGACTTTAAATTGTCTGCCAAGTCGTCCTACTCGATCGAAGGATCCAAGGCTGTCGATGGACTTTTGTTGCAAATTGCAGTGGCTCCAACCTCTTCGAGTGATGAAAAATATTACGACCAGGCTGCTGGTCAATATGCTGTTTCTGCTAGCGTTGAGGGTCAAGTATCGCTGGGCAGCTCTGTGAGCTACTCTTTCAAATATGAGACTGAGGGAAGTTCTAGTTCTGGAAAAACCATAGTTTTCGCCTTGCCCCATCACTTAGACAGTCTTACCGGAGTCACCAAGCAGTCTTCTACGGGCATCCAACTCACTTCCACCACCAAGGGTGATATGACTGCTTTCTTGACTAACGAATTGAGCTTCAGCGAAACCTTGACGTCTTCTCAAGTGCTGTTCCTTCCATGGACAAGTCAAATGACTTCGGCGCTTTCCTACACCAAAGATCAACTTCAATTGTTAGCAAAGACCGCCAACAGCGAGCTTTCGGTGGACATCAACAACGCGGTGAATTCTGTTGATTCCACCTACTCTTCAGGAAAGGTGTTGGACAAGTACGCATACATTCTTCTCGTGGTAAGTGATATCATTGGCGATGACGACGTTGCGAAAGATACTCTTGCTCAGCTCAAAGATGCTTTTGAAGTCTTCACCTCCAACAAGCAGTACTATCCTTTCATGTACGACACCAAGTTTGGAGGAGTAACTTCAACCGCTGCTCAGAACGGTGATACTGGGGCAGATTTTGGTGCACCATACTACAATGATCATCACTTCCATTATGGATATTATGTCCACGCAGCTGCCGTTGTTGGATATGTTGACAAGAAATACGGTGGAACATGGGCTGAAGACAACAAAGAATGGGTTAATTCGTTGGTAAGAGATGTTGCAAATCCATCAGAAGACGACAAATACTTCCCTGTTTCAAGAATGTTTGACTGGTTCGCAGGTCACTCGTGGGCATCGGGATTGTTTTCTTCGGGCGACGGTCGTAACGAAGAGTCTTCTTCTGAAGATTACAATTTTGCCTATGGTATGAAAATGTGGGGTAATGTCATTGGAGATGGTGCGATGGAGGCTCGTGGTGATTTGATGATCTCGATCATGAGCAAGGCCATGAACAAATACTTCTACTACACCGACGACAACACTGTGGAGCCCAAGGAAATCATTGCCAATAAGGTTTCTGGAATCTTTTTCGACAACAAGGTTGCTTATACAACCTACTTTGGATCACCTTCCGACCACCCAGAATACGTTCATGGAATCCACATGCTTCCAATCACCCCAGTTTCGTCCATAATCAGAGGTCCTACCTTTGTTGAACAGGAATGGGACCAACAAATATCCACATTTATCGATAATGTTAACAGTGGCTGGACAGGAATCTTGAAGCTCAACCAAGCATTGTATGATCCCAAATCGTCATACGAATTCTTTTCGTCTTCCGACTGGTCCTCCAGCTACTTGGATGATGGACAGAGTAGAACGTGGAGTTTGGCGTTCTCAGGTGGTGTTTCCAACCTGATTTGATGTATAGTAATTATGTAACTTTTATGGATAATGTCTCGAAATATTTCAGCGCGAATTGTTCGCGAGTGTCAATTCTTACCATGTTCTCCTTTGCTAAACGATTGGTAGATCGACTTGATGGCGCCCAGGGCCAGAACAAAACGGATTCCTACTTCAAGAATGGATTCCTGATCAATAACAAAGGATATGGGCTTCGGGTGTTGAAGGTAACTCCTCATTCGATCGCACATCAGCATGGACTCGAGTCATGGTTCGACTATATAATACGAATTAACGGCCATGAGCTTCCTATGATGTATCCTTCGCTTTCCAACTACGCCTACAGCATCAATGATGATGGTCTGATAAACTATGGAGGACAAACCACCTCAGAACAGGCGGGAATGATAAACACCGACTTGCTTCTCCAAGAATTATCGGCAATATCCAAGAACGAACATGCTACAAAAGAGATCACTTTGGACGTGTGGAGTGCTAAGGGTGGCATTATTCGTCAAGTACGCTTGCCATTGAACAAACCAGATGAATTAAAAGACGAAACCAGTGTAGACTCGTCCAAATTATTTTATGGTTTATTTGCCGAAATCGGTGTTGTTCTTCTGTCGCAACACTTGAACACCGCCACCTATGTATGGCGTATCCTCCAGACTCATATGGGGTCCCCGGCTTTCCAGGCTCAATTGGTGCCATACTCCGACTATATCATAGGCTGCGATTCTGCGTCGCCTGATGAGCCCCAAGGTCAAGGACTTTTAACCAGTGGTGGTGAAGCGTTGTTGTCCAGGGTTGTTTTGAACTACTACAACCAACATTACCTGAAAACAAACGACGATTTCGTACCAATTACATTATATGTCTACAATCATGACTACGATATACTCCGACCTGTGACTGTCAACTTGTCTCGCTCGTGGGGTACCGGCCATAATAAGGGTGTGCTTGGCTGTGACGTCGGTTATGGGTTGCTCCATCGAATTCCTGAGGTGATAGGCAAGTTTGGAAACCACGAAATTGTGGACGATGTGCTCTTTGAGAATAAGGAAGAAATTGCTTACAATTTGAATCCACCAGCAGAAACCAGTCCTGCTGTTCCTGCCACGCCTGCTCCAGGTCCCGATGCGTTTGTACCTTTAAGTGCTGGGGCTGCTCCTCCGCCTCCTAGAGGGGCCGCTAAAAAGAAGAAGCATGCTGCTCCAACGGGTGGTTTGGGTGATCTTCAGGATTACATGAATGAAGAATTGGCTAAGTCAAAAGAGCAGGATGTCACCGCTGGGTCCAGCTCGCCAACGAAGGACTCGGTACCTCCTCCTCCTCCAATAAGTAACTAATTAACGAAAAATCAGTAGATTTGTAGAATCTCGAAAAAAAATGCCCACTGTCGGAATCGAACCGACGATCGCTCCATTACGAGTGGAGCGCCTTACCACTTGGCCAAGCGGGCTTTTCGGTGTATATAAGCGACGGGCTAGCTACATCCGCCGTAAAGTCTCAACATCTACAACAACTACCTGAGTTTGTCTTTGCTTCATCCAATTACTTTTCATCTTTTTTCGATCATTTCTTCAACAAGTTGACATTTTAGGTTTCAAGTGTTTCGAAACAAGTTCAAAATGGCACTTTTTTGCACTCTTGGTATGTTTATAATAGACGAGAACCGGTATCCCGCTTCCTCCAATCGTCCTAACGATTACGATATTATAGGTGGAGCCGGTCTGTACGCATTAATTGGAGCGCGCATTGTAGCGGGAGAAAAACAAAGTAAGTCGGTGTGCGCGATAATAGATAAAGGATCGGACTTTCCGCACCAAGTGGAGCGAGAATTACTAGCATGGAACACCGGAACTATCTTCCGAGAAGACAAAACAAGATTGACTTCTCGTGGTGCCAATATCTACGATGAACAGGGTATACGTCATTTTGAGTATCTCGCTCCAAAAAAGAGAATAGAAGCCAAGGATGTTGTGGCTAATGACTATCTTTTGCACTCCAAATGTTTCCATTTGATTTGTTCGGTAGACAGGTGCAAAGAATTGGTGGAGTCAATTGGGGCTAATACTACTGAAAATCCTATATTTATCTACGAGCCATTACCAGACGACTGTATTTCTGAAAACTTTGATAAATTGCTGCAATTATTACCCCAGATTGATATCTTCACACCAAACTTAAACGAGGCATGTCTGCTTGTGGGTGAAACAGAATTGCCAGACACTGAGGAAGGTTTGGACAAAATTGCATCTAAATTCTCTCGCTATCTTTCCAAGCCTAAATCTGGCCTTGTCTTACGATGTGGAGCCCTTGGTTGCTACGTGGATGCTGAGGGAACCAGCCAGTTATATCCCGCTTACCACCAGGATCAGAGCAAAGTTATTGATGTCACAGGCGGCGGAAACCTGTTTTGTGGTGGATTTGCAGTGGCCTATGTGCTCACAGGAAATTGGCAAACTGCCGCAATTTGTGGAAATATCGTCAGTGGATGTATTATAGAACGACTTGGCATGCCGAAAATGGGCGTGGAGAATGGCAGAGGTGGTGAGACTTGGAACGGTACTTCTTTTGAAGAACGTTTGAGAATATATGCCGAGAAGAACCCAGCTTTAAATCTCGGTGATCTTCTTCTGTCTTCTTCAAAGCAGTAAAATATCATAGGTAAAGTACATTATACTAGTTTTCTTTCTGTATAGTGGCATCTGGAGAAGGACCAGGAGTGGATTCGGATTTAGCTTCATCCTCTATTCCAGCTTCCGTATGCGAGTCATCGGCTTCTTCCTCGGTATCCGTGTGAGAGCCATCAAATGAGTTCGTAACAGGCACGTTATCTTCGTGATACAAGCGGCGCAAGATCTCGCGCCTATCGGTCCAGCTTCTAAGTTTCTTTCCATAGATGTAAAGAGGTATGCCAAAAAGACTCACAAATAGCTGGACCATGCCGTAGGCAATGAAAATATTCCTACCGCCTCTTGCACTGTATGCTGCGTTGTTGAAGATGGAAAAGATAAATCCTAGAAAGTTCTTCAAAAAGTTAAACGAGACCAATGCCTCGGCAGCAAACATCTTGTATGAGTCAACCGTAAATGTAATAGCTGTTGTCGATGCCATCGAACTCCCGAAAGAGAGACATCCAAAGAATATGACGGGGCCTGCCCACATATCCTCGGCTTGAGCCGACCAGCCGTAACCAATAAGGCCAAATGAGATGAAGAAAGTTGCTGGGATCATCATAATGAGTCTAAATTCTGGTTCATAAATTCCATGATTCTTGGAAACCAAATATCTTGAGAGTCTGTCGCTAATGAGTCCCGTGCACATAGAGCCCAAAATACCACCTATGAAGGGAGATATGTAGAAGAGCCCAATAGTTTGTTGGGTGTATCCGTATGCTTCGCCATGGAAAATCTCGGCGATGGTCTCGGAAATCACAATCAACCATACAACAGCCAAAGAATAAATGAATGATCCAAAGAGTACCGATGGGTACGTGTAGAGGAAAAATGGCCGTAATGCCACCATCCACCAGCTGTCAATGGTATGGCGGCCATCAAAAATAGCTAGGGATTTCCAGTATGGCTTTGGAGCGGCAGGGGTATGCTCTGGTGGTGGAGGCTCGGTGATGGCAACGGGGGCTTCTACTTGGGCAGAAGGGGCTATGCGGGAGGTGTTGACCACAGAAGATGATAAACTTTCCACTTCTAAAACGTTATCTGTGGTTGCCCTATGGAGGGCAAATGCATTTGGACGGCGTTCAGGGGGGTTATAATTGGCCACATTATGTGCCGCTTCAGTCTCTTCCAATGAACGCTTGTTGGGAGTCGGTGACCTTTCCCAAAATGTCTCTGGGACAAAGAAAAATGTCAAGAGAAGGTTCATACCGAGGAACATAGCAAGGATCCAGAAGAGCCAGTGGCGGTCCAACAGTTCGAACACAAGCCCTGACAATAACGGAATGATATTTTTTCCTCCAAGCATAAGCATGGTGTAAATTCCCACTCGGTAGGCTCTCTCGTGAGCAAAGTAAATTTCGGCTATAGTAGCACTAGGAAGAGATTCTGTTGGTGAAGCACCGAAACCGGTGATGATTCTACCGGCCATGAGGGCCCCAAACGACTTAGCAGCTCCCGCCACGATAGAACCTACGAAAAAGATCAAGATTCCCATCAAATAAACGAATCTTTTTCCATATAAGATAGCAGTTGGACTTGCAAAAACTGAGCCTGTACCAAGCGCCAACATGAAGCCACCAACTAGGTATGCCACCGTAGTGAGAGGCTTGTCAAATTCAAGATGAAGCGAGTTCATACCTGCTGCAAGCAACGGGGACTGACCGCCTCCAAGAAAAGTTTGAAATCCCACAATCAACAAACACAAATCTCGTTTCCACATCGGCCAGTTTAAAGGATCATTTGGGTTATCCTGGGGGTTGAGGGTGTAATATAATACCGGTGACTGACCGTTTCAATGCGACGGAGTCTTGATCGTTCAGAACTCCGGAAACGGTATCGTTATCCATCATGACGATGGAACCCGTCACCTGGCGTGCGCGTGGCTGCTTGATCCCTAGACGAGACATGACTAAGGAGGAAAAGCGCTGGGGTATTTGTATAAATAGTCAACAATACTCAAATCAAACACGATTTGTTCTCCGCATAACATGGAGTGCACGGTGGTGCGGCGCGCTTGGCATCGAGGTTATGAAGGAGGCTTGGCCAACGGAGGAGTAGAGCTTGATAAGAGGTTCATAAACATATGAGACAAGCTAGCGTAGAAGGTGAACATTGAGCTAAGGATTGAACTTAGGGTGAGACTGAGCTGCTCAACATTTGTTACTTCTGTGTTCTTTGACACACTTTTGTCTCCACCTTCCTTATTGTTTCGCAGCCATGAGGTGCAGGTTGTGCGCGTCGAGGAACGATGGTACTATGATGGTGCCATGTCTAGTGAAGAGGAGTTTTTTGAGTAATTGAAGGGGGACACTTTCTTTCACTTTCTCTTCCACCTCTCCTCACTCTTCTCTTTCTTTTTTCAAATTTTGTTGAATAGTTTCTTTAAATGTCCTGGCATGAACCGCGGCCAAATTGCAAATTTAGGTAATTATGTATTATTAGAAACTTTTAAAATTGACTCCTTACTTCAGTTCCATGCTCTTACACACCCAACGCAATTAAGTATCTATCCCCAAATTCCCCAAAAGAAATCATCTTCTTTTTCTCTCCCTCTATTTTCAACCGCACCGCATTACTTTTCCATAAATGGCTGGCAGCAGCAAATCGTCAAGGACTGCACATAACACCACGCGTCAAGCTGTGAATTTCTAATTTGTTCAAGGTCCGACAATTTGCTCAGTGGTGGACTCTGTTAATATGACTACGGAATCTCCGCTGGTGTATATTGCAACGTATTCAAACGTAAGTATTACCTTGTGTACCCTGATAAATTTCCGAAACCTTCAAAACGCCTGATAAATGATTTTTTCCAACTTCGGCTATGGCTCAAGAAATCCTCGTTTTATAATTACTTGTCTACTATCTGTGGCCAGTAACTTGCATGGCAAGAAAACTCCGGCAGAGGATAGCGCTGCTAACCCGCTTACTGGTCATGATTTTTGTTGCTTGGTATATTTAATATTGGTGCCGGTTTCGTGCTCTGAACCCTTCATGGCGCGAGGCATCCCGCGTCACAAACCACATTTTGCACCCAGTTACTAACTCAGACCGATGTGTACGAATGCTGCATCAACGACTCGCCCATAATGCGACGGGTTAAAGACAATTGGGTCAACGCTACGCAAATTTTGAAGTGTTGTAATTTTCCCAAAGCGAAGAGAACGAAAATTTTGGAAAAGGGGGTCCAACAAGGATTACACGAGAAAATCCAAGGTGGATACGGAAGGTTCCAGGGGACTTGGATTCCATTGGAAGATGCCCAACAGTTGGCAGCGAACTATGGTCTTTCTCCAGAAATGGCCCCCGTGTTGTATCTTGACCTCGATATGAATACGGTTCTTCCCAAAAAGGCACGCCAACTTAACAAAGATGGCACCCCCGTAAAGCGCAAGTACGTAAAACGAAGCAAGCCTGGTGACACACCGTCAAAGAAACCTCGAAACGACATGGATTCATCAATGAACCAGGAGGCTTATCGTATGCAACTAATGGCGGCCGCTCAACCCAGACCGGGCCCTACGCCTGCACCAATTCCGCAAACTGGTATGCCCTATCAAAATTACCAAAATGACTTCATTGGTGGTATGGTACCACCAGCAGTCTCCCAATCGTCAATTCAAAGTGAGTACCAAAACTATCAACTCCAATTTCAACGAATGCAACAACAACAACAATCTCACCCACAGCCAGCGCTTCCACAGCAGGCTTCCTTTTACCCACCCCAGCAGCCTATGTTAAACTATCAACACACCAAAGCTTCACTGTCGCAGTCTACAAACGAAACAAACTGGTCCTACGATGAGCACAAGGACTCAGACACGTCGGAATCATCCAATGACGGCACCAAAGGCAAGAACACTGAATCTTACGCTTCCCAGATACTAAGATTTTTCACCGAAGAAAATGCACCCGTTCCATTTTTCATCCATAACCCACCATACGATTTCAACATCAATGAAGCAATAGACGACGAGGGACATACTGCCCTTCACTGGGCAGCTTCCATTGGAAATTACCATATGACCCACCTTCTCATTTCCAAAGGTGCTAACCCATTGGAAGTGAACAACTTTGGACTCAATCCATTGTCAAAGTTGATCCTGTTTAATAACTGCTTTGAGATGAAGAACTTTCCAAAGATGTTAGATGAATTGGAACTATGTCTAATCAACACCGACAGCAATGGCAGGACGCCGATTCATTATTTATGTCAATTCTCTTCCATGGAGTCAAAGTATGAGAGCTTTCGCTATTACTTGAGTGTGATGGTGGCCAAATTGACGAGCATACTGCGTGCCGATGCCAACTCAGTTAACTTGTTGAAAAACGTTCTTGACCATCAGGATGTGAATAGAGATACTTGCTTGCATTTGGCCGCAAGAGCAGGCTCGGCAAAGCTTGTGAGAAAGCTCCTTAGCCATGGGGCAAGAGATGATTTACCAAACGTTCAAAACGAGACCGCCAAGCAATTGATAATGAAGCTCAACATCATGGGCGACAATTCGAATCAACTGCTCTTGGTAACTCCAATGCAACCTCTGTACAATGCGATACATACACCCGATACGCAGCGCACAACCTTACAAGAAGAGGGAGATGACGACAAGATCAAGCTCGACGACAACAAGGAGAATATCTTTATGGATGAAACCATGAAGTCGTCTTTTGAAGCTATGTCAACACCCACGCCAGATAAGAATGGACTTCACCCCACAAATAGACCATTAACGATAATATCTGAGCGAACAGTCGAAAGCACACCGATCAAGGGAGAAGACCACAAAGTATCACTAGGAGCTGCCATAACCCAGACCTATTCACCGCACCCTCCGAAGTTAGACAAAGATGGGAAAGTTGTCGAAGATCATGGCAGCAGAAAGTTGTCTATGCAAGATCTTTCTTCCATGGTGAATGGGATGCTCAATGCACTTTCAGATTCGTATAACCTGCAATTGGCGAAGCTCAAACAGCAGCAACTTACGCTTGAATCCACTATTGCTGAGAAGAGGGAGATAAATGAAAAGTCGGAGCAATGGTTGAACACATTATTCCAGACCTATTTCGATCACGTGGAATCCAATGAACAAGGCAAACAACTTACTGACGAAAAGATCAAGGAGTACGAGGACACTATCGGTATAAAAGTACAGTCATTGCAACGAACGTTGGAAAAGAAGGACGCATACCGATTGGCCAATATGGTGGAAGTTCATGAAAGTCAGATAAATGATGAAACGTCACCAGATGACAGTAAGAAGTTTGAGCTTGCTACAAAGCTAACAAAGCTTCAGTACAAAAGGTCACGACTCCTAACCGACACTGTAGCAGCAATTAAGAATTACGGGATTGATTCAAAGCTCTACAAGTATAAGAAATTGATCAGTTTGAGCAGCAATTTGAAGGTGGAAGATATCGATGGGCTTATTGATGGCATAGAAGAATCCTTGATGGAGGCTTCCTAACAAATTATATGTATAGATGGTGTAATGAAACGAGCCAGTTCTCTGTAATATGCAGTTTTAAGTTGTAACTTTCGCAGTCGAAATAACAATTCGCATTCAGAATTTACAAATCGTCTCAACTTGATGATATCCAATAGAATAGATTTGGGCCCTGAGGAGCCCAAAGAAACATTAGTCAACTTTCCCCAGTCCATAATGAGTGGCGTGACCAAAGAGGGAGGCTTGGTCTCTCTCACATTCAAGTCTATCAAAACAGCTGATTTGGTTGAGAATTTGGATATGATGCGCCAATCGCTAATACGGCCCACTGACGAGTTTTTGCCCACGAGAATATCCAGCGATGAATTTGACCCAGAGCAAGTAACACTGAGGATAACTAAGGCGGCTCAACCTATCGAATACGTTCTGGAAACCAACGAAATATCATCTTTGCATCAAAAATTACAGAATAACGACGCCGATGTAGGCGAATTGTTAACTAAAAAGGTCGAAAACAATAGCTCCAAACTGCTTGTCGTGGCAGAGACTAAGGTAATGTCGGTGAATTACAACATAAAAGTTGAGGTTGCCCCAGACCAGTGATATCATTAGCATTCAGCTATTTAATGTGTATAATATGTATAAGGCTACTAAATTTCCATGTCGCCTGCAACGTCATCATCACTAGATAAACTTCCCACATCGCTGAGCTCGTCATCGTCGTCATCATCATGAGCAACCTTGCCGTTGCCGTTGACATTACCGTTGCCATTGCCATTCTCTATAGGGTAGTTTTCGTCCTCATCATTAACTATGTTTTGAGCATACTGCTGCACGTACTGCTTCACGGTCGAGTTGTACTTGGCCTCGTCCTTGTTCATGAGCGTAGAAGCCTCGGTATTCAACGGATCGCTGGGGTTGGCGTAGCGGAGCAAATGAGGCAAGAAGTTCTCAAAAATGTTGACAAGGCCAAACATTGGCGACCATGTTTGGTTGATGACGTCAAGACACACAGACCCCGAGCTCTCGTCGATATTGGGGTGGAAGATTTTGTTGGTAAAACCAATCGACGGTGATTTGAGCGGATACTGATCCGGAAGCTCCACACGAACCTTCCATTTTCCGCCAGCATAAGGGGTATCTGAGGGACCATTAAATATGACATGGAACTGCTGGAGAGAATCGTTCACGAGAGCAACATCGTGGCCACTCATCATAAGGTCCATAACGTCCTTTTCTATACGTCTCTTGGGAGAACTCATGGTGATAATGAAGGTCCTAGACCTACGATAAAATACGACTGTTTTGTTTGTATGGGAACTTGTTCGCAAATGGTGGCGAACTAGGAACTAAAACGGAGCGGTGGTAATATAAAAATATGTCAAGAAATGCAATAAGTTAAAAAGTGGGAAATAATAGTGGTCACAAGGGGGTCACTCGAGTGGGATTGCCTGCAGGATCGACTATCGGATGCGAAGTCGCAGCAAAACGGTTGCAACTTCCACTTTAAAGTTCATTACATTTATTATATACACTATATAGATATTAGGAGAAACTAGTCAAAGCCCTTGGATTCCGGCTGCCTGTCTCTTTTGACAATCTCGATGATCCACTCACACGAAAAAATAGCCTTCCCGTTCTCAAGAAACGTAGAAGTTGCTGGGTACTTTCCCCGGACTAATGAACCACTAGGAAGCGTATGAGGTGGAAATGTCACTTCATGGTAGGGATTATCGTCGGTATTGGGCACGATATTGTCACCAATGGGCAATTTTCTTGTATCAAATGGAATTCCATGTTTTTTCACAACCTGGTGATACCCAAGCAGACGAATTGGTCTCTTGGCTCGGTAGCGAATTGTCAAGGTATAGGTGCTCTTTTCAGGAAGAACAAAATGGAGCCGTTGGGGCATCTCATCCATATCTTGTGAGTACCGGAGAGGCTGGTCATGGCCATCAATGGCAATGGTCATCGCACACAATTCCAAGTCGTCGTTCTGAAACTCGGCTATAAGCTCTTCTCTAGTTTTCGTCATTCCAAGTTGAATTCTATACAGCTACATGATAACCATGGGCTATTTATACGGCTTCGGAGTCATGTGAATTTGCTCGGGCATCAGCGGGCTCAACTCCGAGATGGATGGGCCATTGTCACATGCAATTGTCCGCGTCGCACAATACGGCATTTCACCACAGGTCAATAGCCGCATAACCTAGAATTGCTACGAGCAAGTTCCATGGAATGGTTCAGTTTGCTCATGCCACCTTCTCTGCCCCGCTCAATTTCACAGCTGCACCGTATTTTTGAAGTTTGGTCAAGAGCTGGTCACCCTGCTTGATAAGCAAGTGGTATTGGTTGTTCTTATTGTCGGGTCTGTTCGTCTCGATGATGCCGTTGACCTTGTCGATGGTACAATTGAGCTTTTTCGTGGGAATGAATCGACAAAGATCCTGGTCCAAAAAGTCCTCGCTGATATTGAAGCTTTGCGCCATAGACTTCGTAGACAATGACTTGTAACTCTCGAGTAATTGCCCATAAGCTTTACACCTCAACTCTCGCAAAAAGTACTGAGCGTGTTGATGCAAGTATTTGTTCCCAACGAGTAACCTGTCGTGGGTTTCTAACAAATATTGAAAGAAACACCCATACTGACAGGTATACAATGAATTGGTAACGCTGACAATAGGGTCCAATAAGTCTTGCGCATTAGAGTAGATGGACAAAAGTTCTGGCAGATCAATGATCTTTTCCTTGAGGTCGACTCGATCCAACGATAATACTCCACAAACGATGGCATACTGAGCAACTTGTTCATAAGAGCACAATTCTGTAGATGTGAATGTAGCCAACGAATCTATCAAAAGTTTAGACGCTTCAGCAAACTTCCGTGTAGCCATCAAATAGATACCATTGTATGTCTTGTACCGATTCCGGCGTTCCCAATCTCCTCCTTTGTCGATATGCGTCTTGACTTGGTCCAAGTACTTGCCAACCAGGGCATAGTCGTTGAAGAAGAATTCTATTCTAACAACCGCGAGTAAAATGTCGATTTTGGATCCACTACTCTGAGGAAGTTCTAATGCCTTTTCATAAGTTTCCACTGCTTTGGTGCGGTCGACAATCTTTGCATAATATTGGGCAAGTTCCAAGTTACATGCCAAAGCATCTAATTCAGTTTCATCTTCTCCCTCTGCCTCCTTAATCTTTTGGGTCAAGCCAGAAATTTCCTTTTCATTTACAGCCTCCATTTCCTTGTACAAAGCTTCGTCATAAGGAAAATCAGCCAAAGTTTCCTTCAAGTGGCGATAATACGGAGCCATCGAGTTGACTTTAATTTCCTTGATCAAACGATCAATGATTTCCTTGGATGAACCATTATAACTTCCCAGCTGTAGCAAGTACTGGTCTTCCGACAAAGTATAGTCTGGGATCTTTTCAAGGCCCGAATCAATTTCCATGATGATGTAGTTCGTGGCGACGACGACGAGTAAACCTCAAGTGAGCACCTGCACACGGCGTGCTACGAGCGAATAGAACCTGGAGCCGCATAAAGTTGTGCATGTTGCGGCATTGTGGCCGAGTGGTTAAGGCGATGCACTCGAATCTTTTGAGTTATGCATTGGGATTTCCCGCGCAGGTTCGAATCCTGCTGATGTCGTTATTTTTTAATACCCTTACCACAAAATTAAATTGACACGGAGTTTACTCAATGGAGTAGTGGTCCGACTACCCGATACATCGTCCCACAATCCCCAGACCGCGGGACCCTTGCCCTTGCGAACCGATCCCCTCACTGCCGAATGGAGTTCGCAGCCGAGGTAACTCCGCCGGTATATAAGGGGGAGGGTTTGCCCCAACATTAGTCGAACCATGTCTGTTAAAGAGGATATTCCGGCTATTTTTCTCGACAAGATTTCGCCCAAAGGATTGGACGCGATCCAGAAATGTAAGGATTTTGTCGAGCAATACTGTCTTCCGGCGGATAAAATATACCTAGAGCAGCTTAGCCCTGACCCCACAAAAAGATGGAAATCTACCCCACAAATCACTGAAAAATTGAAGAAAAAAGCCCAAGAATTGGGACTTTGGAACATGTTCTTGTCAAAACACTATGCTGAGGGTGCAGGGTACACCAACTTGGAATATGGGCTCATGGCAGGTTATTTAGGGCGGTCGTTGGTGGCCCCAGAAGCAACCAATACCAATGCACCCGACACGGGCAATATGGAATTGCTTGCCAAATACGGCACTCAGTACCATAAAGAACGTTGGCTCAAGCCATTGTTGAACGGAGAGATTCGGTCGGCTTTTTTGATGACGGAAAAGGGTACTTCTTCGTCTAATGCGTTGAACATTTCTGTTTCGGCCAAGAAAAATGCCAATGGGAATTGGGTATTGAATGGTATTAAGTGGTTCGCTTCTGGATCAGGAGACCCACGGTGTTCAGTTTGGTTGGTAATGTGCAAAACAGCCGAAACTAAGGCGATTTATGAAAACCACTCGGTTCTCGTTATCGATGCCAAAAAGGCATTGGCTACAGGAAATGCCAAATTGATCCGGCCATTACATGTTTTTGGCTATGACGATGCTCCTCACGGACACTTTGAGGTGGAATTCAACAACTATGAGATTCCAAGTGAAGATATGCCCCATTCCATATTGGCTTCTGAAGGTAGAGGATTCGAGCTCATTCAGTCGAGACTTGGTCCTGGTCGTATCCACCACTGTATGAGACTGATTGGTGCTGGAGAACAAGCGTTGTTGCGCGTGAGCCATCGTGCCAACAATCGGCTCATTTTCGGTACACTTATGGCAAAGAGAGAATCATTTATTACTGCATTTGCCCAGCACAAGATCAACCTTCAGAAATGTAGATTGCTCGTTTTGAATGCTGCCCACAAAATTGACATCAGTAATGCCAAACAGGCACAACGGGAGATTGCTATGGCCAAAATTGAGACTCCAAGAACCGTTGGTAGGGTACTTGACTGGGGTATCCAAATGTTTGGAGCAGAGGGAGTTTCGCAAGACACCGAATTGGCTCGTCTGTATGCTATCAACCGGACACTCCAGATTGCTGATGGCCCCGACGAAGCTCATTTGAACCAATTGGGATTGAAAGAGGCCAAGAAATTTGCACTTGCAAGTGAATTCTTTGCTCAACAAGAAGAATACCGCAAACGATTATCTAACCTCTAGAGAGAAATGTATTAGGAATATATGGATATTTATCAGTACAAGTCGGATTTGACAAAGTCATTGATGAGGCCCTTGGCAAGGAGTGTTTTAGATTTGGCCAATTCGGTTTTGATTTTAGCTGCCTGACGGGCTTTTAATTCTGTTTCTGCTTCTGGGAAGGGAATTTTTTGCAACTTTTCTAAATGGTCATCTTCGGTATCAATATCCAACTCTCCCATCATAACTACATTTTCTCCTCGAATCATAAACACCCCTCGGTAAGCTTCTGAGTATCTTTGTGGGCTCAGATTGTCGTCGTTTTCGTCGTTCAAATATATTCTTTCAACTGCATCTTGAAGTACAAGATTGGCAAATTGGTCAAACGTCCTCAATATGCCAAACAATTTACGACCATCTCTCATAAGCACGAATATCTTTCTGTCCACTGATCCTACTATGGCAGCGGCTGTGGTAAAAGCGTAGGATTCGAGGTAAAGATCCTCGACATTGGGACCTGGTTCTGCCATTTTTTATTGGTGGAAAAGGCACAGGGCGGCACGGAGAGTGAAGTTAACGGAGAATAAGGGCCAGATTACGGCTTTTGTTACTCAATCTTTTGATATGTTTAACTGGTGGTTGCGACGACGAGCCTTGAAAGTTAGTTGATAATTGTGGTAAGGACACGACCCGAAATATGAAGCTGCAAAACGATGAAGAATTGTAGAGTTTGGGGAAGAGTTATGAGCAGCCAGAGAAGCGCTTCTTGTTTTTGTGCTATGCATTGACGGATTCAATTGTAGTTTATTTGTGATTGAGCTTTTGTGCCTAAAATTACCTAGAGTCCATAATTTCCATATTCCACTCAATGATGTTGATAGAATAATTTTTTCTACCCAAAACTAAGATCGTGGATCTAAGCACTTCAATTACGTTAGTTTGAATTACATAGTTGTTACTCCATGTATAGACATTCATCGCTTATCTGCAGTACCCGATGAGTTAAGCCAGAAAAAATCACCTCTACCTTATGTCGTTCTATGCCTACAAAGACGTTATAGAAGAAGGCGATCTTGTTCTCGCCTTCATAAGCAGAGGAAATATAAAACCCATCAATGTCACAAAAGGACAAACATTAAATACCCGATATGGACAATACGACCATGATCGCATGATAGGCATGAAGTATGGAGAGCAGATGGCAGGAGCCAAAGGTCATGGATTCATACATTTATTACATCCCACACCCGAATTATGGACTTTATCGCTTCCACACCGTACGCAGATTGTGTATACACATGACTCTTCGTATATTACTCAGAGATTGGGTGTGACTAGTGGAACCAGAGTCATCGAAGCTGGCACTGGATCGGCCTCATTTACCCATTCTTTTGCGAGAACCGTGGGACTTGAGGGCCGGGTATTCACATACGAGTTTCATGAACCTCGTTTCGTTGAAGCAAAGGCAGAAATCGAGAGCCATGGTCTCGATAGTAATACTTACATTACCCATCGAGACGTTTGTAATGATGGTTTTGAAGTGGAAAACATACCGCCCAGGTTCAATTCCGGCGATGGAATTGCTGGAGATGTGGTGTTTCTCGATTTACCTTCACCGTGGGATGCAATTCCTCATTTGCCCAAAGTCATTTCACAAAAGTCCCGCGTAGGAATCTGCTGTTTCTCGCCGTGTATGGAGCAAGTCACCAAGACAGTGGAAGCACTTAAGGAAAATGGCTGGATCAGTATTGAGATGGTGGAAGTTGCTGGGCGCAGATGGGAAGCTCGTAAAGAGATGGTGCGAGACATTGACGATGTGCTCAAACGAATAAGAGATATTCAAGGCAGAAAAAACCAGGGCATCGAAAAGAGAAGAGCCGCCAAGGTCCAGGACTCACGCAAAAGAGAATTTTCCGAGGTGGAGTCGCCGCAAGAATCGCCGGAACCTTCTTTTCAAAATCTCACTCCAGGATATAATCCGTTTGGCCGAGGCCAACGAGTCAAAGAAGGAGACGATAAATTTACATGGAGAAACGTTACCAGGATAGAAGTGGACGTCAAAAGTCATACTTCATATCTTACATTTGCCTATAAAATGCCTTCACCATAGTGCGTACTGCAGACAAGCCAGGAGGGTGGTGTAAAGTTTCGGGAGACAATTTCTAGTCAGCGACTTTGCTTGGGAAGAATACGAGCTAGTATATAATCAGAGCATAGTTAGTATTCATCATCTAGCCGTATACATACCTGTACCATGAGCTCCCCAATTGGTAAGTTTGAGACTTCAATCGATTCATTTTCTTTTTGCTAACGCAGTTCTCGATCAAGGTACCGGGTTCGTCAAAATTGGCCGTGCCGGAACTAACTTTCCTGACCATACATTCCCTTCAATTGTCGGTAGACCGATCTTGAGAGCAGAGGAGAGAAATGTGTTGGTTCCTTCTGATGTAGAAATTAAAGATATAATGTGTGGCAGTGAAGCCAGCGACGTCAGATCATTGTTACAGATTAGTTATCCCATGGAAAACGGTATCATCAAGAATTGGGAGGATATGGAGCATTTATGGGACTATGCGTTCTACGAGAGAATGAAAATTTCCACTGAAGGACAAAAAATTTTGTTGACAGAACCTCCCATGAACCCATTGAAGAATAGAGAAACTATGTGTGATGTTATGTTTGAGAAATACCAGTTCGGAGGTGTCTATGTTGCTATTCAGGCAGTGTTGGCGTTGTACGCTCAAGGATTGAGTTCTGGTGTCGTGGTTGACTCCGGAGATGGTGTTACTCATATCGTGCCAGTGTACGAATCAGTGGTTTTAAACCATTTGACAAAGAGATTAGATGTTGCCGGAAGAGATGTAACTCGTAACTTGATCAACTTGTTGTTACGCCGAGGCTATGCATTCAACAGAACCGCCGACTTTGAAACCGTGAGACAAATAAAGGAAAAGTTGTGCTACGTTTCCTACGATTTGAATTTGGATACAAAATTAGCTCAAGAAACTACCACCTTGGTAGAGTCCTACGAATTACCCGATGGAAGAGTCATCAAAGTGGGCTCGGAAAGATTCGAAGCACCAGAGTGTTTGTTCCAACCTCATTTGGTCGACGTAGAACTGCCTGGTGTTGGTGAAACCCTTTTCAACACAATTCAAGCCGCAGACCTCGACGTCAGAGCATCTCTTTTCAAGGCTATCGTCTTGTCGGGAGGCTCCTCCATGTACCCAGGATTACCCTCAAGGTTGGAGAAGGAATTAAAACAATTATGGTTGACCAGAGTGTTGAATAACGACGCTTCGCGGTTGGATAAATTCAAAGTAAGAATTGAGGATCCCCCAAGAAGAAGACATATGGTGTTCATCGGTGGTGCCGTGTTGGCAAATATCATGGCCGACAAGGATCACATGTGGATTTCAAAACAAGAATGGGAAGAACAAGGTCCAAGAGTATTGGAAAAATTGGGCCCTCGCTAAGAGTTAGATGTAAAAGTATGATGTTCTGTATATTGTAGGTGTTTCTATCAGCCATAGTTCAATTCCTCTATCCCCTTCAATACAGTATCAACTAGCCTATCATACAAGTCCGACGTGATAGATCCAGTTCCGTTGTTACGACTGTTATATCCAAAGTTGACTGCCAGATGCACAAGATCACGAACGAATGCTTCACTCACTATTTTGGGCTTCAAGAAATCACTCTCCAAACACTCTTCAACAGTATATCTCTCATTGGGGTCTCGAGCCAAACATTTTTGTAATAACTCAACAGCACTTTTGGGAACCGGCACATTCCCTAATCCTTTGGAAGGGTAAGAAATCTTTATTTGAGGATTCATAATAGCCATAAACCTCTGATTACCCGAGTAGCCGCCATAAGGAGGCATGCCGTAAATCATTTGGTACATGATACATCCACAAGACCATACATCCGATGGCTTACCAACTCTCCAAGTGTTCTTATTTTTCAACATATTGTTTTCAGCATTCATGAGACCGGGAGTCACATGGCCAATGCCTATAAGAGTTTCTGGTGCCATGTAGTTTGGAGTGCCAATTTGAGACTCACGATAAATGTTGGCAGTATGATCGGGAACGGCATTTGCGATACCAAAATCAATAATTTTCAAAACCCCTTTGATAAAGAGAAAGTTTGCTGGCTTCAAGTCACTGTGAACTATACCAGCATCATGCACAGATCTCACGCATTTGAGCATCTCAATGGAGTGAAACTTCACAAAGTTGAGGTCTAATGGATGCGTCGCTGCTAGCCTGTTTTGGAAAACATGAGCCAAATCAATTTCACCGCATTCCATCACTAAATAAATTGAGCCCTCTCCAATTACATGGTCGACCAATTGAACGACCCTTTCGGTACCTTTCAACTTTGTCAAAAGATCTATTTCTCCTTTAAATCCTTTCACGCATACATCATCGAATTGGTCAAACGTAACTTTTTTGATTGCGTAAAGTCGCTGATTGGTCATTGACTTGACTTTGTACACCTTAGATGTACCTCCGCGGCCCATTAACTCGAGCTTTTCATATTGAATTCCATTGATCGCAATATATTTTCTTTTCTTGCCGTCATCGGACAGAGGAACAGCACTAAATGCCCCAGGCCGCACTGCTTTTGGTTTTCGAAAACTCTCAGCTTCGTGTGGTATGTTCAATACATTTGAAGAGATATGCAGAAGGGGACGTCTTGCAACATCACGCGGCTGAACTTCTGGTTTATCAAGATTTTCCTTGTCTCGTATACTTGACGAATTAGGTGGTGTTTTATGCTGAGAGCTTTCATTTGAGCTTGCCATTTCAAGATCTTCATTTCGAGTTCTTTTTGACATTCTGTCGAGTTCATTAAGTCGTTTTTGTTCGTCGATGCGCAGCCTAAGTTCCAGCTCCTTCTCTTTCCAGAGCTCGACGTCATTGTTATGCTGTCGAAGTTCGGTAAAGACGGAAATTCCGGTCTCGAACATGTTATCTTTTGAGTGCCAAGGCGTTGGCGTGGATGCAATATTTTCTTCATTACTTGATTCGGGGACTTTTGGAGCTCTCATTGGCGGTCCAAGCAGTCGCCCAAAATGCCGCGACCCTCGTATACGCTTTGATAACCGTGGTTGGGGCTGTTTGAATATCTCTCCCGGAGTGGTAGTGGCAGTATGACTTGTCAGGCCATTATGTCGAGGTTCTGATTCGTCCATAGAATTGATATGGTCGTCTGTGATGGAATTATGAGTGTTTGATAGTTCTTGTCTCCTCAATCTTGGAGAATGTGTCGAGAATGAGTTGCCGGGGCTTGTGTGTGATGGAGCCGACAGGGCATCATGGTTTAGTGGAAAACCGGAAGAGCCACGATCGCCGAAATGAACGGAAAGTTTGTTTTTCAATCCTTTCAGTTGTGGGAAATCTAATTCGTATACACCCGTTACCTGAGATCCCGGCACCGGCTTAGTTCGTTCGTTCAATAACGAAATGCTATATGAGCTGAGTGCTGGTGGTACAAAAGTGGCATCATCTTCAAAGAACGGAAATTTATTGTCTTTTATTACCACTTTTCGAGGTCGAGGTGTTATATCGTCCGACGGCATTTCATAGGGAATAATGTATGATTGGGGTGATGAGGTCTCAATGAGTGTATCCAGTACGCTTCTCGAGGTAATTAAACGTGCTTGTAAACAAACCGTAGTACAGATGAAAATACGCGATTCAGACTGCATATAAGTTGTTCAAAAGGGCGAAAAAAAACAATTGCTCCACGGCAGGTTCGAACTGTCGACCTTCAGATGACACAGTTATAAACTATGAGACTGACGCTCTGCCAACTGAGCTAGTGAAGCCAATTGCTGGTACAGAATGTAGAATGTAGGTTGAAGTAGGGCAATGATGAAAATATTCTAAAGTGCATTTGATACCTCTTGGAGCTACAGTTTATCATCTCGAGATCGCCATAGTAATCCATTATTTCTCTAGGCAAAGAACTGATTAGGTTATGCAACGTTTGTGATTTCGTTGATACTTTTTGATAAAATTTGTAGAATGCTGTAATCGTTTAGTTTAGTTCAGATTTCGCAACATGGAAATCTCGGGCTAGGTACAGATACGAATTCACTTCGCTTTGCGTTTTCAAATCTCGGGTGCAAACTTTTGAAGATTTGACTAAATAATGACTTTGATGAACACTTTACCTTCTTTTCCAGTAAAAAAGTAAGTGAGCAGAAACCCGTGATTATCAGTTTATTGCGTGTTTTGTATGCTCCAATAGAGGCAATCAACTCACAAATATATATCGGTTTGATTAACCAGGTTTATCCTCCTGAAGTGGCTCAGGCTTATATTGGGGCTCGAGAGAAAGCAGAGCAAATCTTGGTTGTTTAAGAATCTTGATGAATTGAAGCAGGAAACATAAACCTTATACGGATGTAAATCAAGTCTCCGAAATCAATGTTAATACGAAAATGAGTGAACGCACGGCTCTCACACGTTAGCTGCTACATTCCATTAATACATTATCAAATATGGGCCTGGTTTGCGACCCCAACACAACCAGAAGGTGTGATATACCCAGCTCAGAAATTATACTTAAATGAGCTTGGAAAAGTTACTGCGGAAGAATCTTCCCGTTGTATGAGCTTTAAACTAGTGGTTTTGTGTATCTCGTGGATGCTTCGAATAGTTTATTTTTGTATCATCCCACTTTCTCAATTTGTTACGTTTCTCAAATTCTCGATATATGTGTTCACCCTAACCTTCTAAAAATAACTAGTAATTCGGTGACAGCTACGAATCTCCGTGGTTCGAGAACTAAATCCCCGGCCGCATACAGTTACGAAAGAACCTGCAGCCGTCAACATGTGGGTCGCGCTTTGGCTTGATAAGCCGTGTTCTATTTTTAGCATTCAGATTTATCAGATTCTGTGAGATGGTTACTTGCAGCCGTCTTGAATCGTTAGTTGCTGATCAGAACTGACACTGATAAACTAAGGTGTGCCTGATACATCTAGATAATAACAATTCTGTGATTGACTTGTTTTACTTTTGCCGTAGTTTGAGAAGTGAAATATTTACGATGCTTCGGGCTCGCAACCTGCGGCTGTAACTATTTTCAACCTTTCCACACTCAGCGTATAGGGGCAAGATGCAAAGGCAAGGTGGTATTACGAACCAGGGAAAAAGTCATGGTCGATACCAAGAGTCAGTACAACATTCCATAAGAAACTAGCAAACGATCTAGAATTTATTAAATAAACCCTGCCGACTTCTGTCATTCCTTCAACATGAGCCGTTCCATTTTTTCAATTATAGATGATTTGTGGCGCGGCATGCATACCTGAGTAATCCATTGGGCCTTCCGGAGCTATATAAAGGTAGCAGGAACTACCTAAAACCTCAGTATGTCTTCATATTTAGTAACCTCGATTCCTAAATGGACTCCAAGTTCCATCCCAACTCACACGGTGCTTACTTCGGTAGCTGCCACACACTCTTCGAAATTGGCAAAGTCTTTATCGTCTGCAACTGCTAGATTGGCGACGGAAACACTCACAGAAAATATTCAGAGTCTTACATGGGTCGTGAGAGGTGCTCAAGCTTCGTTAACCGTGATTAGTGCTGAAAATGTTTTAGCAACGGCCACAGATTCTTCAGTCCAGGCCAGGGCAACCCAGGCTATCTTCGACGCTACCTTAAACATGAAAGAGCTCGTGGACGAACAAAATTTATATGGGTACAACCTCAATGTTGGTGCCAATTATTTTTTTCTTGTCGTCTATGGAATCATCACTCTTTACTTTTTATTGATGTGTACCATTTCACGATACCATTGGTTCAACATAACGTTTTTGTTAGGTTACGGACTTGAATTTGTGGGGTTCTTCGGAAGAATCAAAAGTATTCATGATGTAACCAATACAAACTGGTACATCATGCAATTCTTACCCTTGACTATAGCACCGGCTTTCATCATGGCGGGAATTTACTTCTTCTTAGCCCAACTAACTGTGGTATACGGCCGTCAATTCTCGAAATTAAGGCCCATGTGGTACTCATACCTATTCATTTTATGTGATATTGCATCTCTCTTGATTCAAGCAGCGGGTGCTAGTATATCTTCCGACACCTCTAACTCACAGAAAATGGAGCATATAGGGCTTGACGTTGTCATTGGAGGTGTTTCATTTCAGCTTCTTGCCATGACCATTTTCATACTTCTTTGGCTCGATTTTTTCAGAAAAGTCTACTTTGCAAATAACAGCGATACGGCCACTATGAACGCAACATTCAAGAACTACCTCAGGATGCATTGGTCCACCGAGAAGGCTTATAACTTTCAAAGAAATGTGAGAGAACCGTACTATAATTCGAAATTTGCCGATATCAGAAGTAGGAAACTTATGAGATACTTCCCACTATATGTGTCGATTTCGTTGGTTCTTATCTATCTTCGGTGCGTGTATCGGATTGTGGAATTTGCTGTTGGATTTTCTGGCTTCATCGTAAACCATGAAGCATTTATGATGGTTTTCGATGCAATGATGATATCTCTTGCAGGTTGCATTTACTTGTGTTTCCATCCAGTGTGGGTTTTCGGAAGGCACAATGTTCTTAAGAGAAAGCACATTAGTAAACGCAAGGATGTGGAAGAGGAATTGAAAAGCAACAGTGAGACCGAAATGATGAAGGATTTCGCAGACCCTAGTTGATATGAATATGCAGAGTAATGAACTTATGGTAGCAAGCTTCAAGGTAGTAAGTAGCATCGACAATGTCTCACTGAAGATTACCAGTTCCTGCTTTTTTTTTGCACCCATGGATATAATTCATTCTGTTGCAATTTCTGGGGGTCAGCATTGGGACAAAAGTTGAAATAATTTGTATTACCTCCTTGTATTCCCTTGTCTATAGCGTTTAATGTCAACTCAGAACCCTCCTGTCATATCTCTAATTTTATCAACTTCCTCTTGTAATGCACGAAGATCATGGAGAATATCTGAAGTACTGTTACTCTCTGTTTCATGCTTATAAAACAGCACGGGATCCGGCTGGTCTCCATTGATAGATACTTTGGGCGGCAAAGCTGGAGGTTGAGGTGAAGAAACTGAAGGAGATGCTCTTCGACGAGATGGAGGAGGAGGCGGTGGTAATTGTCTTCCATTCTGTGACCTGTTTTTCAATGGTGATATCTGATCTTCACCAGTATTCCAATTTGGAATTGGCGAGGACAATGATCGATTTCGTCTAGCTGGAACAGGAGGCGGTGGGAGTGCACGTTCTGCTGATGAACCCAATTGAGCATTGCGAAGAGTATTGTCTATAGTATTTCCAGTCATCTGATCAGTAAACGACTGCAATGAAACACGAGGAGTTGGATCTACCTTTTCAGTAGGGTCTGGCGAGAATAGCTGTGCCATTTGCTCGGGATTGGTCACCTGGGGATGGGCAGGTTGTTCTTCTTGGTTGCCATTAAGACCATAAAGCCTTGCCATTTGAGCTGGTCCTGTCATATTTGGTTGCAAAAGCTGTGGGGTTTGTCTTGATGGTGATGGACTGAGCATATGGGCCATTTGCGCTGGTCCCGTCATATTGGGTCTAAGTAAGTTCTCGGAATGGCGATGCGGATGGATGGTGGACGGCACCCCATCTATGGATGCTGTGTCCACAGAATTGAGGTTTTGGAAGTGGTTTATCTGGGGTTCCATATCTCTCAATATCTGAGCCTCTTCATCGTCTGTCTTTTTGGAGCTGAGATTGTTCAACAATTGGTTCATTGGGAGCGAGTAGTCAAGCGGCTGAGGCAGGGGTGAGTGACCAGGAGTCATCTGGGCAGAGTCATGAACATCGGTAACTATCTGGTCAGAAAACTTGACCGACTTTCGTTTCTTCGACGGCGCTTTTCGTGCATCTGGTCGCTCACCAGTAAGAATAAATTGAGTAAAACTGTCCAAGTCAAGCGGTTTGTCTTGATCCTGAGATGATGGTGCAGATACTCCAGTGTCTTCCTCTTCGTCATTCTGGCGTTTCTTAGACAAAATGGAAGGCGGAGTAGGGACAGAAGCTGGAAGGGTAATGAGCTTTCTTGATGGTTCGGCTCCATTCAATGTATGGGCAATGACCCTAAGCAATGCAAAAAACTCCCCGATATTGATGGAGTATAGTATTTTATTGAATATGCGGTTGATATGGTTCTTTATCTCGGCACTGATCTTGAAGTTGCCAAGAAAATTGTACACGTCGTTCATACTGATTGTTCGAGTATTTGTTCGAGCAAGTATATCACTATACCATCTCATGTATGTCTTCGACTCTTGCAAGGTGAGATCCTGGGCTTTGAGTGAAAGTGGAATGCTTTGATCTCCCATGGAATCGTCGTATTCATTGCTCTTCCTTGTATACGGAAGATGGTCTTCCAGAGCAGTTGAAAGTGATTGAACTCTTGGCAGAGGTTGCTGGAGCAGAGGATTTGACCCGAATGACACCGGTGGAGCCGGAGAAGTCGATCCTGACGGCGGGGGAACGTTTAACCAATTGAAACCTTCCATGGTTACGGTGTGATTTTTGGATGAATTTAAGGTTGATAGATGTGATTGGAAACGAGATTGGAAAGCTTTCTAGGTTCTCTATTGTGCGTCTGATATGCTGTGGACCACCTAGGACTTGTTTATGTTGGGCGTTTGTTGCTTGGTGGTAGACGCTTTACCGTGTATGATCTCTCCTTCAACTGTGAATCTCAGCCGGCGCGCGCAGTTTCAAACCGATAGGAACGGCTAGGGCGATGAAGTTCCAATTGAGGAAGGGCAACGCTAGTAGTGGGAAAAAGGGCGAGGGAGAAGCTCAAGTTGTGGCGAGCAGTGGAGGCTCTGCAAAGCAGGCTCTTTTTAACGAGAGCGGGTCGGAAAGTGAAGACGAATTTACAGCCAAGATCGAGAGAAAGCGACAAAAAGTAGAAGAAAAGGTGGCACAGGAAAGCCACGATTGGGACTTGGTTTCAAAAAGAGAAACTACAAAAGAATCTGGGCTTGAGAAAGCTCAAAAGTCTCAGGGATCGAAGTATATGGAAGGTATTCTCAATGCGAAGAAACAACGAGAGAAGGACGAAGCTGAAAATCGCCAGAAATTGCTTGAAAAACAAATTAGTCGTAATTCTGACATGGTGGTGTTTGAGAGTATCAAGTACAGAGAACAGATGCTTGGTGGTACTGCGCAGGTTAAACACAGAGAAAGTACCGATACTTATGGCTCTCAGTCGCACAGCAATGAGAATTTACCAGTTACCGAGCCCGATTCACAAGATGTCCTGCTGCTGTTACTTGAGCATATCAAAGAAATGATCAAGTCCAAGGTTTCCCCTGAAGAATTAGTGGCTTACAAAGAACGATACTTTCAACGAATTGGGCAAAAAACTTGAGTTCATAACTTTCACATTAACTAATTAAGATATTCTGGCGTTTGTCCTTCCTCGGGAGCCATTGCTTCCTGGATGGCCACTGTGTTTGCAATATTACGATTAGTCATACCTGACCCCGTGTGGTGAGGGGTGGCAGGCTTGGCCCAATCTGGGTCTTCTTCTTCGATTCGAGATGGAGCGACTCCAGCGCCCTCACTCACATTGGTTCCAGCCATGCGTTCAATTTCCTGGGCAGAAGGCATGAAAATGACCCTTGATCCCGGAGACTTGGCCATGTTTTGCATAGCATCCAAATACCTGATTTGCATAGCTGGTTTCGAAGCCAAAATATCAGCGGCCTTTCTCATCAATTTGGCACTTTCAACCTCAGCCTTGGCATTAATGATCTTACCCTCTCCAATTCTCTTGGCCTCGGCAGCCATGGACAACGAGGATTGCACCTTTGGAGGCAATTGCAAGTCCTTGATCAAAATAGACTCAATATTGACACCCCAGTCGAATGCGGTTTTCGCAATAATCAGCTCAATACTATCGGCAATTTCCTCTCGTTTTTCCACCACATCCTGCAACACACGACAACCAATGACGTCTCTCAACGTAGTCTGGGTTCTTTCCACAATGGCCTCGTTGATGTTAGAGATGGAAAAGATAGCTTTCTGTGGGTCAATGATGTTATAGTACACCACTGAAGTGACGATCACACTGACATTATCCCTTGTAAAACAACTCTGGGCGGGAATTTCTCTGATATTAACCTTGACATTGACCCTGACCAAAGACTCGGACCACGTGTTGACGTAGGAAAGTCCTGGTTCCACCGTACGAGACAACGCACCAAACGTCTGCACAAGACCAACTTCACCTTGATCCACCTTTTTGTAGGGGTTTTCACATAAGAAACAGAAAATACCACAGGTACCAAACATAGAACCAAGGGAGGTAACGAACTTTTGGTAACCGTTTTGTGGGGGTGTGGGATACTCTTTTGCGAAATTCTTCACCACCATTTCTGGTTTAACTTGGGGCTCATCACGAACAGTAGGCTTGTACAGTTTATCAAATGAATCCAACGAATGGTCCAATTGGGCATTACTATTTGATTCTTCCATCATTCTGTAGTTTACAAAATATTTACGGGCCAAGAGGGGATGGCTGGTTTTATATAGCGCGACCTATTCTTGCCAAGCCTACAATGGCCCGCATGACGGTATACGAACGCCGGCCGCACGGCTGCATCGCAGTCATTAATAATCGCGATAACGATCGGTACGAGGCTGCCGCATAAGGTTTACTGCGGTCATGTTTCTGCACCTCACCAACGTTAAAACCTTAGCCGCATCGGACTGTGGGGCTCAGGCCGCCGATCGTGCATTCGAGACACCTGAGAATGACGTCACATGACGAGATCTTCAGGAACACGAGCCCACCAACATCGGTTCACCACATCGGCTCACCACGCCGGCCCGGTGCCGTCCCCGCATAATCATTTGGCTGCAATGATCATAGTTCGTAAATTTTAAGTCTTAGCTCGTCTTGGCTGCATTAATTGGTAAACCACCGTGCTTCGCATTGGTGTTGTGGGGTTCCTTGCTTCCGCACGTGCAAATTTCAAATGGTTGAACTGTTTTCATCCAACCGTTTGCAACTGGCAACCAAAATACCATGGGTTACTTCATTCCGTCCAACAAGCTTGGTAACTTGAAGTTATACAAATACTCATCGGAAGATCATTCGATTATTTCAAAGTATATCCTAAAAAAATGGTGGAATCATTTTGTCAAGATTTTCCCCATGTCGATGGCTCCCAATGTGATCACGTTGCTCGGGCTTATGTTTGTGATTGTTAATCTTTTTGCCGTGTTCTACTACTCGCCTTACTTGGACCAATCACAACCCAGATGGTGCTACTTTTTCTATGCTTTTGGCTTGTTCATGTACCAAACGTTCGATGGTTGCGATGGTTGCCATGCCCGTAATACCGGCCAAAGTGGTCCATTGGGTGAATTGTTCGACCATTCCATAGACGCCATCAACACAACTTTGGGATCCATTGTGTTTGCTTCCGTGTTCAAAATGGGCTACGGAAAATTGACATTGTTGACTCAAATTTGCATCGGTCTGCAACTTTTATGCTTCCACTTGGGAAGAGTACCACACTCACACCTTGTTTCTCTCGTCCTTCAGCGGCCCTGTCGAGGGTATTTTGATGATCTGTGTTGTATACTGCATCACTGGAGTTTTGGGACCCGATATCTGGGACGTTCAACTCTTGAGTCTTGATTTGTCGTCATTGAACATTGGCGTAGAGCAAGTCACTATAGACGGCAAAACTGCCTGTGCTGTGCTTGGATTGGCTTCTCTCTACTTCAACATCGCTTCTGCAATGCACAACGTCAATAAAAAGTTCCTGGAAAAGAACAAGGATAACGAGGAAAAGGTGCAAACTAAAACCATGGAAGCTTTTCATGGACTATACCCTTTCTTTGGCTACTATTTGAGTATCATATTGTTGACTTGGGTATACCCAGACTACTTGTATACCCACGCCATGCCATTGTTGTTGTCCATTGGCCTTACCATTGCGTTCTCTGTTGGCCGTATCATTTTGGCTCATTTAACCTTACAAAAGTTCCCCATGATCCAGCTCCCCATGTTCTTGCCTTTAGCCCAATTGATATTGACGCACTTTCTCGTCAACATTTACAACTATGACCAGGATGATGTCTTACTTTGCGTTAGTTGGCTCGGATTCGGCGTCACCTTGGGAGTGCATGGCATGTTCATCAACGAAATTATCTACGAGATCACCACCTACTTGGATATCTACGCCTTGTCCATCAAGCACAAGCGTGCCTGAAACACTAGAATTCTTAGATCTGTTTTTTTCTTAGCTAGAACTTATGTACAAGCGTCATCATCAATCTTAAGCAGTCGCAACCTTCTTCTCATCGCCAAACGCAGACTCAGAACCAGGAGCCAACACATCCTGTGCAGACTGCTGTAATGACATTTCCTTCTCCATCTCTTGCAACTGGGTTTCAGCCAAAATGGCCAACGATAATGGAACTCCCAATAATAATGCCGATGAGGTCAAACCCCACAACAAGTTTCCTGATCTATGAAGTGCGGAAATAAGGTAGCTCTTGGCAACCTCACTGGCATTCAAGATTTGTGTTCTGTTTTGAGGAGGAATAATGTCTTTCAAAGCCACCAATCTATCGACCAATGTCTCGTTTTCAAGGTCGAAATCGTCCTCGATGTCGGAGTCAGAATCACTGATTTCAGAGTCACTGCCAGCCGAGTGAGCAAACGTCTGCTTCTCAGAGGCGGTGAAATCGTTTGCGGTAGCGTCGTCAACTTGAGTTAATTTAACCATTTGGGTGGGTGTTAACGGGCAACTCTTGCTGTTCGGTGAGGTTACTAAAAATTTGACGAAACGCGCACGACTTCTACTGCAGGTTGGAGATATTGGTTGCATAATGGCTGCAATGGTTACTATACATAAGTGTCGTCAATTTCAATGTCAAGGCGTGGAACCTTTGATAAATCGTATCCCAACTCCTCCATCTGCTTGGGGTAGTGGCGCATGTTGAAAAATTGTAAAAGTCCCCGAAGGGCAATTTCTTGTTCGTAGGCAGTGTTGAAGTCGCTCTCTAAATCTTTTCCGCTGAGCCAGTCATCTTTAAGACTTAGGTCACATTTGAGGTATATAATCGATATGATATCCATGTTGGATGCTTTCCATTTTCGTCCTTGGTATGGAACCAATTTTTTGAGAATGTTGAGTATCGAGGTTATGATTCGGTCATTTTGGTAGTTGGTAACTATTGCCTTTAATACGTCGGTAGGCTTCAATTCGTTGAGAACAAACACTCGCTGGCTCATATTGTCAATGAGAATCTCGTCGGCAATCCTAAGCAAGTGATCGATAGCTGCGCATGCATTGTAGTTGAAAGTTTCCAATGTTCGTTCATTGGTGGTCTTATCAAATGGAATGTCACTCAAGGGCACCTTATTGATGAATAGATACTGGTAATTGTCTACTTGTCTTTCAAGGCAAACAGTGAAAAAGTTGAAATCTGGAATTTCAATTTGAGGATTCAAAAGCCGGTTTTGATAAACCCACGTCACTCCAGGACCGTCTACTTCCAGCTTTCGAATCTGAATGTTGTTATTGTCGAAGCAATTGTTCAAAAATTCAAACAACGCTTCAAAGTATTGCTGGTCGTACAAGACTGATGTCAAGTGATGGCACTTTAAAATATGACTGACCTTGAACCAAGTTAAAAGAATATCAACTATTCCACTGATCGTTTTCAATGTGATTTCTTTCACGGCAATGATTTCCGCCTCTTTCTGGATGTAGAGTCTCAACTTTTCCGGCAGGATATCGTCGTAGTGTGCTTCTCCAGCGATGGCCCTGTTGAGCTCGAACTCGGCATAAGTCAATGGGTAGTCTATTTTGCTCACGTTTATAATCTCCACTAAAAGCAGAATGAAATCATAAAAGTCTGCTAGATTCTTTTCATAAAAGTCTTCGATGCGTAACAACGAGTTAATTTCTTCGGTATTTTCTTGGTACTTCTCCAAAAGAGAAGGAGAGTACCGATATTTGTCGTCTGTTGTATTGTTCGACTCTTCCGCAAATCCTCGTTCTTGCTTCATAAACCGTTGCCTTTCGTCCCAAAATTGCTGGCTAACCAAGTCCTCCTTGACAGCACTACTGAAGATGTTATATGCTTCATCCACTGCTTTTGGAATAGCGGTAAGGCCATCTGTTGGATAGATAAATGGCATTCCTTGGTTTATTTGGTACAGTTTTCTGATCTTTTCTCCACCCGACATGAATTCTGAGGCAACAGATGGGGGAGTTGGTGTTGGAGTTGCAATGTGCACGGTTTGGGCAGGAAGCTGGGTCTGTGCCGTATGGGCTCTATTAGGACGTGGGTTCTCCAAGAGGTTAGATAAGGAGTTGGAGAAGGTATTAGCGGCCATGAAGAAGCCGTAATGGTTTTCCACTTTTGGTGATTTGCCCGTTTGCAGCAAGGGATACAGTGGATATTTGTCCATCAAATTCTCTCGTATTGTAAAGTACTGCAAAGGCGAGCAAGTGAGTGATTTGGAGTCTGTATCAACCTCAATTCCATGCAAATTGTTTAAAAATGACATTGTTGAGGCTAGGTGAGACTGGGTACCGAATTGGAGGAGCATTAGATGTTTGATGATTTTCAAATAGTTTCTCGTACGATGCTGACTTTTAGCTTGTTGGGAAACGAAGGAAAACAAATGGGACAAAATGCCATGTTTGTGCATGATCGTAGACATTTCTCTTGTGTATTTGGTTTCAGAATGCAAACTCGTTATTATGAGAAGGTAATGTATTGTAATCACCATGAATAATGTAAGATCATCAACTTCATTGTTACCGGTCAATCTCTTGACAAATACCGCAATAAACTCTGAAATACCGAGATCGTGCAAGCTTCGAAGATTTTTCTTCATGGATTCAGTTTGTTGGGAGACGGAAGTGCACTCGTGGTATTCACCTAAAGCGAAATACAAAAGTGTTCTCCAAATTTCCACATTTCCAATGGCTGATTCGTCCTTTATATCATTACCAAGTTCCTCAATGAGCTTCTGGACTTCTTGATTTGTCAGTTTATCTCTTTTCAACAGTTTTAGCTGCAATATTTCGTAGTCATGAGACACAAACCACTCAGATACCTGGGTTTCAAAAGTTTCTACTTCAACATTTTTATAGGGCAAATTGTTTTTGATCGTAACTGGAGGCTCTCTTCTTCCATTGCTACTCTCCATCTCATCTGTGCCATCTTCAGCATCGTGAAATATAGCATTCTGATTCGCAATTTGTTCAGCACGAGCATTGAGTTTCTTTTGAAACGCTTCATCAAGGGTTTCTGCATTTAATTGTATGCGTGTTTTCGCGTCGGGATGGTCAATGAGCTGATCTTCCAATTGGTCTATCAGAACAGTATCATTTTGCATCTTTGGCACATAGCTAGAAGAAGGACAAATGCGCAAATCCAAATTGGTGCAGGACTGCACAAAGAGGCTGACAGTTTAATGAAAGCAGGACGACAAAGTCAATTGAGTGAGTACAGAGTAGCAAGAAACCCTCTAGGAGCTCACATCAACACGAAAGCAGCTTCACAACACTCCAGACGTCAATCTTCAAATAGTTATTCTTTCATCTTCCTGATATATTTCTGTCTTATCTGCAGTACTACCAGTCCCAGATCGAAGCGAAAATTGTATTGCCGTGCCAACGTCTTCATACAAACATTCCCTACATTTTCATGACCGTATATCCATGAATAAAATTGAACAGGCATCAAACTTGAAAGTCAAGATCACTACTTTGTTGGACCAGACCACTACAGGCACCATCTATGCTACTGCCAGCAATCAACAGGTGATCGCCCTCAAAGTCAAGTCAACGAAAAGTGGCGAACAAAGCTTCAAATTCATAAATACTGCATTCATAAAGTCTATTCAGGTGCTACCGCCCTTTCCTTCCAAAAAGAACGGATTCAATGCACTGAAAGGTCAGCCTATTCTCTATCATCTCCCTATTGAAAAATTAGACCAATCGCTACAAAGAGCATTAGAAGAATCACCAAATCCGCCACCACATGACGTACCACGCCAGGAACGTAAACCAGTTGCATCGAAGGTTTTTCGCCACTTGGCAGATGCGTTTGGCAAAAGTAACGTGAAATGGGATAACGACAAGATCATCGTCAATGACAAAATCGGTGTATCTCGCCCGTTCACTCTTGGCAAGAATAATGTTGTCTCTCTTGTTTCCAACGCTAAGGACGACCTTGATAAAGTTCAGGCGGCTATAAGGGAATTCTGGCTTACACTCGACAATGAGAAGAAAGGCGGCTAATACTACGCATTGCATTTGCATTTCTCCAACCACAGCTAATATAATTAGTCACAATCAACCAGTTCTAAGTTACTCTGTGTTCACCATGTAGTAGCTTCCCTTTTCTCTGTCACTCTCTCCAATTTACCTCCAACATGTCAAAGATCTGTGGACCTCGAAATTGTGTTCCCAAGTACCCATCGAAAGAGGTCCACTCGAGGAAATACCGGTTTGTCTCAAAATGCGGACAGAACCAGGTGTAACAAGCTTCGGTGATAGTTAGGCGCAAATCCAGAGCAGAGGAAACTTGGAGATGGGGTACATTTATGGTGATGTGGGACGTACCTTTTGTTGGAGAAACATGGTATTTGAACAATTCCACCATTCCCTCCACTCCTTCGTAGCCCGATTCTTTAAACCTGTATGTCTCAAGCTTTATGTCGAAGGGAATTCTTGCGGCTTTCACCATAATCTTTTCAATGGTTATTGGTGGTTGGTCTAATGGCACTAGAATGTTATCAGTATTCTGCAGCTGAAAGAGAAAGCTATACCAGTAGTTCAAGTACCTTCGTTGTGACAAAATTGAAACACCGTCGCCAAAATGGAGGTTCATGCGACGGGAAGTGAATATATCATTGGCTTCTTGTGGGTGCAAAAGACGTTCCTCAATGCTCTTATACATGATATAAGCACAAGCAATGGTCCCAGACCGGCCTTTTCCGGCCTTACAATGTAACACAGCTACATTTCGAGGGTCAGAGCCCAAGTAGTTGTCGATACTTGCAACTATTCTTATCATGATATTGAATGGTGGCGGTTGGTGATCGGGAAATGGGAAATATGCAACCCGATTTTCAAAATCTTTCATTGAGTAGCCAGGTCCTTCCCCACGAAAGTTCCATATACGCCAATGTTTTTGTCCATTAGAGACATGTTTGTGGTTTAGAAAGTCACGTAAACTACTGGTAGTATATCGATACCATGATTTTCGATAAGAGTTTACGGGACCCGAACATACAATTAACTGTGGGGTAATGTACGACAAGTCCAACTTCAAGTTGAGTTCTGGAACACTATAAGTTCTCGTGGAGAGAGTTGCTGCTTCCCGAAGAAGCCACGACATTCAGAAGTTCGAGGTGCAATTGAACATGGTACAAATAGAGATGAAATGGGTGCGAAAATGGTGCGAAAAGAAGAAAGCAGTACGAGACAAACACATATAGTCAAATTCCGTTCGGGAACTCTACCAACAAATATATACAACGGCTTTGAAGTACACCCCGTAAAAGGTAGCATTGCTTAGCAAAGCCCTTAGCTTTGCTGCTGCATCATTGCCTGCTTCATGACTTCTTCAATCTTAAGTGCCAATACAGGGTCTTGCTTGATGCGCCTTTGCATTTTGGTGGCTTCGGCAAAAGACGTGGCCTGTACTTTCTCTTCGATGGATCTGGCGAGCTTCGACGACTCTTCGAACAAAACAATAGCTTCGTCAACATCTTCCTTTTGTAACTTGATTTGAGCCAATGTAATTCTTGCGAGCTCCGACTTTGGATCTAAAGCACATGCTGTTGTGAGCAACTCTTCAGCTTCGTCGATTCTCTCCATGGACTCTCTTGAAATCAAACTGGCTTTGTTAATCAATGGGAGTGCACCAACAGAGTAGGTTGGTAATGCTTCTTGTAATCTGGCCGAAATTTCAAACTGTTTGCATGCCAAGTCCATTTCTCCACGATCAGCCAAAATCTCACCAAAGTAATTGGGCACCTCAGGAGAAGTTGTGAACTTCAATTTAGCTTGGGTAAATTTTTCTTCAGCTTCCTTGACAGCACCGTTCTTATAAGTAATACAAGCCAATTGAATGTGAGCATACACGTTGTTTGGATTCAATTCCATAGCCTTGGTGAAATTGTCCTTGGCCTTTTCCAAGTCACCTGTGAGGTAATACAACTGGCCTAATTGATAAAATACATCGGGGCTCTTAGGATCCATAGCCGCAGCAGTAGAAAAGTCTTGAAGTGCCTCGCCAAATGATGCCTTATCAGCACTGATCAAGGCTCTGAAGACGTAGGTTCTCGCTCTGGGCTGCAAATCGATAGCCTTTGCAATATCAGCAGCAGCAGCAGTTGGTTCGTTTTTCAAGAATTTCATTGCAGCAGAGTATTCCAATGCAATAGCGGCCTTGGCAGCATTTTCAGAGTTGGCATTCAACTCGTCAACCTTATAAGCTTCCACAGCTTGGTTCACCAAAGTGTCGGCGGCCTCGTAGCCTTCAATGGTGTTAGCGTTCAAGTTGGAGATTGTGTCGTACAAGAACTTGTCGGCACCGGTGGATTCTTCACTGATACCCTCGGGGTTAGTTTCAGGTGCAAAAGCTCCAAAGAACGACGAGATGGTGGAAGCAGAAGGCAATTCAGGTACTCTGTGCTTCAAGTCTTCTTCAACAATCTTGACGGCATGTTTCTTCAAGACTCTTTCCAAAACTTCTTCGACTGACTTGTTACTGAAACCTCCGTAGATGGTCAAAGCGGTCAAATCAAACATGGCCTCGGTGTAGTTTTCCAAGATTTCGTACGATGTGGCTCTTCTCAACACACACTTGGTGTAATCAGGCTTCAACTTGATCGCTTCCGTGGTATCCTTGATGACATTTTCGTGATCCTGAAGAGCTGCGTAACATGCAGATCTGTTGGAGTAAAACACTGGATCATTCTTCAATTGCAAAGCAGCAGTGTAGTAGGCAATCCCGTTCTCGTAGTTTTTGCTCTTAAACTCGGTATTTCCATCCTCCTTCAACGCCATTGCCCAGGCTTCGCGGTCCTTGGCCGAGAGGTTGCTAATGTCACTCTCGGTGATGTTTGGCAATCCAGTTTTCGAGTCTACAGGGTAAATCTTGCTAGACCCGACCGAGGGGGTTGCAGTAGTTGTGCCATTGGAAGCTCCTGGAGATGGCTTTCCCTTCTTCTTCGATTTCTTCTTCTTCTTCTTTTTGTCTTCGTCTTGTGATTCGGCTTGTTGGGTGTAATAGTAGTATGCACCAATAGCCGAAACACCAGCCAAGGTTGTTACAGCAATAGCTGTTCTGTTCCTTACAAAAAAGCTGTCGGAAGCCATTATTGATGTAGCTGAAACCGCGTCCGCAACTTTAGGTTGTTCCTGTCGGTTCGCCTCTTGAATCACAATTTTTCAACAGTATGGTAGCGGCACGACTGTTTTGTGAGAGGACGGGGAAAGTTGCAACGTACCGGAATGGGTGCAAATATCAAGTAGGTACATAGTCGTACGATTTATACTCATAATGGCAATATGTAAATTATTTTTGATTCATACTGTTATTTATTGACTAAAGGTATTCGGCATAGTGATATACACGAATTGTTAGTTATATGTTCCGTAATTCATGCATAGGTGTATCTGGTTTATATGGGGACGTCTATACGTCAGTATTGACATAGTATTGTTCGTCTTGCTGGTACTGTCTTCTTGTTCCTCTGCCATTGCTACTCGTGCTCTGGTTCATAACATCATCATAGGTCGGAAGTGGAGGATTCGACGCTGATGAATCTGCTTGCTCGTAGTGTGGTGATGGATCATGTGGGGTCGGCTCGTTTTGCTGTGATGCCATTTGTGACTTGCTTGGCAAAGGTGGAGCTTCGGGACGTCTTGGTTTCTTTGGTGGAAGTGGTTCTTTTTCTGGACGCATTGATGGAGACTGTAAAGAATTTGACATGCCTATTCCGCTCAATACCTTCATATCGGTGCATTGAAGATCCACATACCGCACCTTAGCAGTCATTTCGTGCTGGTTTCTAGAATCAACAATTCTTTCGCTGGAAAATCCTGCCACAACCAGCAAGTTGTATTGCCGTGAAATATTGCAAGTTGTGAATGAAGGAGAGAGACGATCTGGCAAAATACAGTTTTCGTAGTATTTGGCGGGAATCTCTATCTCATATAGTTCTCGCGAACCATAATTGGAAGTCGTTGAAGACGATTTCTGTCTCGTAGCATTAGAGAAATCAAACTTGACGTTATTGAGGGCATTGTTAGCCACTGGAATCTTTTCGTCGTGGCGGGAGCGATGTATTGTTTTCGAGTGGCCATCGGACTCAAGCACTGAAATTGTGGTTATTGAGCGTAATTCCACGATAAGCCGCTGCATGAATATCACTCCAAGACCATTAGATTCGTCTGGACGTCCGAATTTGGCATTGTTAAAGTTATTTGGGTTGACGGAAGTGACCAAGAAAAGTTTGAACGAAGGTTTTTTTGTGGGAATCAAGAAGGCGGGATGACGGAAGCGCACTTCAAAAGCAAAGGGAACGTCCATCGAGTTTTCCTGGCGACTTGTCAGCGCTGTGTTCCCGCTACTAGTTCCAGGATCAAGTAATCTCGTGAGGAATCCTCTTGGGCGTGGATTAGGCGGCAATTTCTTATCGCTGGGAATTACCACTCCATTTACGGAAGGAACCTTGTTTTTAAACACAATGTCTTTCCTCACGAAAACTTCACGATTGTCTTCACGAGACTGATTCAGACCCAAAATTTGGTTGTTTTCGTCCAAATCCAAGGGAAGAAAAATGAATGGATCGGTGGCACGCAAGTTCATTTTGAGCAACGATGCTCGCTTGCATGTCACTTTGACAAAATACTTGATACTAGCAAAGTCACCAATTCCACTTAGCGAAGGCGGAAGCTGGCTCACTATATGATAGTCACCTTGGTCTCGTTGTGCTTGCTGTGGACCTTGGGCCCCAGTAGCATTATTAATGTACAGTGTAGCAATGTTCCTGATCGTGTTTCTGTTGAAGTTGCCATTGTTGATGGAAAAGTCGAACCGTTGGGGATTAAACAGCACGGCATTTGTGATGCCCAGAAGCTTCACACACGAGTTGTTTAGCGGGATCTTAAACTCAAATGGATACCTATAGTTTCCTGGAGTCAAAGTGAATTCCTTGGCACTGGAAACTTGTCTCACATTATCTGGCGGAAAAACAATCATTGTATCATAAAGCACCTTGTGTTCGTCTTGTAAGCGTTTATCGCGTTCTTTATCCTTTCGGTCTCTTTTAGCTGATACTTTTGGAACCACGAGCTCAGTCTTCGAAACACCTTCAAGTTTCACCAGAATATGATTGACCGATATTGACGAGGTTACAGCCAAGGTGACGGTTCCTCGGATCGTATCATAGTTCGTGAACGTGCCCCCAGTAGAACTTCGATCGATTTCGACCTTGATATCATAGCCCATTGCCGTGACGATGATCTATGGAGTGTACATAAATTGCGAATTCGGGTTTGAGGAGTGCCGTCCACCCTGCACACAACCCACCCCCAGCGCAAACGGCGATGAAATGTTAAAGTCCACATTTAGACTATTCCCAAGAACTCAATTCAGAACTTTCACCACCACAAGAATTATGTCTGCTCCACAAACCACCCAAATTGAAATTTTGCAAGAAGGCGATGGCAAGACTTATGCCAAGCCTGGAGACTTGGTCACCATCCACTACACTGGAACTTTGGAAAACGGTAAAAAGTTCGATTCTTCTCGTGACAGAGGAAAGCCATTCCAATGCACCATTGGCGTTGGCCAGGTGATTGTTGGATGGGATACTGGAATCCCCAAGTTGTCTGTTGGAACCCGTGCCAAATTGACTATTCCTAGTCACGAGGCTTACGGACCCAGAAGCGTCGGTCCTATCCCAGCCAACTCAACCTTACTTTTTGATGTGGAATTGTTGAAGGTGAACTAAATAAGTGAGGTGGTAATTGTGAATTGATAATGATGAATTGTTAATTGTTAGTTGTGAATTGTCAATTGTGTCAATTGGACATCGACAAGCATCATCTCATTATCTCTCAATTGCTCAATCTCTGTTATGTACTGCTTTCAATATTAAGAAGTCCCGCTCTTTTTTATCCATTTTAGACATTTGTTTACGACTCTGGCTTTTCTTGTCACTACTAACGTAGGTAAAAACACCTTGAAATGGACATCGTAAACCTTGAACCGAGGCAAGTCCACAGTCTCGCTCTCATTGCTACAACGACAGTAATATACCATCGTATGGCGATTGAATGGTAGTACCGGAAATGCCGGTTGTTCAAGTGGCAGCGTATTGCGAGTATCAGAAACGTCCCAGCTTGTACCATCGGTGGTCTCGTTTGGTGCTAACAGTGTAGTGAATGTGAAGATTCTTGGGGTGGGATTCTCCAAAATGTACTTGAGTTTCACACTTTGAGTGTCTTCTTCTTCAATTTCTAACAATACTCGCGGGTCAGAAAGAGGAAGGGCAATTTCCCATTCTTCTGTTTCAAAGAAATTTGTTCTCTCATGCTGACCAGGCCTTTTCCATTCGATCACCACTGAAGTACTCACCAGCACGTTTCGATGAGATCCACTCTTGCTTCGACTGGTGAAAAGTTGAGACATTGTGTCGCCGTTTTCCTCGACATCTCCTAATTTCTCAATGTTCACTTCCTGGTTTTTGGTACGAATGTTGAAGGTAGTCTTAACTATTTCGGGAAGCTGGCCATCGAAGCAGTCTTCGACAGGTGCCAACCGCAAACTTCCTTGCCAAAGACGAGTAACAATTGGCATTGATGTGGGCTGCGCTTCTTCACCATCCAGAACTACAAACGGACAAGGCATGTCACTGGTACCTTCATTTCTGTAGCGAGGAAAAACACTGAAACCGCACCGCAATGGCTTGTTAATGATGGGATACACGAACAGTGCTGTGTCATAAACTGCAATCTCTGCATCATCTTCCTCGGATGTAGCTTCTGGCTGTGAATCTTTTACCCAGGTTTGCATCGAAATGTTCATTTTGTATGACTTGGAGTCGAGACTGGGACCATTAGGACGAGTGTGCAAGGCAATATTTAGCTTGTGCTCTTCAGAACCATTCTTCGCCGAAAGGTCATCCAAGGACAAATATTCATCGTCTTTCAAATTATCCCAATTCACCTGAGTGGTGATGAAGTCTTTTTCGCCGTCTAGGCCTCCTATGATGTCGACTTTTGCAGACAACTGTACTTTGCCGTAGTTGATTTTGTTCTCGCCTATCATTTCGTGAGAAATGTTGAAAGGAATAGTAACTTTTTCTCCGAGAACAATACCTTTAATATTAGTCGGCTGAGTACTCACAGTCACTTTGGGCTTCAACAGAGTCACCCTCGCCATATAAGGAGGATCATGGTGGAGTCTTATAGGAATTCGCTTGGCAACTTTGCTATCTTTATCAGTAACGTAAACCCAATCATGATGCCATATTTCGGGTCGCAGTTGTAAAGCATCGATTATTATCAGCTTGTCTTGAATAATCTTCACTGAACCGTTTACATCAGATATCACCAATTGAACATCAACGGAACTGACAATGTAGGTACCCGCTCGCTGACAGGGCTGAAAAACTTGGACAACTTTTGACAGTTTTGTATCGGAATTCATGGTTAAATTTACCAGTCCCTCTAACGTTTCGTCCTCGTCTTTCAAGTCTGGTATCATGGGACAAAGGTCTGGATTGCTGCTGGGAGCATGTGTAACCACAACTTTCTTCATATTTCCTTTTCCTTGGCCGTCTATCTTTTGATAATTCACGGAAAGAGAGTTGATCGTTAGCGACAATTTATCGTCGACATTCAAGATGTCCTGTAGTTTTGCAAGGTCAATGAGAGGTTTAATCGACATTTGGGTTCCTAATGGCTCAAACACACTTAATGATCTCGAATTCAGATCTTTGAAACACAAAATGTCCACTTTAATCACATCATAGTCATTAGCAAGCACAACGCTGTCCATGGGAATTTTCTTAGTATGAATTGAAAACTTTGAAATACCTTTCATGCTAGCTGCTCGAATAGCGGTCGTAACCAACTTGTGTGTATCATTCCTCAACTCGTATTCCCTCATAAGTTTGGTTACCAATGCCGAATCAAGATTTGACCAGTTCGATTTACGGTCGCTATATGAGAAGCATGTTTCATAATATTGCAACGCTTTGTCGCCCTTGGGTAAAAGTTTCTCGAAAGTTTGAGCAAGTTCCCAGTCGAGATATTGGAGAAATCCAGTACTTGGTTTCTTATTAGCTGCACCAGATATTGTCTCTGAATCGCTCTTGAACAAACTGGATGCTTGTTCAAGAAGTTCAGCCCGATGAATGGAATCGTCATTTAGCAAGCTCGCTGCTTTCATGAAAATAAGCCCAGGGTGTGAATATACATCATAATAGTCTCCGTCGAAAAACTGAAAGCCACCAAAAAACGGCATTGTGGGGAGCTTATTTTTCGTCTTTTTCAATTGCTTAGCGTCAGTTTGGTTCAAAATCGAAGGTGGTACCGTAGACATTAATTCTGCTAGCCATTCATATTGACTCGAGAGCCATTTTTGGCGGCTCGAACCCAAGACTTCAGTAACATTGACGACATGAGCTGTGTGTTTCTTAAGTGCAACTACGGGTTTTTCAACAGAGAGATAGCCACGCACAATATGAAATGCGACTGTATCTATGAGATTTTGGAGCTGAAGCATGAGTTCTTTATCGTGATCGAATAGTTCACTTATAATGCTGGCGGGAAAGTTTTCATCAAGTAGTTCAATTAGATTCTGATATGCGGTTTCGAAAGTGGAAAGTGTTGGTTCCATATTGTGGGGGCTAATAAATTCGTTAATGATGGCTTCTTTGATGAGGTTTCGGGTTTCGAGAAATCTGGGAGTTAACGTTATCTTGGTGTCGATGTCGGTGGATTCCGCGAGAGTATAGTATTTCTTATGTCGTTGCTTGATTCGATGTTGTATATCGGAGTAAAAGGAAGATGCATTTGCTTTGATGGTGCTGGTTATCGTTGCAACTATAGTCTCTGAATCTTTTTGTAAATTTGCCGAGTCCTCTAGCTGGTATAAATCGGCTTTTGAAATATTCACTTCCACACGAATGGAGTTCAACCTTTCGTCGTCAATTTTTTTGCCAACGATTATCACCACAAGACGAATGCGTGAAGGTGTATACACTGCTTTCATCTCTTTTAAGCGTTGTACAAGTTCGACGTTGTCTTCAATAATACAAACGACTGCAAATGGATGCTTTTCGTAGTACTTTCGGAACCACTTTTGAGAAAGAATTCCGTTGGGGAAAAGATCTGATTTGGGATTGAAAGGTGATAAGACCAGGTGGCCATCGCTCTCGGTCATGAACTCGTCATATACCCCTTGCTGGTGATAAAACTTGATTATATACTTGAGACTCAGCAATCGGTTTTTCAAAATGGAATTGTCCCAGACACATGAGCCCAAGTTGTACTGAGAAAATGCATCATTCAAGGTATCCACTACTGTGTTGTTCGCCGTAGAATGGACCACGAGCAATGGCGAAGCTTGGCGGAAAAAAACCAGATCGTAATTATCCATAATCGGCACGCGGATAGAAACTGGATTCACCTTCAACTGCGTAAGTGTGGGTGCACCGGTGTACAAAGATATCATGAGTTCGCGAGATTTGAGCGAAAAAGTTCAGATATGTCAGATCCGATCAATGCCAACCCCACGGTTATTGATACCTCCCAGTTGCCCACGCGGCTCGGAAAGGGCTCTCGGGAGCTCAAGCCGTGTGACAAACTAGTACTGAAGATTTTAAACTTATCGTTGTTGAAACCAGCAGATGAGTCAGCAGAAAGCGATGACCAAATACCTGATTTGATGTCTGATGTTGATTCAGAATCTACTGACGATGAGCTAGAAGGTGCCGACAACGAGGGTATAGACTCCCAAGAGATTTTTGACTTGATATCGACGATTTCCGACCCTGAACATCCTTTGACACTAGCACAACTCGCCGTAGTCAACCTTGAAGACATACAAGTTTCAGATAATGCTGGAGCGATTTCTGAGGTTTTGGTGAAGATCACTCCCACTATCACACATTGCTCGCTTGCCACATTGATTGGTTTGGGAATAAGAGTTCGTTTGGAACGCAGTTTACCAGCTCGGTTTCGCATTAGAATCTTGATTAAAGAAGGCACTCACCAGTCTGAAAACCAAGTGAACAAGCAACTTAACGACAAGGAGCGTGTAGCCGCGGCGTGTGAGAATGAGCAGTTGTTGGGAGTTATTCTGCAGATGCTCAGCACTTGCAAGTGAGGCAATTTCATCTACGCTCGAATGCCGGTTATTTGAGAGTGGTATTAATACATATAGTACATAATTTAACATTAACATTTTCTTGACATTTCACGAGCTTTAGAGATGGAACATGATGTGGTCAAATGATACATGTCGACAACCACCATTCGCAACACATACATCTTGATAAATTCAAGAAATCGTATGATAGCTCTGATGTTGGCTGTTCTTTCTGCTAAGATGAGATAGTTTTCCACTAATTCTTTCGTGCGCAACAACTGGGAGTAGTATTCATATTTGTCACGCTGGTTCTCCTGTCGCTGTAAGGGCGACAAAGCCACGGGAGAAGGCTGTTGGTACTGGAATACGCGATTTTCGTCGATGGGTGTTGAGGGAAGGGTGGTGCTTGTTCTGCGTCTGGAGGCATTTGAATGCGATGTCATGGACGTACTGACGCTATTTCTGTTGCTGGCGGCGGTGCTGTTCCTATTGGTCGCCAGGTACAGACTGCGAGAGCTGTTGGTGAAGCTATTAGGCGACGATATAACCGAAGAAAACGAGCTATGAGAATCTCGAGTTTTCTTGATTTTGTTGTACAACTTCGATTTCTGAAGAAACCCTTGTTTCTTCACGGTCTCTGGCTCTTCTGGAGAGGACGTCAGGTGCTGGTCGTTGCCATTTACGGTTGGTTCGTTCATGTTTCCCAAAAACATCAGAAACCGCTTGCGCAGATTGGCACCAGGGCTACGTTTAACATTGGTGTTCCGCAACGAATTCAGTGACGACTGGTTGGATCTGGTTCGTATCACCGGAGACGATCCCAAAGTCGACTCCTCACCAAATTCATTATCCTCGTCTTCTTCCTGGAGTGACATGGGCTGTGAAGCATAAATAGGTTCGGTGTCGATGGACTGAGGTAGTTCCAAAAAATTGTACGCCGCAATGATCTTTTCATAGTATGTTAGCGCACCGTCATCAGCGAACAACGCGTCGTCACCGCTGGAAGTTGACCGTAAGTATTCATTTTCAAGCATATTGTTGATGTCTTCGAGAATGGGAGTCTTCGCCTTCACATCTTTAATGGTGACATCATCTCGAAGCCAAGCATCCGATGCAATGGCTATGTCTGGAAGAATCTCTGTAACGTTTCTTCGTGACTCGACCTCGTCTTTGGACCGTTTATTGATATTTTGCGTGTCTAATATCTTCATCTTATCCGGCAAGTTAAGAGCTCTGGATAAGAATAATGGTATGTGTTCATAGTTCCTCGCTTCAAAAGGAATGCCAAGAGACAACGCGTCGAACCGCATCGCGACCTCGGACTCCACCATGGTCATAATTAATTGGAATTAATTGCTGTTGTAATTATTTTGACACTGCGGCTGAACAATGCATGAACCAACGACACAAATGTCGCCTGTGCGAAAACGCCTATCGGGTCATGTGACATGTCATGTGAATACAGACCATTGTACTTGAAATAACAGCCATTACTTTCGGTGACCTTCTCTGCGCTTTGTATACATCAAACAAAACTCTATAATATTACTGAAGTTTACTACACTTACTTTTTATATGGTTTCAATGATCAATTATTGATTCCTGCATATACTCCATACTGTGAAGCGGTTGAATTGAATTGCTAGCCGACTGCGATAACCACAACAAACTGCCATAAAAGGTCTGATAAGAATTACCAAAAAAGTACATAAACTGCACGGGGAGAACTCTATAGGCGGCGTCTTCTTCTAATTTCTATATGTTTCAATCTAACCGTCCCAAGTTCAGCTTGGACCTCACCATAAAAGAGCTCTCCAATATTCCTCAAATAAAAGGCTCTTGTTATGTGGACATTCAAATCCGGGAGAGCCCGGGAATGAAATCGTTTCCTACGTTTAAACACAAGACTTTACACCATTTCGACACAGGATCCAATGGCGAATCCAAATCTTCATCGCAACCTGAAGAATCGCAAACTTCAGTTTCGTCAAATCTGATTTCAGTTCATACTGCGAACAAACATATCCATAATTTCAAATGTGCATTCAATTATAACCTCCGGTGTAACTTGCGATTCCCGCTCAACAAAAAGGAGAATTTGATAGGAAACAAATACCTCATGATGAAAGTATACTATGTTGATGATTCTCACGATTCGTCGAGTATTAGTCACCACGCTACCGAGTTGGGACGTTTGGAATTGAACTTGTCGGAATACTTGAACTTCGACGAACCGACAACCTCGAAATACTTGCTACAGAATTCAAAGGTGAACTCAATCATGACGTTGGTGGTGTACCTTGACGAACTTCCTGCCGACTACGACTTCCACACCCAGCTCCAGATCACCGATAATGCATCTTCTGCCAACTCTAGCAGAACCTCCACCCAGTTGAGCCGTGGTGCCACGAAGAAGAAGCTGTTTAATGTGCCGCAATTTGAGAAGAATAAGGTGTTTAGCGGGTTTAATGGAGTATTGGGAGGTCAAACCAATGGCAAAAATTCCCCTAAATCAAGTGCTCTGGAGACCTCGTCGGTTAACAGTGACGGTGAAGAACGACCAGAACGTAGCTCACGAAAAAAATCTGGAAATCGTAGTGGTGAGCTGCATAGGGAAGTACGCTCAAAGAACGAGGAAGCCCAGGTAACTGAAAAGGGAGCGTTCATGATGGACCCAACTATCAGTAATCTTTACAAAAAGATTTTGGAATCTACTTGGGATCCAGAGCTCCATAAACTTCTACAATTCGACCCAGAAATGTGTATCGAGGATATCTTTAAAAACGGCGGTGATGGCTGGAACCAGTACTTGTCGCAGAACTTTGGTACATGGGAAGGTGACGAGCATGAGGGTGATGAAGACTATTATACCGTGAACGGATTGATCGATGAACCCAAGTACAGAGACGATTTAAAGAGCTGGAATGTCGATGTGAACAAGGTGCTTTCAAAGTAGTTTGATACCCAGCATATTTTTACGAGTGACGAAACATGCCAAACTTTACAAATCTCTACATGCATTAGCGTTTTATGGCATTAATATATTACAAACCGTCCTATAATTTCCCCCCGTTGGATGTAGAATGCTGCTGTTGGTTATTGTGGCGACGATTGTGCTGGTTGTTGTATCCGCCGTTTCGGTTGGGTCCGTGGCCTCTTCTATTTGAATTGAAGTTGGGGCCACCGCCTCTTCTCTTTTGGGTTCTGTTACGTTGTTCCATATTGATGAGATTCTGTTCCTTGGCATGGTCCATGATTTCATCTGGCATTCTCATATATTTGATATGGATGCCTCTGATGTAGATTTCTGGGAGTTTCAAGAACTCGTCACCGCTGGCAGAAGACTGAATTACATCTTTTAATGTCAAATTCATCCAAGAATCACAGTTCAAAAGAAGTCCATTTAACGTTTCTCCATTTTTTAGTTCGACCAATATGGGCAGGTTTTTCGCTGCTGTTAACAAATACAAAGGTAACTGGGTTAGTTTTGGGCTGTGAGGAGGCCATCTTTACGAACAACTTACCATAGCTGCGATGATGAATTCAAAGGACTGTCGACTGAGTTCACCTCAATCTCCGGTTGCGGCACGACACTTTTGAAGAGTTGCGCGGTTCAGGTCAAAGTCGCACAGGTCGAGTTTACTTCTCTCTCATTTTATTACAATTTTTATTACCAGAACAAAGCACAATTAGGCATCTTCGACGTCAGTTGGAGGTACGGAATTTCCTCTCAATGTCAACGGATAGTGCTCATTATCATCTTCATCATCATCTTGCTGGTGGCCGCCCAATTTGAACCCAATGTAGTCTTCGGAATCAAAGTGCTGTGCTGCCTCTTGCAAAGACCCCAAATCTCCAGGGGTCATGATTCCCACCTTGCCTCTTGGCGAGCCTGGAACAGACAATGGTCTGGTGAGCTTGAGGTTTTCGGTGTTGTTGAATGGGTTGGCTCCATTCTTGAACTTGTCGGGATATGCTCTCTTCAACGACAATTGTCTTGCCTTGATATATTCCAAGCCCATACGCTTCCAGTCCAACAAGTCAGACAACCGCTCGGTACGGTTCCGCTGGTTGATTCTCTGCCGTCTTGTCTTCATGGAGAAGTCGTACATACAATCTGCCAATTGGTTGATCGATTCATCCACCGACTTCATTCTTCTGTCGACAATGTAGATTCCGTAGTCGGAGGTGTTTTCGATCAAATCTTCCATGTAACACCCGAATCCTGACAAGTTGGTGGTGATGGAAGGAACTCCCATGACAGTACATTCGGCTGGAGTATAACCCCATGGTTCATAGTATGATGGGAACACACCCAAGTGACAGCCTCTGACGAATTCGTCGTAGTCCAAAGACAAGATAGGGTTGTTTGCGTTCAAGAATTCTGGATGAAAGATTATCTTCACTCTGTCTTCGGGCTTGTTGAATAATTGTACTCTTCTAATGTGGTTCAACACAGGATCTGAAGCGTCGTCGGCCATGTTGTGGGTGACAATTGGTGGAAGACCATCTCTCTTCAAGGCGAAAATACGTCTTTTCAACAAAACCCGATCAGCAGGTTTGATCAATTCGTCAATTGATGGCACTTCCTTTCCTTGTGTAGTAGCAATAGAGTGGTCGTTGGGGAATCTGGCACAATGCTCAAACAATCTCTCGCCAACTTTCTTTTGAACTTCCTCAATTGTGCTTTCCAATTGCTTGATTACAGCCTGACCTTTTAAGGTCTCCACGGTGTACGAATGTGACTTTCCAGGCATGATAATGAAGGCAACTACCGTGGTCTTCGAGCCAGATTCTTTCAAACGATGGTTCAATCTGGCCAATGCCTCGATGAAAAAATCGCAACCTTTGTTTCTGAACTCGTATCTTCCAGCAATGAAAAAATACAAGGTATTGTCCAAGTCAAAGTCGTAATTGCCGTAGAAATGGCCCTTGACAAACTCGTTGATTTTGGCCTTTTTGAGGGCATGCAAGTTCTGGAACTCATGCACCGCTTGAAACTTGACCACATTCAAACCATTGGGAAGAACACCATCTGGCTTTCTTTTCAACAAATGCTCAGACTCATAGGCGGTAATGTGCGACACCGTCGTGAACACATCAGCTGAGTGTGTTGCTGCTCTTTCAATGCAGTAACGATGGTAAATGCCTCTTTTTCCAGCTTCGGCGTCAACGTCAAAGTTGGACAAATTGTTGTAAAAATCTGTCGAACCAGCACACAAGTAACGGCCCAAGAGAGTAGCATGGGTGGTGAAGATGGTAGTGACATCAATTCTTCTTTTTCTGCACAAGGGCAAGGCCACACCTGCTAACCATTCGTGACAATGGCAGATAACCGCACGTTCTTGGTCGTGATATACCAATTCTCCCAAAAACCACGCAACCAAATAACCCAACAAAATGGCATCGTTGCTCTCCTGGTCATGGTCAGGGGTGGGAATTCCAGCAAGGTTCCACAAATCAGATTTCCATTCGTTGAGATGATGGCCCGCCGAATGGATATCGAAAAGAAGCACTCGGGGAGCTCCTTCGATCAACCACCGACCATAGAGCCACTTGATGCCTCTCTCACTCATGGAGTCGAGAGCCGCCTTAATTTTGGGGTCTTTCACCGGCAATTCTTCGACTTCAATTTGCGCCGAACTGTAATTCAATGGTCCAATTAATGTGTATCTTTCTCGATATTCTGCCACTGTAATGGGAGCTTTCGACTTGAGCACCGAGTAAATGCCTCCCACCTTGTGAGCGACCTCGGTGGCCACTTCAAATAGAAGATGGCTGTTGATATCTCTGGTCATTTTCTGTGAAAATGATGGCTGGAAATTACGGTTGCGAAGGGGATTTTCTTCACGAGTCAATCACAATTCAGAAACAACAAAATGTATCGCAAGTAAATCCTGGTGCACTATGATTGGTGGGGACACAAATATCAACGAAAAAAGCGCTTATTGTTCGAGATTTATAGCCGACCCGTCCAGTGGTTACCGGGAAGTGGGGGGTTCACCAGCAATATGGGGAGAGTTCGTGCAGTATACAGGAATGACACAAAGATTGTTTCGGGGCGCCCCGATGCCGAATGCGGCAGGTACAATGCCTATGGGCCTTCGGAGTTTCGGAGAATCTTGAGACAACGCCAGTTATGGTCTATTTTATCGCTTTTCCTCATGGATGATTCTTGGATGACGGTAATTGAGAAAAGGAACCCACTGTATAAGTGGTCCATCTCCAGAGAGCGTCCCTGCATGGAGATTATGTGGGGAAGCATGCGGGGACATTCGCCAGCTCCCCTCCACTTAATTCTTCCAGTGGTGGGGTAAGTATCGAAATGTGCGGAAGAATGAATGTGGGGGCTCTTGTCCAGAATAGGTATTACCCTTTGCAATTGAGTGTTTAGAACTGATCATGGCGTTGCCAAAACCCTATAAAAGGTCCAAAAGTTGCAGATCATTTTTTCACTCACTCGATTTTTCACTTAATTTTTCACTCTCAATTTTTGTCAATTGTCACTTTTTGCAGCCGGATCTCAGATACGAATTATGTATTTGGTATATGCTAGTTTTCGTCGCTGTCATCCAGTCCCTCTTCTTCGTCATCCTTGAATGCTCCGTTCATCTTCTTTTCCGGTACGATCCACCCTTCTTCATCCGAGTCCTCTTCCTCTCCATTCATTTCGTCGTCTTCTTCGCTCTCTTCATCTTTCATCGATCCATTCTCCTCCAAACCATTCTCTTCAATGGCCTGGGCAGACTGTAAATACGACGCCAAGTGACCATTTCTCTTGGTTGTGTCCACAACATCTTTGGCAATTCTGTTAAGAAATCGCTGCAAAAGCCGTATCGAGCTAGCAAATTGATGCTTGTGACTAGATATGTATTTTCCGTGGCTCGTCACAAGACACTGGATCCACTTGACATTGAACTCCAAGTGAGGAGACTCCATTGCGATGCTGCCAATAAAGTTGAGAATTCGGTCCAAGTAGACTACTGGTAAATCTTCGCTCACCAATTGAATATCTTTGACCGGAACAGACTCGTAAACTCGTTGGATAAGGTAGTGTTCGTTGAGTCTGAACGCCATGACTAACGCAGTTAGGTATTCTTTTTCGCTGAGCGACTCTATGGTTGATTCCGGAGTGATATCCACGTCCAAATCGAAAGGATCAAAGATCAAAGACTCGTCAACCGAGTACACCAAAAGTCCCTCGGTAGAGGCAGCGGTAAAAGCTGAAGCAGTGGGTGAAAAAGAAACCGATGTGACTCGTATTTGTGGTCGGACATTTCTCGCACTAGGATCTCCGCGATGAGATCCAGGAAGGCTAGTGTCAATACGGTCCTCCAAATCACTATTTTCTCCATCACGATCTATCAAGTCAATAGCGCCAGCCTCTGTCATTCGCTTACTGTTCAACTGCTGAAGGGTTCCGTTGAATTGCATATTCTGAGACACTGTGAACCTCTTCAAAAGCACCTCATTCGAAATATCGTAGAGACACAAGGAGTTATTGTTTCCACCAGCAACCAAACTGAGCCCGTCAAAGGAATAATCAATGGTACTGAAATATGTTGCACGGGCGGAATTTTTGGCTTCAAATCTGTCCTCCAAATGCCTTCCCTTCAATATATCTTTTCTTGCGTCGATCAAATGTAATTGCTTGGCGTCTTCGATATCAAAAATGGTGATATGGCCATCCAAGGTGGATACAGCAACCTCTTTGGAGTCGGGACGCATGCAAATCCCCAACACATCCGATTGAACTTCTATGGGTTCAACGCTCTGGGTGCGTCCAAATATACTCCAGATACGTACAGTTCTGTCCCATGAAGCCGATGCCAACACAGAGTTTTCGCTGCCGAAAGCAAGGCACGAAACAGGTCCTTCGTGGCCAGAAAGAGAGTCGAGTAATTGTGCCGTTTGCACAGACCACACGAAAATTTCAAATGTATCTTGCGATCCAGCAACCACCACTTCTCCACTTGGATCTACTGCCAAGCAATTGAACTGTACTCTCTCGGTGGCTGTGAAGGTCCTGAAATTACGGAATCTTATTAAATCCCAAGCCCTTACCGTTCCGTCAAGTGAAGACGAGAAGAGTACCTGCCCTTTTTTGGCGAAGCTTAACCCTGTGACTGCGGCTGTGTGCTCTTGTAACGTCACCAAGCAGAATCCTGACACAACATCCCATACTTTAATCTTACCATCGTCAGAAGCAGATACAACACGAGAACCATCAGGCGAGTAACACACACAATTTGTGGAGTCAAAGTGACCTTGTTGCTTGAGAATATATGATTCCGATTGCCATTCGTACACGAGAAGCTGTCCCAAAGTTGAGGACCCAAAGGCGAGCCATTCACCTGACTTATTAATATTTACAGTGTTGACGGCATTCTGGCCCATGCTGAGTTTTTGAATCAAATTGAATTCTGGAAGCTCGTAGATACGAAACTCACCGTTGGTGAATCCCACAACCATGATATTAGATTCTGGGTGGAAAGTTGCACACCTGAGGTTGGCATCGGCATAAAAGAATGATTTTGCAGTAATTCGCCAGCTCATAGGTTTGGTCTCTTCTTCCATATTCTCGTCTTCTTCATCTTCGCTTTCTTCATCGGACAGCTCTGATGGTCTTTCTGTGTATTCCCATTTGAAAAGGGCACCATCCTTGCTCACTGTGTAAATAATTTCTTGCGTTGCGTTGAAAAATGCCTTGATTACATAGTCTCTGTGGCCCGCCAACGTCATCGCCACATCTTTTTCCTCGGACCGAAGCGAAAATATCTTCGTAGTCAAGTCTTTGGATGTGGAAACGAAGAATCGAGAGTCATTGGACCAGGTGACCGAAGTTACATCAGCATAGTGGCCAGCGTAATTACGATGTTTTACAAACGGAGCAAACTGTCGATCTTCAGAGAAATCTGGTGTCTTCCACGTTTGAATGAATCTGCCGGATGCCACGGCAAAGTAATGGCCGTCAGGACTGAATTGCAAGTCTGATACTTTGTCTTTGAAATTAAAGTGATGAAGCACGGTTCTCGCCACGTTATTAACCAAAATGGCCCGTCCATCTTCGTCCACCGAGAAAAGCAACGTACCGTTCTTATTCAATGCTATGCGGGCGATATTCTTGCGGTGTTCGTAGTCAAAAGTGAAAGATTTATTGTTGACCAAATCGAAACAGGTGACTCTGTTTCCTACCGGACTGTAGAGCTTGGTGCCATCATCACTGTACACGATATTCCCCTGTCTATAGACCGTGCCTAGAAGGTTAGAGAACTTGAAGTCGGACTTCATCTCAGTTTATGCGATGGTAGTCTATTTGCAGTTGGTCTGAGATGAGCATCTCAAAAAAATTCCATAGACATTTTCTCGCGCGCACGAAGTGGGTTAACTTCAAATAATCAACGGTGACAATCGGCAGCCATGAGTGGATTATCCAGTCGGGTTAAGAGCATGAAGTTCATGCAGCAAGTTCGTCCTGCTGGCCTGGAGGACATTGAGGAGTCTCCTCAAAAAAAAGTTTCGCTTCTGTCGGAATGGACTCTACCCCACGCTGCGGAAGTCTTAAAACGTAGCAGGCAAAAACCACAGGTCGACACAATTGGGTACGGTTCTATCAGTGCCTTTGATACTTCCGATGAGACAGCAGTCCCACAGGGTAGAAAGGTTTGGGGGAAGCCAGAGGAAAGCATACGTCAAATCGACATTGGACGAATAAAAGATTCGATCATAGATGAAAAAGCCGGAAAAGCTGGGAAAGCTGGACAAGATGCCGAAGAGAACGCTGAAGACGATGATTCTGGCGATGATTCTGGGGATAATTCCAAGAATGGAGCTCACAGCAAATCAAAGAAGCAGAAAGGTAAACGAAAAGCTTCCTCTGGTCGCAAGTCAAATAAGAAACAAAAGAAGTAACGATCATTTCTTCTTCTTTTTGTTGTCGAAATTACCCTTCGTCACAACATCCCGGGCAGCCGAATTGATATGTTTGAATCTATCTGGACCCAAATGGGTGCCTCCAAACCATCTGCTCACAACAACTATCATATTCCATGCATCCATCATTGTCAAGAGATGAAGCAAACGTCCTCCAGCTGCGGTTTCTCCATCGTCGTCGCAGTCTTGGAACTGTATACCATCATCTCTCTTTATCCTCCAGCTGGTGATGTTGTGAGTTGCTCGAGCGATTTTTCGATCAGTAAGAAGTATATCGAGGTACTTCTTGGCTTCCTCAACCGAATTTACTTGACGAGCGAACGCTATGAATGTAGATCCACGATCTAAGATGGTCTCTGAAACTAACCAACCTGCTCGTGGATCGTGCTGAGGAATGCTTGTTGTGCTCTTGGTTGACTTTTCTTCCTTCGTCGTTGAAGCTTTAGACTCATTTTCTTCTTTGGACTCGTTCTTGGCTTCCGGAGAGCTGGGTTCTGGGGTTGGAGAAACGGCAGGCTTATACGTTGAGAGTATCACCTCCAATTCATTTATAACATCAAATAGACATACCATTCCGGAAACAAATACAGTAGAAATCACTTTGGTTATGCTCTCCTCCAAGTAACGAACATCCGTATATCTGCGGTTGTCGTGGCTAACCACTCCTACTAGCGATGGTATTCTATCGGGATACTCATCAGGGAAGGCCAATTGAATTTCCAACTTGGGATGGTCAGGAATTGTCAATGCATATATCTGTGGAGCCTTGAGTGTTATAGAGTCGGGATATATCGCCTGTATGGCGTCGACCTCGTCATATAATTCTTGTAGTGTCATAGTGAAAAATAGTGTCTCACTTTTTGTACTACGATGAATTTCGCAGCTCACTAGATTTTGATCCATTTATGCTGTCTGACGAACTCAAGCAACTTGGCAATACAGCATTCGCTAATAAGGAGTTCAAAAAGGCAGCCAAGATCTATCGAGATGCCATCAAATTAGACCCCACGAACCCGATTCTATATTCAAATCGTGCCATCTGTTTCATCAAACTTCAAGACTGGGAAAGAGCCCTTCGAGATTGTTCGTACGGCTTGACATTGGAACCTGAACTTAAAACCAAAGTGAAACTTCTTTACAGAAAAGGACTTGTGTTGAGAAATACCTCACAAATGAGCCAAGCAAAGCGCTGTTTTGAGCAAGTCCTTGAGATTGATGCCCATAATGAAAGTGCACTCAACGAATTGAAAACCATGGATACAAAAAAGCACAAATCCAACATTACAGATGTACCAATTTCCTCCGTCGATGAGCTTCCTATGCCATTCAAGCAACTAATTACTTGCGATGTTGGAAGTGTCGAGACTGAAGAAAAACTAAGCGAAGCATCCGATGCTAAAATAAATCATAGCGAAGAATTGAAGCGGGCTGCCGAAGAACTCTTCCCAGAATCAGATAAACCAAAAGAATCAGGAGCAAATCCAAAGAAGTTTGCTGACCTTCCTTCCATGTTGCCATTAAATGCCTTGAAAAACTTCAGTGGTGAACGACTCGCCAAAGGTTATGTTTATGTGCTAAACATACCCGTATCCAATTACGAGGATATATTTTCAACTGGAATAGATCCTGAATTCTTGGACTTCTTTTTAGAAGCGTCAATCTATGCGGCGCAGCATCATCACGAGAACTGGGAGCTAAAGGTATCTGAAAGATTTGTCTGCTTTTCAAAAATGAAGAAATTCAGCTTGTCATTAATGATGTGCTCTCCGTCCTCAATTCAGCAACTACTAGGCCTTGTCCAAAACAACTCAGAATTGCATCGTATACTCAGTAATGCCTAGTTGTATAACCCTTCCGTAGCCCTTTCCGACTGTCTATAGCTTGATATGGTTGGAGAAGAGGCTCTAAAAATTCTGGGACCCATTCCTCCAAGTCCAACTCTAGGTAGCCCACCACAGAAGGTACTGAGAAAATGGCTGCAAAGAATAAAGCACTCATTCCAAAGAGAACAATCAGCAGTTTGATATGAAACTTTCTCCAGTTTCTCTGGGCTTTAGAGAGAAGACGGGGTCTCAACTGATCACTTGGTTTCAACCAGAATAGCATAAAGGTATGCCACACATCAATGAATGGGATCATTAAGATTGGCAATTGGGCATAGAGGATACCGTGACCTAAAATTATGTCGGCCACGAAATAGCAGCTTTCCATTGTTTTGATGATTAATTCTCTGAATGGCTGCGTGACAATCAATAATCCTAACTTAGCGTTGATCCACTTTCCTGACCACCACGCTTTATTCACACGTCCATGTGGTAATTCTTTGCTCAACAACGAGGAGATTATCCTGAAGAGCACCTTCTGGACCTGTGACATGCAAATCACTCCAATGAGAGTCGATGGACCATCCCAATTTTGTGCAAACCAGAAAGCTTCAAAACAAACCACATATACCAATATGCTAATAATGTGAGCTAATCCTGAAATAATCGTGGTATACAGTGGAATAATTGCAGTGAAGAGAGGACCAAAAATCAAAGTAACAGGGAGAAGTGCAACCAAAATGGCAAAATTGGCAGCTATGGGAAGAACACTGAAAACTGCCAACCTCAAGAATGCATGAGATGGTTGTGCTCCTCTGATCTCAAATTGAGCATTCGCAGAGAGATAGGACGTGCCAATCAAGAACAATTGCATCAAGTCGAAAAGAATTTTCGTCATGAAAAGGTTTTTCTTCGACGGTCTTACTCTAGCCTTGTCTCTTGCCAGTTCTCCTCGCACATTTCTTTTAACGCCAGTTATTCTGCTTCGACTTTCTTTGGTGAACCAATACCACGAATGCTCAGAATCACCCCCATTACAGTTGAACATCCAGCCAAGGTACTTCTGGTAATCGATGTAGAACTCTATCCACGCAAACTGATGTGGGTTGTACAAAGACGGACATATGAGTAAAGCAATTGCAATGAACCAGAAGTAGGTTATAATGGGGGTCCACATTGTGAACGTGCTGTACAAAACCAACAAGATTAGGGTCGTTCCAAAGTAAAAGCTTGTCAGCGCATATCTTGCGTATAGACTCGCAAAGGGTGCTCTTGTCGTTGCAAATCCACGGCCTGTCGACATGTATCTGGCTCCACCATATGAGATATCACCAACCAAAGAACTAGCGTACGTTTGATTGACAAACACTTCAAATAATGGTGAAAATGACGCTATGTGCTTGCTGATGCGCTTGACAGCTTTGACAAATCCTCTCTCAGTTAATTCCTGTACTGCGAGAGGAATAAATGCAACAAAGCTCATGAGAATGATTGACCAAACCTTACTTTCTATCCACCGTACAACAGGTTGAAGGTTCTTGCATCCACGAGGAACAAGTGGGTCGGTAATAGGTCGATTTGGATCGTAATCGCAAAACTTTACCTGTCTAGAGTATGCCGCAAGACTGGCTGCAAATGTTGTGAAGAGCAGAATGGAGAGCATAATGAACACATTGTTCAAATGGAACCCAGGATGGGCATAGTAAAACGATAGGAATCTATCAAGCGGTAAAGTACCTCCCAAGTAGAAGTACTCTCTGGAAAGCATTTGCTCTGCCATTCCCGTGCCAATTTTTGTGGTGAAACTGAGAATAGAACTGAAACCCAAGTCTCTACCTTTTCCACATTGCATATACTCGCAATGCTTGATTCTTCCCCCGCGTGCAATTGCGTTGATTCCAGCATAGATATCCTCATTAAGATGAAGACCGCGCTGTGCTTTTGAAACTCCACCTCTTGTCGTCATGAAAATACTATTGAGAAAGTCGGGGTGTCCGTAATGAAGCTTTCCTTCGATTTGGGCAAGAGTTCGAGCGAATAAGGTTCCGAACGTTTGTTCTTTCCCGGCGGCTATATCTCCAAGAATTCCAATATTTTCGGAGAAGATGTACTCTCTGGTTCCAATGATTGCGACAGGATATACATCATTCTGAAAATCGAAGATGTCATTTGGCGGTGACATCTCCTCAAATTCGGCCAATACGCTTCTTATTTTCAAGCATTCCTCAATATAGTTGTCCTGATTCGCATCCACTAACTGGATGTACTCTCCTCTGGTAAAAATAATTGCATGGTTTTGGTTGTCGGACTTTCCGTCGCCAAGAATAGGATTTCCTGGTAGTCTAATCTTGAACCTTGGCTTGCGCTCACCATTGGCTAAGATTGGGCATGCTCCATCAATTAGTGCTGAAAAGTATGTTATCTTGCCATCTTCTGGATCAATACTCTCTTCGAGATAAGCTATTTGCAATTCTGGGTAGATCCTGAGAAGAAGTTCTTTGTTATCCCTTTCTTCCTTGTTGAACGTTTGCAACTTTTGCATCGATACTACTAATCGAAACTTGCGTAGAGCCATGGCACACGCAGCTTCAATCTTCAGATACTCATCAGCATATTGGCTGTCGTCATTTTCCAAGTCGAACAATAACTTAATTGCCCTTGAATAATTCATGAAGCCGCTTATTGTACGGTATAACGTTTGGGTTCTGAGTGAAGCCCAAATTCGGGTACGAAGAATGTATTCTGGTGAAGCAATTTTGAACCCAACGGAATCGTATGGAAGGTCTCTCTCCATTTTATCCACTGAATTCTCCGAAGACTCCGAGTCATATTCTTCGGCTAGCATTTTAGTATCACACACAAAGGATTCCCATTCACGTGGGTGTAACAGCTTGAGGTATTCTAGCATTGTTACGTGGGAGTACATATCCAGCTCTTTGATGATCTCTTTGAGTGACAATATAGTTTTCTCCTCGAAATGAGGAACAAGGCAACAAAAGGACGGAGTTGATTCAACGTTGTTAGCAGGGCGCATCGGCGTGGACAACGACTGTGCAAAGAACGTAATTCTTCGTTCTGCTTCCGAATGTCCATCGAACATAAAAGCTTGAGACGAACCATCTTCCTGTGAGTCAAAAAACTGTGGGGTTCTCATTTCATTTGGAGCATCGGGATACGACTTGTAAATCAAGGCTCGAACCTGTTCGATCGATATCAAGTGTTCTCGGTACATTGCAATGATAATCGAGTTCCATATTTGTGACACTGCATGTTTGTTCAAATCCTTTCCTAAGTTCGAAGTTGACAATATGTTGGACTGAATGCGTCTAGGAAGCCGAGAAAAGATGTTCTTCCAAGGCGTCCATATGGACACACCAACTTGAAATGACCGACAGATGGAGAATACACAATTCCAAATAATATACCACAAATAGGTATCAATGAAGAAGAGTACCAAGTCAACTGAGTAAACTATGGCCAAAAGAAGCTTGGAGTGATGTTGACATAACACCGTTCCAAGAATACTATCCCCGGCGCATATAGTAGGAGCCATAGTGCTAAGCACCCGCACGGGGTCTTTAGTGGTTAGCGCAATATAGAAATAAGACTCAATGAATTTCGACCCAAATATTGCAATCCATATTCCGTAGGATGCCAATTGGTTATTTCCTTCTAGATTGTGGTAGTTTCCTGTGATCGTCTCTCGGCTTTGGTTATTAGAAAGCCAAAAAAGTTTTGACGATGGAACAAATGAAAGATATAAGGATGTGAAGACAGATACTAGAAACTGGGCAATCGAAATAGCCAACCCTTTGGTCGTTTGTATGTTCAACGGGTAATAGTACAAAACAAACAAGGTAGGGAATAGGTTGCAACAGAGCATCACAACTAGCATTATCATGCGTATCAAAATCTTGTACGTTCCGGGCCATTTCCAGGAAACCATTTGAAGTTCTATGGCAGAAGCCGTAAGGCAAATCAAGGGCGCCAAGCTACCAGCCAAAGACATAACAGCCAATCTTGCTTGAGTCGTGGGCTGGTTATCGAGACTTTGCTGATAATTGTGTACGTACAAGGTTGGGCTGTTGAAAGTGGTGTAATACCAAAACACGGTAAGGTGGATAATCCAAATTCTGGTAAAGTTAGCCCAGGCATGACCCCACGAACGACGTTCCAGAAATATCTTGTAGAATGCCTTTTTCCAGATGATCTCGTTAAAGCGAAGATACCGCTCCTGTGGGGTCAATTTCATAAGCTTGGTCTTCTTTGGTATGGTGATACGGTCGAGGCCACTTCTGTACCAAAACAATTGGTTCATATCATCGTAGCCAATCTTATCTTTGTGATCCCTATCGCTGTTGTAAATGATGGTGCCTTTTCTTACCACTGACTGGTCGAAGTAAATTTCATAAATAGGTGTTATAACGTGAACAAGGAAGTCCTCTTCGATTATAGCGGTTTCCAGCTCTAAAGAGTAGTAGAAGTCATTACAGCACTTGAAAATGAAGCAGAGGCATTCGGGCATGAGTCTGACGATGTTCGCTTCGCCCCAGCAAAGAAGGTACAAAGCCACTTGGATCACGCAATCAATTGCAGGTAGAGTAGCCATAGTCGAGCTCCATGAAGTCAAAGCGGCTTTTTGGGAGATCTTTCGTCCCGTAGCAGATTCAGGGTCGTTATACATTTCCGTGGCGAAGTACCATTTACGAAAGTTGGCCTTTGGTCCTCCAATGTAATCAGCATGTAGGGTGCGAAGCGCCTTGTCGCAGTCCATTCTGGACGCCCTAGAGTCTAAAAGCTTTAAATAGAAGTCTAGCATGTTGCGGCAGTTATCCTTTTGGAACCGAAAAGTTTTCGTCAATTTGAAGAAAACTCCTTCAATTTCTTCAATGGTCACTGGACGGTGAGGCTGAGAATTCCACGCCACATTACCATCACTTTTGTGCATCAGCGATAGAACATTACATGTTCCGAGGTCTTCGACTCTTGACGTGTGACCCGTTTTCCTCGAAGCGTGAAAATGTGAACTTTTGGAGCCACTAAAAGGGGTATCGGCGCCTCCATAATCGTGCTCAAAACGACTCAAAGTAGTGGACATTTTTGCATCCATTCCAGCAGACTGAAACCCCATCTCGAGGTTACCCAAATCTACCTGGCTGGCGTTATTGGGTTTAGAATCTGACATGGATAAAAAAAGCTGTTTGTATTGTGGTAAAGAAATTAGCCGTAAAAAAATTCACAGATAAATATTTGTGCGCGACATCTTTGCAGCCATTAATGTCGCAACGGTGCAACCGATTGAAAAATTGCGATTCAAAGTAAAAACCTAATCTTGCATCTGAATCCCCATTGCAATTCTATTTGGAGTTCTTCCTTTGAAAAAAAGACTTCTTCGGGGCATTCCGTTGTGTAAGGAGTCAGAAAGTAGCCGGTCCTTGATCTCAGATGTCTCTACACCTTCGCTAAGTAGATTGGCAATGAGACCAGTGATGATAGGAGCCGCCATGGATGAGCCAGAAAGAGTCTGAGAAACGGTGAAGTCTGAAGCACTCAAGCTTTGCACGTTGGTTCCGCTGGCGAAAATGTCCACACATGGACCCCAATTGGAAAATTCTGCCATGGTCCCGGAGGTATCATTTATGGCCCCAACGGTTATCGCATCTCGACAACTAGCGGGACTCATATTGCAAGCGTTTATATTTGAGTTTCCAGCTGCTGCCACCACAAGAACTTCCATGTCTACTAGTGCTGAAATGGCGTCATTGAGGACAGAATTACGCATCGCTCCGAGAGACAAATTGACGACAGAAAGCGAATCATTTTTCTGGTCCAGGGCGACGAATTCTAACGACGCAAGAATATTACTGAGACTTCCTGCCCCAAACTTATCGAGAGCTTTCACCTCTACAATTGTGGCTCCTTTGGCCACTCCATAAGTCCTGGAACCTATGATACCTGCCACATGAGTTCCATGTCCATTCTGGTCTCCGCTCTCTTCGCTTACCAAATTTGTTCCTCTTATGGCTCTACCCTCGAGCTCAGGATGCTCAATGTTTACACCCGAGTCAATCACATACGCCTTGACTCCGTCTCCATTGGCTTCGTCATCGTAGTAGTAGCTGAAATCAGACTCCTCCAATTTAACGTGCGAAAGTTTCGCCAAGTGCCGAGGTGCTCCTTTTTGTCCCATGATTTCAAACGCCTGAACTTGCAAATCTGGGGTTATTTCCGCCACAACCGGACACTTCTTGAGCCGTTGCAAGACTAAAAGCGGAAATTGACCAGAAAAAGCTAAAAAATTTCCAATCTTGAACAGCCGCTCAATGAATGGAAGTGCTCGCTGGTCTTCTGGATACTGTAGATCAGTCTCCCTAAAGTGTTCCATAGTCTTGGAATTCTTCAACGATACAAGATACCCTTGTGAAACCACATAGTTAAAGAGAGTTAATAAGTAGAAACTGGAGATTAACATTTGGTTTACAATGTCAAAGTACACAATGTTGCACAATGCGTACAAAGAGACAAAATTTGCACCCACAATTGTGTTTGTGATTTTCACATAATGGCTGTGATTTTTATTGTACCACAGATGTGATTCTATCAATACATTCTCAAGAGTACACTTCACTTGTTCTCTCATCTACATGGTTCTGTTCAATTATGTATTGAGCACTCAATACTCGTCTATTTAAAAGATTTGAGGAACTTCTCCTTCTCCAGCTCAGGAAGCGACGATACCAAATCCTTAACAATGGAAAGGGTTCCACTACAGTCCTCCTTCAAAGCAGCAGCGAGCTTTTGTCTCGCAGCCTCATGTTTCAATTCACCAATTCTCTCCTTGAGTTTCTCGTGATTTTGTTCGATCCACTCAGCAACCTCTTTATCGTCTTCATAGTCAACAGTAGGCATCCAACTCTTGAGTCTGGCAACCTTCTCCAATTTGTTGTTGGATTTGAGTTGCTCTTCAATCATGTCGAGAACGTATTCCTCGTTCAATCTACGACGCAAACGCCAGAAGAAGAAACGACGAGCGTTACGCCATTCCAATTCCTTTCTAATCACACCCTTGGCCAACATACGGCCAGATCTGTCGTGCAAGTCAGCAAATTGAACCGAGATCTGGGCATAGATAGGAAGCAACGCTTTCTCACGAGCAACAATCTTGGCCGAGATCTGCGAATGTTCTTCAGCAGATACACTCTCATCGCTGAGCTTCTTTTTCAACTCAGCATAAGTAGGGTCTAACCGGGTCATCGTGGCCAACAACTTGTCTCTTCTGTACTTGATACCAACAATACCTTCTGGCTCCAACACACCGGCTCTCGAATCGACATCGGCGTACATTTCCATCTTGTCAGCATTGATGGTAGGATCAACAACGACCCATGAACCACCTCTCAACTCACCGTTTGGTGGAATGTAGGTGAAGATTGGCTGCTTGAAGTCGACCAAAGCATCAACAATATACGAACCAAATTTGAGAACCTCGTTGTACATATCACGTTGGCCTCCTGAGAAACCTCTCCAGTTAGCCAAGATCATCAAAGGGAGGCTTTCACCATTATTGAAGTCATTGATAGCTTGAGCGGTCTTGAAAGCAGAGTTTGGATACCAAACTTGACCAGCTTCCTGAATCATTTGCTCGGTAGAATCAGGGTTGGCTGGGTCAGCGGGAATCAAGTTATCAACAGATCTCGTTTCAACACCAATAACACCAATTGGAATACCTCCAAGACGTGCTCTTCCAACGACGACGGTCTTGGCCCATCCCGACAAGGTCTCTTGGAAAGAACCCTTATCGAACAAACCAGATTCAAACTCTCCGTTGTCGAATTGACGACCCTCAATGAGCCAACGAACATCGTATGGATCTCCCTTTGTAGGATAGAACTCAACATCTCTGTCCCATGAGTCACTTGATTCCAAAATTGGGATTGGATGACCACTCTTTGCGGGAACGTAAGAAAGCCATTGCATGATCTTCTCGACACCGGCCAAATCATCTGAAGCTGTCAAATGAGAAACACCATTCTTGTACATGATTTGGGTACCACCAAGCTGTAAGTTGGAAGAGTAAACCTCACGACCAAGTAACTTGTTAATAGCAGGGGCACCTGTCAAAATGATTGGTTGACCTTCGATCTGGATCGCTCTTTGACCTAATCTTACCAAGTAAGCACCGATACCAACAGATCTGCAAGTGACTAAGGTAATAGTGAAGATATCTTTGTAGGCACGCGAAGTACTTCCAGCAATTAAACCGGAACCCTTCAAACACTCAACACCTAAGCCATCTTCTTCTCCGACAATAGACTTGAGAACATGTCTCTCTTCACCATTTTCGACGATTCTTTCAGTGACCACACTCGAAGACTTACCGGCAGCATCCATAGCAGCCTTGTCCTCGCTCGACAAGTACAAGTATCTGAAACCTTTTGCTTGGTTCAGCTCATCATTCCACGCGGCTTTGAAAAGAGGAATCAATTCTTCAGCAACACCAATTCTGGCTCCAGAATTAGCTGAAAGATAGATCCGAGGAATACGCAACTTTCTCGCATACTCAGTACATTTGTTGAAATAAATGTCCTCTTCTGGGCCAAAAGATCCGATTTTGTGAGTTATATCGTTGGCAATGATGATGAATTGACGTCCTCTTGGATATTCAGGTGTCTTAGCAGTCACTTTGAAACCAACCATACCAATTTTATTCGAACCAGGTTCGCGATCAACGGGAGTCAACTCGCCATTGTCATCAGCGATCAATTCCAATGAAGTAAATACATCTTTTGGAACCTTCGCTTTGGCATGCAACTTCCATTGAGAAAGTGTAGCTTGACGGAACAACTCAGGGAAATCGTAAACATATGTCGTACCCATGTTGTGTGCCTTGTAACGTTTTGGTTGCAAAGACTCTTTCACTGGGTAAGGCGTTGAGATAGGTCTCAAATGCATGGAACCAGGATGGCCAATTGACTTAAATACCCATTCGCCCTTGGTGTTCTTCACCTCCATGTACAACTCGGACTTCACAACATAACCTGAAACGTTGTTGATGATGGCACGGAGAGGGAACGAAGTATTAGTGTTTGGATCAGTACAAACAATTCTGATTTCTGCACCAGTAATTCTCAATCTCCATAATCTTCTACCAAATCTCTCCAAGAATGAGCCGAATGCAGCCTCGACTTCCTCTGGTAAAACATTGAAGACAGCGGAGAAATTGATGAAAATGTGGTTGAGATCCGAATTGGATGTATCAATGACTTCTAAAGCGTCCAAGATATCAGACATCAAACGATTGGATTCGGAAATCAAGTACTCGCTGATCGAGATATCGTCATGAATGATACCTGTTCTAATAATACCACGAGTGAAGAATCTCTTGTCGGAAGGAGCATTCTTACCAACACCCTCATACACATGAATGTTTCTGTTGTCGGTGAAAATTGGCTTGATGTTGAAGTTCACCAAGCGTCCCAATTCCAATTGGAAAGCAAGAGCTGGCTCAATATGACGAATAACCTTGTTTTCCTCGTAGTCTGGGGCAGTGAAAGTGTAGTACTTAGGATAGTTTCCAACATCGTTGGCAAAAACAAAAGTGATTCTTCTGATCTTGGCAGTTCTCAAATCATCCTTGTACTCATCAAGAATCTCTCTGATCCTACCCAAAATTTCATCTTCGGAGATGTAGCCATCGATGCTGTTGACCACAATATTGAAGACATTCGAGTAAGACTGCTCGGTATCTTTAGAAGAACGCAAGTGAATCTCATCAGAGGGCACTAATTGCTCTAAAGCTGCCGTCATCATGTCGTCAACGTCATCAAGATGCTTGCATGGAACCAAAATACCAGTTCTGCCGTGCTTTTCTTTGTCATCGGAGACGTAAGATAAGTCGGACACTGACATGGTTCTGTTCATTGAACTGGAATCATCACTCTTGACGTTTTGAATAGCATTGAGATTCGACGAATCGAGACTGGGCAACGAGAACTTCCAGGTGATGATAGGCAACTTGTCTTGGAAGTGGTAAGAAATCTTACCCAACGAGTAGGCTCTGTAAGAACGTCTCACGTAAACTTCTGCAGCAGCAATAGCAACCCACTCGTCATCATTGACCAAAAACTGAAGCAACACGTCAAACACGGTGTGTTTAGAATCAACAACTTCCTGGATCACATCAAGCTTAGGTTTGATGTGCAGAGCATAGATCTCTCCATATGAAGTTTGAAGTACCGAAGAGCGCAAAATATGTTCCAATTGATCGGATCTTTCCTTAATGGAAGGCAAAGAACATTGAATCAAAATTTCTCTTGCTTTCAAGGTTACCTTGGCGGTGTTTCTGGTATCCAATTCGACCAAGTTCTTCAAAGCTTTACGAATGCTTTCACCCACCTTTGATCCCTCAAGTAAAACGGGTTGGTAGACATCCAAGATGGCGAGAATCAAGTTGTTCTTTGAGCTAACTCTGGAGTGTGATAAAGCGATATCAGTAACCTTCTGCAAATCGCTCTTGTTCTCGTCACGAAGTCTCAAAATGACATCCTCGTCCCTAACATTGTAAGGGGAGAAAAGAGACTCAACGGCGTAGTATTCGTTGATCAAGCTTGCAAAGTAAGAAAACTCGTGCTCAAGCAAACCGGCAGAGTAACGGGTAGCGACATTAACCAAAGGAGCAACAACGTCACGAAGTAAAGATCCCGACTCCTGGGTTGCCAATTCCTTCTGCATGAGTTTCAAAAGCTGCTTAGCTGGGAAGTCGGCCCCTCTAGAATGAGTCCTCTCAATGAGTTGTTCCATTGCCTCGTCCAATTTGGGTGGTAATCTGGAATGTAATGCAGACGCCTGTTGTGCCCACTCACCGTAAGGTAACTCCTTATCTTTCAACACCTCTCTAATGCCCTTGAGAGTCGAGTTCATGATGACTTGGTTGTCAAAACCAGCCAAGATGTTACTCAAAATGTTTGAGTAGAACTGGAACTTGTGAACAGGCTTTGAGCCTTGCACAATGGCATCTCCCAAATCTGGAAGCGTGCCCTCGAAAGGACGAGCATGCTTGACCTTCGAAGGATCATCCAACGACAAAATAGCCAAGATATCTCCAGCATTGACTGTAGATCCTGGTTGTTTGATCAATTGAACGACACCGTCTTCTTGGGCAATCAAAGGCATGCACATCTTCATAACTTCCACTTCAGCGTAGGCCTGACCGGCAACAACATGATCACCACTTTCAACCAAGTACTTGACTAACTTACCTGGCGATGGAGTTCTCAATTGGGTTGGATCATTCTCGACTTCCAACAAGCAAGTTTTACTGTCCACGGAAAGTCTAGTTGCCGCAGCTTCCTCCTTCCAGTAAACAGAGTGTGACTTACCTCCAATAGCGCACAACAATCCACCATCAGACAAAGGACGAATACCAACGACTCCTCTTGTACCATTGAGGAACAAAGTGTATGAATCTTTGGAAGACTTAGTAGCTGTGAACTTGTAACGTTGACCTTCATAGATGAACTCAATTGGGAAGATGGTTCTCAACAAGTTCTTATTAGGAATTTGACCCTTTTCGAGACTCAGAATGTAGTCACGTTTATCTTCTTCGGTTTGAATATGAGCTTTAGTAACAGCACCACACACGACAGCCACAATAGGGTCTGGTCTTTCAGCTGTCAACTTTTTGGAAATCAACTCATCTAACCATCCAGTAGTGATTGTGTTATCCTCGAAATCGGGGGTTTCCAACAACTTAATCAAGTACTCGACAGTGGTTCTGAAATCACCACGAATGGACAACTCCTTCAAGGCAACCACCATGTGCTTTCTCGAGGCTTGACGGTTCTCTCCGAAGGCAAAGATATGACCAAATTGGGAATCAGAAAATGAATGAATGGAAGATTGATTACCGACGGAGAAATAACCCCACACATTTGAAGAAGATCTGAAGTTCAAATCATGCAAATTACCTCCAGAAGGCTTGAAACCCTCACCGGGATCTTCAGAGGTGATACGACAAGCAGTCGTATGACCCTTGGGTACTGGACGTCTTTGGCTGATCAAAGATTCTTCAGTCTTGAATTCAAAGTCAATCTCAGTGGAAGTATGAGGATCCACACCGTAGAGAGTTCTGATGTCTCTAATACGGTGCATTGGGATACCCATAGCAATTTGCAATTGAGCAGCTGGCAAGTTCACACCCGTCACCATTTCAGTGGTTGGATGTTCAACTTGCAAACGTGGGTTCAATTCCAAAAAGTAGAATTTATCCTCAGAGTGAGAATACAAGTACTCCACAGTACCAGCGGAGACATATCCCACCAATTTACCCAATCTGACGGCGGCGTTCTCCATGGAACTAAAGGTATCTCTGTCAGCGACCGTAACAGGAGCCTCCTCAATAATTTTTTGATGTCTTCTTTGAACGGAACAATCTCTTCCAAACAAAGAGATATTGGTACCATATTGGTCGGCCAACAATTGAACCTCCAAATGTCTGGCATCACCAGCCAACTTCATGATGAAAATAGGAGATCCAGGTATTTCATTAGCAGCTTGCTTGTAAAGAGCAATAAAGTCGGCTTCACGCTCAACCTTACGAATACCTTTACCACCTCCACCTTCGGAGGCCTTGATCATGACGGGGAATCCAATTTCTTTGGCTTTCACCAAACCGTCTTCAGGCAGACTGCAGCAACCTTTTTCGTAGACTTCAGGAGCAACCGACACCAAATTGGTCTTGGGGTCAACTACAACGTCATCGACACCAGTACCCGACCATGGTATACAAGGAACCTGAGCGTGTTGTGCGACAATGGTGGAGGAGATTTTATCACCCAAAGAACGCATTGCCAGTCCTGGGGGACCAATAAATAAGATCTTTTTTGGTGAAGCTGCCAATTTCTCGGGCAATAAAGGGTTTTCTGAAGCATGACCCCAACCAGCCCATACGGCGTGAACATTGGTGGTTTCGGCAATCTCCACAATGAGATCGACATTAGCATAGTTATTGTTGTTGGTTCCACCTGGTACCTCCACAAACTGGTCGGCCATTCTGATGTACTCGGCGTTGGCAGCCAAATCCTCTGGGGTGGCCATCACAGTAAATTGGATGGCACGTTCGTCACCAAAGGTCTCGTAAGCCCATTTCCGGACAGACCTTATTTCTTTCACGGCAGCAATACCGTTATTTGCGATCAAAACGCGGCTGATCACGGTATGACCTTGGCTATTACGCACAAACTCAGTGACTTTTCCTGGCTCGGCAACATCGACTGAGTTTAACCCTTTGAAATGCGAAGGCAAATCATTGTGAAGAGGCGAAAAGTCTGGGGTTTTCTCTTGGGCGGTGGACATTATGGTCCTTATTTGCGATAAAATTCTGGGAAAATTTCGTTTGTAAAAGTAACGACGAGAACGAGAACGGGAAATATAGTCTCGAATATAGTTGGAACGGTTATGTGAAATGTGTCCTCTACGGATCGAGTATTTGAGATTCGAATTGAGAAAGGTCAAATAAGTCTTTCTGGTACGACTAGTTGTTCTGATGTTAGTATGGTTACATGCAATTAATGTACGCATACAATTAACCACCTCTTGTGCCCAAAAAGTTTAAACGCATTTGTTGTGGTTGCATGCAGTCCATCTCCGACCGATTCCGACGATGTGGACAAAAAATCGATGGATGGTGGTAAAATGGCAAGACGGGATGGGACCAATTTCTAGCACAGGCGAGGGGATGCAAGAGGTTCTTATATGCTACCAATTGGCGGCAAAACAGCCGCAAATCGCCCTCGTAAATGGTCGGAATTGGCACCTCCGACTTTTTGCATCGACGGTGCAGCATAACATGACTAGGTGCATGTCATTGGCCGTGTCTAGACCTTTGAACAGTGGCTTAAATACATACTTTGACCAATAATTCTGTAGAAATCTCGTCTCGAAATATATGCCTCCTGAGATCGGATTAATATAAAAAGAGGAACCTCCCCCAACAAACCGTTGATGTTGGCCCAAAATGCTTGGGTAAATCAGTACGATGGCTGACGTCAGCGCTGCAACGCGGTGTTAGGCAGTAACCTGCTGACGACAATGTGGCACATTAGTTGCTACATAAGTATGAGATAAGGGTATTTAAGGTTCTAAGATTCAAATGGGCGATCTTTGTAGATCCCGATAAGATTGTTGGTACTTTAGAAAAAAGTGAATGTGAGAAAGAAAAAAGAAGCTTTAAACATTTTAGGTTGCCGTGACGCGCAGACCTTCATTTGACTACATTTACACGTCTGGGTGACATCATGGCAAAACTAACCGCTTTCCGTCGAATTCGTTTCTCGAATCTTTTCGTCAGTTGTTGGGACTTTGATTATGGGCCGTATGCAGTACTATAAGGCGTTTTTGTGCCACGTTCGGCGCACGAACTTTTTCAGTTTTGCTTATGTCATCGGGTGCCGATCGAGTTCGGTGTTAAGATCGTTTGGTGTGCCGTTCACAAGAATATTATTTAGGTGCTGTCAATTTAGGCCCTTGCATCAACGCGACCATTTCCTTTGGCCTCGGCACGCACGATGACTTACAAAAGTGAAATTAGAGTGTTTTGAAAAGTTTCCTTCCTCACCCACCCAGTTAGAAAACTCGTAGCAACAAAAGTGCATGGACACCTGAGATTCTCGGCATTATGCCGTTTTTCCCCACACAACACCTTATTTTGATGCATGCCACGAATTGTTCTCGTTAATTATATGCAATGCCGCATATAATCCGGGATTGGACTGGGGAGTCCGAGCGACGTAGAAACTCCGAAATGAGGAGTTTCGGCCCCGAAAACGATAGACGACTAAATGAGCTTTTTTGGGAGGTTTTCTACCAAGTTCATTTTCATGAAAGTGATGCATTTTCACCTTATAATTGTCTTGCAGTTTATGTTTGTTTTTAACAGTGCGGCACTGATATGCGCCCTGCAGTTTGACATCATACGGCGGGGGAGTCCTCTTGCAGCAACCCCACCCCCACATATATATAGAAGCTTCGATGTTTCAGGAGTCGAAAACATGTCGCTGACGTCGAGTTCGAAAGATATGCCGCCTGAAAAGGAGGAGGTCAGTGTTTTGCAAGATAATAATGAAATACCCTCATTTTTGGGATTGAGAGGTAGTAAATTGCATAATGCGGTCGCGGGAATGTGTGGTGTTGGTTTCTTGTTGTTCGGTTATGATCAAGGTGTGATGTCCAGTTTGTTAACTTTGGGCGCTTTCAAGGACACTTTTGAGGTCTACAGAAATGGAAATCCAACTATGCAAAGTTTTATTATTGCCATCTACGAAATTGGTTGTATGGTTGGCGCTCTCTCAACTCTTTATTTGGGAGATAAATATGGCAGAGTTAGGTTGGTGTTTGCTGGCGCTTTTATTATGTTGATAGGTGGTGCACTTCAAGGCTGTGCCTATACTGTTGCTCACTTGATTGTTGCAAGAGTCGTATCTGGAATTGGAAATGGTTTGATTACCAGTACAGTTCCGGTATGGCAAGCTGAAATCGCCAAGCCTGAAAAGCGTGGTAAGCTTATTGCACTTCAAGGTGCTCAAATTACTTTGGGAATTGCAATCTCGTACTGGATTGATTTTGCATTTTACTTTACAGACCCAAGTCCTGCTGCATGGCGGGTTCCTGTATCACTCCAATGTGTTTTCCCATTAGTAATTCTTCCTCTTGTGTTGAAATTACCTGAATCTCCACGTTGGTTGATTCGAGTAAGAAGAGAAGAAGAGGGTAGACGAGTATTTGCGGCTTTATTGGAAAAACCGGTAGACGATTATTTGGTAAATCAGCATATGAATGAAGTGGAGGAATCGTTAGCTGCAGAACGTGCACTTGGTGGTGAGACTTTCCTGATGAAAAGGCTTTTTACCCAAGGTGAAAAGAGAAATTTTCACAGACTTTGCTTGGCTGGCTGGGCTCAGCTTATGCAACAGATTTCAGGTATCAATTTGATCACCTACTATGCTGGAACAATTTTTGAAAAATATATTGGAATTGATCCTCTTCCATCCCGGATTTTGGCGGCGTGTAATGGTACTGAGTACTTTTTGGCGTCGTTGATTCCATTGTGGACAATTGAAAGATTTGGTAGACGTCCACTTTTATTGATCGGCACTGCAGGTCAATGTCTTAGTATGGTGGTTTTAACTATCACGACAAAAGTATCTGATAATCAGGGCAAGTCTCAACCCCCAGCCATAGCCGCGGCGGTATTCCTTTTCGTGTTCAATTCGTTTTTCGCAATTGGTATGTTGAGTATCACTTGGTTATACTCTCCGGAAGTGAATTCAATTGAGATCAGAGCTCCAGCTGCTGCCATATCCACCGCGTGTAACTGGATTTCCAACTTTGCAATTGTATTGATTACAATTCCAGCTTTTGACAACATCAACAGTTTCACTTATCTCGTTTTCGGGATGATTAACTTTCTCATGTTGCCAGTAATTTATTTCTTGTTCCCAGAAACAGCAGGAAGAAGTTTGGAGGAAATGGATCTTATTTTCAAGCAAACCCCAGTGTGGAAACCATGGCAAGCTGTCAAGATTGCACGAGAAATGCCATTTATTCATGCTGGAGCTATGGAAGATATTGAAGAAAAGAGAATGGCGGAATTTGAACATACAGAACACGCAGGATTGTTTGAGGATAATTCCATCACAGAGAAAATGTCAATGAAAAACGACAAAAATTCAATCTAAAGAAATGTCAATGAAAAGACATAATTTCAATCTAAATAATTAATTCTCCTCCTCAATGGAGAATCTCAACCGTTTTGTCGACTTACGGTCCATGTTGATATTATAGTTATGCTTCAAGTGAATTCTAATTTTGCTCTCCTCCATCACCTGTTGTTGTCTCCATTGCTGTTGCATCTTGTAGGCTTTGTAGACATAGAGTCGATGAACATAATTGAGAAGGTGAGTGTTAGTTTTCGCCACAGGAAGCGTGGGTTCTTTTGGTGGAGGAAGTTCAAAATTAAAAGCCGAATATACTGCTCTGGCGCCAAAGTCAGCAAATTGTGGAGGAGGACTATACTCCGGGAAAACTATGGTCTGATCTTTCATAGCAGACTTGTATGGATAATTCATGGGAATGGTGATTTTTGTTCTATTCTCAGGTGAGGCTTTCAACGCAATACTGCATTGTCTATTAATTCGTTCTTCAATTTCGTCCCATGAAATTGACAAACTGGTATCATAGTCTTCATCTATGACGGAAATGAAAGACATAGCAGAAAGCGAAACAGCATAACTTTGGGCTATATATAATATGATTGATGGAAAGTGGTAATTTGCAGCCTGTCAGATTAAGTAATTGTTGGAGTTGCGAAAATTTGAAAAGTTGCAAATTTTAAGATTTTGAAGTAAGAAGAAATCAGAGGAAATAGGAAGGTGAAATGGCGTTGTTTCCGAGCAGAATAAGGCAACGAAGAGCAATAAAAATTGCGCATTTAATGAAAAAGTTTGGGTAGACTTGTGTAAATTGCAGTACAAAGATGAACCAAAAATGAGCTGGAATTAACAAAATGAGCTGAAATGAGCCAAGTATTTACCGGATTGAATTAAACTTGAGTCTACATGTATCACTCTTACTACACAATTTCTCTAAAGACCGGTTCCATCTATGTTTCCTGCACCTAAGCTTGCCGGGTAACTGTGAAAATTGTCACCGAAATTTCGCCTACGGCAAAACCACCTCTGTTAAAGTACGAGTAATTTAATGTCTTGGTTGTTTGGTGGCAAGCAGGACCAAAAGTCCGACACAGCGGCCTCCAATACGCTTGGATTTGACCCCGCTCAAGTATCAGATGTTTCGTCAATTATACAGACTCCGGGAGTTCTCAACACCGCACAATTGCATCCTTTAGCTGGTTTAGATAAGGGCATAGAGTACTTGGATCTTGAAGAAGAACAATTAACGACGGTCCAGGGAGCCCAGGGACTCATTCCCTCGAGAAACTGGACAGATGATTTGTGTTATGGTACCGGTGCAGTTTATCTTCTTGGATTAGGAATTGGAGGAGCATACGGAATGCAAGAAGGATTAAGAAACCTTCCCCCACAAGCAACCCCTCGGTTACAACTCAACACTGTTTTAAATCACATCACCAAGAGAGGACCATTTTTGGGTAATAGTGCTGGAGTTTTGGCGTTAACATATAATTTGATCGATTCATCATTGGATGCATTGAGAGAGAAGCACGACGATGCCAATTCCATTGCAGCTGGAGCTTTAGCCGGAGCACTTTTCCGGAGCAGTGCTGGACTCAAGCCTATGGGTTACTCAACGGCATTGATGGCAGGAGCAGCTGGCGCATGGTGTGGACTTAAACGTCTTTTGGCATGAACTAAAACAGACTAAAACAGACTAAAACTGGAACGGTCGTGTCGTGTGATCCGTCCGCTGTTGTACATATTGGGTCATGATAATGAATGTTATACAATACCATAGGATGGTTTGTGATGCTAGTAGTCTATAAATTTGAGAGTCTCTGAATTTCTTAGTTATTCCACCGCTACGGTTTTCGCTTTTTTTGGTGGAACCGAAAGCTCTTCGAGTGTGTGTTTGCGTGGAGGTTCAATTGGGTCCATTTCTGTCAATACATCTTTTTGAAGGTATTTTGTCAAAATCTTATTTCCTGCGTCTCCAATCGATTCTGCGACCGAAAGCAAATCTTGATTATTTTTCATTTGGCAAAATTTTTGGTAAAATGGAGACTTTCCCGGCACTTGGTTCAACAAAACATACTTGGTATTACTAGGATGATTGTCAAAATCGGTTGCAATTTGAATAAATTCGTTCACAACCAGACCCCATGGTTTTGGAGACATCAGAAATACCGTTGGATTTGCCTCGGCACTTTCTGCTATCATGGCCCCAATCTGTTTCCCGTACCGGGCTTGAAGCTCGTAAAACTCCTGGCGATTCCGAATGGCTCCATTTAGAATAAAACTGACATTATTGGAATGCACGGTCTCGATGATCTGAGGTAAAAAAGTCCGAATTGGCGGCTGCCGGTTTCTCATAGGCTTTGTCCGACAATGCAAAGTTAGGTTAGCAACTCCGGTCTTGCATATGCGGTCGATAAGTTTTATGCTGGGCTCCGGATCGGTAGCATCCAAAAGTCTAATTTTGACACTTATTGGTATGCGATAAACATTTCCAATTTTTTCTACGAGATTCTTCAAAATCAGCACCAAGACATCTGGATTCGTCAAAAGCTCGGCTCCCATTCCTGAATGGGTCGAGAAGTTTTTCGGACATCCGCAATTGAGATCTATGCCATCCACATCTCGAGCAACTACTTTGGCGGCTTCTACCGCGAGCTCGGGGTTGGCCGAGCCGATCTGAAAAATGAGTCTTCCTCGCTCACTAGCTGGATGAGTTCTAAATACAACTTTATTGTTCGAATCGATAAAATCTGTGGTTGCTAATTTGACATTTTCCACTCGCTTACATTGAATAATTTTTTTATCGACAATTTCCGGACTCCACACCAAATCCGCGCCGTATCTGAGAGCCATCAACCTCGTAGGAAGCTCTCCACTGCGCACCATCGGTGCCAAAACGAGCTTGCCCGCATACGTCACCATGGAAAATGTGTCAAGATCGTTTAATGGCTTCTATTGCATTGCATGCATGCAAGCAAAAAACCGTCCGCACGGGTGACGCGCGTCACGTGCCGCCTTATGCATGTTCACACGACCTGTCAAATTTGCATGACACCGAACTGGTGTCACAGGCAGCCGCAATTGAGCGGATTTCAAACAGCACACAAAACTATCGCCTTCGGACCACCGGCAGCAACTATACACACAATTATTTTCACGGCAATCAAGAAAAAGTGGAGAAACATCCAGCCACCATTTCTGCAGTTCCAAGATTGCGCACGGTGACGCGTAAATTTCATCATTCATGACTGGTACCCATTTGTAACAATAAATGTGCAATTACTAGCCGCATTTGACATCTTGTAATACCAATTGCTTATCGTAGGCTACTGGAGAATCCAATTTTGTCCCGCAAAACGCTTTTTGCCTTTTCAATTACCTTCCTTATCCGGCATTTATCTGTTTCCGGAACCCCAGCTCGATTATCAAGGCTGATAGGCCTGTATACAGGACTTGCATATGTTCTATAGCCCGCCTATGCGATGAGGTGGTGGAGATAAACCCGATTGAATTAATTTGAAAAGCTGAAAATCCGGCAGGGAAATGCAAGGCTGCAATTGGCAACTTTGACAAAATTTGGGGTTAAATTTGACCGGTTAACACCGGCTTTGATGACCTTCGGCCTATACGATGAGGTCCTGTATAAAAAGAAATAAAACTTTTGCAACCGTACAAAAAAAAAAGAAATTGCAGTCATCTAAAATTGCAGAATATTTACATTACTTCTAGATTTAAAACTTTACTAATCCTACATTTTAAGCATTTTATTATTTTCCACTTGCAATCAACTACCAGATTCATTCCATTACTATTGCCAATTGTTTCATTTGATTAGTGGACCTTACAAACTTTGCTTATCAATTGTTATCTTTGCGATTTCTTTGTTTTGTTTCTTTATCAATTAACAAAACTTTTAAGGACTAGCAAACTTTCCAGCAAAACTACCTGTGATTAACAACAAAATCACTAACCAGCAAACTCAATTGACCTTTTTTGACTACCAAACCCTTGAAATTTTCTCATTGTCTGCTTACAGCCATTCAGCGTGTGAGCATTAGTCATATCATCAACTACAATAGCAACGTCTAAAATTCAAGAATTAAGTGGTAGACCAAAGAGTAACATGAGTACTCTTTTCCATCCAATGTCACGTACCTTGAATCTGAGAGGAGTTTCAGGTTGTCTCACGCCTCATCAGGCTGAGCTCAATCAAAACTTCAACAGAAAATCGGAAAACTTGTCTTCATCTTCAGATTCAAATCTGACCACCACCACAACTATTTTATCGCCGCCATTATCACCATACCAACGCTCCAATGATACCACTGATGACCATGACGAATTATTAAATGAAGAACTGACAAAGAAGTCTTATGTTCCATCCACCCAACCATTCAAGGTGGAGAACTACAAGGAATACAAGATGGTTGTAAATCCATGGTCCAACCTAGACCGCCACTACAAGAGTCGTCATCTTGACTTTTTAGAGCAGTACTCAACGATGTCTGCGCGCGAGGTTCTCCTGTCTTCTTCACGCCTTGTTGAAGCGAGAAGAAGAAGACGTGCACCTCTTGCGTTCGGTGGATCTGACAGCGACTCAGAGTCCGGTTTAGATCGGGTCAGAACTCGTAGGGTCGCAAAGGAGTCGTCTGTAAATTCTTCGGATAAGGATGATTTGGCTTCGTTCCCACCTTCTACTCCAAGGCGCAAGAAGCCAAGAAAGGAAGCCAGTTACGCTGGGTCCCCATTGGCTTTGCAGCAAGCTGCGTTGATCGACGAGAACATTCCTGATTACTCCCCCAGTATAGAGACGTTATCCAAGGCCAACAATAGAAGCTTAAAAGTTGAATGGAAGGGCCAGCCAATGGATTTAAGAGGAGACCCCAACGTGGACAAGTTACATCCAGCTGAAGTGGTACTTGCGTCCACATTGAGGTTACCTTGTAATGTCTATTTGGACTCCAAAAGAAGACTCTTCTACGAAAAAGTGCTGAGAATGAGAGGAGGAATGCAATTTAGAAGAACCGACGCCCAAAAGGCTTGCCGCATCGACGTCAACAAGGCCAGTAGACTATTTGCGGCGTTCGAAAAGGTGGGTTGGTTAGACGACAGCTTGTTTGTGAAGTACCTTTAGAACTTTACGACGGCTACGAATTACTGGTTTTTTGGGCACAATATTTATGGGTACTAAACGGATGGGCGTTTGATTCTTTCGGCTCACATCTTGGCATAGATGTGTATTATGTTTTATAAGGTTTAATTTACGTTGGGTTTATGAAGTGTAGAGCTACAATGTAACACTGTGTGCCGAGCCGGAGTAACCACGTGAGACTAGGGGAAATGCCGCTCATCCTGCAGACAGTCTGCAAGTGTTGGACTACAATAATTGTTGTTTGAACAAACCGTATGGACCACAGACTCAGCAAAAACTCTAAACCAATCGATACAATAATCCCCGGCTCTCCCTGTTCATTTAAGTGCCAAACTTTTCTCTTTAACCAGCCATTGATCCAAGGCTGGTATGGCTTGTGTGCAGTACATCCAGCAACCAAAGCGGAGAAGTAACCAGGGCTAAAATTATCATTAGTAGAGCACATTCGTTAATCAGATAGAGAAGCTTCCAACACATTTCTTGAAATTAAAGAAGCGAGAGAGCACGGAAGACGAAGCTTGTCACCTCAGTACAAAAAAAGAACCAGAAAGTCAGCTCATTAAAGAGGATTAGTTGAGTACCATTTTGCCCACGAGGAGGCAGACAATTTCTTACAATAATCCGAGCTATTTTTTTCGTTTTAAAGACACAGAGTACAAGACAGAAGATAGAAGGAGTCGGACTCGTCAACAGACCTGTTTTTCCTTGGCTCCAAATACACCTTTTTGAAAGTATATTGAACTCTGAAAACTTCACTTTTGGTACCTAACCAGCTACATTCGCTACATTTGATACCCCGTGTCTCGCCTTGCATTTCTGATGAACCAGGACACTTTCGTTCAAAAAACCTACACAGCAGGTACGATTCCGCCGCAACGGCATGCGGTGGCATACCAAGCATACCCAACTCCTAGTGGGACTTCTCATTATCCAGCGTCGATAGAGCAGCCTATCATGGTTAGTAATCCAGTGATGAAGTCGCCAGATGGATTTTTAGCATCGCAAATGAATGGGTTTCATCTCCAGTCGCCAGCAACTGACAACAATCCGATGTTTCCTTCATTTACATATAACCCAAATCCCCCTATGGCCTCGTTCCAGCGGCCTGTCAAGGTACCTGTCAGTCCAACATCCAATACAGTGCCCAAAAACCTTGCTCAACATCCACCTTTTTATACACCTCCGTCTATGAATTCAACTGTTTTCAACGCTAATGTGTTGCCTCAGACACCAGCACCTTCGATGATTCCGGCAGCTGCGGGCCAGCTTGGACATGTGCTCTCGTCTCCTAATGAACCTCCACATGTTTCATCGCAAATTCCGGGCTACTATTCTACATCTTCAGAAAAGGCTTCCAGCCATAATGGAACTATTTCCCAAGAAAGCGTCAAGACCGAAACTTCTCCCAGTATGTTGAACCAAATCAGCCCGGAAGATATATTTGCAACGCTGACAGAGCCCGAAGAAGGAGATTTTCCGGACACAACCAACGTGACCATCGATGATATTTTGAAGGAAGACCCATTTGTCGACCTCAAACCCGAGACCACCGACAACGAAGCGAGCTTCATGTCGTGCTTTTTGGACTTGGACGAGCTTTCGGGCGACGATATACCAGTCAAGGCGGAGGAGCTCAGTGGGCTCGGCATTTATAGCATTGGCAAGGACCATGGCGATGATGGAGTTAAATCTGGTAAAAGAACCGGGGACATTCTCGCGGCAGAAACTATTAAAACCACCTCCCACGCCGCCAGGTCGGAAAAAGCGTCAAAGGAGAGGACGTTGAAAAAGTCCAAGTCGTTTAGCGGCAACGCAACCATGGTTACAAAAGTGAATTCTGGATTAGGAACTCCCCACACTCCATCCACGAAACAGCGTCCGAAATTTTCGTTTAGTGAATGCTCGGGAGAATTCGCAGTACAAAGTCTGTACTCGTTTGTTTTGGAAAATCTGGCCATGGCAGGCAACAAGCCTTCAACATCGAGAAGACCCGAGAGACCGATAATGAAGCGTGCGGTTACTTATGCTCTCGACACTTCTCCCACAAAAACCAGCGACGTACCACCACCTCTACTCAAAAGCATGGAATCGGGGTGTCTACAGTTCCAGGTTGACTTGGGCAAGAACATGTAATATATCTTAATCTGTATTGAATATCATGCCTCACTTAAGACGAAGCACTAAAGTATTTTAACTCTAATGTACCTAAATTACACCAAACTCTCAAAGCACATTACAAGTCCTTGGCTCTGGGAACATACTCCTCTCCACTCAAAACTGGTGCCTTTCTAAACTGTCTGGTCCAAGGCATTTGTCCTTCTTTCTCGTAAGCAAAGTATACTAAAGCCGCGGGAACAACACCCATAGAGACAAAACTGAACAATGCCGAACGAGGCTTGAAACGGAAATGATGACCAAGAAGCTCCTTGGCGGTGTTAAAACGCTGGAACTGTGGATCTGGTCTGAGGGTGCCTGCCATAGTTAAAGACAAAACGCTAGTTCGCGAAAACGAGTTCCTCATTGGCGGACTGTGTACAGGAACAGAGGAACCAAGAGGCCAGAGGTTGAACGTCTGTAGTATACACTATCTAAATTACACAGCGCCAATTGGCTTACTCGGTAGTTTGCTTGTCATTGAGCTCGCCACTTTGCCTTTTGGTTGGTTTTTGTTTCTCATTTTTCTATGCTTTCTCGTATCGCATTCACGATGTCCAAGTCGGTGCTGGAAATTGCATTGTCAATTTTGGCTCGGGCGGTGTCGCCAGGTGAGCTCGGGAGCCCCACGCGCTCCAAGAGCTTGGACGACTTCATCTGAATATATCGATCTCGAGACGAGAGCGGGAATTCTGTCAGCTGAATGTCTCCGGAGAACAAATCGTGGAGGTGGTGAGCTTGTCGAATCAAGTCATCCACCTGAGTTATTAGAAAGTGAAACGTCTGGTCAACCGGAGATATGGATTTGAGGGCGGTTTTGGCCTCAGGCGACAAGAGGTCGTTGTTGGGTCCTGCTTCTAGGGCCAGTATACATGCTTGAAACTTGCGAAGTAGAGCTATTATTTTCTTAGCCTTGACCACTTGCACGCGAATGATCTTGCGCACAGTTAGTTCCTGGTTGATCTTTTTGATGAGGTTTTGGATCCGTTCGTCTGCAGCTGCTGCCTCTGAGTCATCAGACACCACGGCGACATCACTATGATGTTTGAGTCTGACGTATCCCTGTTCCACAAGGGTCTGAGGTATAGTGAATATATTTCTTAGAGCATAGAGCTCGAATTTGTCGAAGTTTTTGTCGACATTGCTTTCCAACAACGTTTCCAATTTTGCAGTTCCAATTTGAATTTCTTCAGAGATGATTTTTTTGTCGCCAGCACCAAACTTATCTGTTCTTTCCAGAAGAAATGTATCCATGGCTGCTACACACTTGTACATGATTTCATTGACAGCATTTATCACATCGTCTATCACCACCGTAGCCGGGAACCCAAGGTGCTCTGTGACGAGGGCATTGACCCGGTAATCCATGGCGAGAGAAAATGAGCAAAAATGGCACTTTTAGGCTTGAAAAGAAGGGAGGATGGGCCTGTGGTATAGGAGAGCCAATCTGTGTGTTTGTACGTGTTCAGGTGAGCTATGTCTTGTGGGGTGGTTAGTTGCAATAAAATCAACACACAAACATGAAGCGATAAAACAAAAGTTCGCGCGGCTTGAAAAGAAGAGGGAGCTGTGGTAGAGGCAAGGAAAGAAGTAAGGAAAGAATTGAGCAAAATGCGAGCACAGAGCGAGGTAATTGGCTCAATTGTTCACCTTCTGTATCGTGGAACCAACATGAACTCAGTATACTGTTGATTTTCCCATTTTCACCGTAATTTCCATTTATTACCCCCTTAACTCCACTTTTAATCAAATCCAAGCTAATAGTCTTCATCTCCGGCATCACTTTCCTCATCAAAGTTATCCCAGTTCCCCCCACACTCTATCTCTCGTCCCCCTCTTCCTCCCCTCTGCTTCATCGTCTCTTGAGATCTCTGACATTTTCGCGACCGCCTCGCATTTCGTTGCGTTCTTCTCCACCAACGCGCTAAATTCTTCTGGGATGGCCCAACCGCAGCCACCTACAGCGGTGACTCCTCAGGAAACATACACGTTCACCAGCTTGGATGCCAAAATAGCCCAGTACAAATATGCCATTTACAAGACAAAACTGTTGATTACACGGATAACCGCCCTTCAAGACAACCCAGATTTATTGCTTCTACACTATATAATACCACTCTGCGGTTCATTATTCGCCATAAGTGACCAATTGTTTGTCTCAAGACTTCAGAAATTAGCAAATTACCAACCCTTCAAACCTGGTCCATTCAGCTTGTCTTCATCCGTGACCCATATTCCATACGATAGCCATGACCAAACGCCAGAATCACTCCACGAAGTTCCAAATGTTGCCGAGGCTCAGAGATGCTTGAAGACATTCAGCGTGTTGTGCCACAGTGCTTTACAGGGATACCAGAAGCGATTGCAGCAGGCTTTGTTGGATCCTAGTGGACAGGAATCTGCCGGCTATTGTGACAAGGCAGTTGCCAAAGTTTTAAGTGCTGTTGACGATCTCGATCTATCGTTGCCACAAGAGTTGGTGGTGTACTCCCAGTCCGCTATGTCCGATGATTCCGAAGCTACATTGATGGACATCGATATTCGGACCTTGCTCGAGTCCACCAAACTAGTCAAGGAAAACTTGATTAGAATCAAACCAGACGTTCTCAAACTAAAGGGAATAGCAGCCGTCAACCAGCAGTTGCGCGAGAGGACATTGAGATCGTTTCAAGACTGGCAGTGTAGTTTACATGTTCTCATGGTTCTCGCAACGAGGCTAAACGAATTGTACTCCATGTTACGCAGAATCGGAAGACAAGCATACCTCACGAACTATCAGCATTTGTATGACCAAAGGTTGTCGTTTCAGTCGAGAAATCCCGGATACTTTCGACATCATGTTCTCAAGGATATTGATTTGCATCTCAATTCTCCAAAGAAAAACGGTTCCCTAATAGCAACTTTGACCAGACTACTCCGCCAGAGCTCTTTGCACCCGGTAGATGCCAAGACGGTGGCCGACTTTGCGGGCTACATAAACCAGGGTTTCATGATTGTGGAGAAGCTTTGCAATGCCATCGAAGACTTCTCCTTGCACTGGATTGCAGCCGAATTGAGATTCAGAAAGGTACACAACTTACCCGTGAAGGCATTGCTTGACATCTACAATACTTATAAGAGTGCACCAGAGCCGATCTCCAATTCAACAACGACACAACCAACGAAACCAGCACCCAAACAACCAGATTCCAAGTTAAACGACTCGCTTGCCTCGTTGAATATTGGTAGTGAACCAAAAACTCGTTCTTCCAGGTCGTCCTCCGTATCGAGTACGTCCAGTATCACCAGCAACACCACTCGAAATGTCCCTGGAAACCGTGCCTCGATGGTGCTGCCTTTGAAGGCGACTCCTCCAAAACCAAGACCATCATCCGCCATTTTCATGAACTCCAACTTGTCCATCCCCACCATCTCTACATCCAAACCTGAAGCCGAAGCTAAGACAACGACACCCACTGGCCGGCGCCGGTCGAATTCTCAGCCAATTCGAAGTCCCGTTTCCGAAGAACGTAAGGGTCTGCCAACAGTCAAGTCCCCATCAGGGTCCATCCAGTCTCCCGTTGGATCACTCAGGAGGACGCTGTCACTTACCAAGCGCAGTCCCAAGCCCCAAACCGACCCGTTCGTGACAGCTCCAATTGCTGAAGAACCTGAACCTCAACTCACTGCTACGCAAAGACTCCAGGCACATTTGCGACTGGCTGCGAAAACCGGGGCTTTGATGACCCAAGAGAAAGAGATCTTGAGCTCGGTTGTATTTGACCCGAACGATCCTTCTAGCGTGAATCTTGGTCGGAAATCAGTTAATAAAGAGGCTAATCTTTCTGCCTCAGCAGCCAGTGCCGCTTCCAAATTGCACACTGCACCGTCACCGTCCACTCCTCCCACTTTATCCAAGAGAGACCAAGTCACGAGGCAGAATACAAGGAAAAACAGCGTCAAGACCCTGCACGTCTTCAGCGATACCGCTTCGTCGGTGGAAATCGAAACCAGAACCACCTCATCGGAATCATCAGTTCTGTCATCAGGAAATTCCAGTGTGGTAAAAAAAGTGCGTTTTACAGGCGTGCCAGAATACTCAGAGGCAGAAGATGCGCCAACAAAGTACCTGAACCGTTTATTGAAGAACTTTGCTGTGTTCAAGACCCCATCACCCACATTGGCATCTTTTCGCAAACGAGACCAATTGCTACGAGAAGAGAGCCAATCGTTCAAAACTCATGTTAAACGACCTGATTGAGCGGCATACGTACTAATACTCCATCTAGACAATTGCATGCGCTCATCGTAGTAGAAACCCGTAGCCATTAATTGCAGCTCCACTATGGTGGTTTTGTGTAACGATCAACCTCATCTCAAAATTTTTTGAGACGAGCGATAACGAAATATGCCTGTGGAAACAAAAAAACGGGCTTCTCAGGATCACAATATACCGGCCAAGAAGGCCAAGACGGGCAACCCCGTCAACAAAGATGGTGTTTCAGAGTGTTTCAAGAAATTTACGACGGAATTGTACGTTTCTTTAGCACCATGTTTTATTAACGATCCCATCAACGGAATCAAAGCTCAGCATTTAGATCCATTGGTGATGACATATTTCCCCAAAGCCAAGGGTGTAGTGATAGCTTACTCCAACCTCAAGCTTTCGCCCGAGAACAAGACCACAGACACAGACGACAACCCCATATATGTTTCCACCGTTTCCAACTCTTCACCATTTACATATTTATGGGTCACCGTTGACCTTCTTATATGGCAACCCAATGCTGGAGACATAATAGAGGGCTATAGTTACATGCAGACAGCATCTCACATTGGTTTGCTTGTTCATGATACGTTCAATGCTACAATCAAGAAGCTCAACATTCCTGCTGAATGGCGGTTTGTACCCAGTCAAGTAGACGAGTACGCCGAGAGCGAGCAAGATACTGGAAAATTTAAGTCTTTTGGCTACTGGGTTGATGAAAATGACGTAAAAATCGAAGGAAAGATCAAATTCACCGTCAAATCTGTCCATGCTTCTGGCCGAGTAGTTTCCTTGGCAGGAACCTTGATAAAACCTGGCTCAGAGAAAGATGCTCAGCCTGTAATTAGAGAGCGTCGCTCTTCGAACAGTGGAGTCAATGCGAGCTCTGGAAAACACAAAAAATTCGACGAAGAAGACGTCCCCACAGTAACAGAAATCCCAGAACCCGAATCGGAGTCTATTGAATCTGCCATTCCGACATACATTAACTCGGAAGAGGAAGCTGAAGATGGAGCCATTGTAAATAATTCTGACTCCGAGGAGTCTGAGTCAGACTAGTCTATCAAATGTCACCTTTCTTAATGCATCATGGTCTTTTTCATAAAAGATATGACCAAGGTACTACTATATACAAGTGATCTTGGGTCTATGATATTATATATGATCATTTTAGAGGTTTATCGTCATTAATCATCCGCCACAACACATCTTTCTCCAGAGAAGTAGGTCTATCATATTTTGTTCTTCTCTTCGCTCTCCACCAATGAGGCCAATTATACTTGCGAACAGCTTGCTGCTTGTTGCCCTTTTTTCCCATCATTGCCAATTTTTGCACGCCTCTAAGCTTCCTGAAGTTGATAGCCGTGATAATTACACCCTGGAGTATGGAAAAAACCACTACGGCTGCAAATCCAAGATTCGAGTCTTCGATGTAGTTTTTCAAGTTCATACCGTAGAAAGCAGGAAGTAATGTAGCCACGGTGAAACCCAAGGTGTAGATAGACACTTTCAACTCGAACAACATGAGCGAGTTTCTGTTGGCATCAAGAATGATATTGACGATTTCTTCTGTGACTTTAATATCGTTTAAAAGTGATCCAGCCTGCTGGACAAGCTCATCGCAATGGTTGTAATAGGCTTCAAGTAACATTTCGAGGTCAGAATAGTCCGTGGGGTTATCTATGGTTGGGTCGTATCGTTTGGGGTGGGTCAAGTACATCGCAGCCAAATCTTCGTCGTTATCAAGAAGATCGTCCAAGACGTCTCGGATTAAAAGAGTCCGCTGGTGGAAGCTCGATAACCTCTTCAGTCGAATTAAGAGCTCCTGTAACTTCGTTCTGTCAACATCTTCTTCCAACTCAGCTAGAATTCTATTACAGATGGAAGCATGGCTCTTCATCTCTGTCTCCAAATACGTAGTAGTGCTGATGAGTATTCCTTCTAAAACCCTGAACTCAAAAGGGGTGTTTCCCAGCGGCAACCTCAATACCATTTCTAAATCGTACATGAAAAGCCCTAGTTTTTTGGCAATTTCTGGCGTTGAAGTATCAAAGATCATCACTTGATCCTTCTTGATAAGGGCTTTTATGTGAAGCAAGTTGACAATAATGGACGCCGGCGACCGGATGATGAACAGGGGAATGATATCCAACGATGTTGTTTCGATATTTCTCAAATCTCGTGGAAATAAATCGTTTTCCTTGAGAAATTGCATTTTGGGGTAGTTCTTAGAAACCTCTACGATATTACCCTTACGGTCAAACTTGGTGCAAGATACGAATAAGTCATTGGGAGTCACTGGCTTGAGTTTCCTCGTAATATCAGCTTTATCAGAGCCCTGAGGTGGCTTTTTGTTTTCAAATATTTCTTCTAGGCGATGATTTCGGGTTTTTGTCGATGATAATCGAACCGCACGGTGACCACCAGGTACCAAATACTTGAAGAGTGGCTTGCATGACAGTCGGAGCAGCTGCTGGAGGCACGTACGATACATGCGGCCTATATCAGCTATTTTTTCAGGCGAAGGTAGTTGGCGATGTGAGAAATTTATCGCGAATCGAAGAAGCAAGCTGATGAAGCAATAATATAGAAACGAAAGAAAATGTGTGGAAAGGGTATTGAATGAAAACAGTAGTCTGAGCTGAGCAAATAGAGGTAATGAGAGCTCATAAGAGATAACGAGAGCCAGTAGTACTCAATTGACAGATGCATCGGTTCATTGCTCTACGACCTTAACGTATATGTATTATTTCTAGTTGAAAAACTTTCTTGTTTTGGAAGGACCAAACAATTCCAATCTGATTCCAGGCAATGCCTCTTCCGACAACAACTTTAATCTCTCTTCCAACGTATTGTCCACCTCAATTTTACCGGAAACATTGGTGACAACAACACCACCAGCAATGTCCTTACTCAAGAAATCAGTTTCGCTGACCTCAATATCGACATTTTCAAACTTGGCCTTCTCCTTAAACCCCTTGGCAGCATCTTCAGCTGCCTCCTTGGCCAACTTGACATCAGCCTCTCTAACCTTGACTATGACCTTTTCCTCTAACAATGCCAACAACCCTTCCTCGATCAATTTGGCCAAAATGGGCTTGTACTCGCTCTTCTTGGCCGAGATAGCCTTCAATTTCTCCTTGGCAGCATCGAATATATCGTTCAATACTTCCTCTTTGGTGGCCAAAGCCCGCAACCGAGTCTTGTTGCCAATGGTGGACTTGGTGATTTGCTGAGCCAATGATGCTTTCTTGACCTTCTGCTCGTAGTTACTATCGATGGCAGCGGTTTCTGACCTCACAATGGATGCTTTTTCAATTTCGTACTCCTCGTCGGCTTTCAATTTTATCTCTTTGGCTTTCTCTTGGGCCTCCTTTTCAATGAACGCCTTCATCTTGCGGAGCTCCGCATTTACCTACAGTTAGTTACAGATCCCAAATACGCAAATCCATCTTAGAACTTACCTGATCGTCCGTTAATGACATGGCTGGTGGTGATGGTGGGTGAGGACTCCTTATCGTCGACTCGCGGCCACGACTGACGAACGGGTGCACTGGATGGACTCTACGAGATACTATTCTACAATGTACAAAGCATGAACTTTTGAATAAATAAATACTATACCATCTTGTCAAGGAAGGTTCTGGCCAACTCAACTCCTAAAAAGGTGGCAGCGTTTGCTGGGAAAGACCTGGCCAAAGCAGGACCCACACCAGGGAAGAATGCCTTGACCCCTCCACGCTTGTAGATGTTCTTTGTGGTTTGAACAATGGAAACACTGGTGTTCGAAGATTGCTGAGTCGACTTGATGGTGTCAATTGGGAACACCCCGAGCCACATGGACACACCGGCGCATCCACCAGCCATGGTGATGGCGAAAATGGACATATCTTCGCCTGGAGTCGACAATCTTTCCTTCAAGTATTCGTAGGTTGCAAAGTATAGAGCCGATCCTGGTCCGTCTCTTGCCAATGTTGCGGCTGAGCCTTTGAAAATAGATCTAATACCTCCGGTCTTGTACATTTCGGCAATCACTGAACCCATCGACGACTTTTTGGCACTATCTTGAATCTGCATCATCACCTTGACTCTTTCAAACGGAGCAGCAACCAAAGTTGTAGGAATTGCCGAGATGAAACCAGCGGTACTTATGTCTTTGATAGTGAATTCTGCCGCAGTTTTACCAGTGGCAGATCCGACAATTCGTTTACCGACATCGTAACCCCAGAATGAAACAGCAAACATGGGAGTCACTCCTAATAATGGGGGTAAGACTCCTCTGTAGAATCCAGTGGGTCCATCTTTGACCAATGTCTGCTTGATGCATTGTATGGAAGAATCGTATAATCCGGTTTGAAGACGGACTTTTACCAAATCAAACGGGTGTCCAGTCAAAACGGCACTGTTGTTAGTTGATGAAAAAAACATTGATAGTGTATGAGCTCCACTTACCATATACCACCGAATCCACCAGCAGCAAACGATTTCACATTGTCCACCAAAGCACTGTCAACTTCTTCCATAATGTAATTTTTCACAGGTTGTTGTCGTAAGGAGAATTTACCCGTACTTTATATTTTCGCGGACCTCGGACTAAAAGCCGTTGGCCTGTGCGCTCATGCACAATCAATAATATGCGGTTACGGGGAGACATTGATGGTCAATTGGCGATCATCTGCTTACAAGGAGATTCCGTGGATACTTGGAATCCACTTTCACTCGAGTTTTTTGTATTAGGGTGGTCGTGGGTATTCTGGGGTAGTGTGGGGTCGTCGGTATGGTTGACGGTGCGCGTGCCGAGGAAGTACGCTATACAGCAACGTTCGAAATACGAGTATCTAAAGCTCCCAAATTCAGGTCAGATTACCTGTTATGCAGTGCATTTGCGTTCTTGTGCATTAACCGGTCCGTCGGTGCGTGAGGCGGTGGTCCGAGTTATAAACTCCGGCCCAATGTCCGTAGCTCATTATCGCTTTTCAAATCTCGGACAAACGCATCTCTTTGCGGCTTGAATTGTCCAAGGTACAACTCGGTATATATCTTGTGAGTGAGGATTTGCAATGATTCTTCGTTGCGTTCCAAGTCATCATCAAGCTCCATAATATCCTCTGATCCGGGCGCTTCTTGAGTAAGCCCTTTTTCAAGGCTCACGATTCCAACATAATTAACCAAAAGAACCGCATATTGGTCCCAGCTGTTAGCATATTGGAACATCATCTCCAAAAACAGATATATCTGGGCAACGAAACTTCGGCCCGATAGTTTGCCAATTACATCACCATCCAACAATCTCGACCTGACAATGCTCAGTAAGTATGACGTATGGATATCGACTAGCTCGTCCAAATTGTATTCATGCACGTCGAGCTCGGTATGTACCCCGGATCTCTCGCCCGCGTCAACCTGCTGCTTTTGGAACTCCGAGATATGGTTGCGAAATTTGGTGCTTAACACCGGCATTCCGGACTCCCATCCGGATCCCTTCCGTGATTTGAAAAACTTTTGTAGCAATTGTCGCTGAAAACTGTCCTCGATGACATCATAAGATAGATAGTACGTTATCGCTTCCAAAAGCCCTAGCATTTCGTGGCGCACAACATTAACAATGTTGAACGTCTTGATGATCCAATAGGTTCGCCGGTCCCTCAGGTTCATCAGAAACTCAGCTCTCTTCATTTGCTGCTTGATCTGGGAAAATCTGCGGTTGACCAACTTCAAATCATTACGCCGTAAGTTACAACTCTCGATGAATCCAGCATTGAGAATTGACGTGAAATGCCGAACCTTCCAAAGAAAATTAAACGCCTTTAGGTAATTTGTAATGCCACCATTGGAACTTAAAATGCTATTGATGGGTAAGTCAATTACTTTGTACTCCAAGGTGAAAACTTCCCATCCAATTGTGCCGTGACTCAACTCGAGGATTCTAGCGTCTAAGCGGGACTGGTATCGGAAGTCGAGATTTTTGACAGATGAAGACTTGATAGAATCAACTAGTAGCCGCGCTAATTGCCCCGAAGTTAGTGATATTGATGGCTCATCGAATATATCACTGCCATTGGTAATGATTTTCTCTATGAAATCGCTGGCCTCCATCAACATAAATCTCTTGCAATTAAGTAGATGGACAAACAACTCAAACTTGTAGAATACGACGTATGTCATGTAATTCAAAAGCTCCAGGTTCATTTGATTGACCAATTGCGACAATTGGTGAGCAGTCATGGATGCGAGACCTTTGTATGAATGTATGGTGCCGGTGTGATGGCCAGTAAACGAGCTCAACCATTCGAGTTCCTTACAGTATTTTGATAAGAATATGATCATCTTGCCAATTTGAAATATTCGATACCCAATGTTCTTATTTATGGCGGTAAGAAACACGGGTATTCTTGAGGTTGAAAACTGGATGATTTCATTGATATTTTCAGCCTGGGGATCAAATGATATAAAGAATTCATTCAGATTGTCAACGAGCAGACCCTTGAGGAGCCAATGCTCTACCATTTCGTAGTATGGTACAGACATCATTGAGAAGAGCCGATTAGAAGTTTTTTGGACTTCAACATCGCCAAGCTTTGTAAGATTATACACTATGGTGAGTAATTCGTCTCCTTGTATGTCCAATTTATCAGACAAGTGGAATAGCACTCTTAAGGTGATCACTTTTGGATGAATTTCTTTGAGTACACCTATTATTGACGAAGGGTTATTTTGGAATATGGCGTTAACGGCTCCAGAGTACGAGTTCAATTCTGAGTTTAAGAAGCTGAGGAACAGCCTTTTTATAAGAGACAGGTCCATGGATCGAGATTCGGTTCTTTTCTTCAACTCACGGAACAAGAGAGCCAGCTCTAGAACCTGGTTGAGTAATGATGCATAGCTGTTATTGAGCTTGGAGGGCAACAGCACGGAGTTATCTTTGAACACAAACAATTTGGAATCAAGGCCAAGTAGTGTGTATGGAAGGTATTGAAGAATTGTCTCGTCAGAAAGTGTCTTGTAGTAAGGCTGTATTACTTCGCCCAAAGTGCCACTCGGGGCATTTGAATGCAATGGAGATGACCGGAGGTTCGAGATCCCAGTTCCTATATTGAATGGCAGTGGAGGAGGCGCCATTTGTTGACGAGATTTTGGTAATGGGCTCATCTCGTGTCGCAGATTGTTGATGACACTCTTCAAATAATCCACGATACTATCCACGGAAGTCATGCGATCTATATCATGTAGCAATGAATCGAATTTGCTGCTTTCCCAGCCTTTTTGAGCGAAAAGACTTCGTATTTGTGATGAAACTTCCAACTCCAAGTCTCTTCTTCGCGATAATGAAGCATCTACAAATGCTGAAAAAAACTCACTCAAAGTCCGTATGAAGTCTAGACCTGCCTCCGGTGGAAGGAGGATATGTAGCACCCGACTGATGTAAATCAGTAGCAAGTCTGAGGACATTGGGTGTTTGGTGAGGTTGTTTGTTGTTAGTCCGCGACGCGATGATTCGCACCTGCGAGCGTACAGGAGCGAAAGTTGCAAAGTTAAGAGAGTCAAGGTTAGGCAGAAAAAGGTATTAAAATTATAGATAGGGAGGTATGAAAGTTATTCTTAGCGTTGAGATTGTGTAGAAAATTGTTGATGGAGTAATTTTTCAAAAGGCTAGAGATGATTTGAAAGAGGTTGCGAAGGGTTATAGTGGCATATATTTGGAAAAGCTACGCTAATCTAAAAGATTGAGCACGAACAAAAGAAAGACAAGAAAAAGTAAATCCAATTTTAGGTGTTATGGAGAATCATAGTGACTATACCATGATACCAGAGCTGACACCAATAGGGCTGATCACAGGCTCAAACACATTTGGGTTCAAGTCCTTGTCGGTCAAGTTCAATTGTTCGTCTGTCCAAATATGGCTGCTTGCACTAGCATCCTTTTCACCAACTCCACACAAGCCACCTTGAGCTTCCCAATCACCAATACGAGACAATTGCAACTCAGAGAAAACTGAGTCAAGTGCACCAATCAAGTCATTGGAGATCTCAGGACCGTGGCCAGGCGTAGGGGTGATTCTCAACCGTTCCTGGCCAATTGGGACAGTGGGGAAGTTGATGGCTTGAACGTAAATGTTATGCTTGTCCAATAATAAGTCAGATGCTTTCTTGGCATCAGCAGCATTACCAACTAACACCGGCACGATGTGCGAAGGGTTTGGAATCACAGGGACTCCGAGAGAGTTCAAGTTGTCTTTGACGTATCTAGTGTTCTTTTGTTGAGCAATACGGTCCATCAAGGTGGATCTTTGGTACCGAATAGCTTCACTAGATCCCGCCATAATGGCAGGAGGTAAACTGGTGGTGAAAATAAACCCTGGAGCATAAGATCTGAACCAGTCAATCATGTTTGCCTTACCGGTAACATAACCTCCTACAGTTCCGTAAGCCTTACCCAAAGTACCAGTTACCATGTCGATTCTGTTCATGACAGTGGAAGTGGCTGGTTGTTCAATTCCAGCTTTCAAGTGGGCTTCAAAGTTCAAGTGCTCGGCAACACCAGCACCATGAGGACCGTACATACCCACGGCATGAACTTCGTCCAAAAAGGTCAACGCACCATACTTGTCAGCCAAGTCGCAAATGGCTTCGATAGGCGCAATAGAACCACACATCGAGTACACCGATTCAAACGCAATCAACTTGGGGGTGGATTTAGGGTACATAGCCAACTTTTCCTCCAAGTCTTGCAAGTTGTTATGCTTGAAAACATGTTTTTTGGCTCTGGAATTTCTGATACCTTGGATCATGGAAGCATGATTCAACTCGTCGGAAAAGATCACCAAGTCCTTCATTTTTTGGCCCAACAACGACAAGACGGCATCATTGGCAACAAAGCAAGACGAGAACACCAACGCAGCTTCATGCTTGTGCAAAGCCGCAAGTTCAGATTCCAATTTGATGGCATGTCGGTTATGACCGGCGATGTTTCGGGTTCCACCAGCACCAGTACCGTACTTTTCCAATACCCGCTTCATCTCGGTCAAAGTTTTTTCGTTCTTGCCCATTCCAAGGTAATCATTGGAGCACCAAACCATCACCTTGTCTTCCTCAGCGGTACGATGAGCCCGAGGAAATTCATGGGCTAACCGATTGATGTTGTTGAAGTAACGATACAGCTTGTCGGACCGTTTCTTGTCCAACTCACTGCCCAAGAACCCATCATAGTCAAACGCCTCCTCTTTGGAGCCAAGGTTGACTTGATGACCGGCAAGCTGGTCCTGCTTGTAGACGTAAGGAGTCGAGATTTTTTGGCCACCAGAAGCCGCCGATGCCGCAGTGGCACTGACAGGCTTGGAGGCAGTGGTGTACGATCTTGTCGATCCTTCACAAGTTTTTAAAGCGGCATTCATGAATGGGCATTGACGAGCCTGATTGGCCAAACCCGACTTCTGACTCATCTGACGAAGAGATTGGGCCGAGGCCGACTTCACGAACGGACATACCTTCAACGAGGCACGGGTGACAACTTCCATGATCAAAATTAGAACAAAAGTTGAAAATAAGAAAGTACGTTTGTCTTGTGCTTATGGTGACCTAACAAATTTTCACGCTCGCGGCCGGATCCCAATGCGGAAATGGAATCCGCGGGGTTTCAATCGGATAATAATACATTGACGGAAATAGACAAAGGGACGCTGCAACTTGGCCATACACATCCCAGATACATGCAGATGATAATCGTGGCTGTTTCTGATACATACGGATCAAAAATGGTAGAGTTGAGTCCTGCCACTTTCTAACAAATCATAGCGCTGGTTATTTATCTTACCTAAAAATGCTCGCGCGCTTACCAAATACTCCCCGCGCCATGTGATCCTCAATGCCTACGGTTAATGTCAAGTAAAGCGTGGTTGGAAACCCCAACCCCAACACAGACTGAAGGAAACTGCTGTCGCTCTTTCACTCAAATCATCAAATGGCATTCACTTAAATCTCTTTTGGTCCTGCATATAATCCAAGCAATTTGCAGCCATTACCCACCAGAACACTTCACTGTTTTCATTAGTTTTATTTCGTGGCGTTCTCACTTACCACTCTTTGCTGAGTCCGACATGACTGTTCATGAAAATCATGTATACCAGAGCGCCAAATTCTTTGAATGAGGGCGCAGTTATTGGCGCCAAGACCTGCCAAGCATACCCCAGTCTGATTTCTGTCAAGGAAAAAGGCTTTTAGGAGATCTAAAATCTTGTACGAAAGCCCCTTTTTCGGTAAGAGGTTGATCAAAAGAGTACCAGTAACATAATTTGGCGCCAATACCTCACCACCAATGCCGAAATAATTATAAAGTTTTTCATGATCAAGAAATACTTGCATGAAGAATAAGCATTAACTGAATTTCCAAGACTCTGCAAAGGTGCAATGATGTAGCTCTTATGCTTTAAAGTGACGGGCTTATCCATTTCTTCTACAACAATGACGAACGAGGAAAAACCCGAACCAGAGGTCGCAGAAGTGTCAAGTGTATCAGATGTCAGTTCCATAGACATGAAAGGTCTCGATGCTGGTGACAGTATTCTACACCAAAAGATAAAGCTTATAAATGATGCCATAGACGAGATTGGATTCACGCCGTACCATCTCAAGATTTTTTGTCTTAGTGGTATGGGCTACGCTACAGATTCGCAACTAATGTATGTTGAAAGCAGTGTTCGAACTTTCGTCAATTATCAGTTTGGATACACCTACCCTGTCAGCAACCAGTGTCTCTACTTGGGTATGATTTTGGGTGCGTTTTTTTGGGGGTTTGGAGCAGATTTAATTGGAAGAAAGTTGGCTTTCAATTTATCTCTTTTGCTTTCTGCTGTACTTACAATCCTTGCCGGGGCCATGGGTTCTTTTGCAACCTACAACCTCTTTGTGCTTCTTTCATGTTTTGCAGCAGGAGGAAACTTGGTCTTGGATGCTTGTGTGTTTTTGGAATTTCTTCCCAAGAAGAACCAATGGCTTTTAACTTTCTACGCCTTTTTTTGGGGAATTGGTCAAACTTTGGCAGTTCTTTTCGCTTGGGCTTTCCTTCCAAAGTACTCGTGTGAGTCAGCTGATTACTGTCCTTCTCACATCAATAAAGGCTGGAGATACACTTATTACGTTAATGGAGCGTTTGTGCTCGTGATGGCCCTTCTTCGTATTTTTGTTGTCAGATTGAAAGAGACACCAAAGTTTTCAGTTTCTAACAATCGTGATGCAGAAGCAATTGATGTCCTTCAATACATTGCAAAAAAATACAACAGATCGTGCTCTTTGACTTTAGAGGAACTTCAGAGCTGTGGAGAAGTAACTGCAAATCAAGACTTTCGAAGCAAGGCCGATTTGCTCAATACCTTCAAGTATTCATGGAAACATATCAAGATTTTGTTCAACAACAAAACTACAACAAAATCTACCATTCTTTTAATGATTTCATGGGCCCTTTTGGGTATAGCATACCCTCTTTATTCGGCCTTTTTACCTCAGTATCTTGCTTCCAGAGGTGACAATATAAGTGCTCCAGACACTTATGGCGTCTATAGGGACAACGTTATAAGTAATCTTTGCAGTTGCTTTGGACCTATGATAGCTGGACTAATGCTCTACTATATGCCTTGGATTGGTAGAAAAGGTGTAATGGTATTTGGAGGATTATCAACTATGGCTCTATTATTCGGCTACACTCAAGTCACCAATAGAGCTGGAAATGTGGGTTTGAGTTCTGCCGTTTACATTACCCTTTACATCTACTACGGATGCATATATGCTTATACTCCGGAGGTGATGCCGTCAGCGGCTCGAGCGACTGGAAATGCAATTTGCATAGGTTTAACCAGAATCAGCGGAGTGATCGTACCAACCATTGCTTATTTTGCGGGAGTTACTACTGCTATTCCCATTTGGATATGCGGAGCCGTAGTGGGGATTATTGGTTGCATCGCATTGCTCTTTCCTTATGAACCCAGCAAAATGAGAGTTGTCTAAGACGAGAGTTGTCTATTTATTACAAATTTCTACTTTATTTTCTCTACGTCATATCTCGTCAACACCCTGTATTATATTATTTACTCGTCATCTTCCTCTTCTTCGTCAGCGACGGAGTAGAATTGCAATTGGTATTGGTTCTGCTTTACAGAAACAAATCTGATCCAATCTCTGATTTGGTTCTTCTTCAAGTATCTCTTGGTCAAGTATTTCAAGTACTTACCGGAAAACTTGGTGTTGGAAACAACAACAACCTTGTTACCTTCTTCGGTAACAGAGATGTCATCACCCAAGTTACCGACAATGTTGTCGACCTTGATGTGCTCAACCAAGTACTTGACGTAACCTTCTTGGTCGAAAACACCGTTCTCAACTGGAGCGCTGGTGTCAACGACGAATTTCTTAGCAGCCTTAGCCTTCTTGTTGGTCTGTCCTGTTAGCCTACCGCACTATTATCAAATGATAAAGACAGCATAGCCCAGGAACGGGGTGTTGAACTGGAGCAAAAAAAAGCCACTTAACAAGGTTAAGTCACCTGTAGAAAGAAAAAAAAGCTCATGGTGGTAAAAACAATGCACATTGGCATGAATGCTTGGGTGAAAAATTTATGAAAAGGCATCAAAAAAAACCCAAATATTCTGTCTTTAAACCGTTAAGGTATTGTCCTCTCAAACACACCCGTAATAGGGATACTGATCTTCTAAACGCTAATACTTACAATTGGAGCCATTATTATAGAAGTAGTGATACTATTGAATTTACCTGCGACTGAAAAAAATTACCGAGCGAAACCGCGATGAATGTTGCACGTGCGTCTGTCACGTGCGTTAGGGCATTCAGCCCGGTGCTCATGAGTCGCGACTACTCAACTGCTTGGCGACTATCGAGTTATCTTGAGTCATGACTCACGAGATTTATGTTGGGAACCCCGCAACATTATTCGAACGATAATGATTCGCTGTAAAAGAGGGTTCAAGATTCTGCACTTTTTACGCAAGCCTTTCGCTCAAGAAGCTGCTGGTGCCTCGGCAACTTTTAAACCACTCAATGGTCCAAATTTGGGTGCAAAAATTCCACTTGATTCTACAAAAGATTCTCTTCAATCTGAAAAAAATTCCAATGAGTCCACTCAATCTGCAATGGAGCGTGCAAAGTCCGCCACGACTCCGATTAAGAATTGGACTCGGCAACAAATCAAAGAAATCTATGATACACCACTCATGGAATTAGTCTTTCAAGCTCAAATGCAACACCGTAAATTTCATGATCCTAGTGAGGTTCAATTGTGTACACTTTTATCCATCAAAACTGGAGGATGTAGTGAAGATTGCAAATATTGTGCCCAGTCATCACGTTACGATACTGGGACAAAAGCGGAAAAGTTACTCACCATTGATGAAGTGATGAAAGCTGCCACTATTGCCAAGCAAAATGGTTCCACTCGATTTTGTATGGGTGCTGCTTGGAGAGATATGAAAGGAAGAAAGTCGGGTATGCGAAAGATCTCGGAGATGGTGTCGAGAATCAACGATGAACTTGGTATGGAAACTTGTGTGACATTAGGAATGCTTGATGCTCAGCAAGCCAAGGATTTGGCAGCGTCTGGTTTAACGGCTTACAATCACAATATTGATACTTCTCGAGAACATTACCCCAATGTTATCTCCACTAGATCGTTCGACGATAGGTTAGAAACCATCAAGAATGTCCAGAAAGCAGGTATTCTGGCGTGCACAGGAGGCATTCTTGGCTTAGGCGAAACCCCCGACGACCATGTTGGGTTTCTCCATACACTTGCAAATATGGACCCTCATCCTGAATCACTCCCAATTAATAGATTGGTTCCTATTGCTGGAACTCCCATGAAGGCAGAAATCGATGCTTTGCCCAAAGACTCGAATAGAAGACTAAAATTGGATCAGGTAGTCAAGACCATTGCTACGGCTAGAATGATCATGCCCCAGGCAATTATTCGATTGGCAGCTGGAAGATACACCATGAAGGAACACGAGCAGTTTATATGCTTTATGGCGGGCTGTAATGCTATCTTTACTGGTGAAAAGATGCTAACCACCATGTGCAATGGCTGGGATGAAGATATCATAATGCTTGAAACCTGGGGATTAAAACCCATGAAAAGTTTCCGCAAGCACACTGTGGTCTAGTGGTCTTCAACAGGCAGTCTCGAGTTCCGATATAGGACCAGATCAGAGTTTCCAATTTTTGGTAGCTCAAAAGAAGTATCCACGGGAGACGAACAGCTTTCTTGTTCAGAATGAACAGGAGTTGAACGTTCTATGACCGAGGTTGGCGATGCAATGGGTGGTCCTCCTTGATTTATAGCGTCTATAGTATCGTCATTGTCGGAATGTATGCTCTCATTGGCTGCTAGTACATCATCTGTGTCCACTTGATGCTCAGGTTCAACCGCAGAACCAAAGAGATCGGGAGCAATTGACAAAAGCTCATCGAGTCCTCCACCAGACCAGCCTTTCCTTGCTATACCTTCGTAGATTTCTAGCTGCGCCCGCACGAAAGAGCCGGTTTTCAAAACTAGTTGATCTCCACTAAAATGCTCCAATATTGCATTCACTTCATGGTAGTAGTCATGCTTAAGTCGATCAATTTCGTCAACCTGGTTCGTAAGCTGGACTAGGTTCGACTTGTAAGCATTGAGGTTTCTCGTTCTCAGTTTGGATAGCTTAATATTCTCGAGTTCTTTTTGACGAAGCCTCTTGGTTTTCTCTCGAACCTCTTGCTGGTAATACTCGTGATTTGACTTGTAATCCAGCTTGACTTTAGCCAATGCTTCCGCAAGAGGGACCTGAAACGACTCTTTAAGTGTGCGTGCTAGTATCAGCTCGTTGGTGCCTATTATATATTGCAAACCAGCTGCATTTACAAGCCCTTCACTGACCTCTTTACGGTAGTTAATTTTTGGGCTTTTCACGGACTCCTCCAACGCCTGACCAAAATCACTAGCTGCCTCGGCTACAGCGTGGAGCGCCCGGCTATATTTGTCGGCTTTAGTTAACAATTCTTCATAACACTCGACAGTCGACTGGAAGTCTCTCGGTCCCAAGATGTACGGAAGATCCATAACCGACGGCGTAAACGAGGTGAAAGTGTTTAGGGATAGCTGACGAGTCACTTGCCTTCCGCGTACGGACTCTGGAAGTGCCAGCAGTCGGGAACTAGTTGGAAAAGACGAATTTATGTTGGCTGAAGCATTGGATCTATTCTTGATTTGAGCATATAAATCATCCGAATGTGATGCCGAAGGTCCTGGTGGTCCGAGAGACGCGGGCGTGATCAGGGAGTAGTTATTTGGCAGCTGGAACGAGGAATCCAGCTCCTTCAGTGTTGGGTCTGACATATGTATGTGAGATCTACGAGACGTGAGATATAAAAATAAAAAAGAATGGACGAGTCCGGAGTCGAACCGGAGACCTTTCGCATGCTAAGCGAACGCGCTACCAACTACGCCACACGCCCTGTTATTGATAACGGAAATGGTGCGAAAAAATAAGAGAAAAGAATGAGAAGGAATGCTGCAAAAAGAATGCTGCGAAAAACATAAAAGAGTTGTGGCAAATAAACCGTGTCATGTATTCATGTACATTTGTTAATTATAGATCTTCATATATTTGACTGCATGCGATATATGAACGGCTATGAATTCTACTTCTTGTTGGTTGCATAGTCAACTACTACTGCTGCTGCGAGTATTTTCTCGTCTTCAAACTTCTTACCAACAACTTGAACACACACAGGCATTCCATCAAATAATTCAGGTTTATAGGTCTTGTAGACCTTTTCATCGCTGTCATTCAAAGGTACGTAGTTTGGATCAATGGGGTCGAGTGTTTTGTCCACTTTGTTCACAGGTACAACAACGCTAGCACTGTCAAGAAGGTTAAATGGACAAGAGTAGTTGAGTGAATCATGGTAGCCTGGCAAGAAAGCAGTAAATGGCCAAACAGGGCAAATTATAGCATCAATCGGCTTTCCAGATCCAGTAATACTTGCGGTTTGTTCCCAGAATTTATAGAATTCTTGTTGACAATCGTATTGCTGGTTGCACAAATTCCACCATTCATTCACATCAATTGGGCTTTCTCCTGGTTTGGAACAAACAAATCCTTTAACAGCTGGAACCACAGGCTCGCCTGACTCTTTACACATTTCCTGAACTTCAAGGCCCTTATCAGCCGTGAAAATATTCATCGCTGTTTCATAGATTTTGTCCATGTTTGGTAACTGGATTTCGACAATTTCATGTCCCTCAGCTTTCAAGGATTTGGCTGTTTCCTCCAAAGCACGCTGAATAGGAGGGTGTGGTCGGACCACTCCGTCGAATTTCCATAATCCGTATGTCAATTTCTCTTGCTTAACGCTGGAATTATCAGAGAAAGGAACGGGCGCAACTTTTGGGTCTGATTTCCAAAGTTTTCCATTGAAGATGAGTTTGGTGATATACTCGATATCAGCTAGAGACCGGGCCATTGGTCCAATGACAGAAGGCATGGTTGTTTGTCCACTATACGAGTTTGATACTCTTAAATATGAGATTCTATTGCTCGTTGGCCGCAATCCATAAAGTCCCTGGAATGCGCTAGGAATACGAATGCTTCCGCCAATATCTGTTCCAAAACCCAAGGGCGAGGCTCCGGCTCCAATTAAGGCTCCTTCACCTCCTGAAGATCCACCAGTACTCAATTGCAAATTTAAAGCATTATAGGTGTAACCAAAAATGTTGGAGTCAGTTTGTGGGGCCAACATTGCCATAGGAACGGTTGTCTTTACGTAAAATACGGCTCCTTCCTTCTGCAAATACTCAGCCAACAAACTCATTTCTGTCTTGGGTTTATTGAGCAAGGCCACATACCCAATGGACGAATCGAGCCCGGGAAGGTCAACTTGGTCTTTGAGAGAGATGGGGATTCCATGTAATTTTCCAACCACAGTCCCGTTTTTCGCAAAGTACTCATCTAGTTTCTTTGCCGTTTCCAATGCTTTGTCAAAAAAGATCTCGCTACAGCAGTTCAAGATCTGGTGTGCCAATGCTGCTCGATGACAGTAGGCATTTGCAACACTTGCAGCCGTCAAGTCACCACTTGCAATCTTAACTTGAAGTTCAAGCACGGTCAATTCGGTGATGGCAACTTCTTCCTCGGGAAGAATTGAGTCCAAATAAGCCTTGGTATTGGAAAACCCTGCTTTGATCATATCATCTTTGATTGTCTCATTGACCCATTTTGAGGGTATGGAATTATTCACTGAAATTCTTTTGAGCTGCGCTGCATCTTCCCAGTTCTTAGTCATGGTGTTGTCGTAACGCATAGAGATATCGCCCGTATTTAACTGGAAGATAAGGAAGAAAGATTACAGAGCGCATTACTAGCAAGCACTTATTCTGGTAGCGGCATTCGGAATGCGGAATTCGGAAACGCGGCGCTCTCGCCTGCTATCGTGGGGAATTCGGAATTCGGATCTCGCCTGCTACTGTGGGGAATTCGGATCTCGGATCTCGGATCTCGCATCTCAAAAAGTGCGATAAGATAAGGTTTCTTGAGTCAAGTCCATTATGCTAGCGGCGACTATATAGTCTCTGAACGGTTTCCCGTTCAACTCTAACAATGGAGCCAATTCTCAGTCAAGCTTATGGATATGGATTTGCAGTTGGTTTGGGCGCAGCTTTTGCACTTTTGATGGTGGTTATCACTCGGGTACTTGCAAGTTATTTGGGCCAGGTGCAAAATTCCGAACGTTTTTCGACAGCTTCGAGAAGCGTCAAATCAGGATTGATTGCCTCGAGCACTGTTTCAGCGTGGACTTTGGTCAGCTACACCTTCTTTCTTTCGGGATCGTGGAGTTACTCTCATGGTATCAAGGTGGAGGCTTTTTGTATGGAGTTGGAGGAACTCTTCAAATTACTTTGTTCTTATTTTTGGCTATACAGATCAAGAGAAGTGCCCCTTCCGCCCATACGGTTTCTGAATGTTTCTATATCAGATTTGGCAAAGCTGGACACTGGGTTTTCTTGGTCTACTGTATGGCGACGAATGTCTTGATTTCGGCTCTTTTACTCTTGGGAGGTTCCCAAGGATTTGCTGCTACCACTGGAATGCATGTCGTTGCTGCTAGTTTCTTGTTGCCTCTCAACGTGGTTGTATATACTGCTTTGGGTGGTTTGAAAGCGACATTTGTCTCAGACTGGATCCATACGGTGATCATTTATGGAGTTTTGCTCGCTACTGCTTTCACCGTTTATTGTTCTTCGTCTCTCATTGGGTCCCCGGGAAAGATGTACGACCTTTTAGTGCTGGCACAAGAGGCTTTCCCTTCCGAAACAGGCCAAAGTTACCTTTCTTTCAATGACAAGTCGATGTTCTTTCTTACCTGGTCTGTGGCTGTTGGTGGGTTAAGTTCGGTTTTTGGCGATCCAGGATACTCCCAAAGAGCAATTGCTTCTGATGCTTCGAGCGTGTTTACTGGTTACTTGATGGGAAGTCTCTGCTGGTGGATTATTCCGTTCTCTCTTGGACTGTCAGCGGGCTTGGCATGCAGAGCATTATTGACCAACACTGCCTCGGTCACATTCCCCAATGCTTTGTCGTCGTATGAGGTTGATGCGGGATTGCCAGTGATTTATGGAATGGCTGCAGTCTTTGGCAAAAGTGGTGCTGCTGCTGGTTTGGTAACATTGTTCATGTCTGTGACGTCTGCCACTTCTGCCGAGTTGATTGCGTTTTCTTCGGTCACTACGTACGACGTTTACCGAACTTACGTCAACCCCGGTGCTTCTGGAAAGCAATTGGTCAATGCAGCTCATATATCTGTGGTTGGATTTGGTATTTTCATGGCTGCATTGGCAACTGCACTCAATTATATTGGAGTCACCGTTGGCTGGCTTCTTAGTTTCTTGGGAATCTTGTTGACTCCAGAAGTCAGTGCCGTAACCTACACGTTATTCTGGCCCAAAATGACCAAATTGTCCTTGATAATTGGATGTCCTCTCGCTACCGCAACTGGTATTGCAAGTTGGATTGGTGCTACCTACCATTATGCGGACGGAGTACTCAGTAAAGATACTTTGATGACCACAGAGGCTACTTTCATCGGAAATTTTGTCTCGTTAGCGAGTGGTGCCATTTATATTGCTGTATTTTCGTTGTTGAAACCCGATAAGGATGCGTTCGATTTGCGTAATTTGAATGGAGAACTCACTTTGGCAGACGATGTTGATAAAGAAGAGAAAGAAGCAGTGCTTGTATCCAAAGATGTGCAAAAATTACTTAAGAGACATTCATGGCTTAGTTTGCTGGTGAATCTTTTCGTGGTTCTTGGAGTGTACATTATAATTTGTGTTGCATTATATGGAACCAAGAGAGATTTGTCAAAGAGCTCTTTCACTGGTCTTATCATTGTTATGTTGATCTGGCTCGTTGTTGCGTCTGCGTATATCATTCTCTTTCCATTATGGCAAGGAAGACAATCCATGGCCCGCATTGCGAAACACTTCATCCTGCGAGGAAAATCTGAAGAACTTACGAAAACAGAACAAAGCTCTGACCAGGCAACGCTCGACTCCGAGTCCAATGTTTCTATCATTGAGGAACATCATACTAGCAAGGTGGCTAATGTGGTAGCGTGAGAACGATCAACTGATAGAATGGAATATAACCAGGTGGTAGACACTATTGGACAATAAGGATAGAACTAATAGAACGATATAGAATGATATGAACTGTATTGCGGATACATTTTTTTTTGCAATCTCTATGTTATGAGCCTTGGCCCCTGGAACACTTATATTTCTTATCGCGCGCACTTTCTGTATGCAACCGATAAAAAAGAGGAGAGCACCTAGGACTTCCCGGGCCTGTCAAAACTGTAGAAAACGCAAGATTAAATGCAAGGGCGAGCCTGTGTGCCAAGAGTGTGCTAAGTATGGCGAAGTTTGTATCTTTAGAGCAAAATATAGAGAATCTTCAAAGCCTAATGAACTCAACAAAAGTAATATAGGAGAGTAAGTAAACACAAATGAGCCCAAAAATAAGCATTTACTAACAAATCCAGCAACAATATCCTCAGCAAAGGCCCGCTAGAAATTCCTGACTACTTATCGGGCCAAAACGACACTACAGAAGCAGAATATTTTGGCTCGGCGAGTAACTTTTCATTCGTCAACCAATTGAATCATTTTCTACGACAGCTCGATGGGTCAAACTCCAACAATGATAAAGGGCTTGAGAGGTTTGGAGCCAAGCCCACGGTATTGGCAGATTCCTGGTCAAACGACGATTTCTCCTTGGATTCTATCAGCAACGAAACCATGAATGAACTCTTAGTTGCGTTTCTTGAAACCTGGACAATTCCCTGTCCTTTATTTGATGCCGACCAAGTGTTCACGTTGGCTTTTGACACTTGGAAAAATCCGTATAGCAATGCCAACGACCAGGCGCTTCTCTACTTGATATTATCTCTTGGAGCAGCGACTTCCTACTTTGATATGGACGAAAGTAGTCCTAATGCCTTTCCTGTTGCCAGGGGCTTTTTCAGCTTGGCTCGCAATACCGTACCAACTATATGTTCCCAAGTGTCTTTTGAAGCCGTTAGAGTGGTGTTTTTCATGAGTTTGTGTGCTTGTTCTTTGGGTGACACTGCCCTTTCTTACCTCTATGGTGGTATTGCGGTGAGAATCCTGGTGGCTATTGGACTCCATAAAAATAGCATAGTGAAGAAAATGCCCCATTCTTTCGATTCAAGGCACCACAGAAGAGTATGGGTGTGTGTTTGGCAATTTGAGAAATACTGGAGCTTTTGTGTGGGTCGACCCAGCGGCTTAAGTGAGTATGTTGCAACTCCTCAGGTGAAGGAAGAAGACTTCGAGTACGCAGGATATGGAGAATCCAAATCGTTCAGAAAGACTTCTGAACATATGAAACTCCGGGTGAGTTTTGCGTCTTCGCTATCAAAAATTCATGCCGAATTGTACAACTCGAAGAACGAACTTTTGGCTATTTTGAGCAAGGTGGAGCGTTTTTCAATTGAGATCGACCAAGCATATTTTAACAGCCGAGACAGACAATTGGTCCAAGCTAACGTCGATGATAGTGTGGACCAACTTGAAAGGTCAACGGTTATCGAATGGTTCTGGATCAGAATCTACTACCTTTATTTGAAACTCATTATCTTTCGTCCATTCTTGATCTTCAGTGCTTATCTTGGAAACGCCGCTACTAATGTTCCAGACTCAATCAAGAACAAAATCAAATCGGGATCCGATACCTGCGTTGATGTTGCAATTGAATTATCCAACTTTATAATTGAGTTGAACAGTAAGGTGCGTATGGCGCAACCTATAATCTTTATCAGCACTTATCTTGAAAGTGCTTCGACTGTTCTCCTATTCTATATTGTCAGCAACATCACTGATATCTCCGATGCATTGGCGAGAAAAATTTGGAATGTTTTGCATGCTACTCGAAACTTTCTTAATGGTTCATATGGAAGCTACCTCGATACCACGAAAATTTTGGCTCGAGATGGTTTGGAGTCATTGCACAATTTACTAAAAAAGAGAAAGAACGATAAAAACACCACATTTCTTGACAAGATCATGAAGCCAGTCGTGATAGGCTCTCCAATGACTCAAATCAATTCAATAGACTTACAAGACGACGCTGGTTTAGAAGCGGTGTGGGCGCAAACTTTGAACTGGATTAGTTATGCACCGCAAATGTGATATAAGAACATTCCATGCTCTATTGAAGGTTAAGATTACCTTCACTCCAATATTTCGGCTCAAAAAGAGAAATGGTAAGATTTGAGTTGCAAAAAAGAACGAATAATGGTCCCTGGCGGGATCGAACCGCCGATCTTGGCGTTATTAGCACCACGCCTTAACCAACTGGGCCAAGGGACCATTTTCTGATTTGTTCATTAAGTTCGCCAGTCAAGACGTAGCTCACATTACATTGTAGAGATTATCAATTTAATCGTATTTTACTTTGCCACCAACGGACAAGTGATAGTAGTGAGCGAGAAGCCTGCATTTGCAATTTCGCGGCTTTTTGATAAAACCGCATAATCACCAGTTTTTTGCCTCGAGTATAAATATCTCGTAGATTCGCATTTATGAGAATAAATGCATATTAAGAGATTGGTTTTAGGTTTAGCAAATGCGTTAGCGATTGTATGTCTGGACACCCCAGAAGGTGAAGGTTTACCATCTGGTTCAATACCTAGACGTCTAGATGGCTCAACATGGATACCTTCTGACCATGGAACCTGGGGTAATAATCTCGACTTGAGTCAAATGGAAAGATTGAATCCTTCAGCATATCTGAGAATTATAGCGAGGTCTTCTGCAGAAGAGCCGGGAAGTCGAGCAACGGATACAAATTGACCCGTAAACTCGCATTTTTTTTGGAAGTCTATTAATAGCTCAGAGAAGTCAATTTAAGATTTGAAACTCAAAAAGTTGTATTCCTCGAGGATCTTGTTTCCGCTAGACTCATATTGAGACCCATTAACTCAGTGAAGTTTCTTTCGTGTATCGTACGCACCTTTAGTCTTTCTGAAAAATGTGACGCTCATTAGGCTTTAACAACTTCTTGAATGAGCTCGTTGAAAACTTGCGTGAAACAGTTGCCACCCTCGAAATCATCACCATGATGTCCAGTCATGCGCTTTGAGTAGCCAGAAATGTTCGTTCATCATTTTCTTCATAAGTCTTTTGATCAGGTCAAAAATGCAAAAGATCCTTGAAAAAACTTTCAGTTATATTGTATAAGTCGAGATAATCAAATACCTCCTTGGAAACAACATTAGAATACAATTTTCTCTTATCCGTCGTATAGTTTGAAAAATTGCACGTACTTAACAATTCTATCATACATGATTTATATGTGGGAAACATTATTCCATCTCCATTCCATATTACTGGACCACAATACGGATCAGAAACATGAACATCTTCGGGGGTGAACAATCCATCATCGAGACATTTAGCTAGTGGAAGAAGTAAAGCAAGTTGGAACAATAGCATGGCACTTCTCGGTTTGAATTCTGTGCGAAATTGAACCTTCAGTAATCTACCCCACAAATTTAAGAGTTGTCAATATGCACTTTATAGGACATAAATAGTTTGGTACTGTCATTCGTTCTTTGCTAAAATGAATTGTTGTTTTCACTTTGGCGAAAAATCGCAAGTGAAAAGCTCCGTATGCAACTATTTAAATGCAGCTATAGCTCGTTCCAAAGCGGCTCTGTTCCGAAGTAATAAGGTAGCACAACGATTCAGAGCCTTCTTCTTTGAGACGTCAACGGCAGTGCTAAGCGTTCGGCCTCGAATTGAGAGCCTTGCCTTAAAACTGCCATCTATTTCTTCAACTTGATATTGTGGAATTTCATCAGGACCCAAGTTTTTGGTGACAATGGCATATAGCTGGTTTCTAGCATCAGCGTCAACCACCTCACTTCCATCAGAAACCAACGGAAACTGGCGATCGACTATATCAAGTTTGTTAAATCTTGCCTCCACTTTTGGAGATTCCAGTCTTCTTGTGGAGCTGATCACCGACACAGAACGATCAGTATTGGAGCGTAAACGGCCATATTTTGTCAATACTGGTTTATTGGTGAGAGCGTGCATCGCAGCCCGCAATCCTGCTTCCTTGTGACTTGGCGCTCGTCCAACACCCAATATTTCACCGTTCATGGTACAAGCTATTTCGAACTGCTTTTCGCTTCCGTCTCCTTCAACAATCACTTCGTACTGCGGATGTAATGCTGCGGTGCCAATGAGTGAGTATAATTCAGCTTTTGCGTCTTTATTGACTTCCTTGATGCCTTTCATGTCTCTCGCAATGGAACCTAATTTGTCTTTCATGAGCTTCTTGAGCCACGCTTTGATCTCGGTAATATCGTACTTGCGATCAATAATAAGGGCACCTATGTATGCTTCAAACAAGTCTGCATAGATCTTTTGTTTGCCATTGCGTAAATCTTCCTCGTTAATATTACTTTTCAACTTTTTATCAAAGCCGTACGCCAATGAGAATTCCGTCAAGAAAGCATTGTTGATGAGCAGCGCACGGATTCTAGAGAGCTCACCTTCTGAGGCTGTGGGAAATTGTTCAAAAATGATCAAAGTGACCACATTATTCAAAATAGAATCACCTAAAAATTCAAGTCTTTCGTTATGAGAGTTGATGAGCTCAGACATGGCCAAGTACGATTTGCTATTAGTAGTGGATTTGTGTACGAAAACCCGCGCAGCTAGCTCTGGATCTTTGATGGTAGGAAGTGGAGGAATGCCTTCAACTTGGTTGTTTTCGTCGTCAGTGGGTACCGCAATTCTCTTTGTCCCATTTGGAGCTTTTGTTTCACCTGCCAGTTTAGGACTGTAGCTAAGTCCATCTGCAAGTATCGAATCCACAACAGGTATCTCACCGTCCAAATACATGGATTTTAACGATGAAGCCAGCCAAACTGACTTGTTCAATAACATGGCCTGTTTCGTTTCATCATCGATTGCATCAGAAACGACTATTTTGTTTAATTGGCGTTGATCAGGACATTCATCTAGCAAGGTTCGTAAGTTCTTCTTTATTATCTGGTACGAGTGTTCGATCCGCTGGACATCAGTAATTCCCAACTCGACGGTTTTATCCACAGATTGCTTTTTGGTCTTTTGTGTCGAGATAGATTCAGAAATTCTTTTGGTGGAAGGAGCAACCGAGTACTCTGACGCACTGGCCCCTCGGTTTAAAGACTCAATAAAGTCATCGTAAGAGGAATCTGGCATGACACATTGGATTAGATGGGATGTTGAGAGGATGTTGAAGGGGATGAGTTGCTAGAGATTTGGTAATTTTTTGAACGGCAGATCACGTGAGTAAGTTAGAGGTGGAGAAGAAGCGGATGGTGGAGATGTTAGGCAATTTAGCATCAACGGAGCGAAGTGGGGTTGTAAAGTGGGAGTTAGAGGTGAAATACCAAGGTAAGACAGGTAAAAGTACAGAACGAAAATTCGAATTTTTTTTGCAATTTTGCAATCTTCTTAATTTTTTCAGTTGTCAAAATAAGTGAAAATACAAAATCGAAAGAAAAGTTGAAACTTCTAGTTCAAACAGAGAGTGTTCTCTCTTCTTGTTCTGAATCTCTACCTGTTTCTTATGCTCCCATTTAACCTATTCGTCTTTTCCACTTCCCGTACTTTCTCACCAGCGTGCGCACACCAACTGAAAATTTCCAGATTTCATCCATTTACGCTGCCTACTGTTCACGCCATGTTCGCCTTGCGAAGCTTGAATCGCTTTTCCGGAGCCATAAGGAGCAGTCTGGTGCTTCTACATGCCGCCAAATCCATAAGTAGTGGGTCCAGCCTACAAAACCTCAGGTTTAATACCACATCCACAAACTCCCCAGTGTTCTCCGTCGAGAATCGAGACACTGGAAAGCATATTTGGGCCCGGAAAACCTTCTTGGTCGACTATTACAAGTACTTGAACGACAACAATGAAATTGTGTTATACGTGCATCATAATAACTTGGTTAGAGCCGACAACAAGCGGTTTCGATCCGAATTGAAGAAGGCTGGTGCCCAACTCACCATCATCCGTAACAGTATCTACAGTGTATATTTGAGATCAGAGCATGAAGAAGACCCAGCAGACAGGGAGACTTCCAAGAAAAACAAGGACGTGGTGCACCCGTTGACGCCGTTGCTCAATGGTCCTACTGGTATTATAACCATTTCGCAATGTGATCCGCTGGTGGTGTCGCAGACACTCAAGATTCTCAAGTCTGCTCAAGAAAAACTCATTTTGATAGGAGCAAAGATCGAAAGTAAGGTGTTTGATATCGACCAAGTCAACCAATTCAAGGATTTGCCCAATAAAGACCAATTACAGGGCCAGCTTGCTGGTTTATTGACCATCCTTGGAGGTGCTGGTTTGGTAAGAACTTTGGAGTCTCCGGGTACTGCCCTCTACTTGACATTGGATCAACGTAAACAGGATATGGATCCAGAGTCGAATGATAGCTTGTAAATAATATAAATCATAGTGTAAACTTATTGTACCAAATGCCTACCTGACACCAGTAGGCGTATGTGCGATGCTCTTCGCATCGCGAAAAACCAACTCCATTAAACCATGTCGACTGATAGTGAGTCCAAAAGGCGAGCCTATAGAGAAGAAAAGGAAGGGGCCAGAAAGAAGTCGGTCAAGCTTGCCCCCGAGGCAACGCCAGAGTCCAAACCAGACCTTCCTAGGAAAAGATACTACAGACAGAGAGCACATTCTAATCCATTTTCTGACCATCTGCTTGATTATCCACGCAATCCCGATGCTATGGAGTGGGGGAAATTGTACCCAGAGTATGCCAACACCGACAAGAAAGTGGAAATTGCCGATATAGGGTGTGGATACGGAGGGTTGATGATTGGTTTGGCCAAAGAGTATCCTCAGACGATGATTCTTGGAATGGAAATCAGAGTCCAAGTCACCCAATATGTGGAAGATCGAATAATTGCATTGAGAGAAAAACACGAGAAGGACGAGGTCAACTACCAAAATATTGCTGTACTTAGAGGCAATGCCATGAAATTCTTACCAAATTTTTTTCACCGAGGACAATTGAAAAAGATGTTTTTTTGCTTTCCAGATCCCCATTTTAAGCAAAGAAAGCATAAAGCCAGAATCATCACCACCACGTTGTTGTCGGAGTATGCCTACGTTTTGAGAGAAGAGGGTGTGTTGTACACTATTACCGATGTGGAAGACCTTCATATATGGATGGTGAAGCATTTGGATGATCATCCACTCTTCGAGCGATTAGACAAAGAATGGGAAAAAAATGACAAATGTGTGTCTATTATGTACGGGTCTACCGAAGAGGGCCAAAAGGTGGCAAGAAACAAAGGTAGTAAATTCGTTGCATGTTTCAGAAGAGTCGCCAACCCAGAGGAATAAGTAATATTGAATACGAACATCGGGGCCACATTGGCATATATAAATACTCTCAAGCTGGGTTATAGCAAGATAACTACTTAATAAAAAAAATAATAAAAGAACACCACGAGTTTACAATCTCACTGGTACCTCAACCTTGGAGGTATCAGCAGCATCGTCAAACTCATCCAAGATCGAGTCGTCGGCCGATGATGGGACTTCAGGGAACTTGGAGGCACCGGTGGTGTGGGCAGAAGTAGGTTCTTTGTAGCCATTAGTTTCAGTTCCAACAGTGGAACCGGCGGTTCTCACGGGAATCTTACTATTGATGAACGATCCAAGAGGTCCAGTTTTCTTCACCAAAGTGTCAAAGTGTGGACCAGCTTTCTTGTGGGCAGCGGCGCTCAACTCCGAGGCCTTGTCCTTGGCAAGCTTAGTGTATTGGGTGACAGCAGCATCGATCTCCTTCTTGTTGTGAACGTAAACCGCTGGGAGGGTAAACGTCAAAACGACACCAGCAAACACCAAAGTATAGAGAGAGAACCATGAGGTGATCTTGTAGAGAACATATGAAAGACCAGCAGCCTTCAATGTGACTTCAATGTCGTGTGCGTAGATCACCTTTTGGATCTGCTCCTCGAATTTCTCAGAGCATCTGGCCACTTGTGGCAACACTTCACTGTTAAATTGCTTAGCGTATGACTTGGCAGCAGGCTTGTACTTGGTAACAAAACCTTGACCAGTCACGAGCTTTCCAGCGTATTCGGCAGCGGCAGCAACTGTAGTTAGTAAAGGGTTCAGGAGAGTGTCAATCATCTCGATCGAGATCAACGAATCAGAAAAGCATCCGAGTTGTCAATCAAAGAGCTGTCAATGGCTTGTAATTGACAGATCTTTGGTCCGCTTCGTTATCGGAAAAAAAGTTAAACTTACCTGTCAATCCCAAATAGGCGACGTGGAAGAAAACGTTGAATAAATTAACGGTTTTAAAAACGATCAAAGTCGCCACAATTCCACCAAAAACCTTACCGGTTCTGGCTGGGTCTTGCCAGGTCAACAAGGCTTTGTTGGGGGTAGTTACGGGGGTAGTTACAGGGGCGGTAGACATTTGTGATAAATCGTCAAAAAGTAAATTGGTGAAATTCTCCTTGAAAATTTCTGTCACGAGACCACATGCCGAGTTGCGGTAGCAGCAACAATTGCTACGCCCGAGCATCGCGATTCAGGTTCGGGGCTATAGACTACATGTAGAGACTGCCTGTATGCTATTGGATTGGTTTGAACACCTACAGCTACATAATGGTTGCAATTGACCTACATGGTTGTGGCACCACTCAGTTCATTGTGCAGGCTGCCGGCCGCTGATAACAGCAATTGGGTGCAAAGATGCGCATGAGATAATGTGGCATCGGGTTGCAAATAACCACAAGAATCACCAATCATTCAGTTAGTCTCCTGCGAAAGGTGCGCTCCTTTTAATCCTCGACGATAGGAACGTATTCTTCCTCCATGACTCCTCGACCCAAGTAATCCGTAATCAATCTGAACCGATCTGTGGTTTCTTCCAAGAGTTGCTGGAACTCTTGTTCTTGATCCTTGGCTTGTAGTTGTTCCTCGCGGAGTGCTGAAACCTGATCAAAGTCTTTAAAGCAAAGAGGACAGCGCTGAGTTGAATCATTAGCCAGTTTGGATACTGCCATAAACGTATTTTCATTCAAACACCGCTGGTGATAAGAGTGTTTGCATTTGAAATGGACCATTGGAAAGTCAAGTTTCAAGTGGCACATAGAGCACTTGTTGTTCTGAAGCAAAAATGGTTGTGATTTCAACTCGTTTAGTTTGAGAGTATTTTTGGTGGATTCGCTCTCATACGACTGGATAAGTTTTTCGTTATTGGATATCTCCTGTGACTGCTCGTCAAGGTATTCGATGAGATAATCCTTCACTAGTCCTAAAGTGGTGAAATCCTTGCTGCTTAGTATGCGTACCACTTCTATTGGCGTTGCCAAACGATGCGTTTGAATATTCCGAAGGACATACGACATGTCCTTTTGTGTAGTTTTGTTGAATACTGTCTTCAGCGAAACCATGTACCGCAACAACATCATGAATAGCGCTGGTTTCGCATCTCCGTACGTCTTCACAATATTGAAACACTCATTAATATCACCAACGATTTGAGCGCTTTGAAATAAACTTTCCTCGAATCCACTTTGCTGCTGAGAAAACTTCTCGCCCTCTTGAAACCCATTAATATGTGAAAGTAACAACACAGACAGCCTGTCCAAAAGTTTTGGATATTGAGCAATTAAAGCATTAGCCTTTTTCAGCCACTCAGTGGCATTCTCTGGGTCCGATTTTGCCAATGAAAGATATCTTTCAAACAATGTTATCAATAAGTCTTTCTTGTCGTTGGAATTTCCTTGGTACTTGTCAAAAGTATGTATGCATGCCTCCAAAAAGATAACGAATTCGTATGGATTATTGATAAAGCTTGAAAATATCAAACTTGCCCTTGGAGGCATATAAGTAGGTTCGCTGGGTTCAGGAAGCTTTTCAACCTTCAGGTCTCCACCTATATAGTTGAGAAACGCCATATAACTGCTGAGGGTGCCTGTAGTCTCGGCCTCGTTCGCTTTCCCATTTTCTGTGTCGACGGTAGGCTCAATCTTGATTGGTTTGTAGCTTCCAGTGAACACATTGATAAGAAGTTCGGTGGTTTCAAGTGGTAATTGTTCTAGTAACTGTTTCGAATGCTCAATCAAAATCAACAACAAGTCGTCTACTGGAAGTCCCTTCACGAATTTGAGACACTGGTTGGGCTGTTTCAAGTCGTTGAGCTGTATAGCCACAATCAAATTGGGCTGGTCTAGCTTATTTAGCAATTTGATCACCTGAGGATAAAACTGACACTCCTTAAAAAGATTTATGATCAACTGGAAATTTAAGTTGTGAAGACTAGAACTCTTAGACAAGTCCAAATTTTCAATAAATTTATCGAGCTCATCAACCATCTGAAGCTTGCAATAGCAACAGAGGAGAAGAGTAATGTGATCGTTATCAGCAAACCCGATTTCAGATAAGCTGGTCAAGAACTGCGTGAGATTTTTCGTATTGGAAACGTCTTTGAATTTGATAATGATGCTCATAATGAATTCCTGAACCGTTTCATCAGAGGTATCGTTCCAGTCAAAAAAGTTGAGGCAGCGAGCATAGCATTGGATTGATTCCTCAAAGCTTCCAGATTCGTAGAGATGGTCTCCATGCTGTCTTTCAATCTTTAAAAGCATTTTTTTGGGAAGATTCCATTGCACGGCAAGTTTATGAGCTATGGAAAACAATTGTCGCTGGAGAATGATTTCGATCTGCTGGTTAATAGGTTTTTCATGGAGTTGATAGAGGAGGCCGTTGGAATCAAGGAGGTAAATGTCGTCCCACATTGTGAATACGTGAGTGATCGATGCATTTGGGATGGTGAGACTGAAGGAAATATGTTTGTTGACCAAGTCGATTATCACCACTCTAGTCAGTTGCAAGTCTTCGCCTGAAAGCGACACTATTAGCAAGTAATTCTTGTGGTACTTGTGGATGGTCCTTTTCGGCATATCTAACAAGATAGTTTCTAGCTTTCGAAGGTGCGAATAATAGCGAATGGATTCTGGAGTAGCCACAATCATATTTTGAGTTTCGTCATCAATGGTACTGCAGAGCAAGTCCACGCCTGTTTTCTTGGACAAGATCCGACTTGGCTGGCCATAGTTTCTGCCGGTGGTCTGTACGGTGATTATTCTCGAGGTGGTGGTCACATAAATAAGATCGTATGCCTTATTGAAATGAACTCCTGTGATTGAGTCGTGGGAATCGTACACTATTCGCTGCTTAGATCCTCGGTCTCGAATAAGATCTCCACGAACAAGAACTACTTTTCCATTCGTGTATCCTATGGCCAAACATGTGAGGCTGTGATTGAACAGAAAGCAGCTTATAGGGTATGAATTGTCGCCATTGTGGATTGTTACCATAGTATGGTACTTGAAATGAGTTTCTACTACTCCTGACTGTACTGCGTCCAAAACTTTGTGCAAATCCCATAACTTAATGATGGGTGGAGATCCTAGTTTCTCCGCTATAGTCAATACCAAATCTGAATTCGGCACAGATTTGACAAAAGTGATCCTATAATCCCAGTCATACGCCTGGAACTCTCCCACGGCCTCCATCTGCTTGTTTATGACCTTTAAAGACGCCAGCTTTACAGCTATCACGAGATAGTTGGAAGAGCCGCCGATTGCCGATAACGACAGATCCGAGTAAAGTTGATCATTCGACCTGTAATTGGGATCTCGTATAGGGATGGTGTCGAAGAGCTGGAATTGACGCCACGCCATGGCTCAAACCTTTATATAAGTAGTGGTTATTGGGAGAGGTGACTATTGGGTGGGTTGAGTTTGTCGCGAACTACCAACTACTTCGCGCGCAGGTTCTGCACCAGTCGTGGACGAACGTGGGATTCCGAACAACAAAAAGAACGCTATTTTTCAGCCATGTCACAGTACGACCCTGTTCTGGACACATACAAGGAGGCGAGCAAACCTGGTACAGACGTAGAACAGCCTAAAATAGTGCACAATGAAAATTCAACACTACTCAACGGCCAATCATTTCCCCTAAACCGGGCCCAATTACCGTCGAATTTGCCCAGCTTCTCAGAACAACGTCCCACCGCGTATGCTCCTCCGTTGATACCTCCAATCCAGCCACGGGAACCTTCTGAACAGCCAAATACCTTCACCCCAACCACGGAAATGGTGATCGAAATGGCCAAAAATAGAGAGCAATTTGTTGCTGGAAAGGACCACCAAGCTGGTGTTGGAGCAACCGATCATGTTATTGCCGGTGAGAGCGCTGGTCTGCTTCCATCACCACTTTCGACACAACGAGAGATTTCTGAACTGGTTACTTCAGTTCCTTCATCCGCTGGTATGCGAACCAGTCGAGTCGTCTATAACGTTCCACCCAAAACAGAACCTGAACCGCCTCGCAAAAAGGCAAAGAAAAAGCCCACAAACCAAGTTGCAACCTCCAAAAGTGCCCGGCATTTGAAAAAGGCCGATGGGGAACCCTTTTGGAGAAAAGACATTCAGTACGATTTCTTGCAAGCAGTTTTCGATGACCAGACGAAGGCATTCACAAACTCGTTTCCACACTGCGAAATCTTGGCATCGTGTAATGAACCCAAACTCACGTTTTGTGATCTCTATATTCGTACGATTGCCGAGCTGGGTAAATGCTCCAAGATCTTGCGTGAGAGATTGCTTCGTAACCGAGAAATGGGCAAATCTGTGGCCAAGGTATGTCTTTTGGTAAACTCAGGAAGACTCAACACCACCATAAATTTTGTTCCGGATATGCGCTCGCTTATGAGAACCTATCATTCGATTCCATCACTTCAGGCCGATCCTATATACGGAGGTTCCAAACCGTTGCAAGATACACCTCGTATCAAATCGATTTTGAAGGCGGTGACGGAAGTTGACCCTCCTTTGCGTTCATTGGATCATGTACTTCAATATCCACCAGCAAAGAAACCCAATGTGACTCCTACACAATTAATATTTTTCATGAGCAACACGTTTAAACCAATAAGGTTTCAACATGACCCTTCAGATCCCGCCGTAGAGCATCCAGCTGTCACCGCCTTTTTAGGTGAAGGAAACCGTTTCATGGAGTTTTTCATGAATTCAAAGATACATCCTGCCAATAGAGCAAAGCGGTTCTTATGGCTCATGTATACATATATTGAGACAAGCTTCACGGAGGAAGAGTTGAAGCTTAATCCCTTCCATTCAAGCATAATTAATCCTATTGAGTTATTGGAGGATGGACAAGTGGATGACTTTGACAAAGACACCGACTATGAGATCCAGTATTCTGAAAAAATGTACAGCACAAGACTCAAGTGCATTGCAGAAGAAGAGCACAATACACTACCCAAGAGAGGCAATAAGGCCAAAAAGTCTAATGTGGATGATTATGACGAATCCTTTGACGTCCATAGTCCAGACCCTCATGGGGACGATTTCGAATATCATCATCCAGCCAAGAAACAAAAAGTTGCAGACCCTACTCCTGTTTCTACTCATGATCTCTTGAGCGATGATATTGACTACTCACAGTACACTCTTGGAGATGATTTGGTAGACGGCTTTGAAGGACCGGTTCCCGCACATTTACCCCAGATTCCAATCAAAGACTTGTGTGATATATACATGGCATACACAGACAGTTACCCCCGAGTTCCTCGAAGTTACACCTCGGCAGCTTCACAGCAGAATATAGCTGCCAAGTCAGCACCATACATACATCAAGCCAGTGAAGATTACAAGCTGACGAAAACCAGCTTTGAGGCGAGAAAAGCAGCTTTGAAAGAATGGATGAGAAAATATTTTGAGGCTAGAAAAGATAGTGGAAACCGTTTGGTCGGTATAGAATGGGAACGTTTGCGGTACGATGTATTAAGTGGTGTTGAAGGTTTTATGTACCGTCACACGGCAAAGGTCTTGGAAGCACTTCAAAAGAGTGTTAATAATTCCAATGAAGAAATCAAGATTCCCGAAATGGAATTTCTTCCAGTGTACGAGTTTGACAAGATTGGACAACAAGCAGATTATTTGTGCAAGGTGCTGTCGTTCTGTGAGGAGTTATACCCCAAAGTTGTTCCCGCACATGCCACAACCACTAAAATGACGTTTGATTTGGAAAATGAGGTATTGAAGTTAGAGTAGATGTCCTTTCTTAGGTTCATATCATGACATGAAACGACGTTTTAATTATAGTTTCGAGCGCAGCTACTACGCCGTGCTCTTCTGCTAGAGCGGAAAACAACGACGATAAATCCATGGCCGTAGAATTGTTTGTAGCGATAAGCTTGAGGTCCGAGCCACAGGCACCAGTCGTATAGTCACTTAGTATGATATTCCAAACAAGTCTGATGGTATAGATGGAATTTTCAACTGGCACATTCAACTCGACGCTTTCAACGGTCCGAACTATGGCGTAAAGTCGAACATCGTTATCGATCTCGTGTGAATCCATAAGTGGTTTAAAGCGAGAGTGGGCGATAAACTTGGAGAACTTGCGTATTATCTCGTAGATTGTCTGAACTCTTTTTTGGAGGATACCGGACAAAGACGCTAGACAGTGCATTAATATGTTGAGCTTGCATAGCACAAGGAAGTCGTGTTCTATCTTTTGGTGTATCGTGGGTGACAAGAGAGATAAGGTAATTAGTGCAGATTTGCTGGTGATCTGTATGCTTGAAACAGAATTCAGAGACGTGAGATTTATCTTGAAAGGAACTTTGAACAAATTGGGCGATATTAAAGTGAAGATCAACGTCCTGGTGCCGTCATCGTTTGTAAGTGATTGTTGTTGGCGAACATCCAAGAACGGAGCAAAGTGACGCACCATCTTCAAGCGGTCTTTCCAGTCATCTGAGGGTAGAAAGCTGAAATTGGAAGATGGAATCATGGAAAGTTGGGCTTGTGACGTTGCTGGAGAGGCGTCCAGGGTCCGTTTACGAATCGTCTTTTTCACTTTTTTCTTAGCAGGTGGCTGTTTTTTTGAGCGCAAATAGTTCACTCTAATGTTGATTTCCTCCACATCCGACTTCAATTCAGAGCGCTTGATCAACAAAGAGTCGCGTAGCTTCTTGAGACGTAGTCGTTCTTGGTTCTCTTCTAAAAGGGCATTTAACAGTGCCTCAGGGTCGTCTGGATGCAGCTGATCAGGACCAGATTCTGAGTCGTTAGATGCATTATGAAGTGTTATAGTTTTGCTTGGTGACTCCCTTTGCTCTGAATTGGTGGTATTTGGAAGGTTTATATCCTCAAATGCGTTTTTTTTCGGCGAACCACCTAAAATATCATCTAGTGATAACAGTGGAAGTCTGCTCATTTTGGCTTTTATGAATTGCAAAGAGCTTAAAGAACGTTTGACGGCATTTAAGTACTCCTATAGTCAATAAGGAAAATATAATCGTTCTTGTCTGGTTAAATAAATAAACTGAATGAATGAATGTGTGTTGTTTGTTGATTGATTCGCGTTATCGCACGAATTTCAATATCGATGAGCATAAATACTACAAGATGGTTTCAGCGCCTGAACTAAAAAAAGTAAGTACGAACGCTGGCGGATCGAAATTTATACTAACGACAGTACTTGGATCGAAAAATATCGGTGCATTTGAACGGATCTCGAAACGTAGTGGGAACTTTACGAGGATATGATGTAAGTAACCAGATTGCAATCACTATAAAAACGTACTAACTTTAGGTTTTTTTGAACATTACGCTAGCAGACGCATTGGACGGTGAAACAGAGATAGGGACAGTGGTAAGTATCTTCTCAAAGGGCTTTTTGTATCGTGATACTAACGACAGGTTATACGAGGCAATTCGATCGTTTCTTTGGAGGTAAGTATTTTATTCAGAGGTTTTTACGCACAAGAGCAACTAACACAGGCATTAGAACGAATTTAGTAAGGAGGTAATCTATCATTTGAGTTTTGGCGCTTGTAGAATTTACGTTTATCTATTGCTTAAATCTTGTGCACATTTCCAGTCCAGCCTTGGAATAACCACATTTTTCATAGAACCCAACATTATGAGGTGAACAGTCCAAGATCACCTTGTAGCATCCAATTGTCTTGGCTATATCGGTGAGCCTGGTAATCATGGCTCTGCCCAAGTTTTTCCCTTGTTCGGTGTTGGCAACTGCGATGTCTTCAATATGGCCCACTTTTCCACACAGATGGATGACTTTTTTCTCCACGAGAAGCATTCCCGTGGCCACCACCACTCCCTCAGCATTTGTGATGACGTGGGGTTTATAAATGTCAGGCAAACTCAGCCAATGGTTGTATACTTCGTCGAAGTTTTCAGCACTGATGTCCCCCACAGTGGTCAACACTTTGAGTGTCTCTATGTACAGATTTGAATAATCAGACTTCTCTACTGGACGGAAGTTGTATCCGTGAGGAAGCTCGGGAAGTTCGGAGGACTCTGTCATGGTTGATCACAATGTTCTTGTAGTTTCACTTCTATCTCCTGGCCCTCACGTGCGAATGTCGAAGTGAGAGAAGCCATTCTGCAGTAGCAGTAACCAATTGCTACCACCAACTTTTCACTATGAAACCATGGTCGTTTTTCTTGTGGTACTTGTGCAGTGTGGTGAGTGCCACCTTCATGGAGGACGCATTTGTGCGAGACTGGCTTAAACCACTCGTTGGATCGGTTGAAAAATTCGACATTTTATCGCCGCTGTCCATCGTCGCCTGGACAGATTTGTCCCAGTTGGTGAAACTAAACGTGGAGGAAAACAATACCCATGTTGACTGGCGTGTCGACTTGTCGCAGAAACCAATTGTCGACTATAAACTCTCACCTAACAACCAGTTTTTGGTGTCGTATGACTCCAATGGCGATGTTGATCTTTGGGAGACATCAACTGGCTCCCTTATCCAGCACCACAAGAACGCTGGTCTGGTCGAGAAGAACCCTGGCTTCTTATATGAAACTGGTATTATTACGTTGAGCGGTGGAGATTTGGTCCTTCTTCTTAATAATGGAGATCGTAAATTGATCGCACCAGGCGTCAAAGACTTTCGGTTTTGCCAACAAACAGATTTGGCTTACATTGTCACAAACCACGGCGATGTATTCACGGTATCTGCCGATGGGTCAACCATATCACCTTCGACTGTTGGGGGCCATGATATCAAGTATCTGGAAATTATCGATATGAAAGACGGTGTGATAGCTACCACCAGCGAGTTCATCAAATTAGAATCAGAGACTACCATTGCACACTCATTCCATGAAAAAGTTGGTTTGTTGTCCAACGGCTATTTCTACACCGCTATAGGTTCTAAGCTTGAGATCGTGAAAATTGGCAGTGATGTACCAGTATTCACTCACTCATTTGAGGAAGATATTAAAAATGTCGAGACCAAGGATTCAGTTGCTGCTTTTGTTGCAGTGTACACAGCTACTGATGTCCATATTGTTGTGCTCAATGACTTGCTAATTACTGGCGTTTCTGATGCCGTCAACATCCAGACTCACTCATTGAATAAGGCGGTGAAATCTACAATTTCATGCAACGACCACATCTGGTTTGTTGAGGCTCACACCACTTCACCTACTGCCATTCGGTTGGCATCCTCATCTCAAGATTATACTGACGACAAAACTATAATACTTGACCATTATTCAGGAAGAAGCTTTCTTCTCGTTGACAAACCACAGAGCGAGGGCTCTAAGATCTTGTTTCATTCTGTTCTTAATGCCGGAGACCAATTTGTCTTGACCAGTTGGTTACTCAGAATCAAGAGACACTTGTCTGAGTTGGGCGCTTACTTGTCGTCTTTTGCTACTCACTCTGTATCGCCAGCTACCTCTGAGACGTTTTCCAGAGAGAGCCAATTTGGATTGGGAAAACTCTTGGCTTTTTACGATACTCAAATAAACTCGGTGATTGCGTTGGAATCAGAATCTGGGAAAGTTTCATGGACTACAAGCCTTCAACGAGGATTTGGCGACTTGATCACCGCAATTGATAGTAATGATGTGCTTTATTTTGTGTTTGAGAGCGGTGTGGTCAAATTTGATCTCAATGGTAAAATATTGAAAGAAGAAACCTTGCCACTAGTTAGATCTGCCTTCAAAGTCAACGGGAACGTCTTTGTAAGGTTTGCCAATTCGAAGAATGTGAAAGTTTTGGAGCTGTCAAAGTACTCTTCTCAACCAATTAACTATCTTGTTGAGGCCGGTAAGCAGTCCATTACCGGCTTTGAGGTCAAGGATGAGCATTTGATGCAAACTTGGTCGCACATACCCAAGGGTCGCATAATTACCTCATTGTCAATGCCTTCGTACCATCAATCTGCTTCGGCTGGAATTGCAAGATCTGACAAGACAATCCTTTACAAGTACTTGAACCGAAATCTTGTGGCCGTTTTGACGGAAGTAAAGAATCAGCTTGTTCTTGAGTTGCTTGACGGCATCACCGGCAGCCAAGTCTTTATCCAAAAGCACGATGTAGCCAACATCGATTACACCACTATAAGTCTCACTATGGCTGACAACTGGATTGTTTACAGCTATTATGTTTCAGAGCCTTATTGGGAACAAAGAATCACCGTTGTGGATTTGTTCGATGAAAACCATTCTGCTGTTGCACAATCGGCTTTCAATTCCACTTCAGCTATACAAGCTTCCAGCAAGACCTTTATCTACAGTGAAAGAATCGTCTCGCTAACTTCAACATACTCAAAGCATGGCATAACGTTGAAGTCGATAATTGCTCTCACTGCGAATGGAAGAGCTGTCGAATTACCCAAATTCATCTTGAACAGTAGACGGATAGATGACCGTGAAATAAAGCAAAATGATCTTTTAGACGATTTCAGAATGCTGGCATACGACCCAGTCATTCCAAAAGTTGGCGCTCAAGTGCTCAATCATGTGGACAAGATTTTGGTCACCAGGGACACTAAGGTTCTTGTCAAAGACACAGAACTTGAGTCTACATCAGTGGTATGTGTTGCCAACGATTTCAACATATTTTGCAGCACCATACAGCCGTCTTTGTCCTACGACGTGTTGAGCTCCAAATTTGACAAATTCAAGTTGTTGGTAACCATGGCTATCTTACTAGTTGCGTACTTGATCACAAAGCCATTTGTCGCTTCCAAAAAGTTGAATTCGCAGTGGATCGAAGATGATATCTAAACGAACAAATATATGTAAATTAGGTATTTTGCATGCTTGTATTAATGATTTACTTGAAAAATGGAACACGCGGTAAGCAAGTAATCCATCACCAGCTTATCCTTCTCGTTGTTCGCATCTTTGCCGTATTGGGACCAATTGATGCTATGTGGTTGATCATTGTGCTTGTAGTCGTAGATCGACCTTATCATCTCGTATCTCAACGATGCCACCATATAGTTGCTCATCTTGTCGATTATGAAAACTGACTTTCCACCGAGGGAAATACTGTTTTTGGTATTGAGAGCAGCTTCATCATACATCTTGAGTATCCTCAAATGCTTGGCATTGAATGTGCCCCAGTCTGCATCGGTGAATTTAGACAAAAAGTCGAAGGAACGCATAAAGTTTTCTCTGACGAGACTATACTCGTTGATGCTGTCCAAATATGGAGAGTGGAAAATTCTCATCAAGATCAACGATACTAATTCAAGAACGAAATTATAGTGAATTGGTATCTGTGCAAAGTTTTCGACATCACCAAACGCAGTTTCATACAAGTCAAGTGATTTCTTGCAAGAGATCAAGGCCCGCTTGATAAATGACTTGTAGTTTCTGAGAGTCACATTTTTTGTGGAGAATGCGTAAACGTAAAGCTGTAAGCGCAGGTATTCAACGCTTAGGCGAGTCAAAGTATCACCTGCCAAGTCTGAATGCTGGGTGAGTCGGTTCAAAATAACATCAAACATGTGAATGTTCTGGAGTTTAGTAGCATCGACTTGACCACCTTTGGCTTTACCGTGCATTGTTTCGTTCAATTTCAGTTGTATCAAAGAGAGACGAAGAAGCCAGTTGGTATACTTATCTTCAGGAAAGTTTCCCTCGAACAGACAATTAGCCTTGTTTATGACGTAGTCTGTTTCCGTTCCATTATAGTTAGAATTGGAGATTCCCAAACTGATTAACCAGTAGTTTGAGTTGATCGCAACGAATTTGTATATCCGTTCTCGAATTAGGTTGTTGAGGTGAGACTCTTCAGAAACGTTGACTTCGGTTTTGTGGCTGAACTCACTAATGAATTCCACCTTGTGAAGGCCGAGTTGCAAGGCTATCCGTTTCATTAAAGCGATAAATTTGACGGCGATATCGTCTTCGATTTTTTCAAAATCAGAAGAGGGTAAGGGCCAAGTTGTAAGAATGAGCAATGATGCAAGGGTATAGACATGACGTGGGGTATTATACCAGCACATTTCGACCACTCGGGCCTTGACGTGCTGGCTTAGGTGGTAGAAATTGCTGTATCTTGAAGAATGACGGAATGAGGTGAGTAGAATACACCAGAACAAAAGGTCGTTTTCGTTGTACACAGTCATGATATCCTTCTTGAAAAATGATGCTGGAAATATGGGAAGAAATTGAAGGAAGTTGTTCTCAAAGTCTGTGAAATGAAATTGAGCTTCGGTGAGGCTGATGCTAAATGGTTCACGAGAAGAGTCAGAAGACAATATGAAGTCAGAATCAGCAGAGAGTCCGCCAGCGGACAATATCGGACGACTGGAGGTTTCAGGGACGAGAACCTGTTGCATAGCCGCTACTGAGGGACCGTCGTTTTTGCGCTGAGATAAGGCTTGGATCAACTTTTGTTTGCGGTCAGTCATAGCACTCAAAGACTTCTTTATTTCGTTTACTTCCTCGCTGAGGCTCTCTACCATGTCATTGCCGCGATCGGGCTTCTTGGTGATCACTTCAAGGGTGCAAAAAGCGTTCTTTTTGGCGCAATGGGAACAGGGTCCTGGATGGGTTAAAATGGCATCGCAACGAGTTTTATGTTGTCTGCATCGAGAGCAGGTCTTGAGGACTCGTCCTTGCGAATTATGGGACAAAGGCATGAGCCTAAGCTTTTTTCTGGGTGCTAGCATGATGGCCATGATTAAGATTTAGCAGATTTTCAAAGTAGGTTCTTGAAGGATTTAGAGGTTGTTAGGAGGCTCCGAATTGATTTTGTTGGTGTTTGGTCACGCTGCACACAGTCACACACGTAAAATCAACAAGTTTCAAAAATGGTGGTTCAACCTTAAAACACCTCCCCACTCTTATCGGACCCGATTGTAGTAAGCTTAATAATTTTCGCGCGCTTATTGGCCACACACAAGCCGACCATCGGACCACGCTACGGAGTGCGGGCGCGAATGGTGCGCGGACGATAGGTCAAGCGAAGTGTCGGTGCGAACCACGTTGTGCACAGGATCCGCAAATTGAAGTGAATCAAATCATCGCGAGCGATTATACATGCATTTATTGGCTGCAAAATAACTTTGACGATGAGCGGAAATCAAACCGTAAGCACCTCTGCTCTACACTTTCTCAATCTATCGCATGCTACAGCCTCATCTCCTTTGAACCGACGATACACCTATCTTTTTCTGAACCATGTTGCAGACCATGAGATTGTGCTTCCCAATGAATTCGAAAGCCAGCGCTTTTGCTTGAAATGTGGTCTTAAATACATCCCTGGAGTCAATGTCAAGATACGAGTAGATTACAAGCGAAAAGACGGAGTATCTGCGAACAAACTAGTGTATACCTGTTCAGGCTGTAATCTGAGACATCGCTTTGATTTGGAAGTGCCCACCAAGGTGACTAAAGAACCAGCGGAACCAGTCAAATCCAAGTCTCGACAGCGGGCAAAGAAAAGAAAGACAACTTTGTCGACTATGTTGGCCCAAAAGAAACTGGAGACAAATAAACCATCGCTCGATTTAATGAAGTTTATGAAGTAAGGAGGACGAAAGACAAACTATCAAGGTGACAAAAATTCACCAGACTGAGGCCCATAGCCATAATAATGCATTCGTATCTCATATACTTATCTCCTTGTCTCCCGTCTACACATTCTCACCCACCGCCGTCTTCGATACATACTGTTCAGGTCTATGGGTGCATCATAAACCCATTTTTCGTCAGTATCGACGCTAACAACATCGTCAATCATACGATTGCTTACCCACTCCGTGGGATGCAAATCGACCACCCATTTCGAGTCGAATTTCCAGCCAAGTGGGGGGTCGATTTCATCGAGATTGGAGCAATTGTTAATGTGGGACATTACCGCTACCTCGCCATCACTATCGCTGTCCAAATCTTCGTTTTCGCTTTCGTCGTCGTCGTTATTTTTATCTTCGAATTCATTAAAACCTTCCACCAATGTGCTCAACAAGTGACTAGTAGTTCTACGAGTCGGATTGTTGATGGTAAATACCTCGTTCGTAAACCCCACGGGTTCCCATATACTGGTTTTGGCCAGTAATTTTTGCAATTCAAAAATCTCTGCCTCTTTCGTTTCTTGTGTGGGAGTTTCCTTGTGGAAAAGCACTCGAATCAAATAGGTCTCTATTCGATTGTTGTTGCTCACCACTGCTATTCTGGTTCGCTCGTCAAATATGAGATTTAAAAGATAATTCTTCACCACCGGGTGAAATGCCAAGGTTGAGAGCCAGACAAAGACGATCAAAAAGAACTTTATTGGAAGGTATTTCCACACAAGACATATCACTTTGGGCAAAACAACCGCATTGTAAAAAGAAAAACTCAACAAAAGAATGAATACTAGACTGCTGACAGCTTCATCCTTGAAGTAAAGGTAGTCTTTTGTGAGCCATACGATGAAATCGTATACAGCAACAAAATCAAGTTGATGGTTTTGTAAGTCTGTCAAGTTGAGTAAGAATTCTTGAGAAAATTGCGGCACCGGTTTGGGTATGGAATACGAGCGCAATGGCTCCCCATCAGCAGGAATGGGGCTCCTTCCGAGAAGCTCCTTGAGTGAGTTATCTGGCGGATGACGAATCAAGTAGTGAGGTATAAGCACATTCGTGATTAAATACAAGCATGGGAATGCCAAAAGTAGTTCTGGCCTAAGCACAGCGTGAGTGATGACAAGTAAGATTGCTAATGTGTAGCTTGGTTCTCTCCAGCTGAAGTAGATGGTGATAGCATCGATGCATTGAAATGTGTAGGAAAGACGCAGCGCCAAGAGGGTGGAATTAGTTGACATTGAATTGATGGAGAGCGATGGTCGAGTACTTTGAACTGCTAATCGTTGCGATATTATTTCCGATGATTCAACATTCATGGGTATCATCATTTGGATGACCTTCTCCATCAATTTGTCAGATAAAAGAGAATTGTTGGCAGCACTCGTTCCAGCCGACTTCAGCGTCTCTGTACCTTCGTGGGAGCCCTCGACTTCATCTGAATGGTGAGATTCGGGTTCGCTCTTGGCATAATAGTAGTTCCAGAACGACTGGAAATCCGTATTGGGTTTCTTTTGCGAGCCATCAGGTTCATTTTCTGTCTTTTCCATACTCTTGGATTGCGGGTGAGTGTCGCCAGAAAACACAGACTCACATAAGTGAGCAACCAGATCCATTTGCAATGACAAGAGTTGCTGCTGTAAACGTGAGACACAATTTTGACCTGCACATGGGTTATCTCCTGCATACGGCGCGGCCTACAAGTGATGGTGGGTCGATTCGATTAGTACATATCTACCTCCTGGAACAGTCGCTTCGAGTTCCTTTCTATGTTGATACACACCAGCAGAAGCGGCTCGCAGTCGCGTTCTTCTTTTTTAATTTTGAGCGCATTGAAGTTTTCAGCGTCGGCTTCTGAAAAACTCGAAAGTGGTGTAGGCAACTCAAAGTTGAGTTTGGGTTTGCTGGATACTAGCTTCTCAGACAGACTCTTGCGCTTCAAAGCTGGTCCCTTTTTGTGGGGAGTCGTAGGTGGTGTCAAACCGACCAGCAAGGAACCGACGAATTCCTTTGGTAAGTTCTCGTTGTTGATCTCTTTCTTTACTTCTTTTGAAGCTTCTTTTTCCTCACTGTCAGATTCCTTCTTCACTCTCTTAACCCTCTTGTTTTTGAGTCTCTTGGAGTCTAGCTGTTCTTGAGTGAGGAACAAATCAGGAATCTCATACTTCAATTGCGCAACAAAATCATCACAGTCGCAAAGAACTTCATAGTCTATAATGTTCTCCCATGTAGTTTTTGCTAGCGGTGTTTTGTTCACAAACACCACCTTTCCTCCTTTATCATGGACAGCGCTAGCCAATGTTTTGACGAGCTTTTTGACACCATCGACTCGCAATGATGTACCCATGATTATAAGCATATCTGGCTTCGCTCTGACATCACAATTAAGTCCCTGTGCTAGTATTTCCGCCTGCGGATGGTTCTCACCGTAAAGCACAATCGCTGGACGGAGAAGGCCGATATTTCCCGTCAATCTTTTGCCCAGATAAAGTCGCTCTTGATACTTCATGAAACAATTTTGGCACTCAGGATTTTCGCCCTGGGAAAGCTGGAGTTTGTGCTTCGGCGTCCACTGGGTAGTATGGAAGCAGTGGGTGCAAGAAAGGTGGTGTAGATCGCCATGAAGCTGGACCACATCGAGCGATTTCCATGATTGAAGAAACGTTTTTCCCGACTCAAATTGGTCGGAACGGACTCCTGTTTTGAGCTCGATATTTCTTTCCAATCCGTCAATGTTCTGAGTGTAACAACGCAACAATTTCTTTTTCTCTTTAAGAATTTTGATGAATTTATGTGTCTCGGTGGGAGTAGCCCTAAGTGTAGACAGGTATAACGATTCCATAAATGTACAGAAAACCGCCAAGGAAATCTTACTTCGAAACAAAGAGATGTCGAATAGATCCTGACCCTTAACTACCGCCGTGGGGTGTTTTTCTTTGACTAAATTGTACAATCCTTCTGAAGAACGAAAATCGGGAATCCCCGCATTGCATGAAATACCGGCTCCAGTGATCACGGCTGATTTGCGGGCCTTAAATATGATCTTGGCTAGCTCAGCGAACTTGATATGGGTCAGCGGATCGTTCTCCGCTAGATCTATGGTCTTCATGGTATATGGAACCAACGATGAAGTTCGCAAAGATTGAGACTATTATATGCCTGCTTTTGGCTATTATGGGTGCAAGGATATCGCAAGTAGGGTGCGTGACTCTGAGATCTCACCAGTAAAGTTTCTGGTATGCTTTAATTGTGAATCTTCGAAACGTCGTCCGTATATAGAAGGAATCGCTGCCAAAAAAAAAAACTGTTTGCGAAAGGGCGCCAATCTGAAGACACGATTTCTATGTAGCTAGGGCCTGTTTACACATGCCTCAAATAGGAAAAATGATTTTTTTTGTCAAAGGTGACGTAATCGAAAAGGGCTTTAAACATGGGCAGGATACTGCGCAAGCTGGTGTCAGGTTGTTATTATCCTCTAATGTTGTGGCCTGTCAGAATCGTATTCGCTCCGCGTCTCAAATTCACAGTTAATGGGCGTGTGGTCTAGTGGTATGATTCTCGCTTTGGGTATTTCTACGAAAGAACTTGTGAGAGGCCCTGGGTTCAATTCCCAGCTCGCCCCATTTTTTTGCACCTTTTCTCTGCTGCTTGGATCTTTACTTCATCTTTGCTTCTCGGGTTCTATGCCTATTTGCTACTAGCAATTACTACTACCGATAGTCTAGTCTCGTCTTATTATGCACTTTGACTATTAACGGCTAATTCCATAATCAACCTGGTCGCAAGGTGCAAGAACGGATATGCTGAAAAAGAGCACATCTCATCCACATCTTGCCGAGAAAGTCCATCATCTCCACTATCCTGTAGTCCACTCTCCCATCCGTCGAAACGAAAGTCAACTAGATAATTGTTTGGTTCCAACTGGAACAATTGAATTTGCATCTTCATCATATCTGGGATGACACTCGATGCTCCCTCAGATGGTGGGTACTTCCAGCGCACTCGTATCGTCCATAATTCTTCTTCTGTAGGTTTCGCCCACTCGGCACCCAAATTCTTTAAAGCCCTATAAATCTCCCCCATAACGTCAAGGGGATATGAACGAGACCGAATTCCAAAATGCCATCTAGTTTTCAGTTTCTTATTCGAGACGGGAGCTATTTTTGCATCGGGATTAGTCTTGTCCATCATGAAAGCACGATGCATGGATGGAAGCGACGAGGGTAGAATTGCGATCGTCGAGTTGGGAAGCGTTGAAAGATCTGGAACAGTTGCAAGCGTCTGGTAAGTGAGCGACAGTTGTACTCCCGGAGCACGGTGCGTGGCCGAGTTCAACATAGCCTTAGGTGGACTCAGAGACAAAAAGTTGTCCATTTGATCACCCTTTGTTTTCTTAATATCTTTTACCAATGAGTGATTTTCCTTCATCAAAAGATAGGCATCAAGAATCTCTGAGCTAGGTTGTGTACCAGACTCGTTTGCTCTTTGAATTACTGATAATATTTCATCGCGATCGTAACCCATGGTTGCAGATAACGCTGCTACAACGTCATCATTAACATCAATCTTAGCGTGCAGAACATCTGGTGGTAAAATGTAAGCCTCCACATCGTGACGGAACCAAGGGTCCTCCATTATCTGATGGATTGTAATACGATTTAATGGATTGACAACAAGCATTCTTGTCAACAAGTGTTTTGCTCCAGGGGAGAGGTAATTAGGAAGGGTGTAAACACCGTTGGAAATTTTTTTGAAAAGCGCCGGGATAAACTCGTCATCGAATGGGAGTCTACCACATAACATCACGTACAATATGACTCCAGACGACCAGACATCGACTTCTGGACCAGCGTATAATTTACCGGAAATAACCTCAGGTGCCGCATAGTTGGGAGAACCGCACGAAGTTTTTAAGAAATTTCCGTCAGTCATGATGTTTGACAAGCCAAAGTCGGCAATCTTGACATTGAGTTGGTCATCTAACAAAAGATTTTCTGGCTTTAAATCACGATGAACAATCTTGTGTCTATGACAGTATTCCACTGCGGCGATAATCTGCTGGAAGAATCTCCTGGCTTCATTTTCAGGCATCTTTCCTCTCTGCACAATGTAGTCGAAAAGCTCTTTACCAGCATATTCTATAACCATGATAATTTCATCCTTCAGTTTGATCACGTCATATAATTTGATAATATGGGGGTGCCGTAACAAGCGCAAGTACAGAATTTCTCTTTCGATACGCCCCTGCATGTCTGATTTGGCTAAAGTTTTACGGTTTATGATCTTAAGTGCCACTTTTTGGCCGGTTCCCGAATGTTGCGCCAACTTGACTTTACCGAATGATCCTTCTCCGAGGGTCTTGAGTACTTCATATCTACCAATACGATTGACGCCTTCTTTGGGTTTACTTTCGTGTTTGTGATGATGCAGGTGGTGGTGATGTTGATGGTGGTGGCCCTCAGGCTGGCTAGCTGAGTCAACCTCCGACATTATGCTGTTCTTTTAGGCGAGGTACTGAACAACTCGGGGTGAGAGGGCGACCACGGTGGGGACACGCCATGCCGCATCCATACACCCAATGATTCTTGATCTACCAATGGTTCTGTCGCCGAAAATCCTTAAGCTCCAGACTAGTTCTATAGTGATTCTTCCGGGAACTGCCCAGATGTCTGTGGCTTCGGAAACTTTGTCTTGAACGTGTAGGACTTTTTTCGCGATTTCTTTCTCGGCTTTCCTGATTTCCCAGTTTTCTTTCCCGATTTCTATGTTTGTTATCTTCCTTGTTTTCTTGGTTTCCTTCCTGGCTTCCTTCCCTCTCTATGCTTCTATTGTAGTTGGTCTTCTTTTCATCATTAGGGTTTGTCGCCGATTTTGTGTCACTTTCAAAGACATCCTTCTCCTTGTCCAATCCGGTCATTCTTTCCCAGAGCTGTTTGCAAAACTTACGGCCCTCCTTCGCTCCCAAAAATTCTGTCATTTGGCTATCAATATAGTCGATATCGGGAGAATCATCCTCGATTAGCTCAATTAAATAGTCGATGACAATGTCGTCATCTGGCAAAAGTCGCTGAAGTTCATTATTGATCCACTTCTTGACTGCCCGGAGATCAGTGCGATGAGGATCAGCCTTTTTGCTGTATATTTCCGGTCTCGCCATAGAAATGCTTTGCCTCTAAGTAGTTTCGAAATCTGGTTGCATTCGCAGAATGTGCGGCTTCTTATAGTGCGCTCGTCTTTGCGGGTGTTAGGGCGGGGTCACTAGTCAGGTTTTGCAACCACTTTTGAATTACAAAAGGAGGGTTCAACATGTTTTCAATTGACTCGCTTTTGTTACTGAAACTAGGTCCTTTTCCGGATATGGCTCATTCCATGTATGAAACCAAGAGAAATATCTGGTCATGTCATTTTCGAAGCGAATACCCGTCACAAAGATTGACAGAGAACCTGTCACAAATTTCACAAAAAACACCAAAATTGCCAAAGTCACAAAAGCATGAAAAAGTCGAACCGAAAAGTGTTTCTGGTTTGAGTTTAGACAGAATCCCTCCAAATTCTCGATTTTTCATCATCAAGTCGTTTACCGAAAAAGACGTTGCCTCGTCGGTAGAACATGGAGTTTGGACATCCACGGATTTGGGTAACAAACGGCTTGATAAAGCGTACAAGACAACCTCCGAAGACGGTGGGAAAGTCTATTTGTTTTTTCTGGTCAATGGTTCTGGAAGATTTTGTGGAATTGCCGAAATGACAGCTGCTGTAAACTTCAAATCCAAATTAAATATTTGGAATGAAACTTCGAGGTGGAGCGGAGTCTTTCCTATTACATGGGTGTCTACAGACTCTTTGCCTAACAGACACTTTGTGCAGCTAAGGAATCCTTTAAACGAGAATAAACCGATAACTTATTCGAGAGACACCCAAGAAGTGCCATTCAATATTGCGTTCAAGTTTATTGCGATTTACGCAAAGTGTGACATTTACAAACGGAAGTAGTAGTCCCTTCTTTGACTTGAAACTGGTCACTACAGTGTCCGTTGCCCGCTTAACGTACCACGCTCCTGCATGGCACCCGCATGGCACCTGATGATTTATCATGAGATTCTCATCCATTCACAGGCAATGGATAAGTTGCTCCTTCGGCGTGGCTTTGCCTCGTCTTCTCGTTCACTTCATAAAACCGTAGACAAGAAAGCTGCCGCTGCTAAAAAGTATCATGGCGATAACGTCAAATATGGCTCTCTTTCTAGAGCCCAGAGAGCATTCCTCGACCGAGTGGTACGAGTCGATCAGGCTGGCGAGCTTGGAGCAGATTACATCTACTTTGGCCAGTACACCGTGCTAGCAAGCAAGTATCCACACTTGAAGCCGGTCCTACAACATATGTGGGATCAGGAAATCCACCACCATAACACATTCAACAAGTTGCAAACCGAACGCCGAGTGCGCCCCTCATTACTTACTCCACTCTGGAAAGCCGGAGCTTTTGGCATAGGTGTATCTACCGCACTCATAGGTAAAGAAGCTGCAATGGCGTGCACTGTGGCTGTTGAAACGGTAATTGGAGGACATTACAACCAACAATTACGAGTTTTGATGAACCAGTTTAATGATGTACCCGTCTATGACAAGGAAACGGGAGAAAAGCTTAAGGAGGCAGACTTGCCGCGAGATGTAGCGACTTCGTCTGAATTAAGAGAACTTAAAAGCTTGATTAGCCAGTTTAGAGACGACGAACTTGAGCATTTGGACACGGCCATTGAACATGATGCCGAAAAGGCTGTTCCGTACCTTTTGTTGACCGAGGTGATCAAATTGGTTTGCAGAGGAGCCATCTGGACCGCCGAAAGGGTATAAATCTGCCATGGTCGTGGAGGGTTTACATCCGCACTGTTCCAAATGTATAAAAAGTAAGGAATGGTTACTTAAGTTGCTGGACCTAAGTGCGAGACCAAAGTGCTAGACCAAGGTTGCTACATGTAAGCGCTAGACTCGATCTCAGTTGCCTGGTGTCCTCAAACACACATCTGCTCATCTTACTATCTCTATCACGTCCTACATAATTGCAGCCGCGGGTTCGATTCGCGCACAAAATAAACAAAGTATCACCTCGCATAATACCCACGTCCCAATCTCACATCAATGTCACGACCAAGCTCCATATATAGGGGAGGGACGTTCCAGGCCAGACGTAGCCTTTACCTAGCACCGCATGATCCCTTCAACTTGCTTGATTTTCGTGAAATATCCATTTGCTTGCAGAGTTGTGATTTCACTGCGAGTGAGGAATTGGTTTCTCGGCCCACAAGCCAATATATAAGGACACTTCTCGAGCAGATATTGGATACTTTCATGTGTATCTCGTCGGAAAATATCCAGAAAGGAGTCAAAAATGTAATAAGAGAAGATAGAGCTGCAAATAAGTCTCCAGCGAATGGTTCCACTCAAGAAGAAGATGACGAAAACAACGATCCCGATGACGCTGCCAGTACTTTGGCACTAATACTGCTTCACAGAGGAGCCACGGAGTTTCTCCATACTTGTGGGATCAATGACTTTACTTTGATGGACATAATGAGACCTGAGCCTCAACGAATTCGACGGATTCTAAGTGCCATAGTCAACTATGCTCGATTTCGGGAAGAAAACTCGGTGGAGTGTGAGAAATTGGTGAGCCTTAGTGAGCTGAATCTTGAAAAAATACGGGCGGCGAAGGCTGAGAATAATAGACTTCAAAACGAGATATCTACAGTGGAGCAAAAACTCGCTCTGGGCGCCGAAACTCAGGCCAAGAAGGCGAGCTTAAAACAGATCAATGCGTATAATTCCAAGTTGGAGGAGGAGTTGAAAAAACTCAAAAGATTGCAAGAGGAACTCACTCTAAGCTATAATCAATACCGCGATGAGAAGGGACGATTAATCGAGAAACTTGAAGATCAACATTATCTCATATTGGAAGCCAAAAAGGATATCGACAAGCTCAAATCTTACATGCACACAGACTTTGATATTCTCAACAAAGTCATTGAAGATCTCCGCTCAAACCTTAATGAATACCAGCAAGCCGCCTCCAGCCAAGAACAACGAAACCGCAACATTAATATCAGCATTGAAGCGTTCCAGATAATCGAACAAAACATTAAGAATCTTTTTAAAATACTTGAAGAGGTGAGCAATGATCTTGCTCGTCAAAACAGAATTGCAGAAGAACTAAACAAACATCAAGATATGCTTGAAGAGAAGAAACAAGAGTCTCACGAGTATGGCAGGCAGATTCTGGCCTTACAGCGAAAAATTAACGTTAACGAGGAAAAGACCCAAAAATTGCGGGAGGGATTCAACCGAGAAACCGAACGCCAACAACAAGAAACGGCTACGCTTCGCCAAGAATATGAAAAACTCTCGCAAGATCGAGCTACAAAAGAAGAAGAATTGGAACGTACGCGCAAGGAAATCAATCGGTATGAACACATGATCAACTCTGAGAAGAACGAGTTCAACATTGAGTATAAAAATGCAGAGGCGGCTGTGAGTCGATTGAATGCCCATGTCAATCTCTACATCTCAGAAATGTCTAAGAAACTCGAACCAAAAAGTTAGTTAAATGGGCTATTCGCAACAAGATGAGATTTAATTCTTTCTTTTGAAGGCTACTAAGACTCGTTCGAGGCGCTGCATAGAAAGGTCTTGAAGGCTTGATAAACTATGGAAAAATGTTGATGAATGGACCTCTAAGTGCAATAAGCATCTTTGGTTGATACGTAATATGTTAATTATTTTAGTTTGATGCATTATAGTATAGTTTCATAATCATATCATTTTCGGCAGCATGAACTTCAATGTGGTCAAGCCTCAACATCCTTTTTTTTGGCTTCCTTTGTAGCTACCTCATCATCTTTTGGAATGGTCTTATTAGTCGTAAATATTGCAGCGAGAAAACCAGCAAGGGCCATAGCCAAAGAAAAGTAAAATACATTTTTCAAGGCTTTCATGAACTGCTCGATTACGAGGGACCGTGCAGCTGGTGATAATTTCTTGATAATTTCTGGAGTTGAAATTATTGCTCTGGATGGGATGTTCCGAATGGAGTCATATTGTGGATCGTTGGGCAATCTGTTTCTTAATTTTTCAATATAAGCACTTCCGGTCGTCTGAAAAATAAGTTGTGCTATGCTGATACCAAGAACTCCACCAGTGGACTTTACAAAGTTCTGCAAAACGGTGACGGCGATCAAAGATCCCACGACCGTATTTGGTGCTTCCACCTGGCAAGCTAGCATAGTGGACTGGAACATAAATCCGATAGAAACACCAACGGGTATGAGAAGTCCAATTCTATTTGCAACCGAAGAGTTTTTGTCCAATACCAAGAGTAGACCACAACCTATAGGGCCCAACACTGCTGATACCATCATGGTGACTTTGATGTAGTGCGTAAATCTCATAAACATACCATTAAAAACTGACGAGAGTGCCACTGATATGACCAATGGAAGAAGATCGATACCAGACTTCCAAGCAGAAGCCCCAAAAACCACCTGAAAGTAGACTGCTAGGTAGGTGATAATTGCCATGAAGAAACCAAAGTTGAATCCAGCCATGAGAACCGCAGCGTCTATCTGAGGAATCACCACAAGCTCTCTGAGAATTATGGGATTTTTAGAAAACCAGAAATTCCAGTAGATGAATGCAAAAGTCAAGAGTCCACCCAATATAAAGCAGGAGATCACCGCTCCTGATTTCCAGGGAAACTCAATGCCCCCAAAGGTGATGGCCAAGAGAATTAACACCAATCCGCTGCAAAGAAGAAAGGTTCCAACGTAGTCTATAAGAGCCAACTTGGCTTTGAAATTTGACAGTGGTCTTGGGGGATGGAATCCAAGCATAAGCATCACTGCCGCAGCACCACCAATGGGAAGATTCACATAGAAGCACCATCTCCAAGAAACATGGGTTGCAAATGCTCCTCCGACAAATGGACCCACTACGCTTGCGACTGAGAAGGTGACACCAATAAGTGCAAAAACCATGGAACGTTTGGAAATGGGAATGACTTCTGTCATTATCACCACAACCATGGCCTGAATTGCACCTCCTCCAATTCCCTGGATGACTCGTCCACCTATTAACATGTTCATATTTTGTGCAAGTGCAGAGATCAACGATCCAATTTCAAACACCAAGATTTCCCGCCATCATAGTTTGTTTTCTTCCGAATGCAACAGATATCTTCCCGTAGGATGCAGCTAGACATGATGTGGGTAACAAGTACCCTGAGGTTAACCAACCAATTTTTTCGAAGGCTCCAAATTTGTCACCAACTTGAGTGAGGATGGTAGTAATAATCGTCTGGTCCAATGCAACAATAAACAAAGTTATGACACAACTGAGAAGCGTCAAGAGAAGTTTTATACCCGTCAAATGGTGTTCTACCGCCTGGGTTCCATCTCCCGCATTACTTTCGTAGTATTTTTGGCGTTCTGGTTCGGAAAGATTTTTGAGATGATCCGGATTTGATCCGTCTGAATTTCGGTCGTTCATTTTTTGTTCATCTGTGCCCATCAGCAGTCCCTCAGAGAGAAATTTTTCCTTCGGCGACTCCATCTTGCTCCAATTTGAAAAAAAAGAACTGAAACAAATGAGGCAAAAGAAGTAGCGCAAGTCATCAAAGCCGTATTCGGATGCGGCTGAAACCGTATGCACGTTTGACGTAAGCTGGGGTAAAAGCCAAGAACCGAAAAATGGGCCAATTTAGGGTGATTGCAAATTTAAAAAGTGTTGTTTTTATATATGTTACATGAGCTAGTAGGAATTGAAAATGCACTAGTGACTCAAAAATTCCATAAAGTCCATTTCTTTTTCTTCTTTGGTTGCAGAAGATGTGCTTGTCCTTAAGGGTCTGCCGTACTTGTAATTGGGCTTGAGTCCTGAATTATCTTGGCTTCCTAGTTCTTGATTCTCGTCAATTATGGGCTCGTTGGGGTCGACGGTACTCATTTGACGCGATCGGTGTGACCTGTCAGAAGATATCAAGCTTCCCCGTCGATGATATCCATTGTAACTGGCAGGTATACCAACAGAATTTGACCCTTGGGAGTTTCTCCTATTAAAATCAAGAGTGAATTTCTCGAGGCTGGCGGTGTAGGGCAGAATTGTATTTTCGCCCGATTCGTCAAGTAAAATATTGGAGAAATCATGACCGTCCAATGGAGCTATTGGAGCGGACGATTTGACTATTTGCGCTGAACGCAGGTTATGTATGGAAGGACGCCGGAACCGGGCGTGAAGATAATGTTCCTGGAGTTTGGACATGTTTTCTGGCGTTGGTAATGTGAAAAATGGAAGGTGGAGCCGGGCCAAAATTCTGCGCCAACGAGGGTATGTGCTGTAATCGATCATACCGGCGCAGAGTGATTGTGATGTGAGCTTTGCACTGGTAGCCATTGAGCTCGAACTGTGGGTCAGGAAGACAGTTTGGTTCATATTCTGAACATACTCTTTTTCAAAGTTTCTCAAAATGGTATATTTCCATGGCTGCTCTCGATAGAAGAAAACCAAAGTATCCACAAACCCGTTGAGTGGTTGGAAGAATGCTCCCATACAATTGAGCCAGTAGATGGGGTGGTGGTGGAATTCATAGTTGACTTGGGTGGTTTGGAGAATGAATGGAAAAAGCCAAAGAGCCAAGTATGCAAAAGGGTATATGAAGATGGATTTCATTTGCTTTTCAATAGCTCTTTGACGTTTGCGAAAACTTTCCAAATTGGCTGCGTGTATATCGGGCTCGTTGGAAAAAGTAGCGCCATTTTCTTCATCAGGAGTGATATCGTGAGACGACAGTTTTGGTGCATCGGCAGACACATTGGACTGCACTGCAGTCACCGGTTGAGATTCGTCTGGGAGGACAAAAGAAGGTATTAAAGCATCTTTCACGGCTCTGAAAAAGTATTTGAGCGCTGATTAAAAAGATGGTTTTTTCATTGTTGAGTGCCAGACGAGTTCCATGTTGCATTCGCAGCCGATGGATGGGTAGTGAAGACTCCCCCAAGAGTACGGAATTCTCGTATTACATGAAAGTAGATAAAGGCATAGGCTCCCATAATGAAAACGAAAATGATATAACGAGGAACCCAGCTCAAAACGAGTCGATACCAAACAGGTCGTTGAGGCAAGTAGCACCAGCATACGAACGAATTATAGCCTCCATTACCGATATAAGCCAATGAGGCTAAAATCAAAGGAATGAGAAACGAGAGTCCGTATACGTAAAAACGAAATCGGTACAATCCTCCTTCGACTCCATTGGACGTTTTCACCGATAAAGACGGCTTAAAAATTAAAAGAAATGTGTGGATAGCAAAAGCCAAAATCGCAAAGTCGGCACCTTCTATGGCGGTTGCTGTAAGAAACCCTACCGCCTGACAAAATTTGTCGTTGTAGTAGGAATTGAAATGAGTCATGACTCTGGTCGGGTATAAAAGCAAAATGATGGCTTTGAGGAGGTCGAAAAGTAAGAGGAATGTAATGAGTTGGTGACGGAATATCAACCTTCGAGGATCGATGGCCAAAAACATGTATATGGCTCCCAAGCAAAATACTATCGATACTGTGGCCGACGACACCGAGAGTACTCGTTGAACCACCACTTGATGTCGAGTAAACTTATCGATCTGGTCAACTCTTCTCTGCTCGAGCTGTCAATGCAAGTGAAGTACCTGCCGCTGCATGGTAAATTGTGTTGAGTAGACTTTCGGGTCCCACTTCCGGGTTTGTAACATGAGTGCGATCAATAAGGCACCAACAGTTTAGGAGGCAGTTCACTGGGTGCGAAGTCGTCTTATTTGCGGTATTAAGGTATTTAGGCCGAATCGAGATAACTCTAAAGATTGGGGGGGGCGGGGTGTTATTTTTAGAGGGTTCTCGGACCCCCCTGCCCTGCGCACTCTCCATTTTGAC